AGCTGCTTGCCATAGCGGTGTTGTCTGACTTATGTTCTCCTTTGTCTCAATATCAGCTCCTTTCTCAAGAAGCAGCTTGACAATGCCTTCGTAACCCTTTGAAGCTGCCCGCCATAGCGGCGTCGTCTGATATATGTTATCCTTTACCTCAATATCAGCTCCTTCCTCAAGCAGCAGCCCAACAATACTTTCATGGCCCTCTGAAACCGCATGTAATAGTGGTGTCTCACCATTATAGGTCTTTACGTCAATATTGGCTCCTTTCTCGAGCAACAGCATAATAATATTCTTATGCTTTCGGAAAGTTGCCCATTGTAATGACGTATGATTGCCACTCCTTGTCTCAATATTATATCCCTGTTCGAGGCATAGTCTCGCCATAGCTGTAAGTCCATAATACGATGCTAATATAAGCTCCGTAGCATTCTCGGGAGGACTGTCATATCTATACCTCGGAATTATTTGGGACCATAATGAGTAGCTTTTTGAATTTGGATTACAAATCCGTATCGCAGAAGATAAAATGGCAGCATTGTCAGCAATGTCAGCTGCATAGAAGTGCGCGTTCCAATTTTGAGCCGAGTAGTCCAAAAAGTCTAGATATTTGCTATTATTGGAGCGAATCTCTTCCATGTCTTTTTGAGGCTCATCGATAGAGTTAAGTAAGTCAAGATATACCACACAAAGCTCTGCTAGAGTAGTGTGTGCATGGCGAATAGTAATAGAGTGCTGCCAACTCAACGACGGTGAGATAATAACAGGCGATAATGACTCTGCGAGAAGGAACTCTCTGGCAGTTTGATGAAGAAAATAAATCTTGTCATGGTGCACCGAGATGAATAAGCCACATAGAGATCTGATCCGTGCCTTAAAAAGTTCTTTATCCTCTAAGTCAAGGTCATAGATAGTTTGGGATGCTTTGACTAGATTTATCGCAATATTCATTTCCGGGAGGGTTAGCGGCCGGCGAGCAGCTAAGACAATACTCAAGATTTTCTGCACTGTCAGGCTTTCTTTAGATCTATTAAGGATGCGCTCATACGCCTCGTTGATGCTGCTAGGTAGCGCAGCTATAGTACTTTCAATGCCTTTTTCAGTTGCTTTAAAGACTGTCTGCTCCAGATGCTTAAATATTAAGAACACCCAGAGGTAGGTCCTGTGAGAAATGCTTTGTAGCCTTTTCGTTAAGTGACTCTTAATTTCTGCAGTAAGGTTCCGCTGCGCCGATAGCTGATTGATCCGATGTGTGATGACACAGTTAACCTCCTGGCTGATTGCTTCCGACTCTTCTTCTCCTGGTATACGGATATCTGGAAATGACTTCAATAAGCTATGAAATTGTAAGGTAATCTGCTCATATGGGCGGCATGTTAATAGATACTTTAACTTGCTCCCCAAATGGCTGTCATTTAATTGACTTTTCACTTTCCGTATCAAGTCCACAAATTCAGACTCTGCACATTCATCAAGTGCATCAATGACTACAATCACAGACCCAGCCTCAGGATCCTCTGTAGCATTTCGTAAAATTTCCCAAAGCGACATGGTAGATTTGGATAGTCCTTGTCCGTCCCTGGCAAACTGCGGCATAGCATGTTTAATTAGTGCTGGCTTTTGAGAGAAGAGCTGATGAAGCAGTGCGCATAGTGCTTGGCGAGAAGTATTCTGGTCTTGGTCTTTAAAAAAGAAGTAACAGATGGTTGCCGATTGTGGTAGTTTATGATCAATAAGATATTTAGCCAGGACTGACTTCCCGCAGCCAGGATCTGCCGTGACCAGTAAAGGGCCTGACTCTTGATTCATCCATTTTTGGAAATTCTCGTGCTCAAGAAACCAAAGGCAGGTATTCTCGGCTCTCTCTTCAATTCGTTCTTTGTACCATTCATAAGTGGCATCTTCGTGATCAGATGTAAGACGGAATAACTGGTGGCATTGTTTCTCTTGTTCAGAGAGCCTCTCTGCAGCTAGGTCTTTCTGCATCTGGAGTTGCTCCTTTGCAATATCACGATGTTCTTCTGTCACTTCATAAAGATCTTTGTAAAGTTAGTGAATTCCTTGGAGATTTTATGATTTTATGATTTACCAGATAAGGTATCACTGATCTTCCTCTCAGCGTTAATCCAATTTGGTGCTATGTAATGAAGAAGATCTTTCGTATATGCTGCCGCCGTCATGGCCGCATAGCGTTGCCATACTTTATTTTTATGCGAGTCTGAATAATCGCAAATTCCGCGAATAACAATACACGGAAAATGATTCACCAGACCAGCAGCTTCCATCTCAAAACAAAGGACGTCTTTCCTCGCTATAAGGTCATCACGGACTAAAGCATCTTTCATAAGTGTATTTGCGGAAGCGATTAGGCCGTAATGAATTGCCGGGTCATCCTCGTCTTCGTTTCTTGCGCGCCGCTTGACTAGGCTTGATGAGTCGATACCACAAACCGTGGAGCAATCAGCTTCGCCGTCCGCTGAGTGAACAACTAGGGATTGGTACAGTCTATCGGAGGATGCTTCAGGGCGTTTATAGTTTCTTTGCAGCCTTGGTCTTTTAGCAAGGACGCTGTCAATGGCGTTTTGGATTCGGTTTCCCTCCAGCTCATGCCCTGCCCTTAGATTATTAACCGCTGTGCGTAGTAGCGTTGGTGCCTGATTCAAGAATCCTGTTTCTTTAAAATCTTCGCCTTGTATGGCTTTTCCAAAGTCGTATTGGATCACAGCTCCCTCTCTATTACTCGAAATGCCCACCACAACATCTCCAAGACGAATGTCATGCTTTTTACTTGGAGCGCCACCGCCGATTCCTACTAGGAGGCCGATTCTAATATTGGGGAAGCTGCGCAGCATATCTTTTGCAACACCTGCCGCAGATGATATTCCATATTCACCATTAGGAAGAACTGCTATAACAACGTTGTGCCGGCCAATCCTGCCGAGCGTATAGCTGTTGTTATCGTGAGGGGACAGGTATTCAGGCTGCTCGTGCTTGTCGTCTAAGAATGCCTGGGCGGCAACGCATTCGATGTATAGAGCGCAGATCCAACCAACGGTGTATATATGCGGGTCAGACATGATTGCGCCTTTTGATGAAGAAGAAAGTATTTTGAATCCAAATAAATCTCTGGCCGGTATGTTGTTTGTGGCAGAATTCACAGACAGATGTTGCCTATTGGGCAGCACGGCATATCCCCCTCTTTTGTAGCAAGTACCGATTAATTTGCGGCTCAAGCAGCCAATGGCGCAAGCCATCTTCGAATACACCCAACATGCACTGCCTGCATGTGTCCATTTTGGTTGTATTCCGCGACACGCACTACTCACAGACCCAATATGAACATCTTCTCTCAACCTCATTTCTTACTCAAAGGCACTGCTTGCATGTTTGTTATTTTCCAAAATTGAGGGTTTGTTGCACTGGGCCAGAATCTAGAATTTGAGGTTGACGGCGTCATTAGCAGCAGCCCTTGAAGTGATTTCACCAGCCGCAGAAAAGGACAGCTATTCTTCATCCATTGCACCTTAGTCATGCCATCCAGTACTGAAACTCTTTGAAGTTTAGAATTAAAGAGTGACGTTGCTGTCTCGGCTTTCTGGCTGCACTTATAAGCATACATAAAATCTCAGAGATAGCTCACTGAGAGATCCCGTAACTGAGAGGCCCCTTGGGACACCTCAGACAGTACCCGCGCACTAACATCTTGTTTCAAAAGGGAAGTTGATTCATTCAACTATTTGAACTGACACTTCTCTGATGGATGAAATAAAGAATACAAAATGGGAAATGAATTCGAGCGACATAAAGACTTCGGAAGAGGCTTGCTGGGCCATGGTGACACAAAACACTCTGCCGTCATGCTGCCGCCGCCTGTTGATATCGTGCAGTTATGAGGCGCGTCTGATCAATGATTATGGGCCCTTGGACGGGCCCTGAACACGAGCGGTTGGTAAGGATGAACTAACAACATGAAGGCACGCCGCCATCACAACCGATGTGCCTTTGTCGGCGAGCCTGACACCTGCGACTCCGCCAAGGCATATTTTCATCTGAAATGAGAATCCTTTGACCGAGGGTCATTGAGCAGACACATGTAATGTCGAACAGAAAGAGCCGCTCTAAATGGATATAAAATCAGTCGCAAAATAATGCATTAAAACGCTAGCGAAACCTTCCATACCAAGACTGCATGTAGGGCTGATCACAAAAGTTTTGGTGAGAATCGAATCACTCAGTGGAGCACTAACACCTGGCCCTTGACAATTGCGAGATGGTAAATAGTTTATTTATGACTAAACGGGTACAGAACGTTATGCAAGTGGTTGAATGAGTTTCCTTGTATCTTCCATACATGCACTTGTTTCTTAGATTGTCTTAAGCTTTGCGACCTAGGAACACAGACTGATGCCAAATTCAATCTCCCCTAGAAATAACTTATGACTTCCCGCTCCAGACCTTGGAGAGAAAATCTTCCATGGTTGTAAACTTATAGTCGGGAAACATTTGGTTAAGTTCACCAGATACATCCCAGCCGCCCTCGAAACTGCTAAGCAAAATGCCAATAACCACCTGTTTCGACATGTACTGCGCTTCTTCTTCACTGATAGCGGAGTGTCGCTTCTCAAAGCGCCATGCCAAATTGACATTTCCAGACTTGAGTGCTTCCAGCTTAACCTTTTCAACAGTAAAAGGGCGACCTATACAATATTAGAATAGGAATGCACGAAATACGGGGATTAAACCGCAGATATATAATACCTCTGATTTTCTCGCCCAATTTAATAATTTCGGAGAGAGTGGCTCGGTTACCCTGAATTCCACTAATCTCCGGCCACTCTCCGTCGTAGTCGATAGCTTTGGCAATAATTGCGGCAGTATCAGCCGCCGACGTCAATGTAATCGTGATGTCCTCATATCCGTCAATGACAATAGCCTGGCAGCTTTCATAATTGAAGATGGTGTCCAAAGGAGTTATGTACTTTGATGTTTGAAATGGAGATGCGAGGTAGTCTAAGAAAAGGCCGGGTTGGAACAACGTATATTCGAGGACCTGCGATGATTTAGATGACAATAGAGGACTAGTTTGGATGTGGAAGAAAAACCAAAACATACCTTTCCATTCGCATTGAGCTTTCTCAAGTACTCTCTTGCCACTTCTTTCCCAGCATACCAAGACATGTGAGCAGTTCCCGAGCTTTAAGCAATGGTTCAAGTACGTTAGCGTCAAACTAACATAAAACTAGAGACCTTTCTTACCTCCCATATTCACTAGGTGCAAAACGCTTGACTCCAGCCGCAACAGCCGCATCAATCAATTGTTTCTGTGAATCCTGTCCTGATTCGCGCATGAGCTGAACAAAAGATAGCAAAGTGTGTGTTCCCTTGAGAGCTTCCACCAAGGCACTATGGTTGCTGTAGTCCACTTTACGCCAGGCAGTTCCGGGAATTACATCGTTGTTCGACGCTTCCTATGAAAGTATTAGTCTCTCGGAATTCGTAGTGTCATTTGGTGAATCTCTCTGAGGCTACTGACTCGTCTACTCAGAATGGTAATATCGTGTTTACCCGTAGCAACAAGGGCATCTATTATCTCTCTGGCAACCGCTGTAGGAAAGAGAAAGGCCTTGGATTAGCTCGATGCATCATGATTGGGATTTTAAGAATCTTGGATAACATACGCCCAGAGCCGCCTGCAATAGCAATTTTGACCATTGTTAAGAGGTTGTAAGTAATGGATTAAACCGTGTTGCTAATTCAAAGTAGATGCAATATGTCTCTTTGTTGTAAGCTCTTGGGAGAGAAACACAACGAGATGAAATACTTTCTAGTTTAAAAAGAGATTGACCCATGATATATAGTATAAAAATCATGGCTATATTAGCAATAATCACCACGGGCGACCGACTTCCCTATGCACACAGTACGGAGCGATATTGATGGATTGCTAATCTCGGTGACCGTTGACTGGGCTCAAGAGCCAATCAGAGAGGGGCAATCCTTCCGCCGCGGTCGAAACGCTTATTTCGCCGCCTAATCCAATTAAACAAGGGCATTCATTCCGCCGCGGTCGAATCAATTTGGATCCATGTTATAGCAATTCGTCTCTCTGCCGCGGCGGTTGAAAAATAACACGCCACGGATAATGCGCGTCTCGCCAATTCATCACCGACTCTCACCTCAACCTCCAAGGAAGAAATACCGAGACGCCGTCTCGGCACATCCGGCAGAACAATGACCACGGCGATATCCGCCAATAGCGACGGCGGCAATGGCCCATTCTCCGCACCCAAACGGAGAAAGATTCGAAAGGGCACGCAGAGTTGCTGGGAGTGCAAGCGGAGAAAGATCCGATGCACTTTCGCATCTCCAACCGAGTCTGTGTGTGACGGGTGCAGAAGTCGTCGTGTCAAGTGCCTCAGTCAAGAGTATCATGACGAGACAAGATTGACATCGGCACCAGATAAACGAGGGAGCAGTCTCGACAAGATAGTATGCTTCTTCTTCTTCTCCTCCAATCCCCAATCAACAGCTCCTAGACTAACACCAAAAAGCGCAGCCAAGCTGACACTTCATTTGGCGTTAAATCACCTTCCGTATGTAACTATATGGGCAGTGTGGCATTTATCAATTCGCCAAGCGATTATAATGGAATCTCTCAACAGCTTCTCGCAGCGTGGCCGAGCCAGCAGGAGCTTGAGGTCATATCAGATGTGAACATCAGTAATACCTTTATGCTGTTTCACGGTGTCACATGTATGCCATACTCGGATTTCATGAGCAACAACCTGCCATCGCTTCAGGACGTGTTGCAGCCGCCTCTACCAGGATCCCACCCAGTCTTGCTTGCCCGCAGGCTGCTAATGCTGGGTGTGTTTCTGCAAAGCGGGTCACTCTCATCATCTGAGCCGCAGACTGTTATGTGTCGGGCTGTTGAGATAGCAAGCAGACTGGTTACTAGCAACGATGACCTGGTTAGCTCACTTGAAGGTATCGAGTGCATTATGATGGAGAGCATGTTTCGTAATAACGCGGGCAATCTCCGCGGCGCTTGGGTCTCAAATCGCCGAGCCATGACGATGGCGCAATTGATGGGTCTTCACCAATACAGAACCACCGTTCCTGCTAGTAGCAAACAAGACTGGATTGCTGGGCCTCGGCCAAAAGCTATCGATGCTGAGACGCGAAACCGTATCGAGCCTCAATTGATGTGGTTCCGACTGGTCGCCACAGATAGATATCTATCCCTGATACTAGGGCTGCCACAAGAATCACAGCAAGACCCTTATCCCGTTTGCTTGGAGGCAAAAGAGCCTAAAGATTATGAACTCATAGATCGCCTGGAACGCCTTGTGGTAGTTGCTGCAGGACTCATTCTGCAACGAAACAGCACCAACATTCACAACCTCGAAGCGACACTGAGGGTGGATAAACTTCTCCAAGAGGCAGCTGCTTTACCGCCTGCCCAGTGGTGGCTCCCTCCCGAGCCTTTGTCCATCATTGGTGATACTATGGACGCATTCCAAGAAACTCTTCGACTCATGTATCAGCTGACTCATTATCACTTACTTGCACAATTACATCTCCCATATATACTGTTGATTTCCAATGACCGGAAATACGACTATAGCAAGATGACTGCTATCAACGCCAGCCGTGAGATACTATCACGTTTTGTCCTTTACTTTGGCACTAATTCTAACTGTCCCTCCTACTGCCGTGGTGTTGACTTTTTAACCTTCATTGCCAGTATGACGCTATGTCTTGCACATATAAAAGGGCATTGTGAGCGTCAAATTGGCATCATGTCCAACGAGACCACCAGCATCTTTCAATTCCTCGTACATCAGCGCCCTCAGGATATTGGATTTGTCGAGCGCATAATGGAGAGTATGGAGAAAAAGACAACAAGGGACGACCCCATCACTCAAACAATCACCAACAGCCTGAGACAACTTGTGACTATCGAAGCTTCTGTTGCCAATCAGAGTTCTTGTATTGCGAGCCTTTCTTGCCAAATCGGCTGCGACGGACTTGAAAGTGGTGGTATTAGTATGCATATGAATAATGATGTGCTGCATATCTACATCCCCTACTACGGAACAATCAAAATAGAGCGCGAAAGCTCTTCGCACAAGTTTCTTGAGGACAATTCTTTCTCGGTAAAGTCTCTTTCACAGATGCCCTGGGAAACACTGCAATCACCAACAGAAAGGTCCCTTATCATGGAGCCTACCGATGAGCCCAACAGGCGAAATACAAAGGAGGATAGCATATTAATACCCAGTATTGGGGAAGAGTTTAGTGATTGGGCATTTAGTGGTATAGATTTATCTCTGTTAGAGACAATATGAATGAGCCGGGCAAAGTCACACCAGACGGTTTGGGGACCGGCACAATAGACCGTCAAGCTGAGTAGATGCGGGAATAGGTATGTTTATGAGAAAGATGAATGCTTTCATGTACAGTGTATTATATATGCTGTATTAATTGAACACCTCTAAATCCGAGGTTAAACTGGCTTGGTTAACCTCACGGACCTTAAGCTAGACGAGGGCCGAAATAAAGGTTCTGTCAGTGTTAGACAGGAGATTCAGAGCCTGACGCTAGAATCCATCCGGAACGTATCCGGTGGGCAGAGTTTAACAAGCAGATGAAATTTTCTTCTCTCTACTTGGTTGTCACTGCTGCCAGACTATCACTCTCCAGCTACTCTGAGAGCTATACACCAGCACCGCCTCCCGCCTCCTGGATCTTCCTTTCAGCATCCTCTGTAAGCAATTCCCCCCACAAGCTATCCACCGCATACCCGCCCTGCGCCATGGCTATCACAATCTGCTTGGCGTGTGTTCCTGCATCACCAATCACGTAGAGGCCCGGAATGTTCGTCTCGCCACAGGGCTCACGACGCTTGATGATGGTTCCGAGGTGCGGCGTATCCTCAAGCTCGAGTCCCAACTGCTCGACGAGCCCTCGAGAGGTGATATCGGTTTTAGGCTTGTTGATGAGGAATACAAACTCGTCGTGAGACCCATCAGTGAAATCCACCGTCACCAGGCTAGATTCAGTGGAATCAGAGAGGCGAAGCTGTGAGATTCGGCGATTCTCGACGGTACAGCCAACGCCGCGGGCGAGTCGCAACGCCTTATCCACAGCCTCTTGCTCGTGCTCAGGTATATCGCCATTGGTCAAAACGACGACTCGAGCAGGCTGTAACGACGCCACCTGCATGGCCAAGTAGCCATAGATGGGTTTCCAGGGATATGCCAACACGGCCACGCCCGCTTCTGGCCGCTCTCGGATCTGCTCCAGCCCATCACAAAAGAGACAGTGATGGATATGAGATGGCCAGCAGGCAGCAGAGCCAGGCACATCTTCTGGGAAACAATCACGAGCCCCGGCCGCCCAGATCAGCTTGCGCCCATAGAAAGATCTGCCTCCCGCCGATTGTAAGCGGAAGCCCTTTAGGCTGCGCCCCTGATAAGAGAAGTCGACTTGGCGTGCCTGCACAATCATCTCTCCTTCGGCCATCACGATGTTTGGGTACTTCTGCCGCAGCTGCTCTCGAGCTCCAGCGCGAAACTGCTCGGGGCTCTCGCCATCGTGGCCAAGGACACTATGGAGAGCAGCCACGCCGCGATTGCGGTAGGATCCCGAGCTTAGGAGGATAGCAGAACGATCGCCGCGAGCCAAAGTGAGGGCGGCAGACAGGCCGGCGGGACCATCCCCGAGGATGAGGACGTCATAGCAGGTGGTTGGAGAGTCCATTTTTTTTACGAGAGAGGGCTAGGAGGAGAAGAAGAATGAATGAAGATGTCGAAGAGAAGAATGAGGCTCAGGAACCAAAAACGGCAGCCATGGAACACACTTATAAACTACTTGTAAGTAATTACGTGCGTATGCTTCGCCACGTCTGAACTGCATGTTGGACGGTGTTGTCACATTATCTCCACCTCTTATTCCCATTACACGTCATTAAATCTCAAAAAATATGACTATAGAGGTAGTTGACAACAATCCTGCAACTTCATAGACAAACGCTTCACGTTGTTTACATTGCCTCCAACTTGAACACTTCCTGTCATCCCTCCACGTTTCATTCCTCTCTCACACACACTCTCTCTCTCTCTTCTTTGTCACGTCATAACTATCAACTCCACCACTCCATCTGCAATGTATCACAATGCTAGTCCAAATGAACATGTCGGAGCAGTGATAGACCGCTTGGAGGCACTATCCAGCAACTCTGAAACCCACCTGTAGCTTCTGGCGATATGCCTAGAAGCGCCTATCAGCCGCCAAACTCCGCGAGGGCCCGGTGGAGCTGGCTAAATTGGCTTGCGCCGTACAGGGCAAAAGCGCCGGCTACAACGGGACCACGGCCCCAGCTGTAGCTGTGATGGGCCAGATAGGCGCGCTGTATGTAGCTCAAGCTGGCAATATTGCGGAGGGCGATGTTCCGCGGGCGACCAAGGCTCACAGACGAACTGCTTATCGAGACCAGATTTAGGAACAGAGAAGCACGATGGCTGACTCAGTGTAATCTGCGGGCTTGACGCTTGCATAGACGCACACACGCAGAGATGAGTCGAGTCTGCCCGATCCGCCATGCTTGATCTGGCCTCGCACAGCCCACCAGGGATGGCAGCATTTGACGGCAATCTTCAATGACAGAGTGATTGCAGTGCAGGCTGCAGATGACCTCCATCTGGGATGGGGGGAAGCCCCAGGCCTCCCAGACAACCTCGCTGCAACGCTCTCAGCGTCATGGTGCTCAGCCTAGCCCTGTATCTGCGAGCAAATAAGCTCTGCGTCCACTTCGGCAGCTGTTGAGCCACTTGCTCTGTTGTGCCTCATTGCCGTTACGTTACGCGGCAGTGGCGCTGCGGCTAAGGCGTATTTTGGCGAGGAGTCTCCACCACATCGCCAGATCCTTTTGTTATGTTCTGAACTAGTCAATCACGCCCCGTCCACCAAAGAAGTCTGCCAGTCCCTGGGCGCCGGCAAGACAGAGGCATGAAGAGCATTATATTCTAGTTGTGGTTGGTGATGCCGGCGCGGAGTGGAATTCCTTCATCTCCGCTATAGAAGTCTATTTAGGATCAATAGTTTGGCGTCTTTGGCTGAAGGCTACGAGTGCGTTTGAGAGATCGTCTATCAATTGGCCGCATTCAGATGGGCTTTGAGATGGTGAATCAATATCAAGAGGTCTTTTTTCAAAAAGAAGACGCATGGTAGCTAGAGTCAGACTCACCAATTGAGTGGAGGGAATGCCTGCTTATATACTGCTGGAGAACGTTCCGCTTATATTAGACCTGTGTGTAGGGCACTCTTTTACTGTACTTAGTATGCGAACTATTCTAGATGCTAAGGCTACATTTATGCCCAGCAATAATACACATCATAGCGCACGCACTCAGCATATAATTGAAACACTTGATGCTCCAATCATTCTCTCTACGTCGATACATACACGAACAATTGCCGATGTGCCTAACTATCCTACAATCGAAATCTCCGAGGACCTCGTCTGTCAACTTAGGTAAACAGAACAAGGATGACCCAGGAGAATAGAATGTATTCCAAAGAGGAAGAAACCAATTATGCTGATTAATGATGTGCGGTTCTAGCACCCCGATTTGTCTTTCGTTGATTCGACTGTTTATTTGGCTGTGGAAAGTGTGAGCCTAGAGAAACGTCGATGCAATACGCTATATTGATGAGGTAGTTCTATTGGCTGGTTCCATCATGTCATCACAGCCTCGCAGTGTGACAACCATTGAGAGATGCATTACACCAGCAGCTCTATTACCATTGGTCCATAACATTAGTCTTGGTCATTTTATTTTGTACCTAATCATCTACTTCCATGACACAAATATGAATTAGGCTCCATTCGACTGCGAGACAGATGGGACAGATGGATCCCTAGTCCAGGTGCCCAACCCCATTTCAGCTGAGGCATATCCACGCTCCATTCCCATACTTCGCGCGCAAAACTGGCCACCGAAGGATAGGGATTGCAGATGATTATTCTCTCAACAGCCGCCATCAACAACAAAAGGCATACCATATGAGCTTTGAATTAGTTCGATTGCGACTCTTTTTACGTTGCCTCTTTTAGCCTTGTTTTCTATGTCTCTTATTGCTTAGGAGACTTTGCAGGCAATATTGCGGCTCATACTTTACCCTACCGCGCAACTCTCTAGCATTTATTACTTCCTAACTGCGGCTTCCGTGAAATGGAGAGAGGCCGCATAATCTCCGAAAATACAATTGGAAATGGAAACCTTTTCATTCAGGGCAATGTAAACGTTAATAGCTACGCAGAAGCCTCGCAGAGGCAAGGGGAGAACGACATTCTAAAACGTCTCTATAAATCGCCATATAAAGATCGAAAAGACAGAAATCCGCCACGAGTGCTGGGTACGTGTGACTGGTTTGTGTCGCATGAGCACTTTCGAACTTGGAATGAGAGCAACTCGTCAACCATGCTCTGGGTATCTGCGGATCCAGGGTGCGGAAAGTCAGTGTTAGTAAGACACTTAATCGACTCTGTTGTTCAGAATACGGAGTATAGAACTGTCTGCTACTTCTTCTTCAAAGATGACTTTCCGGACCAAAAGAATATAACAAGCGCTCTCAGCTGCATACTTCGCCAGATATTCATTCAAAAACCCTCTTTGCTATCCGACAAGATCCTGAAAAAGTTTAACTCAGGAGGAGAAACTTTCACCGCTTCATTCAGCGAGCTTTGGAAAATCCTGATGCAGGTAGTAGAAGATGAGAATGCAGGCGAAATCATCTGTCTTCTCGATGCGATTGACGAATGCGAGGATCAGAGTGGCCAGGGAAGATCCGAACTTCTTAAGGCGTTGTGTACGCTATACGGAGCCGAAACTAGAAAGAGTTCAAATCTAAAGTTCCTCCTCACTAGCCGGCCATATGTTGAGATTCATCGCAGCCTTCAGCCGCTACAGATTCCAGGGCTGCCGGTGATCCACTTGAGTGGTGAAAGCGAAGATGAAATAGAGAAAATTTCCCGAGAAATTAACATTTACATTAATGCCAGAGTCCAAGATATAGGGAAACGGCTGCGGCTTACCCAAAGCGAATGTGATCTGCTTCTACAAAAGCTTATGCATGTTCCTAATAGGACTTACTTATGGGTATATCTGGTCTTGGATTTCATTGAGAATAGCATCAATGTTAACGACATGATGATAATCGAGGCTACTTCAAATATCCCTACGACAGTTGACGAAGCATATGAAAGAATACTTTCCAAGAGTTTTAATACTGGACAAGCCAGGAAGGCATTGCATATTATTGTCGCAGCGGCACGACCTTTAAGTCTCAGGGAGATGAATTTTGCACTAGCCTTAGCTGACGGCCACCAATTATCCTATGATGATCTTGATCCGCTATATGATGATCGTTTTCGCGAAACTCTACGAAATATCTGTGGTCTTTGTGTCGTGATTGTTGACTCAAAGATCTATCTACTTCATCAAACTGTGAAGGAGTTCCTTGTTAAAAAGGATACTGTACCAGCCATCGGAAGTGATTGTGGAGGTCACGAATGGAAACATTCATTAGAACCACATGAATCTCATCGTATTCTTGCCGAAATATGCATCTGGCACCTTGTCGCTGGATTGAAGATGGTATCTGGCTCACCAACCCAAAATAATTGGCGTGGAATCTTTCTCGACTACTCTGCGAAATATTGGACATCACACCTCCACCAGACCACCATTGAAACACAGTCCATGATGACTAAATCTATACTAACAATCTGTGACGTTAATTCGAGCTGTTGCAAGGCGTGGTTCAGCATGTATTGGACCACGACAAATACAGAGTTTCCTAAAGGGTTTACTACCCTTATGATGGCATCATATTTCGGACTGAATTTTGCAGTTGTTAGCTTGCTTACCATGGCTGATATCGACCTAGATACTCGGGATCATACATATCAGCGGCCAGCATTAACTTGGGCTGCAAGAAATGGCTTCCATTTGGTTTCTAAGCTCCTCCTCAGCGGTATCCACCATAAGCTATGGACTTTCAAACTGCCGGTCAAGAAGAGACCAAAAGTCGACTTACAAGACATATACGGCCGAGCCCCATTGACGTATGCCGTTTGGAGTGGGGATGTCACTCTCGTCCAATTGCTAATCAAGGCGGGGGCGCGAGCGCACTTGAGAGATGAGGTCGACGGAACGCCATTAGCCTACGCTTTCTGTAACGGAAATGTTCACATAATTGATCTCCTTGCCAAGAAACAACGTGCAATCGATGTTGAGGGTGATATTAACCGACTACTGCTTTCTGCTGCCGAAAAGGGGCATGAGGAAGTGGTGGCTCTACTACTCAAGACGAATAGAGCCAATATTGAGGCACGAACTGAGGCACGAACTCAATATCTCCAGTCAACTGAAACGAATCTACTTTTTAAGGGACCCCGCGGGACAATAGTGGAAAAGCAATTTAACGCGCGAACAGGCATCAATTTCCAGAGTATAAGCATTTGGGATAAGGGCGAAACAGCTTTAATGGTTGCCTCCCGGGGTGGCCACGAGGTAACAGTGAAGTTGCTGCTTGAGGCAGGAGCAGATATAAATGCTAAAAATTCTTACGGCAATACAGCTTTAATATATGCCTCCCGGTATGGCCACGAGACAACAGCAAAGTTACTGCTTGAGGCAGGAGCACATGTAAATGCTAAAAATTCATACGGCGAAACAGCATTAATGGTGGCCTCCCGGGGTGGCTACAAGGTAACAGCAAAGTTGCTGCTCGAGACAGGAGCAGATATAACTGCTAAAAATCCATACGGCAATACAGCTTTAATAATGGCCTCCCGGTATGGCCACGAGGTAACAGTGAAGTTGCTGCTCGAGGCAGGAGCGATCTAGGAATCGATTGATGAGACGACCAGCCAGTCTGGGATATTGAAATTGTTAGTGCGAGCATGGGCGAACCGAAAGTTTAAGCACAGAGCAGACTTATAGACTTAATATATGTTGCAAACAGATGTAATAGGGAGATAGTGAACATACTGCTAGAGGCAGAGGGGAGAGTCGAGCACGGAATGCAACCTCAGTCTTGAGGCATGCTTCTTGAAAGATAACTGGGCAATATTGAAGATGCCACAGGAGGCAATAGCAGATTTTTTTTGCAGAAATAATACCCGATTCTCATCAGGGCTGAGAGAAAGTGTGGAATCATATATGGACGAGACAGGATACACGTTTCCTGTCAAAGAAAACGTGTTCCCGATTTTTCAAGTTGCTCGTATACAAAACCACGAAGTGATTTTTATTAGAAGGAATGAAACTGGAGCAGACTAAAGATTTCTGGTTGTGAGATGTCAGAGTTCCTTGCTGTGATTATGAGGGTGGGTGGAATTATAAACCTATGACTTGAATTAAATGTGAGCTAAATTGATAGTTAAAGTAATGGATGCTATGGAAATAGAGAAAGTATATCGATTAATTAGATATATCAAGAGAGTTTTGTGCCAATTTTATACCGTTTGCCTTTCTTGAGGATTTATTGATCAGTTCAATTTCTATATCCTGTAAAGAATATATGTGCAAGGTCATGTAGATACATATGAGACGGGGGACAAAAGGTCCTAAGTGGAGCAGTTCTGTGGTAGATATGTCTGGCTGCAACAGCTAAGAATCAAGTTTTTACAGATTGTCACTCGAGTAACCGCAAACTGACGTACGATTGAACAAATACCGGCCTGTATGCTCGAATATAGCCCATGTTTCCGGTAAATTATACCAATCACAATTGACGCATATAGCAGCAGAGACAAAAAGCATATACTAGCGAGAAATTCGCTCGGCGATCATTATTTCTTCTATACTATACATGAATCCCAATTAGAGCATCTCAATTATAATGAACTAATTGGTTGTCAACCATATTCATTATCAATTAAGCAAATTCTCCTACCAATTGCTATTCAGCAGTTAAATTTTTGGCGCCACCTCAGTGCTCGGTTCATCAATCTTCGCAATCGTTTGTGTACTTTTCTTGTAACCCTCTTCGTTCTGAAGAAGGTTTATATATTCTGCTACGCGTGGAAACTCCTTTTTCCATGATCCACCTTCCCATTGCCCTATATTGTCGAGTGCGTCTTTTGCTGAGAAGAGAGGGAAGCTGAGGATGATATCGGCAGGAGTGAGGTGGTCGCAGCAGATGTAACGTCCGCCAGAAGTGTGCAGCTGTTGGTCTAGGAATTTGATGTGTTTGTAGACATTTGGGAAGATGTAGCTTGAGAAGATCCGGTTGGCGACAGCGGTGGTGACGGGGCGAATTAAAAAGGGAATAGGAGGTTGCTTGAGTCCTGCAATATGTAAAATGTCAGTATCGGATAACATTAGATTGTTTCTCTTTGTTGTTCTTTTCTTTCTTTTCCAAGGTAATACGCACTGCTAATCACCAAACTGAGGACTAGATATGGCATCAGACTACCCTCGCTGTAGTGAAGGAAATACTGATTCCTCAGCCAAGCCTCTGTCTCGCCCCCAATTTTACCCTCCATGCCCTCTTTCCATTTCTGCGGCACGAGGTGACGTCCTTCAGAAAAGTGCTCGCATAGATAATTCGCCATATGGCCGCTTTCAGCCAAGACAATGGGTTCTGCGCCTTCACTAGGAGGCGTGATGACCAAGACAGGGGATTTTCCGAGCGGATGCACCTGTTCCAGCTCTGGAGGCGCAAACATGGTCTGTTTGTTGCGGTGGTACAGCTTAATGTCAAAGTTGATCTTGAGCTCTTCTAGAAGCCATACTATGCTTTGAGAGCGAGATTGGTTGAGCCTTGGAGGAGAAGTTAGCTAGAGAGCTTTGTTTGAGATGCCTCGGTTGGCGGGCTGAAACAAGTTCTTTATCCTCTAATGTTCTGCAACGTACCAATGAAGGGTGACCTTTGGTTCTTGTTCGTTAGTAGCCATGATGAAGTAATTGTATACGATATGTAGACAAAGGAAAGGTCAATTGCTGTTGTAGAGGGAAGAGTATGTGATTCGATAGAGTAGTATATATATGACTGAAACGTCTATGACGGCGCTCTTATATAGATAGTTCCATTCTTACCAACGTCATACCAAGTCTAGCTAGCATAAAACAATCACCACTTTTGCTCGGCGCAAACTTCCTAAAAACGCCACTTAAAAACTGGAGCTCTCCGAGCGAGATTCAGGAATTTGTCAACATCGACCGAGCAGCAGCTCAACAAACAGGCCAGGCACGCGGGAAGAAGCCTTAGCAGGGATGACAAGATGCGTGTTTCCCTTTTCGGCAATGGGGAAATTTTGTGCCTCGGGTCGGGAATTTTGCGGGTGTTTGGCACAACTTTGTCTGGGCTTGTGGAGGCTGCAGCGAGAGGACATGCCGAGATCTAGATTATCTCACTATCTATTGACATGGCTAGCTATCAGAAATACTAAACATGGGGTTTTCTATGTAGCTCTCGATTTTTATAGCTGAATCTGACCTGATTCCATTCCTAGACGCTCAAGAGTATTCCATCGTCTCTGCTTCGCGGTGTATGCGCCACCCACGCTACTTCATTTTCCCGGCACATCATTGGCTACGCACCTCAGTCAAGCCACACCCCGCCACAAAAATGTCCACTACTCGTCTCAAACCTCTGCAGTTCTCAACACTCAAAGCTGGCTTTTATAGCATCTCGTGCTCAGCTCTCTCCGTGAGCCATTGAGCTCTGCGCCATGCACGCACCTCGAAGCATCTGCTCAAGATGCGCCTCGCAGATCCACGCACTGCAAACGCGGCGTCTCGGCGGCACGGCGCTGTTTGCCTCTTTGAGCGACGCTGCAAGTCCCTCTAACGCTGCATCAAACTCACCATCAAACGCAACATCGGGAAGATCAGCAACTCATGGTAAGCATGACGAGGCATCTGGACAAAAGCCTCGCAGTTATAATCATGGCACATCGAAAAGGAATCCCAGGAGAGTCTTCCATGGAGGTTCTGGCTTCGCAAAGAAGGGACCCCTCAGAGCCTCAGAAGACTCTGCCATCGCTCTCTTCAAAGACGTAGTCAGCCCAGAGACAAAAACAGCAACACCGCAATCTTCTCCCCTCGGGGAATTGGAGATTGCAGCAAAAATCAAGGAACTATCTAACAAGAAGATCGATGCCCTTGAAAAGCTACGGATTTTCAAGGAAACCATCTCGCCACACTTAAAGGGTTACTACGGACAAATGCCGAAGCATTTACTCCTCTCCGCCACCCAGTTCTTGGAAAAGACGTGTGATGAAGTTGCCGAGCGTGGCTATACTGGCCACAGCATCGAGCTGTCCCAGCTCTACAGCAGCCTAGGAAAGACCGATCTCGATATCAGGAATCAGCTCGTCCTCAACCTCTGCTATGCTATCATCTTTGAGAAGCGAGACTCAGCAGACCGCGCTAAGCTGATGCATGAACTCACCGGCTTGTGGAAACACATTTCCCAGCTTCGACGCAGGAGCCAGGAGCATGAGCCACTCAAGTTTTCTTTTCCCTTGATTCAAGATGTTCGACGAGACATTGCCGATGGTAAGGCGACCAGGACGCACCTTCATCCCACCACAAGGTCATTGGCTGCTCTATTCCTTCAATTCAACCCGGATCAGGCCCGCGACATCATTCCGGGCCTCTTGACTACCATTGCTGTTCTCTCAGATCCAAGATTTGTCAGATCCGGAACGTACAAAGTCATGGCCCCTCTCTTGAATCTACTGGCTGTAGCGCTTGGCAACAAAGAGGGTGTGCCAGACTCTTACGTCTCTGGAGTATTCAGTGATCGTATTCGGTTTCCCTCGAAAAAGCTCTCTGAGGTCGAGTCCTATGTAGTCCAGCAGTGGCCTCACGCAATGGAGATGCTGCAGAAAGAAGACGCACCGTGGCGTTCAGACTCCTCGCCCATCTTCAATGCCCTCCACAAGCAGCTCCGGCAAGCATACCACGCCCGCGACAATGGCGCCGTGTACTCAATCTGGCAGGACCTTAAGAGCCGTCTAGAACAGAAGCCGGGGCTCGCAAAGCAGCTGCGTAACAACGCTGAATTCCTTGATTTCTGGGTTTTCGTCTGGTGCGCGTTCCGCCGCCCTAGACATTTGCAGGAGACGTTCGATCTGATGCAGCGACTGCAGATACACCCTACCATCAAGACCTACACGGGCATGATGCACGGCTGGAAGATATGCAAGGATACTGATAAGATTGAGGCTCTTTGGACAAAGCTAGCTGGCTCCGGCATGAAGCTTGATACCGTCATCTGGACAGAGCGCATCTCCAGCCTTATCGAAGCAGGAAAGCCTCAAGCCGGAATAGAGGCGCTCGCAGAAATGCTCGCTCAATGGAAGGAGGCGGTCCAGAAGAATGCTCCGCACACAGCGGCGCAGCCCACCATTGAGGCCGTCAACGCGGCTTTCAAGGGCCTCATCCAGGTCGACCGCAAAGCCGCCTTTGACGTGCTCAAATGGGCGGGCCGCGAGCAGATCGAGCCCAATGTCCGCACATACAACATCATTATTCGCCAGAGCTTCCGCGATGGTTCGCCTGATGAAGTACAGAACTTGCTAAAAGTGATGTCTCAGAACAACATCGAGCCGGACTCTGCTACATTCACCATCATCCTCGAAGAAGTCATCGGCGGCATGGGTCCCGCCCCAGCAGCCGACCAAGTCGAAGCCGTCCACCTCGTCTTCCAAGACATCGAAAAGGCCGGCCTTCGACCAAACCAGGAAACCTACGGCAAGATGCTCTACGCCGTCTCGTCTCTCGCCAACGGCACCGACGAGGCCATCGACGCCGTGCTGAAGCACATGCGCCAGGACGACTTCAAAGTCACCCCCCACATGGTCACCATCCTCATCGAGCGCGCCCTCAGCCGCGACCCGCCCAACATGAAGGACATTGACACCCTCCTCCACGAGCACGGCTTCTCCCACGTCGGCGTCGGCGACCAGACCCTCTGGGAGCGCGTCATGAGCGCCAACGCCATCACCGGCAACACGGACCGCGCTATGGCCGTCTTTGAGGACCTGCGCAAGGCCGGAAGGCCGGTGACGTCGCTGCCGTGCCTGACAGATCTGCTGTGGGCGCTGCTGGCGAGCGAGAAGCGCGATGAGGCAAGGCGGGTGGTGGATGTGGTGCTGGAGTACAAGACTAAGGATAGGGACTGGGAGGGAGAGTCCAAGGATAACAGGTACTGGAAACATCATTTCTGGTTTTTGGCAGAGGAGAGGGGATTGCTCGAGGGGAGAGAGGTGCCGGATGTGTTGAGGGCGAATCTGCGTGGATGAAGAGTCCATTAGACTGTAGATATTCTCACATAGTAGTAGATGTACAATAACAGCGATATTCACGCAACCCTCACGAATACGTTTTGCTTGTTAACTTTTTTTTTCTTCTCATTTCATTTTATCAAAATCTTTCAAATCATGTCGTGTCCATCTCATCCGTCTCCAACAACGCCGCCACCTTCTCTAACCCTTCCACCTCGCCTTTACTCAATCCCCTGCCCTCACCCTGCCACTCCCCATCACGCACCTCGCCTCTCGGACCAAGCTCCACTCCCGCCACCGTCTCGAGATACTTCCGCGACGAAGATTCAATATACTCTGCGCGTTCTCTCCTCCATGAAGTTGACGACGCCGTCTCGTTTTCTGTCGCAGCATCTCCAGGCACACTTAGTTCCGGCAACAACTTCCTCAACGACCCGGACAGCGCACGCAGCGACTGCAGCTGCGACAGCGTAAACTCCGTCGTCGTCGTAATGGGCTGCTCCCCGCCGCTCTCTTCAAGCCCGCCTCTATCGCGCAAGAAGGAAAACGGCTTCGTTGTTGTTGTTGTCGCCGTCGTCGTCGTCGCCGCCACACCATCCTGATCCATTGCATGCTGTTGATCTTCCTCCGTCTTGGTCGCATCGGTATCCACGCCGAGGAGCGACCTGAGACGCCGCAGGAGAGCTTCGTTGTGCGCTTTTTCAGACTCCAACACGGCGTTTAGTTTCTGGCTTGCTTGGAGCCTTCTCCGCAGCGCGGTAATAGATTCTGTAGTCGGTTTATCGCTCTGCTGTGCCGCCGCATCATCATCGTCCTCGGTCGCAGGAAACTCCAATCCGGCATAATGTGACAGCCGCATGTAGGGCTGGTCCTGCGGTCTGACAGTCAAGATGTTCTGCATGACGTACAGCTCAAAGATGTCAAAGTTCTTGTCGATTGATGCGTTGAGGAGGGTTTCGAGCTGGTGAGTGCCATTTTCGATCTCGAGCTTGGCGGCCTCTTCGGGGGATAGATTTGGGTTCTGATCTGATGATGGCTGTTTTGGTTTTTTGGCGAAGCCGAGTTTGTGGGGAGGAATGGAGAGGAGGAGGCGTTCGACGGAGTCGAGGGCGCGGTCGGCGAGGACGTTGACGGTGTTGATGATGTCGTCGAGGAGAGACTATGGCAATTGTAAGGATGGTTTTTTTCTATGTGTATCCATTTACTGGGAGCTGGGAGAGACATACCACTGGGGGGTAGCTAAAGTGCTCTGTTAGGAGCTCGTAGTCGGAGCTCGTGGCCGCCATGGCGGGCGGGAGCTGAGGTGAAGCTTATTTTCAGGCTGCTGTGGTGCAGATGCAGATGCAGATGCAGGTGGTGGTGATGTTCCGACAAGGCTGCGACGCGACGAGGCGCGTAGTCTAAGAGTCGAGTCTCTCTAGCAGAGGTGGTGTATGTAATTGAAATTTGTAAATAGAAAATGAATAAAAATCAGAGGAAATGTCCACAATTCTGCCGTCTCTTTGCAATGGTTGCTCTTCAATATCGAATAGTACTAGGCAGTCGTAGAGTTTAGTACCTACTGGGTAGTCAACAGCAGTCAAGATACAACAAGCTCATCGTCCATGTCGTCGTCCCAAGTGGGGACCTGAATCCCTCGCAGTGACAGCCCCAGCCTCACTCTAGCAGTTTTCCAGCTACGTACCCCCTGTGGCTGCCCTAGCCTCATCCTCTCGTGTTCCCCACTCCGGCTGTCACCTGTCTTCGTTTATCAATCCGTTCCGCCCAGGCGGTCTCGCCGATCATCCCCAGTTGGATCCAGCCTCTTCTCGGGGTTTTTTGGTCTTATAAATTTCTGTGTATCGATTCTCCTTCTGCATAGGTATTAACTGCTAGTCCTCGTCTGAATTTTTTTCTCTTTTTTCTTGCTTCGCCATTGTTACCTCAAGGATCAGAGCGAATTCACACCCAAAGCTCCAGATACCGTCCAAATCCTCGCCCACCATGTCGAAATACACCGAAATGGCCAAGGGCAAGCTGTCCGAGAGCCGCGAAAAGGCCTCCGGGCTCAAGGGCAGAGCCAAAGGCAAAGTCGTACGTCGTCGCCGCATCTCCAATCAGCATTTTCCTCTCCAATACCTACCATCTATCTGTATTCAGACCAAAAATCTAATGCCGTATTCTCTTCCAGACAAGACATATCCCTGGCCGAGGTCATAAAGAGGAGGACAGCGGTCCCTCCCACGTCGCCCGTCCTCTCAGCTCCCTCCGCGATCCAAACTCCTTTGCTCCTCCGCCGAGGCGCACAGGCTCTGGCTTAGCTCCCCCTCCACCTCCTTCTACAGCCAAACGATCCGTCGTAAAGGTGCCGGGCACTTATCAGCCCGCTTACGAAGAAGAGGAGGAGGAGCACCACATACCAACCGGACCATACAGGGCGGATACAACGGGCTTATCAACTTCTAATCTTCCGCCGCCTCCGGTAAGGAGAGATCACCCGAATAATCAAAGTCCTCCACCATACGAGTCCGTTGTCAGCTCCTCCGCCGGCACCAGAGCTCCTCCGCCGAGTCTTCCTCCGAGATTACCTCCGCGATCCGGCTCCGGAACGCCGGGTCGAACAGAGAGTCCGCTGTCAGCTCTCGGGGCCAACCCCAACCACCTCAATCAAGGTGCCGTCAACAGACTGGGAGCTGCCGGAATATCCGTTCCCGCCTTTGGCATTGGCAAAGCATCTCCCAGCAACGACGACGACGATGCGCCCCCTCCTCCGAAGCCCCCCCGACCAGTTGTCGCACCGCCGCCGCAATCACATCTTAATGAGCTGCAGAATCGCTTTGCCAGGCTAGGGACGTCAAACACAGGCTCCTCTACGGGATCACCAACTCCTCCCAGCGAGACCACTACTCCTCCTATTCTCAGGCCGGCGGCACCAGTGCCCGCGCCGGCGCCGTCAGGGTCACCGGGTCTGGCAGGAAAGAAGAAGCCGCCGCCACCTCCGCCTAAGAAGAAGCCTTCGCTATCTGCTGCTGCAGTAACTCCCCCAGCCAACGATGAGCCGCCGCCCATTCCTTTGTCGACCCGTCCATCTTACCAGTAACCAGGGAATCATATCCCCAGAAATCAAATCCCCAGCACATCTTGTAGAGGCAATGGTCAGCTGCACAAATTCATGATTTGAGGCATGTCATTTTGTATGTTGTATTTTGCATATTGCAGTCTCGTTCTTGTCTGGCGTTGGGAGAATCAAGGATTGGCTTCAGCATCAAAGTTTTAATAGAACAAAAGTATTTGTGAAATCATGTTTAGATCAGCAATTTTATTTTCTGGTCCTTTTTGAATTGTCTCCGCTCATTTCTCCAGCTATAAGGCTTTTTGTAAGGGGATATATGCCATGGCGCCGAGTTAAACGCAAAAATGTGACTCGTGACTTTGTTTCCTCCGCTCGTAATCTCCAACTCCCAATTCGTTTTTTCCTTTCTCTTTTAACGGAAAAAAAACGAACTTAGACCTTCATCTCGGTAAGACCGTGCTTCCAGACGATGACATAGGGGGTAACACCGTCCTCACGGTAGTTGAGGAGGACAACCCTGAAAGTACAGTCAGTACAGCCGTTTCAAATGAAACTTTGGTTTGAGAGACCAATTTCGTAGTCTTGACTTACATTCCGTCGGGGTTCATGGACTCGCCAGTGTAGAACTCGTAGTCCTTGAAGTTGGGCAGCAGGGTCTCCTTGACGTAAGTCTGGGCACCCTTCTCGAAAGCGGTGATCTCCTCAGCGGGAGCACCCTTAGCCTGGAGGCCAGCCTTGACAGCCTTCATGTAGCCTGTTGATAGCAATAGTGTTAGCAACCTCTGATGCAACTACAACCATAGCGCATGGATAGGAGATATCTGTTTTTTAACAACAGCATCACTCACCCTTAAGGTAGGCGAGGTAGCCCTTCTTGTCGAAGCTGGTGGACTGGAGACGGAAAGAGTGGACGATGTTGTTGACCTTGATCTCGGCATCCTCAACACCCTCCTCAGCCTCCTCGGCGGAAGCATTGGCACCGGTGTCTAATAGATGGTCATGTTAGGTATCGATTCAAAAAGACTAAACAATATTTTATTCCGTCTTCTTTAGGGTGTCGCAGCATCGGATTGGCAGACGATTCGCTTGTTTGCGTGGTCCAACGGTATACGGGGAGAACAAGCAAGAAGCCGGAAAGGGTTTCTTTACGCACCGACGGTGACAGCGCCCTCAGTGATCATGGCGCAGTCGGCCTCGTAGACGATGCCGCCGACCTCCTTGAGATCGTACGAGTCGGAGATGATCTCGTCGTCGGTGATGAGGTCCTATTCAAATTTGCGGGGTCAGAACCGTTTTTTCTCGCCGCGCAATGGCGGGGTGCAAAAATCGAGTGAGGAAAAAAAAAGACAAACCTTGTAGATAAGCATGGTTGCGACTGTGATTCCACACGGGAGAAATAAAAAGAGAGAGTTTTTTGGTATAAGAGAGGAAGCGAGACAGAGAAGAAGAGAGAAAAAAAAAGAAAAAAGAAAAAAAAAAGAGGCGAGATGGAGGGGAAGAGGCAACTTTGGCGATAGAGTAAAAATCAGAGTGGGCGGGAAAAAAAATGTGGGCAATTGATTGGCCGCGGCGGCTTTGGTGGGGACGGTGAGGAGGATTTTTGGCTTGCCTAAACAGGAGTGCGGTTTGCCCCGCATTGGCAGGAAAAGAAAAAAAATTGTTTGGCGGTTGCTGGAGCCAGAGGGTAGCTTGGGAGAGGACAGTTGGGTGAGCTACTGATGACCTGCCCAGGTATAGTTGGTAGGTCGCTAAGGAGAAGCTATATCGATGTAAACTTGTTTCGATTTTTGTTATAGTGTATGCTAGAAAAGACAAACAAGGCCATCTGGTGCCTGAAGCTCTGAGTTAGCAACAAGTAGTATATACAGAAAAGGTTGAAATAGCGATGAAAAGACACTTGGTGAAGAATAGTTGGCTTTTATGTTCTCAAAGTTGGATTTCTCAAGTCTTGCCAGTTCTCTTATTCAGCTAACTGCTAGGTACATATTAGGCAGTCCATTCAGTGAAACAAAGCAGCATCTCGCCGCCGCAAACATCTTTTATATTAATCCTCAAGTCTAGCCCAGTAAACCATGAGCAGTTACACCATGGATGCCATACAAGTCGTGTCCTACATGCGCAAATTCCCTTCTCCCCTTCTCTGTATCCTTTCTCTACCTCTCCTCAGCTATAGCCCGCAACAATGCCTCTCAGCGCACTCACTGTAGCCCAAAGCTGGTCCCGGAGAATTGGCTCTGAGACTGCGGCAATCATTTCATCCAGGTCGTGAATGATTGCACGGACAGACTGATCGCTGCGCCACATCGCAGAAGGGGGTTCTGTATGTCTCTCAATCCATTGGAAGACAGTGAGGTCCTCCTGTGCTTGCTCAAGCCATGACAAGACTACCTCATTTCTTACCCTGCTTGCCCACAAGCGCAGCATCCCTTTTGCTTCTGCAGTTATGACTTTGATGCTTTTTGCTGTCAAGATGCGCATAAAGTCATCTTCGATCCTACCAGTCCAATCCTCGTGATTCAATCTATCAAAGAGAGGCTGCAGGCGTTCCATCGTCTCTGCGCGGGAGACTTGTACGCAATATTCCCCTGTCGTGGAAGGTTCCTGCATGGGCATGGAGATTGGTACTGGCCCTTCGCATCCTCTCTCTAGCATATTCGCAGATTGGCGAGCAAGGGATGGTGTATTTTGATGCTCAAAAGGTGATATAAATTGATTCATAGCAGGCTGTCCTGCCTGAAGCAGGGTGTGAGACGCAGCTTGATGCATGGCCGGAGATGAAAATTGATTCATGCTGTGAGATGCAGATGCAACTTGATGCGAAATATTTGATTCGACTTGATGGACGCTATATGGTGTGATTTGGCTCGTAACAAGGGGCCCAGGCTGAAGCGCAGCACGTAAACCAGCTTCCTGTATAGCATGAGCTGTGGCTTGATGTTCAGCGGATGATTCAGCCTCATACTCTGGAGATGACTCTATTTTTATTGAAGTTGGATTTTCGACCAACCCTGTTGCGTTTCTAGTAGCATTACCTCTCGATACCACCATTCTGTCTTTGGAAGTGACTGAAGAAGTGGTCAATTCGGATTTATCAGCCAGCCGAGTCGGTGGGCGGTGTACGGGCGCAGTCAGATCCCAAGGCTGGTCCAGTGTAAGGATGTTCTCACGATTGCCCTTCTGATGATAGTATATGGCTGAGGTAGCTTTATTATAGCAGTCAAAATCTCTGAGAAAGTCAGAGATCCTGTTACGTCCCTGCATATTTTGGGTATGCAGCACGACTTTCTCTATGGCGATTGCGACCATCAGATCTGGGGCTGCAGGGCAATGAAGCAGATTTGAGTACCGAGTCCGGCGATCAGCCTTTTCCATCACCTTCATGAAACTATTCAGTCCAGTCCAGCTACCCCAGCTAGTGGCTTTGTAAGTATCTGTAGCTTTACATAACTTTATGCAATGCCGAAAACAGTTCTGATACTTGCTACTATCTGCACCAACAAGTGAAAATATGGCGTCTATGAGGGATACATGAAACGCACGTATCTTCTCCGGTGTGGCTAATAACGGCGTATCAATGAGGTTTTGACGCTCATTCTTCAAGGCTATGATCTTCGATTGAATATCGCGTGTCCCTGAAGGGGCGATGACGGGTAATGGATTCGTCGCGGATGAGCGCAGAAATTTGGAACTCTTTGAACGCGGCATGCTGAAGGTCGATATCAGCTTTTTTATTTCAATTTCGGTTATTTGGTAAGAAGGATTGTCAAAGAAGAGGTAAGGTTAGTCCTTGGGAGTTTGTGGCAGTTGCTTTCCACGGAGAAAGCTGTAACTGCGGAATGAAGAAACGAGGAAAGGATTGAAAGTTGAAATTTTGGCAAACGCGAAGAGAACAAATTTTCAAAACAAAAGAAAATTAAAAACACCACGTGCAGCAAGCAGCTGTCTGGTGAATGTTAGGCAACTGCAAAGCCAATGCTGCCAGTGCCAGATGTTGGGTGCATGCTCTATCGATATCAAAATCAACTCACCATCTTCACCGTGTACCACAAACAAGAAATCAACATCTAACTGTTTCTATAGTCTAAATCTTTAGGTAATTACTAAGTTTAAAGAGGAATTGGTCAGGAGTGCGTAAAAAATTGGTGGTTGTGGAAAACCAAATTCGTCATCTGCGTCTATCATCATGTGAATATGATGCGTCTGCCTCAGGGACCAAAGCGGCTTTGATATAACCTACTAGGCCTAGCACCACTTGAGAACAACATCCGCTTCTGTAGTAACTTTATAGGATAAGCAATTAGTCGTAAAAATATCGTATTAATTGCATTATTGGTGTAGACAATATTGCTTTTATTTTTGTTTTGTTTGATGTTGAGTCATTGGCTGAAAAGTCGTATGTCAGCAGAAGTGTAAGTGAAGGATAGTGTCTTGTGCGAGTTACATGGAATACGCTATCAATTAATACGGGCTTGTAATGTACTGAATACCTTTCCATCATTGCAATTTACTGCCCACCAATACTCGAGTTACAAATATACCACAAAACATGCACACAAACAGTCCATTCGCCGGCCTTCAGCGTGTGCATCGCCAAATCCACGCAGAATCAAGTCACCCTCAAGAGATTCCTCCAGCTTGACTCGTGTTAAGTGGTCTGATCGTGGATCGACCCGGAAGCCGTGAACGACGGTCCAGCTTTGGCGCCAGGGGCACGTCCAGCTTCGGCTAGGCGCCATCTCCGAGAGTCCGACGACCGCGATAAAACTTTGTATGGCGCGCGCCGCCCACTCGCTAACAAAAGATACAAGCTGCCACCGCCTTTGGAAACTCTGCTCGCCCCAACAACAGCCCTTCTTCCCTTCTTCCTTATAAAGACGTCACCTTACGCTCCTTTCCTCCTCCAATTCGCGCGCCATCGAAGAAAGAATAGCAGCTTCGTCTTCTTTTTTCTCTTCTCTCTCTTCTCCGTCCTGTGCTTCTTCTTATTCGTCTTTGCTCTCGCTCTCGCTTCCTTTCCACAGACCTGCTCTATACCGCTGCTCTTTGCCATCGCTGCGATCCCACTTTTCAGGTACCGACGCTTGCTTTGTCGCCACCGACCCCTGCACGCATTTCGTACGCGACATCCGACCAACGCCGAGTTTAATTAGCCTCTTAATACCGAACTCTCCGCGACCTCTAGGCTATATCTCACTCTTTTTTTCTTTTTCTGCCCAACAGCGCGCTCCATCTGCTTTTGTGCATGGTCAACAGCATTGCTCACATCATGGACAACCTCTCCGCCGAGGCTCCCATCATGGCCAACCACAGCCTCTACGATACGTCGCTTCCGCCGCTGCCGGCCTACTCGCTTGAGCCACGGCCTGATCTGTTCCCTTGGATCTCTGACCTCTGGCTGTCGCTGCTTCTCCCAGTTGCCGTCTACTGGGTGACGTCGCTCTTCTTCCACGCCATCGACGTGCTCGACCTCTTTCCTCAGTTCCGTCTTCACACGCCCGAAGAAATCACCCAGCGCAACCACGCGACACGCTACGAAGTTGCCCGCGATGTCATCATCCAGCAGATCATCCAGGTTACAACAGGCTATGCACTGGCCGTCACTGAGCCTCAGGAGATGATTGGCAAGGCTGACTACGACATTGCTGTCTGGGCAACTCGCATCCGCCTTGCCCAGCGTGCGCTGCCCGGTCTCCTCGGCCTTGTCGGACTCAATGCCACCGCCATCTCCAAGAGCATGTCTGCTTCCTATCCGCTCCTTGCTGGAGCTCTGGCTGGAGGCTACTATCCCATCTCTGAAACCGCCTCCAGCAGCGCCACCCCGTCCTTTACTGCCTGGGAACTTACCCTTGCAAAGGCCATCTACTACGTCCTCATTCCTGCCCTGCAATACTTTGTTGCCATCTTCATTCTCGACACCTGGCAGTACTTCCTTCACCGATTGATGCATGTCAACCGCTGGCTCTACAGTAAGTGGCACCTATTGATTCGTCTGGCCAGCTACGTCTCATCTTGAATAAGCCGCTAACCACTTTCTCTGTCCTTAGCCACCTTCCACTCCCGACACCACCGTCTCTATGTTCCATACGCTTACGGTGCTCTTTACAACCACCCCTTTGAAGGCTTCCTTCTTGACACTCTCGGTGCTGGTATCGGATTCAAGGTGACTGGCATGTCTTTGCTCCAAGGCACTTGCTTCTTTGCTTTCTCAACTATCAAGACCATTGATGACCACTGCGGCTATGCCTTCCCTTGGGACCCTCTTCAGCTCATCACCAGCAACAACGCTGCCTACCACGACATTCACCACCAGACCTGGGGAATCAAAGCCAATTTCTCCCAGCCCTTCTTCACCTTCTGGGACCAGCTCCTGGGAACCAAATACAGTGGCAAGCGAAGCAACCGGCCAAGCGACAAGAAGCAGGCCGAAAAGGCCCAATAAACAGCATATTGCATTTGGTTAATATTCGTGGATACGTGCAAGCACACTCTATACAAGAGCAAAAGCACTTCTTTAATACTTTTATCCGTCCCATGTAGATGGAGGAACATACGACGCAATGTTTTTTTTTTTTTTTTTGAATGACAGCAGCAACCCGGCCAAGCAAAATTAATTCTCTAATATCTTACTTTCTGCTTTTCTCTTATTGAGCTCATCGAGCGCAAAAAAGTTCTTTGCTCTGTATATATTTACACTACCCCTTTTTTTTGAAAACATTATCTTTATATGGGCTGAGCAGGTACTGTGATGGAGGAGTTGCTCGATATTTATATGTCTGGGGAAGTTTTATCATTATGGAGAGATATGGGGTAAAGCCTCGACCACCTTTTGCATGTATAATAATTTAGATTGGAGTGTGTTGATGGTGCGATGGGTGGGCGTTGGGATGAGGCTTATTACTATTGAATAATGTATGAATATGATTTTTGGGGATACACGAATCTGCTTTTCTATATTTCGACATTTATTGATGCATATCATACTTTGGCTTATCACTCGGCTTGAGAATATATATACTTACTCTATTAAGAATCTTCCAAATATTCACGCACGCTATTTGTTTTTTCCTCTTTTCTAGTGAATTGGCTGCTTGGCACTTGGGAAATCGAAACCTCATGCCTGTTACATCATACTACCCTAAATTCTACATACAAACTCAATATATGACACAAGCATCTAGCTGAATTGAAATTGAATGCTTTATATGCTTTTTGGGGTATCTTCTGGTGGATTTGTGATAAAAAGAACCAGCAGATATCCTTACCTTACCAATAACCCTACCCTAATAGATTGAACAAAACCCTCTTAGCTTTCGACTACGAGGGCATTAGCAACATGGCAAAAATAATTAGCTACAAGAATCATCTACATAGTCATCTTTTGAAAAGAAACACAAAGGGACCACAAATTTGTCTCTTCATCGCCAAAGTAAACATGCATTCTGCACAGATTTTAAAATAGCACATCACCAATTTAGAATCAGCCATATGTATCCCCTCAGATCTAGAGCACGGAGAAGAGAGCACGTCGAAAATATAAAAGTCAAGGCACTAAGGATTTCCAAACCTTCTCGTCTTTTCTTCTATAAACGGACCAATGTTGAACACTTATAGTATCGCTCGAACTTAAAGTCTCATCTCATCCCAACCTTTCGTGACGACAGATAAAAAGCGTGCCGTCTGCCTAACCAAAACAGCATATGCGAAATCAGCAATGGTATAGCCCATAATACCTGGCTGTCTGACGAATAGGCTGACGCCGCACAGCATAATCACTCAGCTGTTCATTGTCGACTACGTTATGTCTACACCACTGTGTAAGCTGGTGTGGCACAGAGCTGTCATACCCCATATGTCTCCAGGGCGAGCAATTAGGCCAGTGCATGTATCCTCCATGATCACAAGATCAGATTCCTCGAGAAGTGCCGCGTATCTAGGTCTCACGAGCTTACAAGTGTGCCCTATATCTTGTCGCACGGGTCTACAATGAAGGTAGCATCTGGCCTCGGCTTCACCAAAGCTCTGTGCTACGGATCCTGTATCTTGTCCTCAAACGTCTTTGCAATTCAATTCGAAACGGCCGGTTCGTGGGATGCGCCAGCCTTCGTTCCGAGCCCGCTGGTGCCAGAAAAGCTTAACGGATAAAGGAGGAGCCTCGTAATTAGCCCGGCTCAACTAACAGAAATTAGCAAAGAGATTTTGTGTATTTCAAATACCTGTCGACCGTCTTTGGCTAGCAGTCACATGAGAAGCTATCAATGGCCTTGTTAGAACTTTAATAAGACTTGAAGGGCGCCAGTCCGCAAATATGCACGGCTGCTGCGCCCGCACAGCTCGCGCTACGTGATGGACATGCATGGATATCCGTTCATGTTTAACCAAGAATAACACTGATAGAAAAAGAAAATTCCGTTCCCAGCCTCGGAAGAGATACCGTCTCTGGGAATAGAGTCACAACGTCGATTCTCAAAACCCGAGTTGACAGGGACGATTCTAACCCTTGTGCGTGCAAGTAAAGTAGGGGGAGGGGTGGTTGCTGCTAGGCTGTTTCACCAGCTTCGCCCGCAATAATCCAGCCCGATGCTCTAGAGACGATCCGATAGCGGGCACCTGGTTGTCACCAATGAAAGTGAATATATGTCCGGAGGCGGGATAATTAGAAAAGGCCCTATTGTGAATTGAATGGATCTGGCTGAGATCCGGGGTAACTGTCTGACCGTTACGATATACCTGATGCCGCAAGGTTGAGCTATTCTTGATCGTAGATTCATGTTGCAACAAGGCCACATAGTGCTATTTTGTAGCCAGGTTATTATAACAGCAATCCAACATGAGAGTTACATATTAGACTCTTAGCAAAGTTATATTATATGGTGGCTTGACGACTGACGGCTGTATGAATGGAGTAGTGCCGTGTCTATCAGAGACTAGGGAGAAGCGTGGATAAAGATCAGAAGAGTTAGCTTGTGCAATGCCAATGTATATGTATACATAGGTAGATAGCGATTGACATCCATAAATTTTGAAAGCCAGGCACAGAGAGAAGTAGCCAGCTTGGACATGGTGAATACAGCCGAGATGTTTGCACATGCTAAGCCTAAGCGCCGGCACAGAGCTCAAGTCGATGATCTGCGTGTCGAAACAGCTAACAGGTACTACTGTGCAACGACTCCGTCTGCCTGCATAGATAGCTGAATTTGAAGCACAGCCTTAAGCTAGGCGAGCTACCACCAAACGCTGCTAATGCATCTGCAATCATACGGCTACCCAGTAGGAGAACTTGAGCTCTTCTCTGACAGCTAACTCGGATATGAGAGAGTGCCGAAAGCCGGCTTCCGGAGCATACGATTGGTTGCCTGCCGTCAGGAGTTCTATGAGAAATACTAATGGTGTACAATGTGTAAGATTAGCTGCATCGCGGGTGCATAGAACGGTTGGTAGTGTCTCGACTCTAGGCCTTTTGCTCGATATTTCAGTGGGTCAAGCCATGTCGTGCAATAACAGCTGTCAAGGAAACGACGTTAATTTCGTTGCTGAGCCGAGGGTTGTCGATCATATGGCTCGTGACTTGAATCCGCGCCGTGTACACACAGACAAGGAGCCAAGGATGGGTGGCTTCAACTGTATCCCTTTATGGTTAGCTTGTCATACAGCGTTATAGAAACATTTTGACAAGCGATACAGAAAAGCCGTGATTAGCATTGCTGTTGTATATCAATTTAGTATGCATGGAAATGATAATATTGTGCATTCTTTATCCGGCCACCAATGCGGGCGTGACAGGATAGCTTCCCGTCGATTTACCGGAAGCGGCAAAGAACGAGGCTTGTGCTTTGGCTTGGCCCCCAGTTTTCATTGACTTATCTTCGGAATGCGGGCGGCACGAGTCGGGCGCCAACCTCGTTGGAGATCTGGAGCTTCTGATGTCAGTAACCGCAGAGCCAAAGAGGTGACACAGCAAGACTGCGTTGACGGTTATACCACGTAGGACAGAATGCACAGCAATTCTGTAGAACGATGCAACGAGGCACGAGGCACGTGTACTACGTGCACTACACTGCATCCAGCCATGCAGACTGGTTCTCTGTGCGCCGTAGTGCCGTCGAGATCGCGGGATGCACGCACTGCGCCTGTGCATGGACGATACGTGGATGGCCCGAGGCCCAGTGATTTCTTAGCGTTGCAGACGCGGGAACGGTTGGTTCATTAGATGGTGAAGACTGCAGTCTGCAGTGACACTGCGGTCTTATCATGCGAATTCTGGTTGACAGTCGGCGTCGTACAATCCTTTCTTTGTGATAACTGATATGTCCTCCATGCAGCTAATCAACTCCACGTGGAGGGCTCACAGCGCGGTTCTTGATGCTTGCGGGTCAAATCAGGACAGGGGTATCGGACTGCACATACAGCATTGGCTGAGACCGACGACTTATGCATAAGAGGCTGAGACAAGAGACCGCAACGAACGCCCCCTGGTGGCTGCGACCAGGCTGTTTTTCCCCTACCAGCCGCGCATGGTTAGTTCCACATTCGCATTCCACAGCATGAGGAGGAACCCTTTAGCCGGCGCTACCTTGAACTTGTGGCGTCGTTGGGGACGGGCTGGCGGTGCTGTATGGCCTCTGAGGGCTTGAAGACGGAAACCATGAGAGTTTAAGCCCTCCATGCACATCATCTCGTATATTATCTCGTATATCGTGATATGTAAAAGCCAATCGATAGTAAAGCAGCAGGCGGTCTCGCTACCTGCCTGTTGGCGGCCTCGGGGCGAGAGGAAGGAACGAACCCGGAAAAAATCGAAGCCGCTCACCCCAGCAAGCGAGCGATCCAAATAATGTCCCTTCTCCACCACTTTAACCGCTGTTTTCAGCTTCACTTGAAGCGTCTAAGCAGAGACAAAGCCCACTCCGCTTGCGCAAAAAAGGTTCACTCGCTTCCGCAGAGCACAGCTGCTACTGCCAGTCTGCTACACGCCGAGTCTCTGTTGGTTATGCATGAATTCTGCTAGGCCCGGCGTGGCTAGAATGCCTGGTGCTGTGTCCGGCATCGAAACAAGCAAAGCTCCTCCGAGTCACAAGTCCAACCGCAGTCGGTGCCGAACGTCGCGTTGGCGCAATCTCGTCCTGAAATCGAAATCGAGCAAAATCGAATCGGCCTTGCCGCCATGCCAGAGACCAGCATCTCAACAGATTGGCCCATCCATGCAGCGAATAGTGTGGCCCTACTAGGCCGCGCTGGTGCTGAACATCGACTGCATATGGGGCGGTGGTGCTACTATTTGCTAGCAGCATCACCGTCGAGCTGATTGGCGCCGGTTAGTCTCCAGCATGGCCCCGTTCAATCTCTCTGGGTCCCCAGCGCTCGTGCGTGCCGTCCAATCATCCAATCAGCCGCTCGCTGTGCCTGCGTGCGTCAGAAACGACCCCCTGCTCGGACCCTGGCCCGAAGCTTCCTTGGGATCCGGCAGAGACGGCTGGTGCCCATCCCCATCCACGGCCCAAGCTGAGCTGAACTCAACTGAACTCGACTGAGCTGAACCAACCTGAGGTTTGGCATCGCCACGACAACCGTTCGAAGAATCTTGCGGCTGACGCTTCCAGATCAAGGGCCGTTGGCTCCTCCATTGGCAGAAGACAGGCTACTCTTTTCAATAGCTCACAGCAATAAATCCACTGTTGGCCGGATCGTGGCACTAGTTGCTTTTATCGAGCTCAATCACGCCAAAATCTAATTACTACGGTGCCAACTGACGCTATCCACGAGTGCCCAGCAAGCTAGCCGGCTTCCACGGTGCCCCCGGCAGCGTCTCATTGTCATCAGCCAGCACGGAATACCATTGCTGAGCAAGCCATGGACAACACGAAATCTGCCTTTCGTCATAATATTCTGCAGCAAAGCCCGCAGCCTTGCGTCTCTTGCATTCCATACTTCTCTGTGGCAACTCATCACTCACGAGGCCTCTGATATCAGCGTCATTGTTGACTCGCATCTTCACAACTGGTGCCTTGCAGATCCACGAGCTACATCATCTCCGCTTTGAAAATCTATAGGTATCCGGCTCTCTTGGTAATCCTCAACCCCTGCTTGCCGCGCCTCTTTTTTCTCCAAAACCTTCGTCTGGGCCTACTCTACCCGCCTCGCCCCTTCTGGATCGCTGTAGCAGAGAATCTTTTAATCATACTAAGCGCCGTCTCCCTCTTTTGTCTTTTCCCCTTTACTTCTACTGCCGTCCAACGCTGCAATACGACGCAAACATCACCCACACATTCAGGAACCGATTCCCACTGCTACTGCACTCTGCCGGCCCCCGGCTCGTTGGCGGCGCTTGCGGCACATCCAGATTAACCACACCAGTTGGCCAATCACGTCACCAAACTCCTTTGTTTCGGCGCTTCTTCAAACATGCCCGCTTGTCCACCCTGTTTCACCCTCTGAAGCTCTCTCTCGTCTCTAATTCAACCTCACAATTAAGGAACACTGCATTTTACACGCGCGAAGATATCTGGGCCTGTTATGGTATCACCGTCTATTAGCGCGAGACAAAAATAGCCGCCGGCTACGAGACGAAAAACGATCATCCCGGACCGTTTGCTTCACAACCGTCAATCACTACTCCTACTAATAAAACGCTCTCCCAAATCGTCTAATCTTGAGTTGTTTGTTTCTCTGTCTTCTTCGCAATGGATCCGACAACAACTCTTCTTACATTCATGTTGTGAGTGTTGCGGAATCTTCCATTTTCCTTCTTTCTCTGCTTCTTTCTTTGATGCTTTACACTCATTTCGTTTCCCTCCCTTGTTTTGGATCATTGTGTTTCTCCTATTTTTAGGAGCTTCCCCTTCTTCTCCGCTGGTCGAAGCTTTTTCTATCAGCCAGTGTCTCTCGTTTACTAGTCTGGTACAAGAGAAAAGTCACTACTGCTTGACTGTGCTCATACTCCCCCGAGCTACTCCTACTGGACTTCCTCTTTTCGGATGTTTATCCGTTCAAACTTGTCTGGCCTAAGCTCTGTTGTTCTTGGAAGTACGGTACGAATTATACCCTTGAATTTGATCTTCTCGCCCGAGTGTTACGCCCGTCAGCGTCGCCGTCAGCCCGCTCCAATCGTCTGCCTCCTTGCATCGCCTTGCCAGCTCAATGGCATGGGGCCTTCTATCATGAGGCTGCCGCGCTTCTTCCGTATCCCTTCTGCCCTTGGTTCCCTCTTCCTCCCTTGACCCATGGTCACGCCACTATCTTCTTGACACTATCCACACCGCATTGCCTGGACCTTGCCTCGCAGAGCTAGCCCTATGTTTCTGGGGGGTCGGCGCATATTTGGCACTAGCTGGGCGGGATCGCAGAGATGTGAATCGTTTGAGTCTCGGCTTTTGTTAGCCCGCTGCCCCGGCTTCACATGGCACATACACACACACCCTTTACCCCCCGTCCTCCAGAGTGGTATTTTTAATCGGCCACCACGAGCTAGTTCGAACCGACTTGAGCTGACACCCTAATCTCACAGTCAGACGGAGCCATCTGTCCAATCCGTGCGGCTCATTGGCTCCTGGGATAATTTCACTATGTGCTATAGCATGGAGCGGGACGCCCGACGTGGCCATGGCCAGTGGAGAGGATGCTTCACGTTCCAGAATATAGTCTGCGATGATGAGAACCCGCACCATAACAAGAGGAGCGGTGGTCTCAAAATGGGCCACACGTACTACTACTATGTAAGTCTTTTTCCTCTTCTATATATCATCCATGCTTCTCCGCCATCTCGTTCCTCATCTCGATCCTAGCGGTTGGACCGGCGAGCTATCACTCTCTTCCCATTAATAACACACGCCTTTTTATATACACTTGCTTCATCTCTTCATCCATATACTATCCACTCACTCTTGCACCTCCAAGCATACCTTTGTCTGTTACAAAGCCTAACATTGCTATTCTTCAGTACGAAGTAGACGGGTCTACTGAGACCTTTGATGCAACAATGCCTTGCACCACCATGTGCCCATATATGCCTGGCCAAACCGTCAACACTCTCTTTGTTCCCATTGAGCGCTCATCACGCTCCCGAAGTGCATCAACAAGCTCCATCCATGCAGACGACTACAGAACTATGGATCCAGCAACAAAATTTATGAAGCCGCTACCACCCACACCTCTACTACCAAGTATATACAACTGCCGAGCTCTATCTGCCCCGATTTCACGCCCTTCCTCATCGTCATCTCGCTCGCCATCTCCACCTTCATGGAAGAGATTCTTCTCACGCAAGCCGCAGACCTCTGACGGCCTACATCGCCCGTCTGCTAGCCATGGAGAATCATGCTTCGCATCCACCTTCACCATTTATGACAACGTCATTACTGTCCCCACACATGATGCTCGCCATGGCCGTACTACATCGTCGCTTAGCGAGGGTGCCAGGGCAAGATACATCTCTCCAGATTCCCTGTCCCGTATCTTACGCGAAGACCGACTTGCTCCTCGTCGTCCTAGTCACCCTGTCCAGCCACCGCCATTGATAATCCCCGACGACGTCATTGAAGAGGATGAAGACGACGAAAACTTTGCTGTTTCCGCTATATCAGAAAGCTTGCCCTATGCCACCGGCCTCTCACCGCCCCCCTTTCAACGCTCTTTGTCATCAGAGTCCATCAAGTATGATACTGAAAAAGGCAACTTTACTGCATCCATGGCCGGGCCTCCGCTTTCAGTTCGGCCACCTGCTCTCGATCGAAACCAGCCTCTATCTGCCGTGGTAAACGAGACAAAATCAGTGCCTCGCTGGTCTATCTCAGCAAAAGACAAAGTCACTGCAAGTCCTATTCATGAGGATGTTCCCATGAGCTTCTACGATGATGAGGATGACGACGACGACGTCATGTCTAGCAACGAAGACGATGTTCATTTTCCCTCTATCCCCATATCAAAAACTCAACTACACTCTTTCAAAGGCTATAGTCTACCACGTCACATTGAAGAGACGAAAGATACATTCGCCTCTCATCAGGCTTTCGCAGCTCCTATTTCCCCGAAATTGGTACCTAGCGGGTCTAATTTGTTGGATACTCATATCGAGGCAGGCCTTGATGACTTTGTCAGCGAGCTGGGCTGGATTGTCGGTACTATAGGCACGACCGATAGCCCCTAACTTGCTCAGCAGAGGATCTTCAATGCACCTTATCTGCCCGTATTTGTTTCTATCCACTTGTACACACAACATACATCACATCACCTTTACAGCGGCTAAACAGAACGCAAAACATTCTCTATTGCTTAAAATAGCTGGAGTTGTTTACACATCAATTTTCTTATAATGTTTCTTTGTACTACTCTTCTCTCGTTTTCTGGCATCTAGACTTGAAGCATACTATATACACTCGATCACCGGCATCTGAGTTACGTATATACATCTCGTTTCATATGTTTTTAACATATATGTTTATACCACCATGTACATCATCATCATCATCATCATCATCATTGACCCATTAGATTGGGTTAAAAAGCTTCAGTGAAGCTATACTCCATGGGAAATTTACAGGCGTTTAAGCGATATTTGATCAAAGGATAAACAAAAGGGAGGCAGGAATTGCGCAATGCGCAAATATTGGGATTATGCTGCGTCATGAAGGTTGACGAAAGCATTGGCATAATGTAGCAATGAGATTCTAGCTACGATTTGGAGTTAATAGCTATGGAATAAGAGCGTTGTGCTCTAAATTCAAATGAAATTCCGTTGAAGCATCGAACGTTATATTACATGAGTGATTGCAATGGCATTGTAGTGAAGTGCATTAATGTATGCCAAGTATAAGATGAGACCAATTTCATCGAATTTGAAGGCGCCCATAGGAACAGGGGCTGACTTAACAGCTCGCCATCATAGTTAGCTAGCCTTTGCTTAACATCTAAATGCGACATTTTGCTTGTAGCGACCGTTAGATTCATTTCAACATTATTTGTGAGTTTCTGTATTCTAGTAAAGTTTCACAAAGTTATTGCTATTGATATTGCTACTGCTATAAATAACACATGTTTTAGTTTGATTCTGGCGCCGCCGTTGTGGTCGGCAGTGGTAGCTCCTTCTCCACAGGCACCACTTGCGATCCACTCGTAGCCTGAGGCTGAAACTGAGGTTCAGGAGCAGGAGGAGGAACAGGAGCCGGTGTCGGTAGTTGACCAGTTGTTGTTTTTTGGACGGGGCTCTGGGAAGTTGGAGGTGGGGGTGGCGGTGTGGGAGTGGGTTGTTGTTTTTGCTGCTGCTGCTGTTGTTGTTGTGCAGCTGGTGGCGGGAGAGGAGATGATTGCGGTGGAAGAGCTGGTGGAGGAGGAGCAGCTTGCGATGGAGTAGCCTGTGCTGGAGGGACGCTGGGAGTGGCGTTTGATACTGGCGGTTGTTGCTTTTGCGGAGGAGGTGGAGGTGGAGGATTTTGAGACGGTCTGTTTGGAAGCTGTTGGGATGGTTGTTGTTGTGGAGGAGGAGGAGGTTGCGGCTGTTGAGCCCTTGCTGCTGGTTGCTGATGCTGCACATACGGCTGTTGCGGTGCTTGAAACGGCTGAGGCGCTCGCAATGGCTGCGGTGTCGCTGCTGGTCTCTGCTGCTGAGCGTGCTGCATATGCTGTACGTGATGCTGCACCTGAGGGGCTTTATGAGCTGCCGCCACCACGGCCGCCGGCGGAGCCTGATGGTGTTGCTGCACCGGCGGGGGCTGGGGCTGAGGCGGAACCGCTCGTATCTGAGCCAGCCTCTCCTTTTCCCTCTCTTCAGGGGTTTTGGTGGGAGCATTCGGATCAAGGAATCGCGCCGGCACGCCGCGAGCGGCCATCTTCTCGCTGCCCACCCAGGCGTTGAGGATTGCGCTCCAGCTGAGCTCTTTGCGGTCAAGGCGCTGCAGCTCCCGATAGGCGGCAACGTTGTGATAAGGCAGCCCGGTCTTGGGGTCTTTGTAACGGGCTGGTAGGCCAGTGATGACACAGATTGGAGCAGGGGCGGGTTCTGAAAAGCAATAATGTCAATAAGGAGACTTGGAAAAGGGGGGGGGAACATCGAGCAGAAACTTACTAGAGAGTTTGTTCATCTTACGGCCAAACAGAATTTGAGTCTGTATACTCTTATCTTGAATGGCATTCTCATCAAAATTCTGGAAGATGATGACGTTACGAGTGGTGGTCTCAGGGGCCTCAGGAACCTCGGGAGCCTCAGCCGGACCCGGGGCGGGCTGAGAAGGCGGCTCTGAAAGATTAGGGCTTGCCGATTTGCTAATTGGCTCGGGCTCAGGAATTATAGGCCGTAGGACGGTATTTATAAGGACGGGCTCCGTAGAGACAGGTGCTACACCAGCCGTCGAACCAGGAGGTTGGATCTGCATTGGAGGAGCCAATGCAGTCTGAGGTAAGGATGTGTTTGGAAGGGCGAGGATATTGGATTTTGGTGCTGGGCCGGGACGGTAGTCCATGTTCATAACGGGAGGGGGCGCGAGAACTGGAAGGGCGAGAACACCAGATGGTTTGCCAGCCTCTACAGGTCGTGGACTGCCGATGCCTGTAGGTGCCGCCAACGGAGACGTCTGGCGAGGTGATGCGGACAGCGAGGAAGATGCTGGCGCGGCTAGACCACTAGGCAGAGGTGGAGGAGATAACAATGGCGGAGGAGATAGTAAAGGCGCAGCTATTACTGGCTGGGCTGGTTGGACATCTCCAGGTGGTTTTGCGGTAGAAGTAGTAGTAGGAGAAATAGAGTCATCACGAGGGACAGCAAGTGGCCCAGTGGCAGAAGAAGAGGTAGCAGTGCCAGTGTCAGTGCCAGCAGCAGTATCGGGAGCAGTAGTTGGAGGAGGAGGGGGAACGGCAGCACTAGGAGACTGTGATGATGGCGGTGGTGCGATTGGAGCTGACTTCAAAGGCTCTATCATCTCGTCATCCTCCTGTTTGAGAGGAGGTGCTGCGTCCGACGTCTTGATCTCACCAGCTCCTGATGTCGGTGTCGGTGTCGATGTCGGTGCTGTTGCTGGTGCTGGTGCTGGTGCTGGTGCTGGTGCTGGTTCTTCCTTTGATTGCGGTTCGACGGCATCAGGCTTCGGCACAGCAGTAGTATTTTCACTGCTAGCTACCACCTTAATGGATGCATCCGTCTGTTGTACGCCTTCTTGAGGAGCAACATTCTCTTTCCCATCCTTGTCTGCCGTCACAGGAACAGCATCCTCCTTCACAGCCTCAGCAGCCTTGCCCTTGTCCTTGTCCTTCTTGTCCACCCTCTTCCTCTTCGGCTTCTCCTCCTCAATGACAACCCGTCTCGCTTCGCCCAGGCCCGTCCAAAAGGTGATGACCGGACCCTTCAGCGTCCTCTGATTCAGAGCCGCCAGCTTCGCTCGCCGTTCCTCTTCCCTCTGCTTCTCTGCCACCTCCCAGCGATTCAAGCTCTTGCTGTTGCGCTTCTCCACGATGGCCGCCTCTCGCAACCGGTCTTCCTGCGTCATGGGAGGTTTCTTAAGCGCCTCCATCCGGGCCGCCTTCTTTTGCATCTGCTCCAGCTGCTTCAACCGCCGCTCCTCTCGCTCAATCATCTGCTGGTGGAGCTGCTCTTTCGACATGCGCGTCGTCTTTCGGGACGAGGCCCGAGTGGGCAGATCCGCCGGCGAGGGCAGCCACGACGTGCGCTCAGACTTCTTTTTAGGACGAGGCGCAGGAGCCGGCGTCGACGACTCTGACGCTGCCGGGTTGATGCGGACTTTCTTCCGAAACTTGGCCGGTATGGCATCTTGAGCCTTTCGCTTGCGCTGAGCAGCGCGCCGCTCTCGGGCCTGTCGCTCCAGCTCCTGCTCGCCCTCGAGCTCGTCGCCCGCATTATTCTCGCCCTCGTCGTCGGATGACGAGTCCATCTGCATGTCGGAAGCATCGTCGCCGGCATCCGTGAAGCCCTGGTCGTCCTCGTCTTCGGCAAATAAAAGCTCCAGGTCGGAATCCGGCTCTTCGTTGGCCAGCATCGACTTCATGCGATTGCCCGCCGTGGACCGGCGGGACCGCGAAGTGGCGAGCCATTCCACGGGCTCTGGCTCTCGCCCCGGCCCTGGTTTCGACGATGAATCTCCGGCTTCGCTGTCGCTGCTGTCGGAGCTGCTGTCCAGGTCGCTGAGGGGAGGTGGCGCCGACAGCTGCGACTCGGACTGCTGCCTCGATTCCGAGTCCATTGTCGACATTGTGGCTGGAGAAGGAAAGAAAAAAGAGAAAATTGATTCGGAGCGGATTCTGCCGCTGGAAAGCACTAAAGAGCGCTAGGCGGTGGCAGCTACATCGGAGTTTTGAGCGTCGTGAAGAGCTAAGGTGGGAGTTTTAGAGTGGGAGGGAGAGAGCAGAGACGCGTTTTTTGCGGTTGGGACACCAAAAATGCAGATTTCACTTGCGCTGACATCACAGCCCACTTTGGGAAAGCTGCACAAGTACCGGTACCTCGGGTACGACTTGAATTGCCACATATCACCTAGTATTGATACTTATGAATTTACAACCACCTACATCGCCTTATATAGCCTCAATGCTCTACACAGATCAATTACTACTACTCCTTGTATCAACCATGGGAATTTAAATGGAGCAAATACGCTTTGAGAAAAAAGAAGAATCGAGAAACACACAAAGTTCAATTCCTGTATGTATATCTTAATATGTTGCCTATGAATCGTAATCGCTACCCAATGTCTGCCCGCTTCAAACACAAAAATCATTCCACCAATCTTGGGAGTAGTCTATTAAACAAGAAGGGGTTACCCAACGCCATAAAAATTAAAAAGCATGACTCATCCTTCTATCATGTGGGAACCGCCGTTGGAGCCCCTGTAATGGCTGGTGCGGTGCCTCCGGCAGAAGGCTTGAGGCTGGTGGATGTCACCACATCGTTGCATCCCCAGAATCTGCCAGGAGTCTCGCATGTTGTCGAGGTGGGGGGAATGGTCGTAAACAGAGAGCTCGTGGTAGGCTCGTCATTGCAGCCCCAGAATCTTCCTGGGGTTTCACAAGTTGTGGTAATGGAAGACGCACTGGCGGTCTCCTTCGTTGTCGTCGTCGTCGTCGTCGTCGTCGTCGTCTTATCTTTGCATCCAAACCAGCCAGGCGTCTTACAGGTAGAAGTAGTAGTAGTAGGCGCCGGTACAGGCGTAGTCACATCGCCTGTAGTTGTCTGATCCAAGCAGCCCCACCAGCCAGGTGTCTGGCATGTCGAGGTGCGTGTCCGTGTTCGGGAAGTGGTCGTAGGAACGGCAGACGTGGTGGACTCGGTGCCATTGCTTTCATACATTTTCCAAGGGCCACAGTCTCTGCATTCAGGCGTACGGACACATTTGGGTACTTCATCGTACTTGAGGATAACGTCCTGGATAACAGATCGGATCTTGTGAGTGCCAATTCCCACTCGCCACCCCTTGTCAGCCACAACGTCATAGACACACTCATATCCAGTGTGACAAGACGATTCCATAGCGTAGCCAGCGAAGGAGCAGGTAGCAGCTGCTCCATTGCATGTGCCGATGTACACCGGGTCTGCGGTATGGCCAAAGTGATATGTTCCTGTGTAGCCTCGGGTTTGTGGGGTATCGGGATTAGCTCCAGGAGGGACAGGGAGACCCAGTCGAGAAGCCGGGAGTGCTTCTGGAACAGCTTCGAAAGTCACGGCGGGCACGCCGTAAGTAAGGGCCAGGAAAGAGGAAACAGCACCTCCGAGAGAATGGCCTGCTAGCCAGATGTTTGAGTCCGGATATTGCTCAGTGACATTGGAGTAGAGCTCGCGAGCCGCAGCATAGTAACGATTCTCCTCAACGAGAGCCGTCCTGACACACGTATTGTTACAGGCATAAGTGCCTGTAGCGCAGTCGCAGACCTGGTGCCACGTCCATTGCCCCTGTTGAGCGCAGCAGCAACTGAAGAACAAGTTATCATTAACCTTGTCGTTGGTTGTTGTGCCATCTCCGTCAAAGACAGCGGGCGACGTCCCCTTGAGGCCGATGATGACGGTGGAATTGGTTTTGTCGGCCCAGATATGGCCACGCAGGCCATCCGACTCCCAACCAAAATCGAGACTTCGGTTAAAAGGGGTCCCGATGTCTAGCCAGTCCGCCATTCCCTCTTTTTCTACATAGGCATCAGCGGCGACGTATGCCATGGTCAAGACTGTGTTTTTATCTGTAATGTCGGGGGATGAGACCTCATCCATTGTCCATGCCGAGGCGTCCAAGACGGCTGCATAGCCCTGCATGCGAGATTCAGCGACTATAGGGTCGACAACAGACGGACGTCTGTCGGCCAGCCGCTGGATCGTCTCGGCACGGCTCTTGGCCTTGAGACGTGGCACGGTATGTTCATCGAATCCATCGCCCGCGGCAAGGAATACTCGGGACTGGTCGTTGACGACATCCAGCTTCCTGTGAAGCTTCGGGTTTCTGTTGGTACCATGATGGAAGATATGTCGGAGCGTGAAGGTGTGTTCTGCAGGCTTTGGAGTGTCGGGATGCGAAGGGAGAAGAGGCCCAGGGCCAGCAGGAATCAGGACGTGCTGGTCGAGGCCGACATCACCGCCGATGACTGTGGCAGCGCCCGGGGAGATGGCAAAAGCCGATGCCAGCAGCAGCGCGGCGGTGACCCGGCCAGCACGACCGCCTCGGGATCTAGACGATACCATGGGGCGAATCTAGGCGTAGGACAGCGACTCAGAGATGGGCTATACCATCTACAGGGAGGGCGAGATCATGAGAGCGTTCGTCCACTGATGGCGGTAGATATAGCAAATAAATGCAGATGCAGATGAAGGTGATAAGCGGTTGGGGGGAAGAGGAAGAAGGGGTCTGTCAGGTGATGGATTGGTGTTGTCACGGAGTAGCATCACTGCGCACGCGCCAGATGACTGACGTTATCCTTATCGACGCCGGGATGCACTGTGTGTGCTACTGCGGCGCGGCACTATGAAGACGTCCGCAACAAGCCTGATTAGCTCGATGATGCGGTAAAGTATATCTTGCAGCGGTATCTGCAGCAAGGGTACATCCCACGGCGATGAGATCTAGCGCATCTCGCTAGTGGCGACCCTGTCTAGGCCTGGCTCGTGGGGAATGCCCAACAAATAGCGGATCTGCACCGTGCAGGATAAAGCCGGGTTACTGTGCTGGCCGCGGTCTGAAACTCCTTTCGCCGGCATTTGGACTTCTTCCAGGCCCGATTCTCTCTCATCAACCAGCCGATATCAGCCTCCTCCGCATCCCTCCAATGGCGTGGCTCTCCCGTCCTCTGACCCTTGTCGGTCTGGTGCTTCTTGCTCATGGGTAAGATATGTTCGTTTCATTTTTCATCTTCTTTGTGCATGATTATCGAAGAAAAACAAAATACTGAACCACAATGACGATGATGCCAGATGTTACTCTGCACATGAGCACACAGTCCTCTCGTCGACGTCAGCGCAGCATTCCACATCACCCTCCACAGCTGCGCTGCCGCTAGACATTTACATCGAAACCGCCGTGGCAACATTCTTACTTTGCGTGGGACTCGTGCTGGGATCAGGGACACTGAAGCCGATTGAATGGCACACTTGGGCGGGCAAGATTGAGCGAGAGGCTGATCGATCGTTGAGTGGGAGTGGCGATGCAGACGATGCAACTGGTAATCCGTTCAGCGCCCTGGAGGCCCGGAGCGGGTTCATCAACATTCACAAACTTCATGGAGATTTTGTCAAGTACAGTCAGCAGCTCGGGAAATAGGCGTCAACCATAATCATAATCATAATAATGACAAGGCAGTAAAAATAGTGAAGCGCTGCTTGGCTTGGCCGAGGGGCAACCGGAGCTGGATTCCGTGCGTATCTGTAGCCTTTGTAGGCATGTGTGATGTAAATGACAAGGTGGTGTTTTCTTGTTGTGCCATTTCGTCCATTTAATACCACGGTTTGACTCTTCTCCCGCTAACATGAGATGAGTTTACTGGAAGCTATACTGAAGCTTCGTCTCAACATGGTTTGAAGCTCAGCCTTCTGCTGCATGCGCCACAGTGTGGCTGCACGGGCCACCTAACCCGCTGCAAGGCGTAAAGCGGTGGCGCGTCTCTGCGCGCTGCAGTCGCGCCGAAGCTCTCAAATTTAATCCATTAAACCAGCCTCACTTTGCTCAACGCCACACAAGCTCAGATTTTGGAAGCCATCACGCCGGCATCAGTTATTTCGCATCACTTTGGGCGGCCAGAATGACGGCAATGTGAGTATCTTGCAACTTCCACCGTCTCTTCACTCTGCATAGTTTTCTCTTCTCTTCTCTTCTCTTCCCTTCAGCCCCCCACCTTGTCTCTGCTTGGTCTAGAGAGAGACGCAGCGTTGTGGTGTTTGCCCTCAGTCTCTTCACGGCCGCCAATCTTCCTCATCACGCCAAATTTTGTATAACCCTGTATACTAATCGCATCCTCGTCTACGCAGCGAGAGTTTCGACAGCATCTACCTTGACCTCTCCAAGGAGAGCGGCAAGTGCAGATTCGCAGAGACCGGTTTTGGATGGAAACCCGCCGGCGGCGGTGACACCTTCACCCTCGACCACAGTAACATTGGTAGCGCCCAATGGAGCCGCGCCGCCAGGGGATACGAGATCCGAATCCTACAGCGTAACTCGGGCATCATCCAGCTCGACGGATTCCAACAAGAAGACTACGAACGCCTGAGCAAGATCTTCAAGAACTGGTACAGCACCGCGCTGGAGAGCAAGGAGCATGCGCTGCGAGGATGGAACTGGGGCAAGGCCGAGTTCTCCAAATCCGAGATCACCTTCAACGTCCAGAATCGCCCCGCCTTTGAGCTGCCCTACTCTGAGATTGGAAACACAAACTTGGCGGGTCGAAATGAAGTTGCCGTGGAGCTTTCCCTACCCCTCAATGCCAACGACACTGGCACCAACGGTCAGCTGGGCGGTGCTCGGGGCAAGGGCAAGAAAGCCGGTGCAGGCAAAGATCAACTCGTCGAAATGCGATTCTATATTCCTGGAGTAACGACAAAGAAGGAGACCGAGGGTGAGGACGCCGGTAGCGACGGTGGTGAGGAGGAGGAAAAGAATGCTGCTACTCTCTTCTACGAGACTCTTATTGAGAAGGCAGAGATTGGCGAGACTGCTGGCGATACTATCGCCACCTTCCTCGACGTTCTGCATCTCACTCCCAGGTACACATTTACCCCCTTCAAACTCCTGTTCCTTCTAGCGCTCTTTTCTGACACACTCCCAGAGGTCGTTTTGATATCGACATGTACGAAGCGTCGTTCAGACTCCGTGGAAAGACATACGACTACAAAATCCAATACGAAGCAGTCAAGAAGTTTATGGTCCTGCCTAAGCCTGACGAGATGCACTGCCTGCTCTGCATTGGCTTAGATCCCCCTCTGCGCCAGGGTCAGACGAGATATCCCTTTGTCGTCATGCAGTTCAAGAAGGACGAGGAGGTTACCATTGACCTGAACATTGACGAGGCAGAGCTGGAGAGCAAATACAAGGACAAGCTCGAGCCCCATTACGAGGAGCCCTTACATCACGTTGTTGCCAAGATGTTCCGAGGTCTAGGCAACAAGAAGATTTCTTCACCTGCGAAGGATTTCCTTACGTACGTACCGGCACTGCTGTTCAATATTGCTTAAAAGAATTTCATATACTAACCACTCTTTTTTTTTTTTTGTATAGTCACCGCAACCAATACGGCATCAAATGCTCTATCAAGGCAAGCGAAGGTTTCCTGTACTGCTTAGAAAAGGCGTTTATGTTCGTCCCGAAGCCAGCGACGTACATCGCCTACGAGCAGACACAATCCGTTACTTTCTCCCGCGTTAGCGGCGCGGTCTCTGCCCTATCCACATTCGACATTACCGTTGTTATGAAGAACGGCGCCGGGTCATCGCAGTTTAGCAACATTAATCGTGAGGATCTCAAGGCCCTGGAATCCTTCTTCAAGCTCAAGGGTCTACGTGTTAAGAATGAGATTGACGAGGACGCCAACCTTCTTGCTGCTGCCCTTCGCGAGGAGGCCATGGATGACTCTGATGACGAAGTGGTTGTCAACAAGGCAGACCGCGGATCCGCAGACGAAGATGAAGAGAGCGTGGACGAAGATTTCCAGGCTGACAGTGACAGCGATGTTGCGGAGGAGTACGACAGCAATCACGAGAGCTCCGGCTCTGGAAGTGCTGAGAGCGACGTCGATGACGATGAGGATGATGACGAAGAAATGGAAGACGTTGATGACGAACCGCCCAAGAAGAAGTCAAAGACGGGCAAGAAATAAATTTAAGACCCAAGTCAGGGCCATCTCTTCTATCAAGCATGACTCTTAATTTAATATCTCTGAACCATATCGATTTCGAAGCAACTAAACAAAAAAATGAAGACCCAAAAAAAGGAGGGGGCCAAACGAAAGGAAAGAACGAAAAAATGACTTCAAGGAATGGCGTTTTTTGGAGGCGTGTGTGAGTTGTATGTGGCTTTATACAAAGGGAAACCTGGGAATCTTATTTCCGTATTTTTTTTATTGAACGCTGGTTGGGTTTTGCGAAGATGGTGACAACTCCGTATTATTACGTAGCTTATATGATTATTGGCTATTTCACTACCTAAACATATATGATGGATCTTCTGTATGTTCTTTTGGAGTTGCTCTAACAAAACTGTAGATTCATCGGAATGCCATTGGAGTTGACAGCCTTTCGTGGGTTGCAATAGCACATACACAAGTACAACATCTTATTAGACCAAAGTAACCAAAGCAACCACAAGTAATACATCACATCACATTCCAGATTAACCTAGTATTTTCCGTTTTATGTTTCTCGTTTTTTTATTTTTCTTTATAATACAAAGTACCCTTCTATTCAATAAAAAGCTACACACAGCGTTGTGCCCGGAACAAGCCAAAACAATACAATAAGCAAAGTAGCCGTGCGCACTTCTTTATTACCCTTTGACAAACAAACAACGGATTTTATACACAGAAACCCAGGTTGTTGTTTTTTTCCTAACAGTACCAGATCTGATTCCAAACACACAAGACAAAAGAAAAAAAAGCTCGAGACGAGGACCAAGGCGAGATAGCAAAGGGGGGAAAAACAAGAAAAAAGAAAACTCCTTCTAAGCCCGGTTCATAAAATCCCAACAAATCCGTCATAAAATCCCCAAATTTCTATCCTAGAAATCCGATTCCGACCCTCCAAGACAAGAGAGAGCAAGATATGTGTGTATATATAGGCCACCACATCAGGTATATATATGTTCTCTGCCAATTTCTATTTTATATTCTTTTTCAGGCAGTTTTTGCTTTTCTCTCTCCTCTTTTGTCGCCATCAATTCTAGGAAATCCCCGTGTGGGCAAGTAGAGGCCATGACGCGCCTCTAATAATCTATACAGTAGAAACAAATAACTCCTTTAACGATAGGTAAGAATCACACAGGATCCCACGCGATTTTGTGTGGCGCGGTGATTGCGCCCCAACATTCGTTTGAGCGCGCAGATCCCCCCCAAAAAAAACTTGATAAGGAAATAATGAAAAGATAGGTGTACATCGCTAATGATGCATGGAAATCGAACAGCGCATGCTTGCAAAAATGATTGCTCAAAAGGATAGCTGGCTTCGATTCTGGTTTGGATATGGTGTATGTAGGAGTATGTTGGTGTGAGATATGTAGGTGTGTATGAGGTGTTTTGATCTTCGCATTTTCTTTTTCTTTTTTCTTTTTCTTTTTTTAGATGCGGTCACCAGTTGGCTTGATGTAAGATCGAGGGAACAAGGCATACTGTCCAACAGGTGGTGCCTGGCTGCTCAGACTAGCAGTCCTGGATCGAGAGCGACGTTTCTGGCTCGAGGATGGGTCCTCATGAATGATCGACTCACTAGCATGAGATTTGTGAGATGATTTCCTGGATGGAGCCAGAGGAAATGAGATGAGCTCAGGGACAGTATCTTGCGGGCTGGTCATATCCCCCTCCGCCTCAGCGTCAACAGGTGCTGGCACTTCAGCCTGAGCCACAGGCAGAGGCTCCGCGCATTCGGTCCAAGACCCAGTCATCTTGTGCACAGATCCGCTGCTGCTGGCGGTATTACGAGTGTAAAACGACCAAGTAGAGTTGGTAGAGATGTGGCGATCGGCAGTCGTATCAGAGTAAGTGGAGACAGTCCCGGTAGTAGAAGTGCTCGCTCGCTGCTGTGACCACTGAACGGGCTTGCTGTTTTCATCATAGAAAGCAGTCTGCTGGTAAGGAAGCGCCAGGTCATCCTCTCCGGGATACTCTTGTCTGGCACCCTCTTCGAGCAGCATCTGCTGATGGAAATCGCCAGGGATAAGCAGCGACGGTGACAGAGTAAAGCCATGAGACTCCTTGAAGCTCGAAGCGTGTGAAGCACGGAACTTCTTCTTGTCAAAGATGGGAAGAGAGAAGTTGTTGGCGACGGGTGCAGTCAAGACTGGAGTAATAGCCTCCTGGACAGTGGGCGTCGACGTCTGGCTGATTGGGCTCAGACCCGGGCCTTCAAACGTGGCCACGGAAAGCATACCGGGAGATGACCTTGCTGTTCCGATGGGCACACTAGTCTCCTCGGGAGGAAAACTAACCTCTACTGGAAGAGTGTCGCTATCACGAGCAGTGTCCATCGAGTCACGATCCCATTGGTAATCACAGTCGGCTTCCGCTTCGTGCTCATAACAATAGTCGATGTCGTCCTCCCAGCTCTCTTCGATGATTCCAAATTGGAATCCAAGCTTCTCCGATGACTCTACAACTGCATGTTGTGGCACAGACGCCATGTGGAGGTTGCCGAGAGTATCCGACGCATTGCTCGCCGGACGATGAGACCTGCGCAGCATGGGGACGGATTGACTACCACGGATAGACCGTCTAGCTGCTGCAGCATTCTCTTCCTCTTCAGGCACGTCAGCAAGCGGAGTCTCGTATGTTGCCAACGTAGGGCTGGCAAGGGGCCAAGAGGGCTCGGTGGGCGAGGGCTGGATTGGCGAGAGCTTTGTGCTGTAAGCATGATACTCTTCTCGACTAGTCATAAGCGGCGCAGCGTAAAGAGGCCCAATGGGCGGGACTGGCTCGACTGAATCATCGGGGTTGAACGGCTGCGGGTGGCGAAAACCTCCACTGGTTTTTGGTCGTTCAATGACGACGGGGGGTTGCTCGTCAACGTCTTCGTATTCCTCTTGGAGGCTAGGGCTCCGAGATGGCGAGACGGGGGAGCCTGATTGAGGCGCAGTAGGGTTTATGGGAGATCTGGGCGGTCTCGGTGGCGGTGACATGGAAGGAGTGCTTCCTCGCAGCTGATCCTGTGATCGGATTCGTCTCATCAATCGACGAGATGCGTTGGGCGCAACGGCCTGGCTCTGGCGATTCAAGGCTGCGGGTCGTGAAAAGAAAGCGCCAGAATCGTTGTAAGCGTCGGGATGAAATAGAAGAGCAGACCCCTCGGCTTGGTTGGCAGCACTGGGAACGTTGGTTGGGCCGGTTGCCCGCATCGTCAGTTGCTCGGGTCCCTCCTGCGCTTGGGCAACACTATCGCGATGCGTGTGAGTGACATGTTGAAAATTGTAAGGACCTGAGATATTCAGCTTTCTCTGGGCAGCTCCTGTGTCGTCCCGAGAGGCTCGTCGGCGAGTGAGAGCTTGTATAAATGATTCTTTGTGGCTAGTGGAGGCAAGGGCACTGTCCGCTGGCACCTCGGCGGAATACATGGAGCTGGCGGAGGAAGAGTTGGCGCTGCTCTCGCGCTTAGATCTCGCTCGTCGATGAAACGGGTTCTTGCCGAAGCCATAGACGCTGTCCGAGCGCTCTTTAGAATGGGCGCTGCTGCCGGTGGACTTGACTGAAGAGCGCCTACCGAGCGACAGATTCTCCAAGGTCTGCTCCCACCCTGGGCTCTCACCGTTGGCGGCTACAGACGCCGACGCGGCAGTGCGGTGTCCATTCTGGCGCCGCAGCTGGGAGGCTCGCCTCATCTGCGAGTTCAGCTGCCGTATCCTGCCTGGGGACGGTGGCCTGTCCATGGCAGGCTCGAAAAAGTCGGCGGCACTCATAGGAGACATTGGGGAAGATGGTTGGTTGAGATTAGGAGAAGAAGGAGCCGTCGACGACTTATTCAAGTACCGGATGGAAGTCGTCTGAGGCCTGGCCCTGGGAACCTGCTGCGGCGCCGGGTGGCCAGAATTGAAGGCTATGGCATTCATGCTCCACATCGCGAGTCAAGGGCTGGGGAGGGCGACGATAGACCATGCCCTCTGGGGATCTGCGGCGAGACTGACTGATCCAGGGTGAAGAAAGGCGATGGGGCCTCTTTTTTTTCCTGCTCTGTGCTTTTTTTGCTCGTGGGCTCCGCTATTCGTATGAGTACATGTAAGGATATAGCGCTCTGTGCTCCATATAAGAGTATGAAGAAGAGGGCAGGGGAAACGAGTGGTGAACGCAATCGACAGTTCGGCCAGGGCGAAAACGTGGAGTGGATATACTCAGCGCAAGGCGCGAGAGCAGTGGTCCTGGTATATATTATATCTGGATGACGGAGCTGAGCTGAGCTGAGCCAGAGAGCACGAGAGGGCTTTCAATCCAGGACCCTGGAAAGAGACGTCGACCAAAAATTCCCAAATTTGGGGGCTATCCTTGACCCCAGCTCAGTCAGGAGATTGGACCGCGGAACCTCTTGAGCTTGAGGGTGGGCTAGGTAGCGTCGTCGACCGGGGGGGGCGCCGATGGAGACGATGGTGCTGGGGAATTGCTCCCTGTTGGTTTCTTGGCCGACAAGGTCCGGGACCCCTGGACGCGCCCAGGATGCTGCATGCTGCCGAGTGCTGGGATAGTTTAGCACCTTGTCTATATGTATGCAGGCCGACGGGACCGGTGAATGCAGGCAAAGGTGCACGAACCCAGCTCGGAGTGCGGAAGGGAAGCTTGCGAGGCCCGGGTCGTATTAACAGGCGTGAGCCCGTGTATCCTACGAGCACGGTGCAGCTCTGTGTGACGGACAAGGCTTGGCTGCAAGCATGCAACAGCAATTGGGCCTGATGCAACCTGCAGCTCGTACGGCATACTGCAATGCCTGGGCTGCAGGAACGCGCGCGCTCCGAAGCTGCGATGAGTAATAGTGCGATGCTGTGCTCCTGTGACACTGCTTCTGCGTCTTTGGATCGCGAGATGAGCGAGGACCGCTCGCGTATGTAGGCGTGGAATCGCACGGAGTACTCCGAGCTCCTGATAATAACACTTGGGCGCTGGGATGGATGTTCTGCGGTGCTTCTAGAAGGCGAGCCAGGCCGTTGTGCCGGTTGCGTCTGAGACAGCGCGGCGTGATGGACGGCGTGTCTCGTTTGGTTTGGCTGCACGGCGCTACAGCTGGCGATGAGGGTTGGGTTGCGAAGATCCCACGATAATTTGGCTAAAAGCGCGATCGATGATTGAGGCCAGGAGGTGGATACAGGCAGATTAGTTGACATGAGCGGTACGTAACAGCACTACGCCAGTTACTGTACTGGCACGAAGCACTAAAGATTGGTGGCACTAGCCAGAAGCAATGCGCACGGGAGGATTCCGTGCCTGGCGTGGTAAGAGCAGCTTGCTAGCGTGCGCCAAGGTGCCAGGCACGGGCGACGACTTGGCGCTTGTACCTGTACTAGAGCCCGCTAGCCTGCAGCCACTGCGGTCACTGTCCAAAGACGTGTTCTATTCAGGGAGCGCTTGTACTGCTACAGCGACCGTACAGCACAGTGCTCTGCTAGCACAGAGCAGCAGCGAGACGGGAAAGAACACGAATCCTTCTCTCTGGTCCTGCCCACACGTCGGAGAGGCCAGAGGGCAAGGATCTGCGCACACCCCGTGGCTGGTCGCAGCAAAGGTCCAATCCGCAGCGTCGGGTCGGCGCTCTGAGCAAGCTCTTGCCCTGGGCCAGAAGGATTCCAGTAGTGCAAATTGCCATGCGGTGCTGTGCCTGTCGTTAATGTTATTACTACCTACTAAGGGCCCTTGGCTTAGGTTGCATTCTCACTCTATTATTTGAGCTCTTCCTAGGATAGCATTATTGCGGCACGCCAATATACTTGTACGCAAGTGATTGTGGTACAGTACGTACTTGAGCCTCTGCAAGGTACACACATACTGCATATAGTACCTCTGGTACCTCTATGATACCAGCATTACATGCAAAACCCAAGACCTGGGCCTGGACTTTCTACTGCTATTCTTGTCTGCTCCATATGTCTGTAACTACGGGGTATAGCACTTTATCACTTCCATACCACATATCATTGGCCTTGGTAAAGAGGTTGCAAACTGCACAGACTAATGTTTTGCTGAAGACTGCTAAACAATTTTAGCGCTTGTTTTGTTAGTGTAAGGCACGGCTTAGTACCTCCGCTGGCACAAGCCCAGGCTTCGCACATCTAATCCCAGGTAGCGCAAGTAGCTGTACTTGCAGAGTATCGGCGATATGCGGTCGTGCCTTCCCCTCACACCTTCACAGCCTGCATATGCAGGAACGAGAATTGATGTTGGTTCTTTCGCTGAAGATGATTTTTATTCGCTCAGCCTCCACACCGCGGTGATCCATCCCAGACTGAGCATGGCAGGCCGAAAATGAACCGCATTCACAGCATCGCGTCAATGGCAAACTCGGATACAGACCTGCCATCCGCTGCATTCGAGCGACGTGCCGCACAGGTGAGTACGAAGTGTTTGGGCCCAGTGCGGTTCACGGCGATAACGCATCAAGCAGCAGCTTGGGGATGGCGACAGCGAGCCAGTGTTTATTTTAGCAGCACTAGCTCTCATTGGGCCTTTGAATCGGCACTGGCCAGAAACAACAAACATCAGTGGGGGCGACGCGACAAAACTCGCTCGAGATTGCACGCCAGGGAATCCCTTCCATCGCCAGGTCCTGCCCTGCGGTAATCCAGAGAAACGAAGCAAGGCGACGAGAAACAAGGGCTCCATCGCTGTACGAGTGCCGCTAGTTCTCCTCCCCGCCAAAATGCTCTTGATCAGCAGGGATTGGCTTCCGGGCCGGCCAGCAGTCGTGAAACGTCTGGCTCGGGGACCTAGTCCGCTCCTGGGACACAAACAGGCCCCCCAAGCCAGGCCTTGCTTCAACGAGGTTGGGCAGCTTTACGAAGCGTCCATGATGAGCAGTCGTGAGGTCGAAATGGGAAAGACAATTTGAGCTGTCGATTGTGATCGCTGCTCGGGAAAAGCTGCGACAAACTCCCTCCCTTGTCCCATTTGGAGCGGTGGATGGCTTCCCAATTGCGGCCCAATTGCTACTCGGGAGGCCATAACTCAGCTCCGAGCTTCACGAGCTTTTATCTTGCTTCTTCCATTTGGACTTTTGAATTTTGTGAGGGGTTTTCCACTAGGCCGCTGCATGTCCATATCGAATTGCATCGCACAACTGTTAGCGTTCGTGCCATGCAGACTCGAGCATGCAACGTACCGGAGCCATGAAGCCAAGATGGTCAGTGGCCCGTTCATACATGAGGGATGGGGCCTTCCGAGCCATTCTCCATGCGTGCAGCAGGCCCATCGTGGTGAAGCACTCAGGGATCCCCCCAGCGAAGCTCCGCTCGTGCTAAACAGTCCCAAGAAGACGGATACCTACGACAGCGCCTGTATCTGCGGCAAGCATGTGGCCGCTGTCCGATGCCTGCGCAAGCTCACGGCGCGACTCAGCCCGTGTCCATGCCTTGTGCGATACCATATTTGCTTTGTGGCTGCTGCATGTAAGCTGAAAGTTTCTGACAATACGAACATGCGTGCATTCGAACGCTAGCAGCATCGATACCAACGCACACGAAGTGCCTACTTGGCTCCCTCCTCGGCTTCTCACTTTACTGCAAGCCCAATTGACTGCCTGTACATGTGAAGAACGAGGATTCCAAGTATGGCGGGTAGCACAGAAGGCAACCCTTGCTCGAGGTAAGCTCCTTCAGCGAAAATCGCTTCTCAGGCTCTGCAGATCCCTGCCATTAACAGTGCCGCCGGCGTACAGCACGGAGTTCTAGCACCACCACTACTTTATAGCAGGCGTGCTACTGGCTGTATCATTTTGTAATTTCCACGTATCTCGTCGCTTATCTTCCCATTTCAACCAGACTTTATTCAAGTCAATCTCCCCGGGTATCGGCCGTCAGGATTCTGCCTACAGCGCGGAGGCTTCAGCAATCAGCCTGTTTACGATTATGATTGCCATGAGCCCCGTCCTCCCCATGATTCTCCGGCTCCCCAAGTCATCGGCCAAATTTCCGCCCCAAATGATTCCTGCAGGTTCCCCGACCCAACAGCACTGAAGGACATTGGCAGACACACAGTGTCCACCATCAGAGGAACTTCTGTCCTTCTCATTACAGTCACTCATATTCGCGTCCAACTCACAGCTCATCCAATGGCCATCTAACGGCTGGCCGTTGGCTTCATAGTGGTGACGACTAACACCGCGCTGTAGGGGTCCGTCGGATCCAGCTCTTGTTTCTCGCTTCTTTTCTGTTTCGCAGATAGCCGGGGGGGCTGAAGGGAGTCCAAACACAGAGCCGCGAGAATCGTCCAGCTTTGTAACCAGATCGTGCAACTTTATTGCCAAATCGTGCTACTCTGTAACTGAGCTTGTGCTCTCGCGACGCAGCCGAAGGGGGAGGGGTCTCTTCACCCCGGACAGCCGCGATTGGGTTGTTTCATTTAATTGTTTTATGGTTCGCTGATTTTAGTGTCCAAACAGAGACTCGTCGGCCAGGTAAAGCTCCTGCGGAAATCCCAACGAGCAATACCATTGGCGCATATTCAATCCCCATTATCGCGACTATGCCGTTCTGCGTAAGTGAAGGTAAAAAGGTCATTTTAATTTTCATTTTAGCTAAAATAGAGGCAGGAAATCCAGTAAACACAAACAAAACCGTTGTGCCAAGCTATGGAACTCTCGCTGTATTGGCCAACCCCTCCATCCCTTGCTTCAGGGCACGCAGCCTTTTTCCTATTCTGGCATGTAAGACGAGGACGCCAAAAAAAAAAAAAAAAAAAATCATGCCTTGCATCAAGCAGCGTCTCTTGTATGGAGAAACCGAAAAAGAAAATACAGCAGAATTTTCATCGAACAATCATCACGTTATTGTGATACGGATTTGGAAAACACTGGGGTCAGCCTCAGAGAAAGGAAATTTTCCTCTTTCTCGTTCCCCGTTTGTCTCACAGATCAGCAGATGGAGCGTGCTTAGTGTATCATCTTTGTCTTTTTTTATCCATTCTCTGTGTGTTTTGAGCATGAACTGGCAAGGATCGGTGCAAGTAGCAAGCGTTTGGACTTCCATTTTCATCTTTGCTACCGCCGCGCGCTTGCGATTCCTCTCGTGGCCTTATCGCGATAAACCGGGGCTGGTGGGTTTCGGATTTCTCGCTATACTAGCGATATTCATGCATGCACACAAAGTCGCTGCCTTATGCATGCAAAGGCGTGGATTCTGTGGTAGCGAGCACTCTAGACTGGTCTATTTGCGCCTGTTTCTTCTCAATCTAGACTCTGCGTTCTGAGATCGTCGTGGTGTCCTCTTTCGCTGTGCGCGGACGAAAGGACTGTCTGAGCTGTTTACAATAATAGCCTTACCTTACCACTTTTGTTATATTGTATGTTGCAGCATAAACCGCTCACGACTAGTCTCGCAGTAGTATGCGGTGGACATGCGGCAAGCACTGAATTAGTATATTTATTCATGAGCGAATGGATTCTTGGCCTAGTCTTACAACGCTATTGGTTTGAAAAAGCCCAAGGACATGAAATGGTCTCTCGCTGGTGGCTAATTATAAACTACCCTACAACGGCAGAAAAGCGCAGCGGTAAGACGAGAGCTCATAAACGTAGTGACGTGATAACTAGAGACTTTCAAAAAGAAAATTGCCGTAACTGGGAATATGAAACCCGGCGCTTCAAATTCCGCTGTATACATAATACCATGTAACGTATTATTGAGCTTACAGTGGCCGTGATCACACAATACCGTATCTGCATATTCACCAAACAGAGCCACTTTCCGGATTAGGAAGAAGCAGATCCTGAGCCCTCTTCCTTTCCAAATCGCGGATCAGCGGATCGGCATCATTACGGATCATATATCTGCGTCTACCCTCCCAATCTTGCCTCTAGATGACATGATACGGCAATGTCTCCAATCCATTGCGAATTATCTATCCAACGCCTGCTTCGCCAATCCTTGTAAAGTTTACCATATCTACGGCTTCCGTAATGGGAAGAGAATCTAGACAGTCCAATCCGGCTTGTAGATTTCAATGTCCAAAATCGGTAGCTATTCCAGGAGAATGTACGGCAAACGGCGGTTATATTGCCAATGTTGACCTCGAGGAATCGTTAACTTGGACTCTGATGTTATTACCATACATTGGGACTAGCATAAAGGCACAAACATCATTTCCACGGGCTCAACTAGACATCCTGTTTGCCAGAAGGTTTAATAGTCTAGCATATATCCATCTCTTTACGAAGTTGGGAAAGCTCGAGCGTGCTATAGATTGGCTCTTGACGTCTGAGAGTACACCGCCATAGCCTCAGTCCAGGCGTCGCGAACGAAGATTTCCTTAGTATGTGAATAGTGATGAAAATAGCACAATACCTGGTTGAGCTAGATGCTGCTGCGAAGAGATAATTCGAGATCCAACTACTTCGCGTGCATTTTTGCCGAGTATGCGGTGTGTTGCAACAACTGCAAGGTCAACCTGAAACGGGCCCCAGCGGGTATGTTTATCGCTTCAACGGTGGCCGTTATCCATTCTGCTCACTCTGTGGATTACGGCCCACTGAGCAGCAAAAAAGATCTACAGGTAAAAAGTCTACCGCGAAGCGGAACCCTGTCTGCCGGATTACTCTAAACGGGGCTATCGATCTGATGATCCATATGATCGATCAGTTTACTGGAATCTCCATAACTACACTCGCTCTTATACGGATTTGAACTCTGAAACGGGAATCTGAATGGCAAGAACTGGCGGTTACAATCGTGGTTGGATATACCCTGCTGATCCTCTAACCGTTGTGCAACGTTCCTTGATCGATGGGTACTCTATCTTAGGCGTGTGCAATTCCCGATATGTTGGGGAAAATATCTACAAAGATAGAAATGCTTGGCTTGAAGCTTGACTGTATTATCGTCAATTTTAAGTTTAACAGCTAACAGTGAAGTTGACCTAGTTCACAGGCACCATTGGATTGGGTAGAAGGATGAAGAGAGTGCAGCTGAAGACTTAGTCTTGTATTATTTTTCTAGTAGACTTTAGTTATTCTCTCGAGGCCACTTATTCTGTAAGTTTTAATACGCTACATTCAAATGTATTAGAATGTCAATTGCTATATAGAGATCGAAGACTTGTCAAAGTCATAAAGAAGATTTATGAAGAGCAACCAACTTAGATACCCTTGGAATTGCGGTGCAAAAGTCCCATAATAATGAATCCTAGTTTACCCATCTGTGACCATCCTCCTCGTAGAAGGGCCTCGAACGTACTGAGCTTTGCAGCATAAACAGCGCAAAAGATCAGGTTGAATCATGTGTTGTGGTCGCTAGATTACAATCCTTGCCTATAGTTCCCGTCTCTCCGCACTTTTGGGGATTTTGAAGCCATCCAAGAAGCACGTGCTTGGCTATCCACCGTGTTGTAACCCTGTCCCATGGATTCAACCTCGGATATCAGAAGCCCATCCTTTCAAACGCATGATTGCAATGCAGGGGCCTCCACACACTTACTTGTATGTCCGCAGCATGTACATATGATTTGCTGATACCTGCATGGTACTATTGGAAGAGAGTTATAACCACTCCTTCGACTTTTGCGGGGTGCAGAAGTAGTACTGCGGCTAAGGTCACGGTCGCATTGAAGCATAGCACACATCATGCACATAGTAGTATTAGTATGGCACCAGCAACGGCAGGGTAGAAAGTTGCGCGGGGGAATCCGGGGTGCATGGAATAGGAGGCTTATCGGAAACGAAAAATGTCCCCCGGTGCTGGAAGATGCCCAGTCGGGTCTTATTTATACGCTCGGTCTCTGAACGCTATGGATGAATAGGGCAAATCAGTTGGGTTCGGTTCCGTCCTCGGAGTCACAGATAATAAGAGCGCTGTAAACCGAGAGGATTGCCAGCCATGGAAAGTCGGCGAGCAAAAAGATTGTTACAAAACTTTGGTAGTGTTACCGCACAGTGATATTTGTTCGCTTCTATCGGCTCGAGTTGAGAAGTACTCTTACTATAACTGGTTATAATGTCACGTAGAATTTATTATTCTAATGAATCCATTAATCTGCTCAAGGATAATCGCCGTCCTATCATGAATTAATCGATTAAACAGATACCCATTTATCAGGTTACTTGGACAACACATAAGGCGGGACTCTATATATAGAAGCTGCCCTTCGCTGCCATTAATATTCCCGAAGCCAAAGATAACATCTTCTACCCAGCTATGCAAGCAAGGCCAGTGTTACCATTAATGCTACCATTACCATGTTGCATGATCATAGTTGCAGTTGACCTAAGCAGTCACTACCACCGTCGATCTTATCATAGGAAGGCATTTACACTTGCAACTTTCTACTTTGATGGCTCGTCGTGCCGATCTCCGGCAAGGATCATGGCCAGATATGGAAGCTCGGAATGGCATTCCCGCCGAATCGGGCCAATGGTGCTATTTTAAATATGCCATAGCTTACCACCACGAGAAAGTAAAGCTGAGTTTTTGCCACAAATCATTGGCAGGCTCTGTCCCTTGAACACCAGACAGTCAACAGCCGGCTTACATCCAGCAACTCAGCTTTACTTCGTAGACCTTGTACTCTAATCCAAACCTCAGCACTGTTAGTACCAGGTTAACCATATTGCGCTGACCCGAAAGGATCCGACGGAGCAAAGACACCGCTATCATGTCCGCCGCTCCCTCGGAGGCGTCGTCTTGCAGCTGTCCTTGCGACCTAGTCTGTGATTTTCCATGGCCCTGCGTGGTAAACCCTTGAACGAGCGTGGACTTCTCGTGCACACCAGGATAAATCCCTCCCTGGGTTTTGGCATGTGCTTGCATCTGTGGTGCCGCCAGAATATGCATCCCTGTCTTGGCTGCTGTCAGCAAGGTTAGGGTAACAATCGTCCCTCTTCTAGCTGCATACGTCTATTTACTACTAGCATTTTGATGCCTGCATTTACGCTAGTATGCAGCTCTATTATATACCAGCATCACCGCCACAATCCATCACCATGACGACCCCGGAATCGAAAAAGTACGCCCGCTACGATAAGAGCAGTGGACACCGAAACGCGCCATGCCCGGCCCGCTGCCGTTGGCCCGTCCCTAACAGGTGTCATATGAAATATGCATAGTATTTGTACCAGAATAGACTGCAGTATCGGTGTTTGATGGTTAAGGTCCTAGATGCATGAGTATCTATCTCTTTACTGGCTTCGACGCAAATTAGTTGAAGCCGTGAGTGGTATGGCGTCAATGAGAGTGGATTATATTTGCCCATTGTGTCTTACTTACTACTACGGCTACTGGGATCTTTCAGCCTTTGGGACTCTTGCTAGGGGCATAATATTTGGTGGGCACCTGTAAGAACTACGTGCCGTTTTCACCGCCTCGACAAGGCTCAAGTATCAAGAAGTTCCTCCTCGTGGCATGTTATAACCTTGTCAAGATTTACCGCCGAGTCGGGACTACTCTATACTTGTACGGGAGATGAGATGAGATGAGACGCAATAGTCTTGCCGTTCCCCTGGTAGATGGCCTTATGTCCACATGACCTTGATTACCAGCACGTGGGTACAATTAATCATTTACTCAGACCCTTTTTGGTCGAGGATAAGAGACATAATCACGTTATCCTGTAGTTAATTTAGTATACGGCGAAATGAATTGGTGATGTGAAAGCGATTTAGGGAATAAAATGAGAGATATAAGATGCTGAAGCTCTTATATAAGTTATAATGATTCCTGCTTGGTATTTTAGCACTCTTATCTTAATACCAGCAGTGAGGTAAGGGAGCTTTTATCTTGCCAAAGTGTGGCAACCAATTGTGAACTGTCTTCCTTAAATCGTGGCTTTCTGACGCATTGCTCTGCTCAGTAAAGAAAGGAAATAATCACAGAGATATTTCACACCATGATTTCGTTAATTGGATTATATTCTCGTGAAATTAGCACCTGATGTATCAATAGAATAGTCCAACAAATTGACCAGATATGTCGAAAATATTCCCAAGCTAATACACGCTAGAAATAAATGCATGTAGATATGTGGCGTAGAGGTCCAAGCCTTAGTCTCCCTCCATACACCTTGTTGAGGCTTTAGATTTTCGTGAAGCATTATGGACATGTGGTATAAACCGACTTCTCTTGTGTGTGTGAGATTATTGGTGGACGCATGTTCTAAAAGCGAATAGCTAGGTTCAAGAGCCTTCACTTGCTTCCGAAACTTTGCTGATTGAAGCGTTTCCGTCATAGTGTGCATCGTACAGCAGGACCTTGGGCGCTCATGACAGTCGTATAAAGAGCTTACCTTGAGCTCTGGGTCTAATCTGTGTAGAATCTTATTTCGAATAAGGAAGCAGTTGATTGACTTGTGGATGAACTGTACCGTGTCTCGTTTGCACTTACACACTTCGATGAGACCTCTTGAAGAATTGATGATGCGTCGTTGGATATCATCTTGTGTTGGGTTTGACCGGTTCCAGGTATATGCTTTCGCGGCATTAGTCTCCACCAACATGGCAAAATAGAGCTCTTCTGGTCTCAGTGGCCGCCGTGCCAATAAAACACAACCGAGCATGAATACCATTTCTTGTTGATCCGAATTGCCTTTTTTTAAGAGTCTCTTAAACAAATGCTCAAGATCACAAGGCACATCATGTATTGCGCTATGCATAGCTTCCATTTGTCCTTTATCATACGCTTTATTAAGCTTTTTGATAACAAGTACAACCCACAGAAAGATGCCAGATGCCTTTTGAAGGAGTTGTTTCTCAATCTGCTCATCTCTGTTTGTCAACTTGTCGCGGATATATATAATAATATCCTCATCATGCTCGCTTGTCTTTTCTATGACAAGCTCTAAGTGCTTTTTCATAGCTATATGCGGATAATGGCGACTTGATAGACAGATATTGACGGTCGATTTTGCGTTACAAGCTATAGTACTTAGCTCTTCGAGAAATTCTACGACATCTCGCATCTGTGACTCACTACATTCGTCTAATGCATCAACGAGAATGATTAGTGGCTTTGACTGGCAGCGTTGTATCTCCAAAAGTAAGAAATTTTTAAGTTCTGACTCTTGCCACTCCCACTCGTCCCTATATTTTCGCCATTTATCGCGGAATAAGGGCGCAAATCGCTCGTATATAGACGCTTCCTTTTCGAGTAATTGGTATAGTAACGAACGCAGCATTCCTAACGATGACTTCTCCAAGCTACTACCTTGAGCATTAAAAAAATGAGCGGCAATAATGTGCGTTTCAGAGATGTTTTGTTCGAAATGCCTTAAAGTGTGTTTCATCAGTGTTGACTTTCCTGTTCCAGGATGTCCCCTGATCCAGAGCACTCCATTGTGATTCAGAAATTTGTCACGGCGAAACCATTGCTGAAATTGGCTAGTTTCGAAGAACCAATCACACGTCTTGGGATGAGCAAAAGATGTGTCCTCTTTGCGAGCGTCCATGTTTTGGAAGCTGAGAGAGTATAGACAGTCTTTAACTTGTTAGTCTTGACGAACATTCTAAATAAATTCATAGTCGAGTGAAATGTAAACCAAGTAGATAAATATCTGACCTTCTTTTTCCTTGTCAAGACTTCTAACTCTGTCGATATTTGTATCTTTTGGGTCAACTATCGTGGGTTAACAATTGGTTAGCTACAGGCTATTCCTTGCTGGCTATTGCTCATACTCCCATGGAAAGTACAGTTGATGAACAGTGTGCCCTTGTCGTTGTTATTATACTGAGGCCCATTGCCTGTATTCACGTTTTGAGGGCCATTGCCATGGTTATTGATTGAGGCATCAGAAGACGTCATCTTCGAAACGTCTGCCGACCTTTGCTTGTCGTTGACCAAGTTACGACTACCTTCAGCCAATAATCCCTCAAGAGAGACGGTAGCATCTGTAGCGAGCCTTATTAGTGCGGTAAGACCTCATGGCCCACAGATTTTAGCTAATACTGCTAATTCGAAGAGGGCTGGTTTACACTTAACTAGGTCGGCCGCTAGGATCGCACCGAGACGAACCCAGCTGACGGTAACAAGCCATCCACAAATACATGGGCGTTTTCAGGGGGCCTTTGTAAATATGAGTCGTTTTCTCGTTCTCGTCTCTCGTCAAAATGGTCCTCACGCCACAATACTAAGTATAGACACCGTTTTACTTTTCTGTGCGCTTAGATTTAACTGTTCCTAGTATCATGGTTTAAATCAAGTAGCTAGTTGTAATATCTCTTATATGTACATTAACTGGATGACCGCGGAAGAAAAGGATTAATGTTATGAAATGTGCCGCCATTTACTTGCATCCCCAAACCGTTGTTGTTATTTTGGGGTCCATTACCCGTACTTACATTTTGAGGGCCTGAACCATTGTTTTGAATCCTCAAAGTAGGGCCCTCGTCCTGCAGCGATTGCGGAATTGCGGACACTTCTTCTATAGACTTAACAAGTAACTCAAGCTGCGACTTGGTCGCCAGCTGCATCTCATCGTCCACTGTCAACAAGAGCTTTACATCTTCCATCGCATCCCTCATGAGAGACTCTACGCGACTCTCATTGCCCAGCTCACGCACAGCCATGCGATAGTTTTCCATCTTCTCATTAGCAGCCGACGGAACCACTTTCGAGAACAACTTCTCCAAGCAGTCTGCTTTGCGTTTGCAGTCTTCCGCACTGGGTTTCATTTCTGCACAACTACTGTCATCTTTCCTCTGCAATATTTGTTCTTTACTCATTTTGAGTGCGTGGTACACAGTTGATACATGTTTGCCCACGTCGTGGAACGCAGGCGGAAGGCCCTCGGCGTTGTCGGTGTCTCCATAGATGTCACCAACGCTTTCCAATTTCGACATCGTAGCCCTGACCAAGCTGACTACCTCGGTGGCTACGGGGCCTGGCATGTTGGATAGTAGCTGGCTGGACAAAACTATATATGTGAGAAGTTGGCGCTGGGGAGCTTTTTGGCTGTCAATCTATTAGTCTCCACCCGCAGTTTGTCAACAGTGTTGCTGAGATTTACCAGAGCTAGCAATGTAACGGCTAGTCGTAGAATCTAAATTGATGAAACGGGTTATTTCATCAGTTAATGCTCCATTTTAGACTATACTTTCATCTTATAGATACATGGCATCAGCTTTCAAGCAGACGAGCGATAGGCCCGCAGATAAACTTGTATGGAGCGGGGAACTTCATCAGAAGAATTTTTCTGTATTACTTGATATAGTTAAACCTGCAGCTTAGTAAAAATCTGCAAGTGTCGCTAGTATTGTTTCTTATCTTTAGCCATGTCGGCTTTCGAATAGCCCTGCCCACACCGAATACACCTAATTATTCATCCCCTATAAGAATAGACGATGAGAGGTTATTGAGATCCCGAGGCCGACAACATAACAGAGCCTTATGTTCTTAAGACTTCAGTTGCATAAATATGTGAATATGCCTTCAAACATCTCCATCGACAATCATGGCTCCGGCCCCCAAAATGTTACCACAGGCAGCGGGCCTCAAAATAACAACAACGCTGCTGGCATACAGATTAATGGTGGCAGTTTCTTTGGATGTACGGGCAGTATAGTTAAAGAGATTTAAGCTTTCACTGTTAATTAGGAGTAGATACCCCTTTTCATGGCCAATCCAAGGCTGAGAAGCTGCCAATGGAGACCCGGGATGAAGTCCCTAGCCAAAGCCCTCCACGCAGCCGCGAGGATTTCCATGTAGCAATCATCTGCGCTCTACCTCTTGAATGCGATGCAGTTTCGTTGCTTTTTGATCAGTTTTGGGACGAGGATGGTGACGCTTTTGGTCGTGCTCAGGGAGATACAAATGTTTACATGACCGGGAGGATTGGAGGCCACAACGTCGTGTTGGCGCTTCTCCCTAACATGGGCGTAGCTGCTGGCGCGGGGTCAGCGGCTAGTCTCCGATCAAGCTTCTATAACCTGAAAATTGCCTTTCTCGTGGGAATCTGTGGCGGCGTGCCAGGTGTTGGCCGAAACGAAGTGCTGCTCGGCGATGTGGTCATCAGCAACGCCGCCATTCAGTATACCCTTGGAAGGCAATATCCCGGCGCATTTATAGCCAAGAATACAATACACGACAACCTCGGCCCTCCGAGTAAGATTGTCCGCATGTTGATTGCTAGCCTCAAAAACGAGCTTGGAATCATGCAACATAAAGCCGGTCAGTATTTAAAGGACTTGCAACGCGCAGCCACGCAAGAGGGGCACCGAAACAGCTATCAATATCCAGGCGCTGAACAAGATAAGTTGTTTGCGGCCACCTATCGCCACAAGCACCGTGGATTACAGACGTGCAACTGTAGTATAGAAACAGACAGCTTTTGTGATGAGGCTGCGGGTGCATCCTGCATTGAGCTCCAATGCGACGAAGAACAGCTAATGCCTAGGAAGCGTTTAGAGGCGAAGAAGGCTATGGGTCCAGACGATGCGCAACTCCCTGAAATTCTTATCGGTTGTGTAGCCTCTGGAGACACAGTGATGAAGTCTGGCGAGCACCGTGACCTGATTGCCAAACAGCGAAACGTAATTGCCTTTGAGATGGAGGGGGCTGGTGTTTGGGATGAGGTGCCTTGCATGATCATTAAAGGGGTCTGCGACTATGCCGACAGCCATAAACACAAAATGTGGCAGCCATTTGCAGCGGCAACGGCAGCATCTGTGCTGAAAGCAATTCTGGCACGATACTCACTTACAGACCCGATGACGATATTCAGCTAAATCAAGGTCATCTAGGCTATCCAGCTTACTTCAGGTCATATTGATAGGGCACTATGACGAAGAAAGACAAAGAAAATCAACAGCTATACTTTCCAAATGCTAGATTGTTTCGGGATTTCCTTCCAAGCCTGTATTAGTGAACTCTGCCAAGGTCTCCATAATCTCAGAGCAGCCAATCTGAGGCCAAGGATATATGCTTTCGTGCAGTTACCTGACCTGACTTTGGTGTGCATTTGCACTATAAAGAATGGACTATCATTGGTCTTGTCATATATAGAGTGGTAGCTTCATCGAAGTAAGGGTCATATGCTACCTTTCCACTCTCAAGCTTCACTTCTGAAGCAAACTCTTAATCAAATATCATGAAATTCAACACTCCTATCTTTGTAGCTATTGACAGTTTCTGGTTAAGAGGGGCTGCAGGTGGTGACTGTGCTGCACTTTGCAGTTCGATCAGACTTGTTTCTTCCGTATCAAATTCTCCATATTGGAGTATAGCTGCAAATTGTGTATTCAAAAGTGGAGTGTATAGCGTTGAAACAGCAATCAATACTAATTTGTGCTTTGCTAATGATAACGGAGTGCTAGCCGCACAGGCAAGTACGACGCGTCATTCATTACGTATGGTTTCTGAATTCATGCTTACATGTATTAGCAGTGGTGGTTTGAGTGCTTGAGCTCAAACTTGTCTTTATAAATATATATCTGCATTTCATTGATAATTCCAATACTTCAGATATCATTGCTTAGATTCATGGCATGTCACAAGCTGGATCCATGTTGACGTCCTTCCAATCCGCAAAGATATACTCTCCAAGGGAGATGCTGCCTCGCGCAACAGGCGCACTTCCACTCTTGTAGGCTTCATAGCTCTCATATACAGATGTTTTATGCGTCCGACCAGGTACCAGACTCAAGCCAGCAGCCGCGAGAGAAATATTCGAGTCATCGCTAAGAGGCCTGCATCAACTTAGTCAGTATTCTTTCATCATGTACATATCTCAATGTGTGACTGCTTCAATATGAGACTCACAATGGTTGAATAGCATTCTCGAAAACATCTTCAAACACCGCAACAACGCCATGGGCAAGTTGTTCATCACTCAACTCGGGCTGAAGGGCCAGCTTCACGCTATCAGCGCTAATCATGCCGTTGGGGGCCTTCTTGAGCACATGGTCAAGATGCGCCTCAGCGTTGCTTCCATACAAGTAAAAAGGCATGCGATCAGGGTAAGCTTGGTCTAGGGCGTTGAAAAACATTGACTCTCGAACCACCACGCGGACATTGGACAGCTTGAAGGTCATGATAGGTTCTGTACCAGGTGCAGGTATGCCTTCGTCCAGGCGCCACTCGATCTCAACGCCTGGTTTGATCATATGCTCAAGTAGTTCCTTCTGCGTGTTGGCCACAGTGTAGAACTTATCTGGATTTTCTCTGCGAAGTTGCTGGTAGCGCTGTTTGGCATTTTTAGGGAACTCGGCAGTGATGATGAGCTGCCAGCGGTGGTTGGCCATTTGAAACATGGGTATGTGGACAAGATGAATCTGGTCGAGACCCTGCATGACGAAGCCATGGATGTCAGGCTCGATCTTGTTGCGGATAATACATTTCTGTCGCCAGGAGTTAGTTTGACTCTACTATAACCCGGGCAGATAAAGCGTACTTTAACCTCTTCATCAGCAACACGCCTAAAGTCTTCAGCTAAACTGCCGAGGAAATCCTGGTCAGTGGGCCATGGGCTCATCGTTACGTTGACCAAGAATGTCAGATCGCCACGGGCAGGATTTTCTCCATTGACGAGCTGCAAACGGCGCTTGTAACTCTCGAGGCACTTTCCATATGTATCTTCACCAAAAGTCGATGAGGTTAAGAAGAGTGGTCGCGAAGCAACGACATCGTCCATTGATGTTACAGAAAGACGCTTGAAAATACACTGGTTGAGATAGTTTGCCTCATTCTGTCCAAGACGCACGAAAGTCAGTGGAAATCCGTAATCACTAGACAATCAGGAACAAAGCATGTACTTACCACATCATCGTTTACCTTTCCATTGACTTTGAAGTTGCAGGCAAATGCGTTGATCATCAAGTCGCCGCCTAGCGTGCTCAGAAATTCCATGTTCTCTGGGTCATTTACAAGATCCTCGTTTGATACTCTTAAAATCTTTTCCCGGATGCGTTTCTTCTCTTTCTCAATGTCACTTGCTGAATGACCAGCTTGCTTCTCACTAGGGAGTCGAATTAGAGGGCAGACGATAAGATCATCTTCATCTCTAGTCATCGTTGCCCAATGGCAGTAAAGCTAGATTTCTCGTGTTAGCGATTCATTCAATGGTATTGGTTATAGCTGTGAATATCATAAACAGACCTTGGTACAAGTAAAGACAGCTTCGCCAAGTAATCTGCCATAACCCTGAGGATGGAGCTTGAGCATTCGGTGCGTCAACCACGTAGCAACCGCTGCCGCGCCAGGTTTGCTGCCTTCAACACCATAGACGCCCATGCTCCCCTTTGCGTCTCCATCATGGTATACGATAGGACTGGTCCAGGTGATGAGGTATTTCATACGCTCATCGCGATAGCAGAGTCCGCCTGCGGGATAGTTTACGTATCCTGACCTGCCGAAGAATGTTAGACAGGGATATGGACAAACTAGCAGCAGTCTAGACTCACTTATGCGGATCAATGGTGATGCTATCTGCATACTGAAGGCTGTAAAGCTGCTCCATTGTGTAGGGCTGAAGTGTCAGCGCAGGGACAAGCGGGAGTAAATTTGACGGAGGGCCTTTTAGGGAGCGATCGATGAAAGAAGCAAAATAGCCTCCCCAAGCCGCATCAGCATGGATCGCGAACGACAATCCTTTAGACTCATACTCTTGCCTTAGGTTCACGAGGTCGGCGAGAGGATCGCAGGCGCCATGCTCCGTCGACCCCATAATAGCGACGCCTCCATAGACTGGAGTGTGGCTATCAATGCAATTATCTAGGTGAATTCGCAAGTCGTTAATGTCCATGCGCGCATCTTCATCCACCGCAACGTTGATGAAGTTGTCAGATCCAATGCCCGAGATTGCTGTAAATACACAATTGTCAGAGGCTGGTTCAACATTTGCATATGATCTTGTTGAATGCAATAACACTTACCACCACCTTTTGGCCAGGAGTAGTGCTTCGTCGTGCTAACAAAGAATTTACCCGACTTTTCAATGTCAAAGCAGCGCTCCAAGTAGTCTTTTCCGACCGTCTGGACTAGATACGGATTGAGAGCATCCTGTAGAAACTGAGCTGTGATGGAGTACTCGTCAGTGAGTCGAGTAGGAAGCTCCAACACCGTGCTCGGTTTGAGATTTAGCAGCTCCCATGTGTCGAGCTCAACAAAAGGCTTCTGCTCTCCTTTGCAGTTTTCCACGAGAAACGGGGGATCGGCATGGGCCAAAAAGTTGAGCGGCGGGTCTATGCCTTTGCTTTCATTTTTGCTTTCCTTGATGCCTATGGCAAGCATGAGGGACAATGGATAGAATTTGAGATTTCGGACTAGAAAAGAATAGATGTTAGGATGTTAGGCTCAAGGGTTCTGGCAAGTTGTTGAATGGTGAAAGGCAAGGATAAAGCACAACATACTTGCCCAGATAGCTTCAAGGTTGGCGACTGAACCGTCCTATTGCGACAATATCAAGACACAATCAGCTATGATGCAGTAAAGCAGGGCTATTAAATCGCTTACACAGGTAATATGGCCCCAAGGCGTGACACCGTTATATCCATAGCCCAACATGTAGCAGAGATCCATTCCAACCTCCCTTTCTTTCTCTGTGGTTAGAGGGCTTGCCTCTGTTGCGACATTGTTGGGGTTGTACATCATTGTCGCCATGTCTAAAAATATTGATTAATCACATGAACCAGGCATAAAGGAGCGAAGGACTGCTTACACCCAATGATACTAGGCAGCGCAACATCCATGTTCATGTGGGCATTGTATCGCGGCGACCAAAATGGAATCGAGTGCAGCGCAAGGCCCTCTGATAGATCATTGACATATTCTCGAAGCTCATCAATACTCTCGGTGTAAGTCTCAGCTTGCATCATACCAGGCGTGATGAATGCTGGATCATCGCGGTAGAGATTCTGGCGCACTGTCTGCTGATCTTGCAGCACTTTACCCATCAACTCGTTCAATATGTGGAAGTTTTCGGCCTTGGGTCCCAGAAAGTAGGACCCAACTCTTGCGTGTGCAAGTCTCTTTTCATAATGAGGATCATCACCCATGGTTGCTACTCTGTGAAGAATGAATTGTATACGGGTATATTGACAATGGTAGACTGATTGTTGCAGACAGACTATTATAACCAATTCGATCGAGAGAGTGTCTCAATTTATATTTCATGCTTCCTATTTTTCAAATCTTGCTGTCAGGGTTCTTAAGCGCTCAGCTGGTGATATGTATGCAAGTTGTCAGCCTGTGGCTTTCACCTACATCGCATTATTGAATGTGATATGGATTGTCGGTTGTAAGCGAGACTCTTCTTCGTACGCGAAGCCGTCTTAACCGCAGCCATTTAAAAGAATACGGACTGTCCGAAGCAGAGTAGCATTTCACAGACGCCCACGACTACACGAGGCATTCAAGCGCACGGCACTTGCAAGCTTCGGGGAGAAGGGTTGTGGGGAATAAGCCGCTTCAATCCCGCCTTGCATACAATTATTGAAACGCCTCGCTCCTTTCACCCAATCCGGCCACTAAATAAGCACAGTGCCTAGCTGATTGGCTGCGCCAAAGGTCAGTAGGCTTAGTTTATTGGCAATAGTAGACCTCTTCAGCTGGCCTCCTACAGCCACGCTTTGCGCTCTGTTACTATTCACCAGGTACCTAGTTGACATTCTGCCATCTCCATGTATGTGCAGCATATGAGACCTATTTAACAGCGAGTCCTTTGAGCCTTCAGCCTTCAGACATCAACCGGGGTGATTCTTTTATTCTGAGCTGTCAACTTCAATCTACTAAAGCAGATACTTTGCTCAACTGTTGCCAGATTCACTCCAATTATCTACGAGGTTGTAACTAATTTGATACAGCAGCCACAAAATTATATGTTGTCTGTGAGCTTTCTTCAGATTGTCCTAGCAAAATTGACTGATTCTACGCATTGCAGTCAAAGTGCGAACAGCCCTACTGTTACTGGACGATAATAGAATGCTCTCTAATTAAAAGTTGTTGCAATCCACAACCAACAATATTTGCTGTCAACAATAGCGCAACGATTCAGAACATGAGACTTTTTCGGTGCAAATTTGGTGAGAAAGAGAGCGAAAAAAGATGGAAACACACATCAAATATCAATGCTAGGAAAAAGTTGCAAAAAAGATTCTGAAGGGCATTGAACCCAACCCGATTCGAACGGATAACCTTCAGGAGATTCCAAAGGAACTGGAATCTGACGCGCTACCGTTGCGCCATGGGTCCGCTGTGATGGCAAGTCTCGGAAAAGCTGCTCATAAGCCCCTCACTCGCTAGCCCTTCAGCTTTGCAACGACCCCTCTTCAGCTAGCGAGGCGCACTGGAAGGCTGTCCAAGACACGCCCGCCAAGCGCTGTGTTTTGCGGCGTCACGAGTGCGAAACTGCATAAGTGTCTTGGCGATGTTGGAATTGCGGTCGAGGCTGTGTTTATCCTAGATAGCTCTCCGGTAGGTGAGAGTGAATGTAGTTTAAATTTTCCTTTAAAAACAGAAGAGAAAGGAAAATATTCCAATACGTTTCAGAAGCAGCTTGTGCCGCCGTGCAGCAAACAGTCATGCTCCCTCATCCCTTTTGTAGAAAGATGAGGCTTCTTGTTTACTAACTATGCTGCTAAAGACCCAAACTCCTCGTCGAAATCTCCATCAGCCGTCTCGCCATCCTCGTCAAACCAGACAACTCCATGCATACCCCTTACTCTTGGCTAGTCATCCAAAGCATAACCATCGGAGTTATGGCCGTATTCCTCCAACCCCGTATCGACGCCTACCGCCTCAACAGAGCCCGTGCCGCGGAGCTCGCCCGCGAAGAAGCCGCCATCCGCGCCGTCGAGGAGGGCGAGGCCGGCTACGAGAACACGGATGACACGCTCCCGGGTCCTCAGGAGACAACACGGCTCATACCTACAACAGGCAATGGTGATGTTTCCCAGGGGGGCACGCAGGTTGATAATGGTTATGGCGGCGCGTATAGTGGTAATGCAAAAACATCAAAGTCAAGTAAAGACTAGGCATTATTATAAGCTGAGGCAAATGCTATGATGTTCTTTTCCATAATTCATCCGAGGAAGAATTAGGTCAAAAGTATGCACTGGCCTACCCTAGAGTTTGACGCTTATAGTATCAGCTGCTATTGAATGGCGAATATACCAATAAAAACAACCTTTATGACCAATCTAAGCTCTATAGATGTATTAAAATTTTGCATCAGGAGCTTTGGGGAAATCCTCTGATCTCGTCTTGTTAGCTTGGATGTAATGCATATTCCCTTTTTCTCAACCAAAGCAGTATATGTTTTATGTATTGTATAGTGTGAGTGCAACTAGGAAGCAGTCTTGGGAGACAACTCCTCTAAACAGTCTGTTTCGATTTGCTTATTCAGAATAAGAGCCGCAAGTTGTTTCTTGTAAAGCAAAACAACTCTCAGACTACATTACCCATTATTTGCATTTTTCACACCGATCAAGCTTGAGCTGATGCGTCGCTCTGACGAGAGCATCATGAAATCTGTGCGCCAAAGGCTTACAGACTGTATTTCGAGGGCTTAGTAACAACAGGACCCATGGCGCAACGGTAGCGCGTCAGATTCCAGTTCCTTGGAATCTCCTGAAGGTTATCCGTTCGAATCGGGTTGGGTTCAATGCCCTTCAAAACTTCTTTTTTTGCCGCTTTTTTCTACCAAATATCGTCGGATTTTTTATTCTAGTGTGTAAAGCAGCATGTAACCAATTGCAGGATTCTGTTGTGTGGTGGTAGGGAGGTGTAGATCAACATTCATGCCTTGGTGCAGTAAGCTTTAGTATAAGAAACTACCTAGAGAGCTAAGTCGTGGTTAGTATTTTGAACCCCTTTAAATTGACAAGTCTCAATGAAATCAGTTTAAAACAAGAGACGTATCAACCAATGACTGGGCTTATGTTTCAGCTGATTGTATAGTAAGATATGGCAAGCGTTGTTCAATCATGTTACTAACAGAGAACGCATCACTAGCTGTTAGGCATGCGGCGAATGCAACGTGCTGTGCAGCATTCAAGGCGCAGCTCATTCAAGATACGTGGCACGCATTGCAAATATATTTAGTCAAAGCCATAGCCGGTATGTAATTGGACCGTTTGAAATACGGGCATGATACCAAATGCTGTCTTGTGATAATGATGTAATTCGTCTCAACTTTTCCATCACTGCGCTTCTTTGTTGCTGTTTTTGCCACCAGACTCAGTTTACACTTGTGTCCTGCATGTTCAGCCTAAACACTTTAGATACTACAAAAAAGTTTATGTTTACTTGCTAGATCATGAATAGAGCAACAAAGGAGAAAGGAATGCCTGGGAAATATTGACGAAAAAGAATCTAGCTACCGATACAAAAAAAAACTATTATATGCCTATATAACACCAGCTTCTAATATATTAATATACATCCGGGGTTGTATTCGCAGATGCAGCGGATCTCACAGCAACCTTTTTAGGCTGATCATCCGGTTGATGAGGTCTTTTTCTCGAATTCGACCCCTGAGAGTCACAAACTTTGGTATATGGTGGCGGCGGGCTGTGTTCTTTTGCATCCATCACTTTGGCTTGTGTGTCTTGTTGAGAGGCCTCTTCCGAAACTGGGCCAGTTACTTCATGTTGTTTATCCAACCCTTCGGTAGGCATGCTCTGCCGAGCATCTTCGCCGACCGGCGTGCTGGTTGCATTTGTTTCTGAGACTTTGGTCGATACGCTCTGCTGAGCGGCCTCTTCCAAAGGCCTGTCTGTCTTGATGTATCTTCCGAGAAGCGCTTTCGCAGCTGCTGCGGCCACCGCGGCTGCAAAGTCCTTCCAATTGCCAATCTTATGACCATCGGCATAGTCGCACACGCTCTTGATGATGATGGACGGCACTTCCTCCCAGATACCGGCTCCCTCCATTTCAAAGGCGATGATGCCCTCTTCCTGGGATATCTTGTCTCGCTCGAGCCCGCTTTTCATGACACTGTCTCCGGACGCAATGGCTCCAATGTGGATCACAGGCTCCTGAGCTTGCTCTTCGCTGAGTTGTTGCTTTTCTGTATGGACATTACGAGAGATGACCCGTCCTTGATCGCACCCATTCTCCTCACAGTAAGCGCTGTGAGCTTCATGACATATAGCGTCAGGCTTGCTATCGCAGACATTGCAGCCATGCCCCGGACGGTGTTTATGAAGATAGTCCGGTTTGAATAGCCGATCAGAATCCGTTCCTGGATAGGCGTACTTATACCTGGTCCCACGGCGTTTCTTTGATTTTGCCTTGGCCTGGAGCTGCGTCAAATTGCGGGCAGTTTGTGTTTGCAAGAGCTCCAGGCTTCTCTCCGTCTCGAAATTCCTAATCAGAGAGCGAATATTCTTATTGGCTCTGTCCAAGTTCCCCTCCAAGGTGTCTTTCCGGACAAACACACCATTGTATTTCCTGCCAAAGTCGTACTGAACGACGCTCTTGCTGATGATCACGTCGCCCAGCATTATCTCATTATCTCGACGACTGGGAGAAGGCACGCCGCCGCAGACACCGACCAGAAGCACAAGCTCAAGATGGCTGTAGCTGGATCGAAAGTTTGCTGCAACCGCGGCTGCATTTGCTTTTCCCATTTCCGGTAGCAAAGCGACAACGACGTTGTGTTTACCAATACAGCCGGTGGTATAATAGTTCTTGTCTCCTATGACGCGTCCATAAACATCGCCGTCTTCATCCCAGAATTCATCAATGACGAGACAAACTGCGTCATATTCCTCCTGGAGGGCACATATGATGCCAATGTCGAAACCGTCACGACGAGATGGTCGAGATGGGGCGGTAACAGTAGCCATAATGGTGTTGCGCAAAAATTTCACAGTTGGTATAAGATGGAGATGGAATTGAGAATACAAAACACTATTCACTCATTTTGACAGATACCACACATCGTATATAAATACTGAGTTGTTTGGCGCCAGAAAGAATTGTCCGTGGAGATTATTAGGCGTCAAAACGCCTAACGAGGCTGTATCCAGGCAGTCAAAGGCGATGCGACCTGGTTGTCAATTGTCTCCGCCCACAGCCTTGTTGTCGTCCACTAAATTTCATCCCGTGCCACACTCCGGAAAACTGTTGCTTGGATGCTTGAGTATGCCACGTATCATATGCAGCTCTTAGCCGCATGAACAAGGGTTAAAAGGCATCATAGCAAGGCGCATACTCCTATGCGAGTGCAGACCATCACCATCATAGGACGCCTCATGAAGTGAGGCGTCGTACTTTAACAGCCGCGCCTTGTTATTTACTATCCTACGACATTAGCAATAACGTAGGTGGTAAGCCGGCTCAAAAATTCCGCCGTTCAATATTTATTGAAAAAAATTGAAAGTTAGCAAGAGTAGAATATAATTCTGATTCGTTCGTGAATAGCCGTGTATGAGCATAGCTACAGCCAACACTAGGACAGGATAAGCAATAAAAATTGCTCTAGCACAGAAGTTGCCCAAATCCTAAACTGCATTCTCAGTCTCTTGTATATACATGGTCACTGAGTCCATCCAAGAATCGGACCTATGATACATTTTTGACGAGGAACATGTACAACTCACAACACACATCGTGGCTGTACATGTCCTAGGGCACTTTTACTACCCCCTGGTATTCTTTCTCAATCAGTATGAGGAAGTAGCAACGGGGAAATCGTTCAACAAGAAAAAGAGACAAAAAGATGACAGTAAAGCAACCAACGCTTCGCAGACGGCATTCCCATTACATGCTGACTCAAAAACGACATAAAATAGGGGAGAATAATAGGGAGTCTGACCTGTCATGTCAGCTCATCTCGCCTAACCAAGACCGATAGATTTTCGTATTACTGTCAAACAATGAGAGAAAGAAAGAAAACAAATAAAGAAAGGCGAAATTAATCAAGCACAAAGAAATCCATCCACCCAGAGTCCAATTCCCTGTTGCCCCGTCCATCCTGTACAGGCTCCTCCCACTTCCCACTTCCACATGATGCCAAAAAGAAAAAGAAAAGAAAAGAGAAAAACGCCGCCACAATGGATTGTCATCATCATCATGCTGCGAAAAGGAAAAAAAAAAAAAACCATTTTTGAGAGAAACAAAATGAGCTTTATCTTCAAAACAAGAGCTGAGTAGTGGTGAAATATGCGTAAAATTAACATGTAATGACTGTAACCGCCCCCTGCAAACCAATAAAGAAAAATAAAATAAAATAATTCTTCTTTTCGCTATTTTTGCTATTAACATTATGGACTGCGACTTAATTGCTGCTCATTGTCGCTCTCTAATAAGTTGCCACTATCTTCGTCGGCTGCCACATCCTGCTTCTTGTGCTTTTTGGGGCGGAAAAACTCTCCCAATGTATCGCTTAAACTTCGTGATCTCCCCCTTGAAACTTTTATGTCGGCACTTGGTCCGGATTCATCATCGCCCAAGGCCTCTGGCAGATCGTCGTCTGATGCCGGGACAATCGGCTGCTCCGCAATGCGCTCCGGCATGATGCCATCCTCATCGTCGCTATTAAAGAAGAGGCTTGCTCGGATGCTAGATCGTATGCGTCGTAGAGAAGATGCAGTCGCTTCTGGGCTGTCGTTTTCCCGCAGGAACACATCTTTAACTGCTGTTGTAACTGTAGAGGAGAAGGGTGACGGTGAAATAAATGGCCTTGATCGGTGGTTGGCAGATTTGGAACTATGTGCCGCCCGGGGTGTGACTGGTCGCTCAACGGAATACGACGAAGTCACCTGGCCATCTTTCAAGGACGCAAGAGGATGCGGTTGTATAGGCGTAGAAGCCAGCCCGGACCTCGTGAGGACAGACTCGGCTGAGACGGTTCTAGCTCCCCGAGGAGGATCCGGGCTCACCCACAGGCCTTGCCACGGGTTACTGACAAGAACATGAGCCTCGTCGCCGCCGAGATGCGCTGGGGAATGCGCTGGTTCAAAGTAGTGAGTTGCGGGAGACTCAATGCCGATATGAGCCGAGTCTGGCTTCGTTGCCTTGGAAAAGCTTACTCGCGACATTCTGCTAGATCGGCGAGATGGTGTTGCCGGCACACTGAGTCGGCGCCGGTTCTGCTGTTGCTGAGGAATCGCAGAGGACGAGGTGCTACCGTCGTGCTGCGTAAGGCCAATTGTTTCCTCGACTCCGTCGGCTTCTGATAATGTATCTTCGTCATCGTCGTCGTCTCTGCGCTCTCTCCCAGACGTAATGAGAAAGACGCCAAAGAAGGTGAGAAGACAGCCTCCGACAAACTTGGCGGCCTGTTTCATGGTCGTCTTTTCGAAATCGCGATATAGCACAGCACTGCCGATGATGACACACAGTGTGAACATGACGAACTGGATGGGGATGACTTGGGTCGAGTCGAAGCGGGATAGCGCCTTGTTGACATAGCGAATCTGCATAACGGCAGTCGATAAAAGAACAAATACGAGCGCATATGTGACGGGGGTTTTAAACGCCGCTACGAAGCTTGTAGAAAGCATCGAAGAAACGCCCTTGGTGGCTAAAGCCGTATATCCTCCTAAAGAAGAAAGTCAGTCTCAAGCTTGTGATGGGAATGACAGCATAAGTATAACCCACCGAAAAGACCAACGAGACCAAGGTCAATGAGAATGGTCCGTTTGCCATATTTGGCGCTAGCCCACATGAGAACAATGATGAGAAACGTCGTGATGCCAAGGTAAATTTCAAATTCCACCGTCGTTATAGCTCCCCATACGTCGTGGGGGTTCAACTTGGTCTCCTCCTGGTTCGCGCTCAAGACGACGGTCACAACTCCCGACACGGCAATGACAACGCCCCAGAAGTCGCGAAGCCTAAACTTTTCGTGAAACATGGCGGGCGCAATAATACAGTTGGACACCAGCGCAACGACGCCCAGCGGCGAGACGATGGAGGCGGGCGCAAAGCCATACGCTAGGAAGTTGCCTGCTTCTCCCAACGTTATCAAGATCTGGCCGAGCCACCAGTACGGCGATTTGAGATAGTTTGAGGACGACTTGCTGGGCTGAACGGTGTCGGTGTCGGTGCTGGCCGTGGTTGCGCTTGACTGAAACGACGCCATCAGCGGCTCGTCCTCTTGGAATTCGTGCTCGTCGTCCGAGTGCTCGTCGTAGTCCGGTATTGAAAAGCCGATGCCATCGCCATTCTGGTAGCCGTTGCTATCCCGATCCCTATCCCTCGCACCGTCGCCGATGATGGTGCCGTAGACGCCAACCTGCGTGGTCCCATTGCTGTTGCTGCTGTTGCTGCTTTGCGCCCGTTTCAGCGCTGCCCGAGCCCCCTGTTTTATCCTCTTGCGCTCTTTGTGCAGCCGCGTGTGCGCATATCGTTGTACGTTGAGGGCGAGTGCAATCAGCACGTTGCCAACAATGGCCGTGATGATGCCGATCAGGGACGACCACCGCTGCAGCGCATCTCCGTCATCGTCGCTACCCGACCCATCGCCGCTGCTACCGCCTGTCGCCGTGGGTGCTGCTAAAGCGCTCGTCCAAGTCGGGAGAGTCGATTCGGTAAAGGTAAGGCTCATCGTCGCCGCCTCAGAAAACAAAAAAGAAAACAACGAAAGAAAAACCAGAAGAAAAAAGCGGCTGGTGCCAAAGCCAGCAGCTAAGGGGAAGGGGAAAGGGAAATATTGCAAATGACGGTAGGATCGGAGATTGGTGGAGAAAAGAAGCGCGAAACTACAGTCGCTGGCAGCCGCGGCAAATTGGCCGACCAGGTATCATCGGGGCGAGAGGCAGACACGGGCGCGGATGTCGCCGAGAAGGGGGTTCATGATAGTGCAGAGGGCAGAAGCTGGCCGAGTCCGAGATGCTGTTCGCTTTGACGCAAATCGTCGACTTGCAGCTCGGCCGAATTTCTGTGGTCTGCAGGCCCAGATGACGGGATTCGGGGTACGTACCGCCGCCCCACCGGCGCTATGTCATCACTGGGCAGCTCTTCGGCAGCGCTTCTCCAGCGCTTCCTTTTAGTCTTTTAGTGGGCTCAGCACAGGCCGCACCGCCACAGAATGTTCTTTGGCAGCACATGTGCGCACATGGATGTACATATGCAGCCAATTTAGAGCTGTCGGTACTGGCGCCGGCGCTGAAGCTACGCTGCGCTGCACCAGCACCATCTCAGACGGGAAAGGCTCCAGCTGCCATGCGTGACGTGACGTCTCTTGTATAACAGCTCCAGCCCCGACCTCATTCATCATCACCAGTTGTCACCACGCACGCCACAATCACACTCTCTCCCTCTCTGTCTCTGTCTCTGCCTCCCTCGCCATCGCAATCATCCAGACAATGCCCTCGGCATGCCCCGCGACAGCGACTCCTCGCTAACCAGCCTCTTTGTCCGCTTCAAGCAGCACGTCGATTCCGCTGTCGCCTCCGGCATTCACGCTCTATTCGCCCGCCCGCAGCCGCAGCCGCAGCCCCTCCACCAGCCACCATCTGCAGACATCCACCAACAGCCGGAATCTGAGCTGTCAACCGCCAAATCAGCAGATACATCGGCTTCTGACAGCGCTTCTGACAGCTCCAGCCGAGCAGCAGCGCCGCTTGCTCCCGTCACAATGGCCAACGCCGAGTCGCGCGCCTCATCAGCTCTCGACACCGTCTCGGTTGCGTCATGGTCCTATTCGCCGGCAAATTTGCGCCACCTTCGGCCGCCTGTGCCAAATGACCTGCCGGCGCAATGCGACTCTACCGTCTTCACTTTTGAGGATGCCTTTGAAGATCTGCTCACCGTCTCGCAGGGACGGCCCCTGCCTGACATTAAATCCAGGTATAACCAGAGACAGCTGCTGAGGCAGATGTTTTCCCATGGCGAGCCTACGTGGTTCTGGCTCCGAAGGCTGGAATCGCAAGGCCTGCTTAGACGCCCCACTCGAGATGAGCTCTACAGGCCCCGAAATTTTGGCCTCTTGGAGGATCTTGAGGAGCCTGAATTTTCAGAGCCAAATTGGAATGACTGGTCGAAGCTGCACGAGGAGCTGGACCGCAAGGCAGCTGAAGTATGGAAGGGCGTCACCTCTCGCGAAGAAAACGATGGCCAGCCCAAGAGCCACAGCTTCTTCGACGATGTGCACCAGACGTTCAAGCAGCTAGAGGATAGCTTCTATGGCCGGAATGGCTCCCATGAAGAGGAGCACGGCAACCAGCACCAAAAGCGCTTCCCCGACCACTTTGACGATCTCTTCTCCTCCCTTAGCTCGAGCTTCGCAGAGGGCCACAAGACGTGGGACGCGTTCGTCAAGAGCATTACCAATCACAAACCCGTATCTTCTGAGAATTCGGCCGCGCAGCCACCCAGCTCAAGTGAGGAGAAGGTATACGATGACGGGACTAGGGAAGTGGTAACGAGAGATGAAAAGGTCAACAGCTTTGGCTACTTGACCACGACGATTACAAAAAAGACTTATGATAAGAATGGTAATGAAATTGGCACGGAAACGCACTTTACGATGCGCCCTGCAGAAAAGACCCAAAATGCGAGAGCGAGGGAAAATAACGATGCAAATGTTATCGAAAGAGCAGATGCAGACGCAGACGCAGACGCAGACGCAGACGGAGACGACCAGCAGGCGCAGGATAAGAAATCAGGATGGTTCTGGAAATAAGGATCTCTGTTTCTCTTTTCTACAAAAGATTGGTTTTCAAGAGTCTCTCAACTCACAACTTACGGTATTTACTTGTACATAGTTCACCATCTTCAATCAAAAGCACATAGCCTCAGCCAAATTAGTAATACTTTTATACCTTCTATACTCCTAATAAACAAAAGAAAAGAAAAAAAGCCTTCGATCTACTACCTATATAGCCCTTGAAAAATCATGCACAGATGGTATTCGATATTATAGATGTACACCCAAAACTACGCTTTTCCTCTCGCCACAGCCTTCTTCTTGCGCACCTGTCTCTTCCGCGCAATCAGCTTCTGCTGGATCGCCTCCTTTGCGTCAGCCGGCTTCTTCTTCTCATCGACATCCCCTTCCTTGGGAGGCTTCGCCTTGGTTCCCACCTGGGGACCCTTGTTCATGTTGCCCTTGGGCTTTTTACCCTTTTGCTTCTTCTTCTTTTGCTCGGGAACCTCTTCGTCCTCGTCCTCCTCGTGCTCAGATGCATCTGCATCGCCGTCCTTCTTTGGCTTTCGAGCTGTTTTCTCAGCCTCCTGTCGTCGCTTCACCACCTGAGCGTTCTCAATGGCAAATTCGACAATCAAGCGCTGCTTCCTGCCGTTGTTTCCGTCAAGCTGGTGTCCGTTCAAATATCTCAGACCCATTAAGGCGTGGCGATGGGACGTGTACTCGATGAATCCGTAGCCACGGCTCTTGCCGGCTCCGCTCGACTCAGATACCTTGGATCCCTTGTTGTCTTCAAACACAATCTTTGCTTGCTTGACAATACCCTTGCGCTTTTGCTTCCTGTCCTTCTCCTTGTCCTTTGCATCCTTGCCGTCTCTGGCATTCTCTTCTTTGGAAAGGGGCTGTCGGCGCCCCTCCTTGACGTCCTTGGCAAATTCGACAACGGCCTTTCTAGCCAGCTCCTTCAGTTCCTTGGCGCCAATATCGTTGGGAATGTTACGAAGAGCAAGTCGGGTTAAGCTGATGTGTAGCATAGGGTTCTTCTCCACAAGCTTCTTGCGCTGCTGAGCACTCATCGATCGCATCCGAACCTCTGCATCAGTCAAAAGACCCCGCAGCGGAGAGTTTCCACCGATGGCACCTTCAGACAAGAGGTACAGATGACGTTTATCTTTTTGCCTCCTTTGTGCGAGCGAGTTCTCTGCCAAGTTGGCAGCCTCATTCTTGCCAACGGCTTGGGCCACTTGCAGAACTCGGCCGTCCATTGTGTACTTTCCGGTGGGGTCAGCGTTCTCGTCTTGGAGGATGGAATGCTTGACTCCTCCTGCAGTCGGTGGTGCGCGACGAGGAGCATCTATTATGCAGGTTTTTGCATCCGCAGTGTCGACGAAGCAGACGAAGCCAGTGCCAGCCGGCCTGTCGGTAGCTTTGTCCATGACAACTCTAGCATATCGAACATTGCCAAAATGGCCAAAGAAAGATTTGAGCTGCTCATCTGTAGCTGTAAATGGTAGGTTTCGAACAAAAACGGTTGAAGAGTTATCTGTCATCAGCTCTCGCTTTGGTTTCTGGGTCTCCTTCTCCTCATCCACTTCATCCAGCAGCTTCATGTCCTCGTCGTCTTCTTCATCATCTTCGTCTTCGTCCTTGTCTTCGTCTTCGTCGTCCTCGTCTTCCATGTTCGTCATGTGGTTCTTCATAAAATTGGCAAGATCTGAGGCTAGTTGATCGTCACGATTCTTGACTTCGCCGTCATCTCCAACATCCTTGTCCTCCTTCTCATCTTCAGCCTCATCTTCATCATCTTGTGAGTCTTTTTCGCCGTTTTCCGTATTCTGTTGCTTGTCCCAGGTCGCCTTATCAACAGCCCAGTCAACAGCCAATGGCCGGCCATCAACAATCTTGCCATTAACAGCCTCCAGAGCCTTCTCTGCATTTGGACGTCCACGAATGGTGACGAAACCGAATCCCTTTAGCTTTCCCTTGTTTTGTGGAAGATCAGAGTATATGACCTTGCCATAACTCAAGAATAGTTTTGATAGTTGTTCGGAGGTTTTGATACTCCAAGGCAGATTTCGAATAATCAGCTTGGTAGATGGCCTCTGGAACGCCTCCCTGCCCTTTCCAGGCCTCTTGGATGCTTCATCGGCATTACGCTGTCTAGGTTCCGCAACCTCAATTCGAATGCGCCTGCCATCCCACTCCTTCTTGTCCAACGCCGCTTTGGCATCTCTAGCATCGTCGGCGTCAGCAAATGATACGAATCCGAATCCTCTTGATTCTTTCGTTTCCTGGTCAACCACCACTGTAGCATGCTTGACGGCAAAGTATTGCGAGAAAAAGTCGGTAAGACTCTCGTTCGTTACGCCAGGGGGCAGTGATCGAACAAAGATGGACCGTCCATCCTCGACTTTGGCTTTCTTCGCTGTTCGCGCAATTCCGCCGTCTGGATCATGCGATTTGGTGGCAGCAGAATTCTCGGTATCTTGAATCCGGCGCTTGCGATCATTCGGGGGTGCCATGGCTGCAGCGGTGAAATCAATTGCAGCAATAGTCTGGTCGTGATACAGCAGACTCTAGGTCAGAGTATCTTCACCTTGGTACTAAGAAAAAAAAAATCTGGATCTGCAGCTATCAGACCGTCTTATCTTATCGGCGTAAATAAAAACATCTGCGCTAAGCCAAACGGGGATGGCGGGGTATCAACGCAGCGTTATGCCAAAATGGGAGAATTGTTGATTGGGGTCTTTTGGCGACGCGCTGGCCAAACAACACACCATCAAACCCGCATTTTGCAGCAGCTCGCAGAGTCATCTTTGCGATCCACGCGCACGGCCTCTGAGCCGGAGAACAAGCAGAATGCCTACAAGATCAGGAGCCCGAACTAGGGCAGCCAGGGAGGAGGCCGGCTCTAACAGAGCTACCCCCTCCTTGGAATACGTCGATACGCCAGACAATGCCCTCCGAACACAGATTTGCGCCATCTTTCGCGATGCTCAGAGAACGACCGCCACGCATCGGAAGCTGGCTGTCAACCTGCGAAAAATACAGGAAGCCTGCTGCTACGAGCCCATCAACCCGAAAAAGGCATCAGCCGATGAGTTTGACGAAAAGGCCTTCAACCACGAGTTCATTCGGTGTGTGCTGCGAGTCATGCCGGTGAAGAAGGCGGAGAGCGTTGGCGAGAAGTTGATTCGATTTATCGGGCTTTTCTTGAAACACTCTTCGGACAAAGACAATGAGCTGCTGGACGAAGCCGATGCCGACGCGAGCATGATGCCCGAAACCCCAAGCACGCGGCTCTCATCGCAAGTTTTGCAGACTGCGCTCTCCATGATGCAGGCCAAAGACAAATATGTGCGATTCCGATCAACGCAGCTCGTTTCACACATCATCAACTCTCTCGATGCGATCGATGACGACCTATTCCAGAGCCTTCGCCACAACCTGCTCAAGCGAATCCGAGATAAAGAGCCCATGGTCCGTGTCCAAGCGGTGCTGGGCCTTGGTCGACTTGCCGCCAACCAGCCCGAAGAGGAGCACGACTCGGATGACAGCGAAAACCATCAGCCTAGCCTCTTGGACAAACTGCTAGACGTCTTGCAAAATGACTCGAGCGCCGATGTGAGACGCACACTTCTCGTGAACCTCCCGATATTGCCCACCACGCTCCCATACCTTCTCGAGCGCGCAAGGGATCAAGATGCCGCCACTCGAAGAGCAGTGTATTCTCGTCTTCTCCCCGCGCTAGGAGATTTCCGCCATCTTTCATTATCTATGAGAGAGAAGCTCCTCCGATGGGGCCTCCGCGACAGAGACGACAACGTACGAAAGGCTGCAGGTAGACTCTTCCGAGAGCGGTGGATCGCAGATTGCGCTGGTGTCCCACCGCAAGAGGAAGCACCGCCAAACTTTGATGGCTTATTAGAGCTGTTGGAGAGAATCGATGTCATCAACTCTGGAGTGGAGAATGGAGTGGCCCTTGAGGCAATGAGGGGCTTTTGGGAGGGCCGCCCGGATTATCGTGAGGCTGTCACTCTAGACGACCAATTCTGGGAGACCCTGTCGGCCGAGTCCGTCTTCATGGTTAGAAGCTTCAACGACTTCTGCCGCGAGGAGGAAAATGGCCGCTACGAGTCACTGGTGGAAGAGAAACTTCCCGAAGTCACCAAGCTGGCCTTCTTCCTGGAGCGCTACTTGAAAGTGCTGGTGGATGCCGTCAAGAGAGTTGCACAACTTGACGCCGAGGAGGACGAAGAAGAAGATACTGTCGAGCAAGAGTTTATCGTTGAGCAGATGCTTCATATTGCGCTGACTCTTGATTACTCTGATGAAGTCGGTCGCAGAAAGATGTTTACGCTGCTTCGCCAAGCCCTAGCTATCCCAGAGCTCCCGGATGAAGTTACAAAGCTCACGATGGAGGTCCTTCGATACATTTGCGCACCAGATACCGCCGGAGAACGAGAGTTCTGTAGTGTTGTTCTCGAAGCCGTTGCCGACGTTCACGACACAATTGTAGATCTCCCTGGAGAGGATGATGACAGCTTCGTCTCCGCCCATTCTGATATCAGGAGCCGAGAAAACTCTCCGGCTTCAGACTCGAAAAAGGCTCAGCCTGAGATGAGTGAAGAGGAGGCCCATGAAAAGGCAGTCAAGGAAATGATTGTCAACATGAAGTGCCTGCACATTGTCCAATGCATGCTTACACATGTCGCCGGAAACCTCAAAGATAATGCAGACTTGGTGTCTATGTTGAACAACTTGGTGGTTCCAGCGGTTAGGAGCCACGAAGCACCTGTGCGTGAAAGAGGACTTGTCTGTCTCGGACTATGCGCCCTTTTGGATCGTTCTTTGGCCGAGGAAAATCTAGGTCTTTTTATTCACTTCTTTACAAAGGGACACACCGCCCTGCAGATTACGGCGTTGCACATCTTGACGGATATCCTAAATGTTCATGGGGCTCAGCTGCTCTCAACAACCCCGGCTGTCCTCAAAGTCTACGTCAAGGCAGTTAAGGGCGGTGGTAGGTCATCTGAAGTGCAAGCTGCGGCCACCATCGCCGCATCAAAGCTCCTCCTTGGACGAGTTGTGTCTGATGAAGAGGCTTGCGAGGAGCTGCTCAAGTCCCTTGTAATTGCCTACTTCGATCCCGCATCATCTGCCAACCAGACAGTCAGGCAAGCCCTCAACTACTTCTTACCAGTATTCTGCTTCTCAAGAACGGAAAACCAAGACCTTATGAGGAAAGTGTCTTTGCTGGCACTGCATTCTCTACTCAACTTGCGTGAGGGCCTGGAAGATGATGATGTGGATGTTGAGGAAGACATGGTTAGCATGACAACCATTGGTGCTTGTTTGGTGGATTGGACAGACCCGCGAAAGTGCTACAGCCCCGAGCTTCTCCAGGAGGGAGAGAAAAGAAACGTACCGGGTGATGTTCACCTTGATTTCGCCTGTGATATTCTAGAAAGACTTCGTGGAAGCATTAGCAGTAAGTTTTACCAAGCCACTCGCTGTCTTTGAACAACCAGAATTGGAGCTAATAATTACAAACAGAAGCCGAAAAGAAGCTGGTTGCCGGTCTTCTTGGAAAGCTATATGTATCACCCACCTCCTCAGAAGAGAAGCTCCGAGAGTCTTACGACATTGTCAGCGAGGCTGTTGAGGAGGGTCTGGTAACTGACACTACCGGCCGCAATGCGCTGTACAAGATTCATGTCAGCCTTGGCAAGATTGTCAACAGCCTTGAAGAACAGCGGCCAGCTCAGAACCGTGACGGCCGTAGCGCATCTGATACTGCGGGACGCAGCACGCCAGAAGAGGCTGAAGACCCGGAAGAACCAGAGGAACCACAAGCAGAGGAACCAGAGGAACCAGAGGAACCGGAAGAGCCTGAAGAGCCTGAAGAGCCTGAAGAGAGGCCTTCGAGATCAAGAGGCAACCCCAAGATCAAAAGGGAAGAGAACAGTGATGATGAAGGGACGGTGATACCAGAGCACAGAGATGACAATTCGCTGGTGGAGGATTTATTGTCTGATGAGGATACAAAGATGGAGGATGTGTATTAAAGAGGGGCAAGAATTAAATGGATAATGTCTCACGAAAACAATTTAGCTTGGGAACGGTGCTTGGTTTGGAGAGGTATATATGTGGTACATTGGGAATATAGTTACGCTTCTTTATGATGTGAATGATGCGATTACATCTTTTTTTTTTTTTACACTATTTAAATCTAAGTATAAATACGTATTATGCAAAAGGACAAGATTAATTATCTTTTCTTTTCTCCCCTGCTTCGGCTCAAGTACCTATCCAGAACAAGAGGCCGCCAAAAGCCACATTAACCAACAAATGCTGCCCCAAGCTCCACGCCATGCAGTACAAGTACTTTGGCGAAAACACAGTCCAGATGAATAAATGTGTTCTCAGCGCCGTACACGCCGCAATGACAAACGCCACGCTCATCGACACAAAGACAGTCAACAGAATGAGATGGTAGCGAAACGCATCCGCTCGTCCGCGCTGTCTATATTCCCGCAGGAGAAGCAAGTTCGTGGCCGAAGTCCAGAATATGGGGCCGGCCCAGTTGCCGACGAGGGTGAGGAAGCCAACGGCGATGACGTTGAAGCCGCTGATGCCGTTGTAGGCGCTGGAGAGGTCGACGGAGGAGATTGCGTTGGAGCCGCCAAAGGCGAAGAAGGTTACGTATTGGAGGAGGATGGAGGAGGTGGTGATTTCGGCGATGGAGAGGTTGGCTGATTGGAGGGTTTGGAGAATGATGGTGGAGAGGAGGAAGAGGGGGATGTTTGTGGCGCGGGTTTGGGTCATTGCGAGGAGGGTGCAGAGGTGGTGGGTGAGTTGTGCTGGTGGTGATGTATGTTAGCGGTGCTAAATCTGAATTTGTATACATATATAGAGAGGGAGGGGGAGAGAGAGAACTTACCGGCTGATTGAGTTACTTGAGGTCCTCCGACCTTTGCTCGATAGACGGCAAAGCCAAACAAAGCCGTGAGTAATCCAAAGATGATCCTCGCTCTAAAGATGAGGGATGGGCCCTGGAGGATATCCAAGAGAGTGCGTGCAAATCCCACAACCAACTCAGGGGCATCTTCCGCAGTGAAGGCCAGTTTGAAGGCAAGAGTTGCCGAAAATAAGAGTGGCACCAAGAAAGTGGTCAAGAGAAAAGGCAGGCCAGCCAAAGACAGGCTTTGGAGAGTCTGTAGGGTCACCACGACGTACGCCAGAGTGATGAAAACCCACAGCAGCTCAGGGTTGGGAATGAGAAAGGTTTTGACGGTGTCTGGCTCGCCGGCAAATTTCTGGCCAGTTTGGTTCCAGCTTCTTATGAGTCTTAGAGCGCCTAGGGCGGTTATATGACTTAATGCTGAAGAGATACGTGACGACCTAAAAAAAAATGTCAGCCATGAACATGAAGAAAGGGAAGGGATTGCAGCCCTTACCTGTGAACTTCTCTGGCACCGAGGTAAGCCAGCCATATGGTAGAAGTCCAATACCAGAAATGGTGCTCTTCCTCTACATAACTACTAGCAAACATCATGGGGCCATAAGACGTTGCGAGCAAAAACAGCGGAAGAAGAAAGCCCGACTTCCAAAAGCCTTGCAGTGTCAAGCTGGCCACGCTGGCAATCACAGCAGCGACTGAAATTCCCTGACCAAGCGATAGCCTTGACATGTCGTAGTTTGACGCCATGCTGCTCATGAGATCTTGGGCTTTACGAATCCAGGTAGACGTAGCCGCAAGCCATTCTTTGTCGACCTCATTGGCATTGGCTTGGGAAGATGCTTCCAAGTTTATTTTGCGCCATTCACAGGCTAGTTCGCTGATATCCGATGCAGATTTTGAAACGCATGGGTCGACAGACGACTGGTTGTCAAAAAGTTCGCCTCCAAACGCCGCCGTGACAATGTTGAGAATCTGTCTGGCGTTGCGAATGAGAATCTGCACCTTGTCGCTGGAACTCGGCCAAAAGGGTAAGAACTCTGGGATGAAGGCTCCAAGATTATTCTTCGAAATGGGAAACCTCATAAGCGCAGCGAGCGTGGGCGAGATATCGGACTGCTCTACCGTGGAATAGTAATCAAACTCGTTCTTGGCATGCGCAGGGGCTGGATATTTGGACGAAATCTCCTTTAGCTTTGGTGACATGAATACTAGAGCGGGTGACGTTTCTCCGGGAGATGATGCGCCGTGGTTTCCTGCGTCGTTCATGCCGTGGTCACCACAGAGAACAATTAGTGTTGACTGAAGATGGCTCTGCGTTTCTAGAGCATCAAACAGTTGGTGGACGATGCCATCCATCTCACGCTGCTTGGCTGGCATGTGACTGCTGCGAGGTCCTGATTTATGGCCAATGTGATCGAGGCCAAGATAATGAAGCACCATCAGGCTCCAGTCGTCTTTTTGAAGCTCATCGTTGATATGCCTTGTGACATTATTGTCGACTTCTGTAAAGTCCTATGGGGATACATGTAAGTCACAGGGGGGCCATGAGCTGAGTCAAGTTTTAATGGAGTCTTACGGCAACAAAGAAGCTTGAAGTGCCATCATGGCGATCAAAAGTCTCGGGGAAGAGTTTGAGCCACGTATCATCGCCGTACATGACCAGCTTGCCTGTGTCTTTTGCCTTGAGCTGAGAGAGCCACGTATCCTGGGCAGCCAGCGTTGACGAGGTATCTGCCTCGTTGATGTTGAGAATCAGATCCACAAACGAAGGAATAGACCCTGTAGTTATGGCCTTGATTCTGGGCATCGTCACGGTGGGAGACCGGGCATTAGCAGTGAAGGGGATGGCACTTCCATCGCGAATAAGGCTATAGATATTATGAGAAACTTGATTGACAGCAAAATTGCCAACAATAGGACTGACCTCTGCGTGTACTCGAATTCAGAGGCTTCGGAAAATACAAAATCGCTATTCTCACACCTTAGCACGAGCGGCGGCACGTTCAGATACATGTGAATCAACTGTACCTCCGCAACGCATCAACTACCATGAATACGAGTCTATCAAAGGGAGCTTGGGGCGGGGGGCCATATTCGAGAGCCTCAAATTCCGCCAACCCAGGAAGAAAGGGCTTATACGGGAAGAAACCAGTGGCGAACACGAGAATAGACAAAGGGATTAAAACGTTTGCCGCAGTGAGCAGGATGGAGGCCGCCAGCGACCCATTTCGTGAGGCCACCATGGCTCGATGGAAGAAGCAAACGAGAGAATCGGGTCAATTGAAAAGGACGAGAGAGAGGCTAGAGAGGCGCCTTGATCTTGCTCAGTATTTCATCAACATGATACACGGGAGAGCCATATGGAGAGGCGGATGAAGCGATAGTGAGGTCTCCCTTTCATTAAGCGTGTGAAGAAGGTTATAAAACGTGCATGTGGAAGTGAGAGCGTGATTGGCTAGGCAAGAAATGGATCGTCTAGTTGAGGCTGCTGCGCCACAGGAACAATCGGGGGCGCCACATCAAGCCTAAACTTTTTTTTTTTTTTCCATTTTTTTCTGGAGATGGCCATGGGTATCGTCAATTGAGACTGCAGAGTTGATGTATATGACAATATGTATGTATAAAATAATGAGTGCTCCGTATGTGCAAAAAAGAAACCCCAAAGATTAAAACCCAAAGATTGAAACAGTAAAAATTAAACATTTTCGATTCGATCAGGCCTTCTTGACCTTGTTTGCGGCTTCTCTCTTCTTCTTGGCGGCCAGTCTGTCGCTGTACTTGGGGAATGTGATGCTGGACTTTGTCCTCTTCTTGGTGATGCGCTTCTTGGAGATGGCGGCTCTTGTCGGTTTCTTTGCGTCCACATCCATGGCTAGAGAGTTGAAATTGTCAGTATTGGTTGATTGCCAATGTCCATGGACTGGACGTGAAGAGTGAGAGAGGGCGGGGAGTCATACTGATCTCATCTGCGGCCTGCTCTTCCTTATCCTGTGCATCGGCGCCGTCGTCTTGAAGCAAAGAGTGTTAGCGAACAACAGCCCTCCAGCTGCATGCTCAATTCAATCCAAACGAACCATCAATCTTCATCTCAGCAGGCTCGGGCTTGGCCTGTCGCGCCAGCTCCAGCAGCTTGGCGGACAGACGCTCTTGTCTCGCAGCCTCTGCAGGACCAAAGATGGTCGCAGCTTTGCGCTGGTTGTTGAATTTTTTACTGCTCGCCCGAGAACTCTTTGCCATTGTTGCGGTATTTGATGCTGAGAGCCGTCTGCTGTGTTCTGCCTTGTGCACTTCCGACCGTCCGTCTGTCTGTCTGTCCGTCGATTTGTTTGGTGTTTGTTTTCCTCTTTGAAGTATTTAGAAGGCACTCCGTAACTGCAGGAAAGAAAAGTTACGATAACAGCGAAAAGATAAGATAACGGACCCTTTGTGGCGTAAAGATTCAGTGCTAGGTGCTGGATTGTGGCGCATTACTCGCTAGCCTTTTAGCCCTCCCATCGGGTTTTGCCAGCTGCTGCCGCCTGGCCGCTGCCCAAAAATCATGTGGCGATGGCGTCGAGCATTTCCTGCTGCTATAAAGCGATGTCCTCCGAGGCTTGATAGCCAGGCGACGACGAGGGTGAGAGGAGAGTGAATGTGACGGGCGACGCTGCATCACGCGCTCACTTTCCGCCATCGCCACAGATTCAAGTCACCGCGTTGCTTCCAAGGCTCTTGGGCCCGATAGCGCCTCTATCCATCCATTCCCTGCCGACAGGAACCCTCCGTCAGCCTCGCGATTCTCACGGCCATTGTCGGCATCACGAGTGCGGCTCCAGCGACAGCCTGCACCTATCGCCGGCAGAGCGTCTCGCAGTCGCCTTTGCGACTCACTTTTGCGAGTCAATCCAGGCCCGTTCCACCACTCGTGCCGTCGAAAATAGATACCCGACCACGTTCCGATAGAGACGTCGTCTGCACCACCTCTTTTTTTCCTCGGGGCAGCAATCCGACTCTTCTCCCCCCTCAGTTCTCCTTGAGCGTTCCTCGCTCCCCTTTGATGCATTTTCGAGGACTCCCGCTCTCCCCAACCAACATCTTGCGCCACACCACCCAGCGACCATGGCGTCACCGAACATGAACTCCATCTCGCGGCACGACGTGAACACGCTGCTTCGACAAGTCCAGGGCAACTCCCTGTTCAACCGCCAGCTCTCCTCCGTCTGCCAGGTAAATGGGCTTAAGAGCACCGGCGTCAAAGCTGAGCTCCAGCGACGCATCGTACACCGTGAGTCATTTCGCCTGCAGCGCCCTTATCGCGACGGTGTGCGCGTATTCTACTCTTCTACCCTGACGCTGCATGCGACCCGTCTACAGTCTATATCCGCATAATAGGTATATACTGACCATGCTCCCGCCTGTAGTCATAAACGAAACGGTCGGCAACAACGACGTTGCGCGATTCCACCAAGTCCGGCAGAGCATCGTCAATGCCTTTGCACAAAGAGCGAGCCCGTCCAAGGCTGCGGCGGCTCGGAGTAATGGATCCGTAGCACAGCAACCTCTACCGAATCTTTCTACACCGTCAGGATCGCCCTACGGCACCACCGGCTATGCTGGTCAACGACCGTATGGACAAGTCTCGGCAAACGGAATCCCATCCCCCTATGGGTCCTCCATGTATAGCTTCTCGTTCAAACCGAGCCCTTTCTACAGTGTCGAAGGTCCCGTGAGTGGCTTGCGTACTTGTGAAGGCAAGTGCCCTTTTTTTCCAATATTCATCGTATGAACTCCAGTCTGACATGTTACTTTCACCAGTTATGGCGCAGCATAGGAACACCGTCACCATACCACTAAGACTAAGCGACTATCCTATTCTCCAACGATGCAGCGACGATAAATCATACAGGATCATGGTCTTTTGTGCGAGCGACGATAGCGGCCTGCAAGACGTGGCGTTTCCACACCAATCCGAGCTTCGAGTCAATGGTGACGAGATCAAAGCTAACCTTCGAGGCCTCAAAAATAAGCCTGGCTCTACCAGGCCTGTTGATATCACCAACGCTCTTCGCCTACGGTCAAATTACATGAATAATATCGAGTTTACATATGCTCTGACAAACAAGGTGAGCTAATTCTAATGGACGATGCATGGTTCCATTCTTTGATGGTTTCTTAGCTAACGTGATCTTGCTTGACAGAAATTCTATCTTATTGTAAACCTTTGCAAGGCAACGTCAGTAAGCGAACTGGTGACGACGATATCCAGCCGAAGAAAGATTTCTGAGGAATCGGTAATATCGGAGCGTAAGTTTTAGACAATCCAACAAGATTACCCAGTGTAACTTCACGGGCAGTTACTAACGCATTGAACTGCAGTGAATAAAATAGCACAAGATCCGGATGTCGTAGCTACATCTCAGGTTTTGTCACTCAAATGCCCACTATCATACATGAGATTGGAAGTCCCTTGTCGGAGTCTTAGCTGCACACATCTACAATGCTTTGACGCAACGTCTTATTTGCAACTTCAGGAGCAGGGACCGCAATGGTTATGTCCTATTTGTAACAAGTCGGCGCCATTTGACCAATTAGCGGTTGACGGGTACGTACCATGCCAATACTACACACCACTGCGTGCCGCATATGCTAACATGCACCCAGTTACGTCAAAGCCATTTTAGAAAAGACACCAAAGAGCCTGGAAACAGTCACTATTGAGCCAAATGGAAAGTGGTCTAGCAAACCGCCCAATGAGGACTCATCGCCATCCAGACCACGGGGGGCAGCTCTGGAGGATGATGAAGACGACGAGTTGGAGGTGTCCGAAATCATAATTGGCGGACGTCGATTAGAAACACCAAGGAAGCTGTCCCATTATACGGATACCCCGAGTTCCGGTGGCAGAGATCATTCCTCAACAGCACCGCGAGGCTCACACAGCGCCAAACGACCAGCACCAGCGGTGATTGACCTAACACTATCGTCTGACGATGAAGAGCCCATTCAGCGACCGAGCAAGCGCCAGCACACGAACATGGTTACCTATCATCGCGCCTCAAGCCCCCCGTTTCTAAGCGAGTCTCCTATCAATTACCAACACTAGCAGGGGGCTCTACCAGCAGGGGGTGCTCTACCAATAGCAGCTATGAGCCAACAGGCATCGCAGTGGTCTAATTGAGCTTGGCGAAGAAGGAAGGAACATTATAGAGTAAACTTATTATATATCGTTTTTACAAGAGAAGAGAGGTAGGGCAGGGCAAGGCAAGGCAGGGCAAGGAGAAAGCATGAGAACGAGGCCCGAAGAGTTTTGATTTTCAAGTCAGCAGAGGCGTTCAGGGTGACGAGGGCAGGAAAAGGATAATTCCCCTTTGGTTTGGTACAATGGTAGTTTGTCTGCTATTTTGTTTATGAGCGAAAGAAGGGGCAGGTTACCAGCGATGCAGAGAGGACCAAAGTTGCATGGACTACCAAGGACCCGGCCGCTGGTAGTAGGTCAGTCATTATTTAAGAAACTGGATATTTGATTAATAGCTATTGAGCTGTGTCTTTTTGTAAATCGTGATGGTGTGTGCCTGGGCATGCAAGCCAGCCACTTGCTTGTGCGGCTGCATATTCGTTTTGCGATTGGGGGGTGGGGGGNGGAGGGGGAGGGGGGAAGGGGGAATAAATGGCAGCATCGTATCAAAACCTCATCAACTGAAACTGCAAATCCAAGTAATTAGGTACCTTTCTCAGCAGTAATGTACATTGCGTTGTGTCCCTATTACAAGATTATTGTACATGTCCATCCCTCTTATTACTAGGAAATAATACGAATCTCGACTTGTCTCCAGCGAGTTACTTGTACAAGCTCGCACATTGTATCATTCATCTTTATATTAGTTAGTACCTGTTGATATCAGCTTTCAACAATGCTAAAAAGTGAAAAGATTTAATCATGCATGCTTCTCCCAAAAAGGGCGGTTGATGGCAGATAATAGGTACCTACCTAGTAGGTCGGTTCGGAGCACCACAGGCCTATACTGCATCCACACACCCCGCCTATAATCGCGGCACCAAGTACGTACCTTGCCTCGTCCAGCGGCCATGCATGCACCTCCAGCTACATCTAGTACCTACAGCTTTACCTCCCACCACCAAATCTCCTCCCATCACCACCACTCTTCTTCCACTCTATACGACCTCCACCTCGCCTTCTCCTCCTTCTCTTCTCTCTCTCTCTCTCTCCCACTCTCAACCAAATCAACCAAATCAACCAATCAGCCACACACAAAATGTCTCTCTCCCCTCCCCTCCCCCCCTTCAACTCCTCCGACCCAACCGCCACGTTCCTCTCCTCCTCCACCCTCGACTTCCTCCTCATCGAACTCGTCCCGCTCGCCCACCGCGTCACCGTCGAGCGCGACCTCGCCTCTCCCTCAGCCCTAGCCCCAGCCTCAGCCTCAGCAGCAGACACAGCCGCCCTGCAGTCTCCCCCCCACAGCGCAGCGACAGCAAAGTCCGAAACCACATCCGGCACAGTCGTCGGCGACGCAGCGGCAGCAGCAGCAGGAGATACCCCCAAGAGGATAGACGACGAGGAACATCTCGATGCGGTGCATTATAGACTCGAGTCGCAGGGTTACCGCGTTGGCCAGGGTCTTGTAGAAAGGTACATTTCTTTTTTCCTCTAAAAGAATAAGAATACATATATATCCAGTCTTTTCCCCTCCAAACGCCAGAAATAGTAGCTAAACAGCACCCGAATTTCGCTCGGCGCATAACAGATTCTCTCGCGATCGACCCCGCTTCAACGATACCCTCGACGTAATCAAGTTCCTCTGCAAAGACCTGTGGTCTCTCGTCTTTGGCAAGAACATTGACAATCTCAAGACAAATCACCGAGTACGTGCGCCGCAAATACACATACACACACTTTTATATAATATATGCATACCTACTGTTACCAAGATCGCATCCATCTCAGTAACATACTTGCTTACACAAATATTCAGGGAGTCTACGTCCTCACCGACAATGCCTTCCGTCCATTCTCGCGCATGAGCACAGAAACCGGCAGCCATGCCATCGTCCGAGCACAGCCTGTACGTCCAACACGAAGCAATTCTTTCTTTGGAATCCAAATCAATCACATGTCATCAGTCTGATCATTGCTTACACACAATTGTTTTCCATTCATTCTAGTTCCTATGGTTCCCCTGCGGCATCATCCGCGGCGCATTAGCTGCTCTGGGTATCAACGCCACCGTTCAAGCCGAAGTCAATGAGCTACCGGGAGCCATATTTCAGATCAAGACCATCCCCGCCAAGCCATAGTAACCAAAACCGCTACAACGACAACTTTGCGTACTGAGAACTAAGAGAAAGATGAGAACCATAAAGGAGTGGACAAATGAGCCATGTGCGAATAGACGACGCAATCCGCCTTTTTGTTTTTTTCTTTTTTTCGTTCTTTCTTCTTTCCCAGACAAAAGCAACTCCATTACTCAGCTTCATGCAACTAGCAGAGAACTAATATTCAATGGGGACGAGAGGCTATTCGACAGAAAAGGCTTCGCATGGGGAGGGGTAGAGACTCTGGGACATTTTACAGCCTATGAAAGAAAAGCAAATCATCAGCCACCCTGCTTATGCGCGCGTATATATATTATACCTAGTAGTCATAGCTATTGTGCGCAAGACCGGCTCCATCGACACTAGAAAAGGCTACCAGCACACTTGGGGAAATTGGAGGAAAGTATTTACTTTTGGGGAGGGTTGTGGGCGAAGTCGACGCCCTTCTGGATGTTGCCCTTGAGGCCCTCGATAGCCTTGCCCAAGAGCTCCTTCTCCTTCTCGGTAATGCCCTCCAGGGGGTTGGTGGCCTTCTCAACACCGTTGGGCTACGAAACGTTAGTCAAATAATGTATCATTAGAATTGAAAACTGGTGCATCTTGACTTACTCCAAGCTCAACAGGGACAGAGAAGAAGTCGACGCCAGTAGCCTTGGCGACGGCCTCACCGCCGGGAACACCAGGCAGGTAGACGTAGCTGGGCTCAACAAGGCCCTTTTCACCCTTGGCAGCGCGGAGCAGCTTCTCGGCGAATCTAAAAGTTTCACGTTAGTATTTTGCAGCCAGAATGGAGGGAATGTGAAGGGGGATCTCACCGGAAACCGGCATAAGCCATGGACAGAGTAGCGGAACCAGCACCGTCCTTGGCCTTGACGACCTCGTCACCACCAAACTGCACACGGTTGACAAGAGCGTCGTACTTGTCGGCAGGGATGGTGACAGCAGGGTTGGCCTTGCTGATAAGAGGCAGGATAGTCTCACCAGAGTGGCCACCAACGACGGGGATGGTCAGCTTCTGGGGCTGGGACTCGCCAACAATCTCGGCAACAAAGGTCTCGGCACGGACAATGTCGAGAGTGGTGACACCAAAGAGGCGTTGGGGGTTGAAGACCTTCTTGGCCTTGAGGACCTCGGCGGAAATGGGGACAGTGGAGTTGACGGGGTTGGAGATGACGAGGATGAAAGCCTTGGGAGCAACCTCGGCAATGGTCTCGATCAGGCCCTTGACGATGCCAGCGTTGATGTTGAACAGGTCGTCACGGGTCATGCCAGGCTTGCCTGTGAACAATTGCGGCGTTAGCAGCTGTAGCAGTAGCACATTGTATCCAATCACATGCTGAACCCTCGAGCAGCCCCAGACGGGTAGTAATTGTAGCTAGCCATAGGACGTAATACGTACGGGGAATACCAGCGGGGATGACAATGATGTCGGCATCCTTGAAAGCGGCCTTGGCGCCCTCGTTGGCGGGCAGGTAGCCGGTAACCTTCTATTGAGGAGGAAAACGGTATAGCGTTAGCGATGCGAAGCTGCGGAAGTCGGCCCAAAGGAAGCTCGGAGCATGGCACTCGGCGATGCGGCGAGTCGGGCGAGCGCGACTGGAGCTTACCGCAGGGGAGGAGATATGGGAGAGATCGGCGGCAACACCGGGAGTGTTGACAACATCGTACAGAGCCAGCTCGTCGATGAGAGGACTGGCCTTGAGGAGGAGGGACAGAGGCTGATAGCAAGAAGATGCGTTGTTAGCTTGGGGGTCCGATTACGCAGACTGAGGGAGAAGATTGAAAAAAGAAGAAGAAGAGGAAGACTTCATACCTGTCCAATACCTCCGGAAGCACCAGCAACAACTATCACGCCAGACTGGTCAGTATCACGGATTGCATGCACACGCAATTTCTCATGACGCGAGCTCTTAAAACAGCTTCTCTGCTGAGCCGGGTGCGGGGTTGAGGGGCAATGCAGCTCTAGGCCATGATGTTCGAGTTCATACCTGCTTTGACCATTGTGACGGTTTTGTGTGTGGAAAAAAAAAAAAAGAGACGAGGTGAAAATAAAAGCAAAGCTTGAAGTTGAGTAGAAGAGGAGGAAGTTTGAAGGAGGAGGAAGATGGAGAATGGAGGAGGATAAGAGAGTCTGTTCTCTTTTTTTTCTAGGAGGGAAATTGCGTGAGATGGCTCTTTCTTGTATTTGGCTCTTTCCGCCAAGGGGGGGGGGGGGGGGGGGGCGTGGGATTTCTTGCGCTATAGGCTACAGTGGACTAGGTAGCACTTTAAGCTGCTTTTGGCCACCCGAAGCCAGAGATGTTTGGAGGGGTAATGGGCGCTGTGAGTTGTGAGTACCTACTTGGAGCTGGCTGTGAATCTGCGTGCGCTTTTGTTTGGCGCTGAGCTGGCCAATCGGGAGGGCAGAAGCAGCCGCATTTCGATGCGATATGGCTAATATCTATTACTATCTACAAGTGCCGCATCGCGTCTTGATTATGCCGCTCTCAAAACCGCATAGCACAAACAAAAGCACAGGTAAAAATCCATCTGGGTAGGTACCTATCTTCCGTCTCCCATGGCAATCAATCAATACTCTCGCAGTCAACATCTGCACGTGAATTGCACACAGCATACCTACCTAGTATGTACGTAGTCCTATACACACACGCCCCCGTCATGTTCCGATCCTGGCTCCCGTTTCCCGACTGAATGTGCCGAGACAATTCGACAGTAGTCAAATAAAAGGCTTGTGATTTGCAGCGGCTCGGGGAGAGTAGGTGCACGTTTGCCTGCGGTTTTGGAGAAAAAGCCGGGGTGTGGAGGCGGCGCTGGTTCCGAGGTCTACCGGGCCCCGGCGGCATGAAAAGACTTGGAGATCTGGGACAGAGTAGCCGAGCTATCGCGTGCAATCGGAACTGGGAGATGGTGCTAAATGGGTTTAATGCATGTATAAACCACCGTATAGTACTGTATATGTCATCATCCCTTTATGTTTACGCTAACAAGTGTTTGGTAAGAAAGATGATGGCTTGGCCTGGTAGGTCCAAGTCCGGCAAGAGAGGCCGGAAAGGTGTGTCGGATACGGTAGCTCACGGAGCTGAATATGCTGCAGGCCGGGCTATGTTTCCGTCGCATTACGGACACCTTCCTGACAAAAAGCATTTACATACGTACATAATAAATCGTAGGGCCAAGCAGCACGTTATCGGCGCCGAACCTACACAACTAAAGCCAGGCCGAAGACTGCTGTTTATACAACGTCCAAATCGCGGCATATAACCTCTACTCGCACGACGTCACATGCTTCACACTCGTCATCATTGCAAACGTAGGTATTGTAAGAATTCATTGGAATCATCTTCTTCCTCATGAACTCCAGATTGCGGCCCCTCATCGGCAACCACAATATTGGTTTGTTCGTCTCGCCCGAACCGTTTCGGGAATCCAACCGCAGCCCCAGCCGTGGCAAAAAAAAAAACCAACAAATCTCTCAGAGAAGACGGACGCCCACTCGCAAAAATCATAACAATGGGCCCCGTCTCTCCCCCGGATTCGTTCCTTTTGTACCAGGCCAGCCAATGTACAGTATAAAAAGAATAATAGCCCGTCAGACCCCTACTTCCAGCCCCAGCCAAACTCCCATGCTCATCCCCATAGTTCTTTTTTCAAAGCGCTATTTTCCACTTCCCATTTTTTTGTTTTGTCCTCTCGTTTAGGACTCGCCGGCAGAGGCAGCCTTGAGGGCCTTCTTGCCCCTCAGCTTGGGCTCGGGGTCGGCCTTGACGGGGAGCTGGGACTTGCGGATGGCGGAGGCACGCTCGACAGCGGCCTCACGGAGGTCAGCGCGGTAGCCGGACTTGGCGACCTGGCTGGCAATGGCCTTGTAGGTCCTAAATTACACCAACAGCCATTAATATCTTGTTTTCCCACTCTCCCCTTTGATTGTAGAAACACAATTTTGCTCTCCAGGAGTTTCGTGAAAACACTTACTTGCGGGTGGACTTGCCGCCACCAATGGTGGTGGTAGCAACGCTCTTGGCGGGCTGGTGGACGGCAGCAGCCTTCTTGCTGACGACAACAACACCGCCCTTCTCGCCGGCGGAGATACCAACAGCCTATACAACACTTCGCTTTAGTAACAGTATTCGGAGATTTGGTATTCGGGCTTGCGTATGTGTTTCGGGATCGAGGACATCATGTCGTTCGTACCTTGTCGTTGACAAAGCCAGCGTACTACCAAGCTAGTTAGCCATCGTTCAAAAAAAAAAAAAAAAAGGATGCATCCCCCTCCATGGTCTAGAATCGGGATATCGTATCGTACCTTGCGGCTGTTCTTGTTGGTCAGGTTAAGGGGGTCGCGAGACAGCTGGATACCGCCATTTGAGGCAGCACCGGTCTTGTGGAGGTAGCTGTTGTTGTTTCCTATACCACAAATCTTCGTTTAGCCCATTTTCCTCCATTTTTGCAGCAATTCCTCCTCTATTCTCTCGCCAATTCGAGCAAGAGAGAAAGAAAAATGTTGTTATAGACTCACGGACAATCTCCCAGACAAGGTCCGAGGAAATGTTGGGGAGAGCGGCAGCCATTTTGTCGGTAATCGTGAGGATTGATGTGTTTCGCGACGTCGAGGTTCGTTTCTTTCGCTGGGATCTCGAAATTGGGAAGCACCCTCTTCTCTCTCAGCGGGAAATGTGTGGGCTCGCTTAGATGCCGCATTGCGGTTAGCGCGCATACGCTGCGGTTATCGCTCCTTATCGGCGGCAGAAGCGGAGGTGCCTGTGGCTGGAGGACCACATGCTGCAAACAGGGAACTTGGATGGATCCCGCACAGCCACGTTTCGCTGCTGCAGCCGCATTTGATGAGGCAACACGTCAGACGGCGGCAAATGAGGCCCTCGTAAAACCCGTCTGATCCAGCAAATCGCGGCATCTCCCCGGCCACCAGACACAGGCATCGCCCGACCAACAACCTGCTAGCCATGAGCTGGACCATCTGCTAGTCGCCGCATCTCCAGGCTTTTACTTGTTTGATTTTCTTGCCGCCACGGGCTTCTTCCCTTCTCTTTTCGCTTTTCCTTTCTCCTATCCCATTCCAACGACATTCCCGCGCCGTCATCCGAGATAACCGAAGCAACATCCAAGCAACAACCCCAAATTTCTTTATCACAATGTCGTACCTCCTCTACTCCGTCTGCTTCGCCCTGTTCGTCGCCGCCACAGCGCTCTTCTTCACGCGATCCTGGTGGCTGCGTCACCTCCACGAAATCCACCTCCCGGGGTCTGACTATCTCTACTCCCGTCTGCCCTCATCCTTTGCCGGCGACATCGAAGCCGGCCTGTCGAGCAGCACATTCGACCTCCACGGAAACATCGAGGATGGAGACGAGCGCGCCGGCCTGGACGAGGAGAGCAAGATCGCCATCCTCAAGATCATGAAGCGACGGCGCATGAAGTTTGACCAGGCGCGCAAGGTCTACATGGAGGAGCGCTTCAAGGCCAACGGCATTGGGGCTGATGGCCGGCCGAGGGATCCCAAATTTGTCAGCTTCTCATGAAACAGCAAGACGCATGAGTGACTACTTTTGGTGCCAGCGTTGACCTTGTCTTGATGTGCTATCTGGGCCGCTTACAACGACTTTACAACTTATACAACCCGCTGATTCTGGAATATCTCTCGCGCGGATACATCTCCTTAAACTTTTCTTGGTGCCTGGTCTTTTCCTTTCTCCATCTTGTCGTTTTTCCACCTCTTCTTTATTATCCTGCGCTTGGTCGCATATAAGTCCACTCGTTATCCACTCTCTTATACTATCCTTTTCTTTTTCTTATTACTGCTTTGTCGACAGGCAGAAAAGCAAAACATTGAAAAAAAAAAAAAAAAAAAAACCGTCAGTGGGTGCATGCAAATCTACGTCATACGCGACTTTTTTTTTTTTTCCTTTTACTCAGAACGCGAGCGTCACTTTTTAATTTCATTGATTTCATTCTTGTCTGAGCTGGAGTTATGGGGGAATGTGTCATTATTATTATTACATTCGCCGGGCAATATGCGCCGGTGTCTTCGACATCAGTCTTTAGATGAGCTATACTAGACATCATTCAAGAGACTTTTTGGTTTTTCGTATTTTTGTTTCGTGGTCCCATCTGCCTCTAAACGCCTCTGCCACCTAAAATGCTCTGAAGAATAATCCGTTTACCAAAATCTCCGAATAATGTAATGGGATTTCTTCATCTTGTATCCCACCCAACGGACTTTTTTGTAAGAAGAAAAAAAAAGTATATATACACTGTATGTTAAGAAGAGTGAAAAATAGTGGCAGATTATATAAAAGTATATGGAGCCAATCAAATATCTCGCCGTAGCGTGATGAATCTTTTCCATGGTCGTAAAGTTATGGTTGTAAAAATTGGGAAGCGCAAATCTTTTAAAGATCAAAGTTGCACTTATTTGTTCTTCTTGGTCTTGAGGTCAGGGCCGTAGGTCCTGTCATCATCACCCTCGACCTCCTTGACGGTCTCGTCAACGGCCTTGGACTCGGCGTTCCACTTCTCCTCGGACATCTTGATGTCCTTCTCGAACATCCAGTCCTCGGGCATTCTGTAAGTGCCGCCCAGGCGGTCAAAGGCAGTGAAGAACTGGCCGTAGTTGACCTCGAATCGAGAGTGGTGCAGCGAGTGGCAGGCCGCGCCGTTGACGACCGGGTTGTTGGTGAGGTACTCGCCGTCGTGGATCATGATGGTCCAGAAGTTGACAAAGACGAAGAGGAAGACGTAGGCCATCTTCTGCAGCGGGAAGATGAAGGGGAAGATGTGATACGGGATGGACTGGGCGAAGCCGTCGACGGGGTGGAAGGCATGGCTGGCGTAGGGCGTAGGCATGATCCACTTGTGGTGAGGCTTGTGCAGGCCCTTGTAGATGGAGGGGTGGTGGAGGCCGCGGTGAATCCAGTAGATGAGGAAGTCGGTGAAGACGAGGAAGAGCGGGAACTGGAAGAAGTTGTACCACAAGCCGGGGCCCTGCTCGGTGACATCGTAGAGCTTGCCGTAGCCGCGGACCTCGAGCAGGAACAAGGGCGCCGTCATCATGGCCATGAAGGGCATGGACTTGTTGGTGTGGATAATCTCGAGCCAGATCTGGTTCTTGAGGTACTTGGGGTGGTTCATGATGCGCTTGTCGAAGATGAACAAGAAGGACAGGGAAGCAAAGATGAAGTAGACGATTATGCCGAAGATCCTGTACAGAGCATCCATTGTTAGCCAGACTGTATCTTTGTACCTGCTATGTAGCAATTGTGCAGCTGATTGAAGTAAAGTCACGTACCAAGTGATGAAGAAGAGGGTCGCTCCCTGGCGGTAGATGTTGTCGCGTGTCATGGAGCTCATGTAGGCAGCCTGACTGGGCTCGAACTGGATGTACTGCGTCGCAGGCTCGTACGTCCACGACGAGAGGGCCTTGGCCGACGCATTGGCAGCAGCGTCGGGGAAGTTGTAGAGTGCCGCCTTCAGCGGGAAGAGATAGGCGTAGACATGGTCGGCGATGAAGGTGTCGGTGACTTCGAGCACGACATCCATGGTGGGCGGGAGTTGAAGGGCGACACGCCTCGATGGGAAGTTGACCAGAGAGACGCCCAAGAAGAAGAAGAGAAAGAGTGAATTTGGTGTTGCGCGGGTTCGGAGATGGCGGGCTGGTCGCGACAGCGAAGAAGGGCCAATTTAAATACTGAGCCTAGTCGGACTTTGGAACAATAAGAAAAAAAAAGAAAACTGGGGCACACCGTCAGGGGTTCTGCGCAGATGGGTGCTGCGTTCGCCCGATTGAGGTTTGGCGCAGCAGAGGCGCAAAGGGGGGGAGGATCAGATAAAGAGGGGGAGGCGATCAGTTCTATTGTTGACAGAGCTAGAAGCTTGGAGAGCTGTCAATTGGCTGCAGGGCCGGGGTTTGGAAGAGAAACAGTGCCTGGATGGAAGAGGCGATACTATGTTGTCGGGCAATGACGACGGGTTTTGCTCTTCTTATACGGGCCGGGTCTTGTATAAGACTGTCGACAAGCAGATGCCTGCCTCGATTTCAACATATCATATACCGATCTGCTCCGTAAACGCGCACCAATCTCTCGCTCCCTTCCCATCTTCTTCGTATCTACTGCTGCTGTAGTACTGCTTCCTGGTTCCGCAGCAATTCATAGCATCCCACCAACGCATCTCGCTGGCCCGCCCCTTTCCACGGAGCTTCCTCGACCCGGCGCCAGGATATGGTGTGATTTGGCCCAAAGCATGCCGAAGCTCTACGGCTCTCCGAATCAGATCCAGAGGACCAGCGCATCAGACACTGCGTTAAAGTGGCTCGCCGAGCGGAGCCGAGCGAAAAGGTGGCCAGAGAGCGAGCTGAAAATGTCCTGATATCGCGGATGGTGCCTGAGCCGTGCGAGGGACCGTGTTATGTAAGCCGCCTGTTTTGCGGGGAGCCGAGAAGTGGAAAACGTATTCGCGGTTTATCGATACGAATACGCGAAATGCATGACATTGGATGCGTCCCGGCCTCTGGATTATCCACTGTGCTCCGTAGGAAGATTGGGATTGGCAGGCATCCAGATCAGATGCTGTGTAGAGAACGGTAGGGCAGTGTTTCTCCCATTTTACCAGATCCTATTCGAGCCCGACGATTTCCACTCACACTCGCCCTCCCTGACCGCCATATCGTAATCCGATGGAACGAATCGGCTGCCTTATGCTTATTCATACGTCGAGCAGAAGCAAGGCACGTACTCGTATCTGTAGCCAGGCACGGCGTGTAATTGCAGCTCCAGCTTTGCCCACAGTTTCAAATTTTCCATCGTGATTATCGTGCGTTGCTGCATCGCGATTCAATACAGTATACGTTATCTCAACGTATGATCGTTAGATAAATTGTAAGCCATCGCAGAAATGAGGTTACTCCTATCCTATCTTATATCGTACTACTAGTAGTAATAGGAGATTGCTTTGCTTACTCCTTAGAGGCACAAGAACCTTTGTCTTACTTTCAACACCAGCTCTCCTCGGGTATGCATGAGCAAATGTAAAACTACTACTCCGTAGTAGTACGTGTTCACCCAAACTTGGGCAATGAGTAGGCAGGATCGCATGCAGAGCGATGCCGCGTTGGGAGTCACGGAATTAGAACTGGTTCACAAAGTACTTCCGTATAGGAACATGACTGCAGACACCTTCAAAGGAAATCCGCATCTTTGCCTACAAGCTAATTTTATCGAGAGCTACGATTGTCCGGCCTCTTCTCTTGTAATCTCGGGACATCCATCTCCCCATCAAGAAGAAACTTGTCTTTTAAGACATGGCTGGTCGCTTCAGTTCGAACAGTCAAGCGGGATCAACCCTAGCTCGCGCGATAGCATCATTCATGATATTATAGGCAATGGACAGAATCGACGCCTTCGCAATTAGACAGTGTAAGTAAACCACGACTCGTTGTTTATAAGTCCGAACTCTGTCCGGTCCGTGATCGCCGAAAGCCCGGATCGCGATACCATCTCCGTTCTCATAGTGCAGGTGGGCTCGGCATGAGCACGGAGCGAACCCGGGGTCTGTTGGCACACTTTTATTCCGCGGAGGAACATGCCCTCCAGCTCTATTAAATCTTCACTGGCCTCTCTACCGCGCCGTATCTGTGCCCAGGCCGCATGTAGCGTCGCCTGGGATTAATTGCGGGTAGATACCCGGCCCTAGCCTTGCGCTGAGGGAGGTCTGCCGGGTAGCAGCGATAGCGTGGGCTAGGGTTCGGCGATTTGGCGATTGATTGACGCTGCGAGCGTATGGAGTTGCGGAGGAGGCCTTGGCTGTTTTGCGTCAAGATGTGCTGCCGCGCCTAATTTATATGGCGCAGCTCGTATAATGGACACACGGACACGGTTATCTCTACATCGATATTGAAGAATTTCACCTCATTTTTCTCGGACTTACAGTTACCAGAACCTCCCAAGCTCCAGCTAGCAATCTTGGCGTATCTCACAAACATCGGCAAAGCTTGAGCAAAGATCTAGGTAAAAGCATGCATAGGTACATGTGTTGGGTTTAATATCTGTAGGGTAGCCGGGCCTCACACATATCAGCACCTCGACCGCGATGGGGGTTATTCTTTATGTGGACCACATGTATGGAGCACTGCGGGTAGCGTTCACACATGACAGCTTCCAATATATGGACCCTCCTTTTGTTGCACAAGGGCTAGGGCTTTCCATTTGATTTCACGTCATGGAGGTCGCGCGCAAGACAGTGTGCAACCACACCGAATATTGCACGCATGATGCCGCTGGCCTACAGGCACTGATAGGATCAATGGACGTTTACGAGGGCGGGAATAAAGTACATGTAGCGACTAGTCTCTCGTTCATGCTATAGGGTGGATGCCGCAAATTGATCTCCGGCTGAATCACACGTATATAGGTACTGTACACGATACGAAGGGGTAGATGAACAGAACAAACTTGTTTGAAGCTTGATGGCTGTTTGACGCTACTCGCCAGAAAAGCCGCCATCTACCCCAAAGCAGAATTGATCCCGCTTCTAATAATACCACCCTGCGCTGAGCTAGAGCTAGTATCTTCGGCCGTGCTGTGCTTGTACTGTACCATAGCACCAGCCATGAGCCTAATACCGGTCCGTGGACAAGGTGAGAGCTTCCAAGACACATACACACACACACCTGGCACCTGTTACATCGTAGGATCACTAGCCGGCACTGCACACCTCCCTCGCAGCGCCGGCGGGCGGATGGGCCAATCCTACCAGCGTTGCTAGATTGATTACCTACATACATGACATTGCTACCAAAGAATTGGCAGACGAGCAGATCGATCATGGGGGCTGCAGCAACAGTGGCGGCAATGGCAGTAAGCAGCGCTACTACAGTAGTATACCTCCTTGTAGGTTATCAACTCTTCATTCCTGCGCACATTGAGACAGATGCAGAACGCTGCAGAAAACTGCAGAAAGGCAAAATGGGAGAAGTCGGAAAGTGCCGTCAAAAGCCGTTGAAGCCGGTAGGGAGTTTTTTTTTCGTTGGTACCCACGTCGTCCACCTAGGGAGAGAGTGGAGATGTGGGAAGAGAAGAAAAATAGATAAAGAGAGCCTAGACAAAGCACACAAGGCTGCCAAGAGTTTTTCCTTAGCCTCATGTGGCTGCAGCCGGCTAGGGAAGAAGCCAAGCGAGACAATTGCGAGGTTGAAGTGACAGCATGGCAAAGCTTTGATGCAAACGGGTCATTGAGCAGACAGTAACACAACACGAGTAGGAAATGAGCGACGAAAATTGGGAGTTTCTGCAAAGTATTGCACATGTTCGTTGATTGTGGCACTACTAACGTACCAATGGCTGAGTGGGCTTTTGGACTTTGAGAGGCTTTTGTAAAACCAGAGACACCACCAAGGTGCTGTACAAATAGGTGGTAGTGTAACCTTCAGCTCCAGCCAGCCAGCCCAACCTCTGTTTGGATTCAGAGTTTTCGATTTTTTTCCCCCAAAGTGATATGGTTATAACAGTGCTCACTCACCGGCGTCATCGTCATCTGCCTTCCTCCACCGTGGCATCATTGGCTTGCATTAAGCTCGGGTAGTGACATGGCGCGCGCCTCTTCCTCGCTGCCAGCCACCGGATATCGGGCCCAGCCTTTGCCTGGCGCCGTGGCAACATGGGAAAACCGATGCGAAGCGGAATGATGGAGGTATATCATGGAAAAAAGCATGAAGGATGGACGTGTGTGAGTGTGTGTGTGTGTGATTTGTGTGTGATGTCTGTGATGAGTGTGTACTGGCAGGTATCGCAGCGTGTGCCCGCGCGTGTCCGGAGCGAGTACAGCCGCCAGCCACGGAACCACGCCGGGACGCGCGCCAAGCACGACGTCAGCGAGGCCACGGCCTAAGCCGCAAGTGGCAGCCTCCAGAACGGTACCTGGGCTGGTACTCCGGCCGATATCATGGGGAACTCGATGGCGGGCTGGGCTGTGGCTGGTGTTAGGCTCGCAGCGTCCAGCAGGGCCCCGCTCCCTAAAAGGGCCCCCTTGCCTGCCTAAAACTCCCCTAGTGGATCCCCGCCGGGCCCACTGTGGTGCCAACCCTTGCGTTGCCAGAGCCCACCCACATGCTCCATCCGCTGAGCGCGTGTGTGTGATGCGGAACCATCCATCAGAGCTAAGCTGCGCGACCCCACCGTGCCGGGCTGGGCCTCTGCACGCCCTGGCCCTGCGTGCTGGGGGGGGAGAATAGCGGGCGGCGGATTTTTGCGTGTTAGGGGCACAGATGGATAGTATGTACGGAGTAGAGAGGGAGCACAGGCTGAAGATGGTTTGATAGGACGACATGGCAGATGGGATGGCATGGAGAGGGGGGCGCGGGCTGATATGAGAGGCGCTTACATAGTACACGCTCTTTGTACGTTACACACGGTCCATGTGGTGCTGCAGCCGTGGATGTATGATGTGAGTGAGGATCTTGCCTTTAGTAATACACCTTGCACGCTCACACAGGAGCACTGTTTTCTGAGGAACAAGAGTCAGTCAGTCATTTGCTTTGAATTGCTGCTCCATGGTGGCGTATATACTGCTAATATACCTACTAGTATATATGTACGTGTGTACCTACCTTATATATGTACGTGCGCGAGATCATGCTGATTGGAACTTGCTCGCAGTTCATGTTTTTCAGCCTCAGTTCCAGTTTCAAGACGCCACGCGCAAACAGCCCAGCCCAGCCCCTTCAGCCACTCGCAGCTAGGAGCAACTCTAGAAGTTGAGAGGACGACACCCTCTTCCGATGCCATGCTGATGGCCATTCTAGCGCCGTAGAAAGCAAAGAATGTCATCCGCTGCAGTTTCCCAATCTCCCTTGCATGTGCATGTGTACTCGCATGTGTACAGTGCAGTGCATAGTAGTACAATACAATACAATGCAAGTTGGTATATCAGGAGTAATATACCTACATACCTACATACTAGGTATATTGCCTCGTGTTGCTGGCGTTGGTGCTTCATGCAGGTGTGTGTGTGTGTGTGCAACCCCTAACAAGAGGTCGGCCAAGCAAGGTGTGATTGATGATGCATTTCTCCTTGACCTATAGTATAACTACCTAACCATATATCTGTGCTACATACATCAAAAACTCCTAGCCCGTCTGTCTGTCTGGGCTGTCCTGTCTTACGTCTGCCGTGCATACATGCCACATCTCACACACACACATCTCACCCCTAAAAAAGAAGTCTCAGGAAATAAAAAGAACAAACAGATACTACTGTCAGGTATCGCACCAGCGTGGCCTAAGCTTTTTTTTCTTTCTTCTCTTTTGTTTCCGTCTGCCCACACCCACGCCCCTCCGCGAGCCCCAGTCGCAGCCAGGCTAGCGGGTCCTGCGCTACCGGTACGAGCGCCCACCCTCTGACTGGTACATGCAGGCCCTGTCGCATGTACATGTGGGCTGCGCACGGAGCACGCTCGCCAGGCCCGCCACCAGCGTGGAGCCTGTACTTGGGCTGCATGTACAACGAGGCGCCCCCCCTTGGCGGAACCAGAGCTGCTTGGCTGCTTCTGGGACGCAGAGCCTGGCTCGCTTCAAGTGCTCCACCGAGTTACCTTATTCCCCCAGCCGCGACGGCTGTCGTACCTCACAAGTTCCTCTTCTTTCGCCTTCTTCGCCTTTTCCTCTCTCTTCCCTTCCTCTCTGCTCTGCCGCTCCGCGTCGACGAACAACTCCACGCATCGAATCACGCCCGTCGCTGCGAGTGGACACGCGATCGAGCCGCTGAACCCATCAGTGCCATCCCTGATTTTATCGCCGCCCAAGCCGCCCAGCCTCAGCCTCACCCGCCGACAGGGTTTTTTCTTCTTTTTCTCTCGCTGCCTTCGCGAAGCTGTGCTTTCCCCAGAAGCAGCCGCCTTCATCGAGCCTGGTTGGACAACTCGGCATTCCGGCTGTCCCGCCTGCTGATCTCCGGATCGAGGCGATAAGCTGGCCTCAGCCCGCTCCTCATCTTTTCCCCCTCCTGCATCACCGCCATCGCCATTTTCTCCGAGCCGAGTCGAACCCAATCGATTGTCGCGCCGTGCCGCAACCGCCATCTCCGTCTCGTCACAATCTGAATCCCACAGCCGCCAAAATCAACCATGTCCATGTATTCGCATCGCGGCATGGGGGCTGTGCCTCCCGGCAATGCTCGCCTGAACGAGCTGCTTGAGCAGATCAGAGCTGAGTTCGATAGCCAACAGCGTCAGACCGAAAGCTTTGAGCATCAGAGTACGCTTCCCTTGCATGTACCATCTATTTCGACGACCATTGTGCGCGTTTGATGAGTGGAGCACTTTTGAGAAGGAAGAGAAAAATTCGCACAAAATTGAAAAAAGAAGAAAAAAAAAAAATCAAAGGCACAGAAGTCGAAGCAAAAGGATCATGAGCTAACCTGCTTTTTTTTTTTTAATTTATAGTCTCAGCACAAGTTAGTGAAATGCAGCTGGTTCGCGAAAAGGTCTATGCCATGGAGCAAACGCATATGACGCTCAAGCAAAAGTAGGCAGCGCCTCTCCCCTATCCTGCAATCCGCACGTCTCGCAAGTCGCTAACCGCATCCCACTCTCCAGATATGAGGAGGAGATCAACATGCTGAGGCATCAGCTCGAACTTGCTCGTAAGGGAGCTCCGCAGTCGGGTTTGCAAGGACCTCCTCAACACGCAGGGCCGTCTCAGCAGCCCCCATCGATTGCTCCTGGAAACGGCCTCTTCAGCGGCATCATGGCTGGTGGCAACCAGGGAGGTCTGGCGCCGCCGCAGCCTCAGGCAACTCCCCAGGATCAGCAGATGGGCCCTCACCACCACCAGATGGCTCAAGGCCCCCCAGGACTGCCCGTCCCCCCTCCCCACCCCAACGCGCAGCAGCAGCAACAGCAGCAGCAGCCCCCTCAGCAGCAGCCTCCATACCAGCAGCAGGCCTATCCCCAGGGCCCTGGCCCCGTCGTGTCCAACGGCATGGGCCCTCAGCCGCCGCAGAGCACCGCGTCGCCCGGCCCAGGTCGCCGAGCCATCAACCGGCCCCCGAACGCCGTCGGGCCTGCGACCCCTCAGATCAACACCCCCGTGCCGTATCCCGGCAATGCTCAGTCTCCGCAAGTGAGCCATCCGACGCCGGATCACGCTCGCATGGGTCCCCGCGCCCCTCCCCCTCCCATCAGCAACGCCCTGGGTGATCTCGAAGTCGACGCCGTCGCGCCTCACAACAAGAAGACGGGCAACGACTGGTATGCCATCTTCAACCCGCAGGTGCAGCGCGTTTTGGATGTCGACCTGGTCCACTCCCTCACCCACGAGAGCGTTGTCTGCTGTGTTCGCTTTAGCCACGACGGCAAGTATGTCGCCACCGGTTGCAACAAGTCAGCCCAGATTTTCGATGTCCAGACTGGCGAGAAGGTGTGCGTCTTGGAAGACCACAGCGCTACCGACATGGCTGCGGATCTCTACATTCGAAGCGTCTGCTTCAGCCCTGACGGCCGCTACCTGGCTACTGGTGCCGAAGACAAGCTGATCCGAGTAAGTTACTCTTCCTATATATATAAGAATCAAAGAAAAAAAAAAGAAAAAAAAAAAAATAATGGCAGTAGACAAGCTAACCATGGGCGCTACAGGTGTGGGATATTGCCACTCGAACCATCCGCAACCACTTCTCAGGCCACGAACAAGACATTTACTCGCTCGACTTTGCTCGCGATGGCCGCACCATTGCCTCTGGCAGTGGCGATAGGACCGTCCGTCTTTGGGATATTGAGCAAGGCACCAACACTCTCACCCTCACCATCGAGGATGGTGTTACGACCGTTGCCATTTCCCCCGACACCCAGTTCGTTGCGGCCGGTTCTCTGGACAAGAGCGTTCGCGTCTGGGACATCATGACAGGCTACCTCGTTGAGCGGCTGGAAGGACCCGATGGACACAAGGACTCTGTTTATTCCGTTGCCTTCTCGCCCAACGGCAAAGACTTGGTCAGCGGTAGTCTGGACCGAACAATCAAGATGTGGGAGCTTAGCTCGCCCCGCGGCCCTCAAAACTCTGGCGCCAAGGGCAAGTGTGTCAAGACATTTGAAGGCCACCGAGACTTTGTCCTGTCCGTCGCCCTGACTCCGGACGCTAATTGGGTCCTGTCAGGATCCAAGGACCGTGGCGTCCAGTTCTGGGACCCCCGGACAGGAACAACTCAGCTGATGCTTCAGGGACACAAGAACTCTGTCATCTCAGTTGCCCCCAGCCCACAGGGCGGCTACTTTGCCACTGGCTCAGGAGACATGAAGGCCCGTATCTGGTCGTATCGTCCATACTAGGATGGAGAGGTGACAAGCCAAATGGCCGAAGCCAGCCCGATGATTCAGGCACAGAGTCTGATCAAGAAGAGTCGGTCAAAGAGTCGGTCAAAGAGTCCGAAAAAACATTTATGGAGACCCATTAATCGAAGAGCCATATGACAGGCCGAGAAAAACAACACGGCTTCAGTGGGGAAGCTCGAGTCCTGAAAGCGTAAGAAGATGTTCTGGGGAGGGAAGATGTAGGAAAACAAAGATATATCCCTCGACCCAAGTCCAGTTCTTCCTTTTTTTTATTACTTTACAAGTTTGGAATATGTGTTTATGAGGGAAGATTATGCGGGAGAGTGGTTCTTTTATCTTTACCTTTTAAAGAGGGCTGGCGCATAGGTGGGAAAGCACAGCCTTATTTAACAAATGTACGGTATGAAGGTGGGGAGGGCTAAGGAGATGGGTTCTTTTTTATTTATTAATTCGTCGGCCTTGCTTTTTCTCTTATCCTTTTTTGTATCTCCTCCCCCTTTTTTTTTTATTTTGGTAATGAAAACCCCTAAATTTTTCTCTGCACTGCCAAGTCTGGAGCACGATGACGTAAGATAAGTGACTTGTGAGGTTGCCGTAAATTGGTACCGATGTTCTATAAAGTATCTATTGGAATGGATGCTGTAAATAAATAGGGTATAATAAAACTGAGTGTCTAATTCACGATTGATGTTTTATGAGAGAGAGCCAAATAGGCTGGATAGTGCGTCTCCTTTGCCCTTTTTCTTTTTCTTCTTGTCTTTTGATATTGATGATGAGGATGCTTCGTTTAATTTGCTCTTGGCTGGCTTTACGGTTTCGCGGTCCGGTTTGCTGATTTGTTGCAGCTGCTCATTTGAATCTGGGATACTCTGGGTAATTGAAGATTTCAAACGTTCTGTTGAGGTTGAGGGAGTGGTAGTCTTTGCTAAAGATAGTTCCTGGCGGGCTATTGCCACGCCCTTGTCTTGGTTTGTGAGGAGGTCATTGGAGCGAATGGTTTTTGGCTGTGGCTTGGTGATTGGATTATCGACTGAGAGGAGAGGAGAGAGGGCAGTGTGGATGCGAGAAAGGATGGCGATGAGGAGGAGGCCTAGAGGGGCATGTTGGTTGTCGGCGGCGAGTTGGGAGAATGCCCTGTCTAATGTATGAGTCTTGGAAGGTCTTGGAGCTGAGCATTTTAGGAGAGAGAACCAAAAACGTACACATATGCCCGGGGGATAAAGTGTTTGTTTAACCAGATGGCTCGGGGGGGAATAGATTGAGACGAAGCCTGTTGCCGAGCAGCAGGTCGTGAGGAGAGCGACGTGGAAGGCGGCGAGAGATCGTCAATGAGGTTGCGGATTGTACGGCGCAGGCTGCGGAACACGGGCCACCAGTGGGCGAGGCGGTGCTGGTTGTGGTGGCGGTGGTTGAAGGCGTTGAGGATGGGGAGGAGGGGAGAAAAGGACTCTGCGGCGAGCGGCGGTGGTGGTGACGACGATGTTGCGCTCATGGTTGGTGGTTGATTGATTGAGGCTGAGATGGGGATATTTTTTGAGATAAGGCTGGGCTTGGCTTGGCTGATGCTGGTAGTTGATAAGAGAGAGGGCGCTAATAGAGGGCGTTATCTGGGCGGTAGTGGATTAAGTGCCGTAATGGGTATTGTGTTAGTGCGGAGCGGAGAGAGAGCTCGAGGGGAGGGGACACGGCTGCTATCAGCACTAATAAGACGATACGACGGTGAAGAGGTGGATGAGGAGACTGAAAAGGTATTGATGGACAGTACTAATATATGTATAGTATGTATTTGCGTGCCTATGTATGTATATATGCTATATGCAGGAAATTGAATGAATGCTCGCTGTACTCGGATCAAGTCTGAGAGTCTTAGAGAGGCACTGATGGAATTAGCTGATCTGATCTCCCCTCTTGCAGGTCAGTTGATGTTAGTGCAAGGGCCGGTGCAGCGCATTGCAGCGTAGTGGAGTTTGCGCACCGCGTACCATGGAGTAGCCTCTGCGGTAGCTCTACAGCAGCATCACCGCCATCGTCCATGCAAACCCATGTACATTCTACTCACCCCCACACTCGGCTCTACTGCGCCATCGAAATAAAGAGATAAGCTGTGCGTCTCTTCTGTCCTCGGCATCGCGTCACTATCATGCAGCTGCGTATTAGTCTCGTCTCTCCAACTTGCCTGGTTCCGCATGGACCAAGTTCCAATCCGTCCACCTGACTCGGTCAGCGTTTTTTCCCTTTGTTTTTCGTACGTTTGCTTGTTTTTCACGTTGTGTCCTACCTTGGTCGGAAACCCTGCTGTTAGCACGACTAGGGAATGGCTTGTGTCGCTTTTTCCCTCTATTAGCGCCATGATATGATGCTGCGCAGAGGGAGGGGGGTTGGCGCCACCCCTCACGGGCCATCTTGTTTTCGACGCTATAGATATCTCTGGGCTTGCTGAGATCCATGCGCCTGCGAATATCTTCCTTTTTCTCTCTCTCTTCGCTTCTCTTCGCTTCTCTTTTTCTGCCCGCTGGTGCTGGTTCCTTGCGAGAAACTCACTGCTTCTCACTTTTCTTCTACACCACCCAGGTGGACGTCCTTGCGAGAGCACATACACAACTCTCGCTGCTGGGCTTGCACGTGCCATTCAGCTTAACGCCACCGCATAATTTTATCAACTGCCGTGTTCCAACCACCACGACTCGGTTACTCGCGGGCATCAAGAGTCGCGGTACGGCAGCCAAATGGCGCCGTCTTCGAGGAATCCGACAACATGGGACGAGTACGATGGGGTGGCATCGCCCACTGGCAGCGTCTCCTCGAATCCATTCGACGAGGAACGGGCGTTGCTCGACGACGAGGATGATGATGCTGGCACACACCCAGCTGGCCGAAACATTGAGCGCAGACGGTAAGCTGGCACGGAGAACTGAAGAATATTCTTGAAAGCAAAGGAGAACCTGTCTCGCTAACATGTGTCGATTGCTTTGTCCAGGTCTTCTGTCACCGAGCGTCTTGCCGCCATGGCTGATGTTGGCGGCGTCAACAGCTTCCGGTCTTTTGCCCGTAGCTGGCAGCGCGCTGCTGCCTTTCCAGAAGTCATTCCTCGTCGCCCGAGCTTCATCTTGGCTACGGACCAGCAATTGACTGGCGACACGGGCGATGATGTCGAGTATTCGCGGAGCTCGGATAGTCTCGACGCTCGCGCGCCTTCTAGCGGGTTTGGGCGACATGCGGATGGATCGCCGCGACTGGGCAGTTCGTTTGCTGGCTCGAGCAACAACATTGTAGATTCCCACTACAGAGAGCGAGAGAGCAAGCCGCTAGACGAAGAAATGGCGAGCGGTGCGCTGCCTGCTACGTATTCGAGCCATTCTAGCATTTTTGGATCCTCCCCTTACTTGGCTACTCCGTCCATTATCGGTAGCTATGGTTCATATCGCAGCACGGGATATGGTACGATTGGGGCGCCGTCTCTCATTCGACATCGGCCGTCGATAATCCGAATTAGCGGCCAAGCAGAGGACGAAGGTGGTGAAGAGGACATTGCTGTCTTTGGCGAGGAGCAGCCGATCATGGTGAAGGAGGTCAAGCAAGGAAACAAGGTTGTGCTGACGGTTGACGGCCAGAGCACCCTGCCTCAGTCCGTTTTCAACTCCATCAATGCTATTATTGGTGTTGGGTTGCTGAGCTTGCCGCTGGCGTTCAAGATGAGCGGCTGGATTCTGGGCCTCGTCATTCTGACTTTGACGGCAGGCGTCACGGCGCATACGGCCAAGCTGTTGGCCAAGTGTATGGAATATGATGCCAGTCTAATCACCTACTCTGACTTGGCATACGTTTCATTCGGCGCCAGAGCCCGCATCATTGTGTCGTTTCTGTTCACGATAGAGCTCATCGCTGCCTGTGTTGCTCTCGTCATCCTGTTTTCCGACTCTCTCGCACTCTTGCTTCCTGGCGTTGCGGGTGTCAATTTTTGGAAGTGCGTGTGTGCTGTTGTCACTCTTATTCTCAATGCTTTGCCCTTGCGATGGCTGAGCTATACCAGCATCATTGGCATTTTCTCTACGTTTTGCAGTAAGTTTTCTGTACCAGGCGTCTACACAACTTGGAGCTATTTTATACTAACAAAATCTGTTCCCGCCGTTTAGTCGTCTGCGTTGTCATTGCCGATGGTCTCATTAAAACAGATGCTCCCGGCTCCCTGTGGCAGCCTGCCACTACGCATTTGTTGCCTAAAAACTGGCTGGCGTTGCCTCTTGCCTACGGCTTGATGGCTAGCCCCTGGGGAGCTCACTCAGTTTTTCCATCAGTAAGCACATCATACATTGGGTTATCTGGGTTGGAAGAATGTGGAGAGTTTTGTTTCTCACATGCAGAATAGATTTACCGAGACATGCGTCATCCCCACAAGTGGGGACGGGGTGTTGCAATCACCTTTTCGTTTTCTGTACGTATTGTTTCCCTCACAACATCTCATTGAGATCTAAATCACTAATAATGTTATATAGTATGTCTTAGACACCTGCCTCGCCGTCATTGGCATCCTCATGTTCGGTGATGGTATCAGAGAGGCCATCACTTCCAACATCATCAGGAGCTCTGGCTTCCCCGAAGGCTTGACCATCTTTATGTGCATCTGCGTCACCATCATTCCCCTCACCAAGCTACCGCTCAATGCTCGCCCCCTCATCACGACAGCTGATGTTCTCTGCGGCCTCCATCAGTCTCACCACCACCACCATCATCACGCTGCGAATAACCCTGCAGATCGGCAATCTAATTTTATCAGATCATGTCTCAGGGGGTTAGTTCGTGTGGTCGTTGTCCTCATCTTGCTTTGCATTTCCATCTTGTTCCCGGCGTTTGACTCAGTCTGTGCATTCCTCGGCGCTGCGCTCTGCTCTCTCATCTCCGTCATCCTGCCTATTCTGTTTTATCTCAAGCTTTATGGGAAAGAGGTTTCGGTTAGAGAGCGAATTGTGTTGCTGTGCTTGTTGGCGTTGTTTTCGGTGCTTGGGCTTGTAGGTACTGTGTGGACATTTTTGCCCAAGGATCTTATTGGCGTTTAAAAGGGTGGATGGGTATGAGCGGCATTTTTCTTGCATTTAGCATGTGGCATTTACAATATGAAGATACGCTATTGATATAACTATACTCTTGTATGAAATAAAGTGCGTTTTCAATTCTTTGGTCACCTATATGAGATTGGCCCACCTTCACCACCGCGGCATCTGTACGCATTTGGATTACATGCATAGATGTTGGTTTAGTCCTGCATGAGGGGCTAGTAAATTCCTATCAATAGCCATAAATTCTTTCGACTTATGAGTCGTTCGATCTTTGAGAGTCTGATGCAACGTAGAATGATCGCGCGCATCCCCGCACCGCATAGAAGATACTGCTTGTCTATCTCAGTGTGCTGTTTCACCAGCTACGCTGCCGTTCAAGAAACCACGAGAGTTATTGAACGGCTGTATTGCTAGTAAGCCTATCTCACAATGGGTGGCTCAATCCATTCTATGTTGTGGCTTGCGTACATCGTATTCATTCCCAGTATCTGCTCCCTCGCCTTTTATACGCTCGGCAGGATGGGCCACTCCGTGTTTAGGACAACAATATTACTTATAGATATGGGACCAACATGATTGTGCAATGAATTATGGGCCCCAAGAGTGTCTAAGGCATTGAGAGGATGAATCTTTAGTTCTACCAAGATTTTTCGGACTCGCCGGGGCGTGATTATCACGGAACTTTAATATGTATATGGACACCATTCAATGCCTGCTTTTTGGAGGATTGATATACTTATTATATATGTAGTGTGGAACGTTCCATTAGCACAGTCTGAGATTTCGATAGCCATTGATTCGATTATGTTGATTAGTACTAACCTAGGATTTACTCCGCTCTATCTTTGATGTATATGAAGCAGGAACTGAGAAACCTCTCTGCACGTCTCATTACTTCAATATTACAATACAAGCTGTAGCTTCAGACGCATGGAGTACACTGGATGCAACCACATCGGGGAGAACCACAACACGCAAAAAATCATTAACAGAACTTACACGAAGCACAACCGCTTCTACAATTACTACTACGACAAGTAATAGCGCCTTGCTGAATAATACGTCGTCACACGCTATGTTGATAATGTCGCCTACGTCTTCGACCGGACAAAAAGGTCCTCTTCTGAATTGAATACGTATGTCAACACACGAAATCATGCAAAGAAAATATTGTATCGATTTTAGATAAGAACTCACCGAGGGCCTAGTTTTATACAACCGTAGTGATGCGATCCATTCCTCGCTATTCCTCTACTTGCTGCTGTATATCAGTAATCCCGCGTCCTCGCTGGTTAAGGAGCAATGCCATAACCCCCCTACAGCTTGAATAAAATGCTCTGTAATAAAAATTTCATCTCCTCGCCGGTCAAAGAGTAATGCTATTACCTTTGTATTTCTTATGCAGCTCTAATATTATGCTATTCTCTCATCATCTGCTGCTTTCGCCGGTCAAGGAGCAATGCTATCATTTCCTTGCGAAAATTCCAATTTTGTGCCGCAGCTTTAATAATATACTCTGTAATATTAATCTCGTCTCCTCGCTGGTTAAGGAGCAATTCCATCACTTCCTTGCCACCCCCTACATTTCTTGCTGCAGCTTTAATGATGTTCTCTGTAATAGTAATCTCGTCTCCTCGCTGGTCAAGGAGCAATTCCATTACATTCCCGCCATTCCAATTTCCTGCTGCGGCCTTGACGACCTCCTCTGTAATAGTAATCTGGTCTCCTCGCCGGTTAAGGAGTAATGCTATTATTTCCTCGCCATTCCCATTTCCTGCTGCGGCCTTGACGACCTCCTCTGTAATAGTAATCTCGTCTCCTCGCTGGTCAAGGAGCAATTGCATCACTTCCTTGCCACTCTCCACATTTCTTGCTGCGGCCTTGACGACCTCCTCTGTAATAGTAATCTTGTCTCCTCGCCGGTCAAGGAGCAACGACATCATCTGTTCATCAAACATTGCGGCAATAGTAGATACAGCTCCCTCTGTAATAGTAATTTGCTGGTTAAGGAGCAATGTCATTACTTCCTTGCCATTTCCCCATTCTTCTGCCTTAGCTTTAACGATCTCCTCTGTAATAGTAATCTGGTTTCCTCGTCGGTCAAGGAGCAATAAGATTATTTCTTTATCAAATATCGCGGCAATAGTAGATGCACCCTCCTCTGTAATAGTAACCTGATCTCCTTGCTGGTTAAGGAGTAATGTCATTACCTTCTTACCAGACCATGTATTTCTTGCCGCAGCCTTGACGATCTCCTTTGTTATGGTGACTTTGTTTTCAAGTAGGAGTTCGATGATAGGCCTATGGCCATACCTGACAGCCAGATATAATGGCGTGTTGCCATCTTTATCCTTTGAGTCAGGATCAACTCTGCCTCTATCAAGCAGGAGCTTTACGATACCCTCATGGCCCTTCTCTGCAGCGGACAAAAGTAGCCCCGCGCTCATGTCATCCTCAGAGTCGACAATGGTTCCTTTCTTTAAAAGTAGATTTACCATGTGTTCATGCCCGTTACAAACGGCATATGATAATGGCGTCCCTCCAATGATATCCCTTGTGTTGACGCTGGCTCCTGCCTTAAGTAAGAGTTTGGCGGCGGCAACGTGCCCATTTAGAACGGCGTGGGATAGCGGTGTTAAATTGTGTCGATCCACCGAATCCACTTGTGCTCCCACCTTAAATGGTAGCTTGATGCCTTTCCAGCGGCTCCTCCCGCCCTTGATTAGCAGCTTTACAGCGACGTGATAGCCGTTTCCTGCAGCCCAAGACAGCGCTGACCGCCAATATGTACCATCCTTGGAATTTAGGCCAGTGCCATCTAATGTAAGTAAAAGTTTTATCACTGTTGTAAGCCCAAAATAGGATGCAATCATAAGCGCAGTGAATCTGCGCGGGAAATCTGTATTCGTGCCCCTCCAATAGATCCTAAGCCAAAGCAGACAAGTATTCGAGTTCTCATCGCAGAGCTTTAATATTGATTGACTAAGTGAATTCTTGACATCGATACGCGATTCGCGGACATGAGTGGTCCAATAATTGGCAGAGTAGTCTAGGAAGACCGAGCTATCAATGCACTGGGAAATCATTCCCTCTTCGTCAGGATATTGGGCCCCAAATTCTGTGAAGAGTAGGTGCCAGATGCAGATCTCGGCGAGAATACGGTGAGATTCTTGCGGCCACAGTGAGTGTTTCCATTTAAGATTTTCATAAATAGGTTCGGAAACATTGGCTGAGTTATTCCGGACTAAAAATTCCTTTGCTGTTTGGTGAAGCAGGTAGATCTTTGAGTTGATAATCGCTACGAAGAGGCCGCAGAGATCTCGGACATTCTCTCGGAATCGCTCTTCTGATTTGAGGTCAAGTTTGTCATACGAATGGTGGTGGCTTCTCAATGTCAACGCTAGGTTCATCTCACTCAGGGTTAAGGGCCGCGCGGCTGCAACCACAATATGCAGCAGCTTCTTAGCCTCTTCCAAATTGCGGCTTCTGGATAGAATCTTGTCGTATGCCTCTTCAACCGTATTTGGAAGGTGGGAAGTGGTTCTGACTATTGCAGTTTTGTCGAGATCGAGGTCTTGCTCAATCAAGTCCAGAGTGAGATGCACCCATAGATACGTTCGGTTAGGAACCCGCATAAGCTCTCGCAGTAAAAGGTCTTGCTCGTCATCGGTAAGCTGAAGGTTGTCCCCGACAACCTGGACTCTAGCCTGAATAAAAATATCAATCTCCTGGGATATCTTTATCATCTCAACATCGCTCTCCCCGCTCAGATGAATAACAGCCAACTCTGGGATGTCCGGAGGCCGGAAACCATGCCGAATGTCAACATAGGGTCGACTAGTTAAGAGAAACTTTAAATTAAAGCTTCTTCCAGTATTATAGAGTGTTTGTAATGCTCGAGCGAGCTGAGACCTTCCGCGGTCTTCGCATTCATCAATTGCGTCTAGAACACACACGATTTCGCCAGCGCTTTTGTTCTCAGCAACACTGAGAAGGGCGTCCCAAAGTTTCCCAAATGAGCCAGTAATCTCTTCTTTATATATTTCAAACTCTTCGAGAATAGCGTCGGAGAGTAGGACACGTTTTTGCTTAAAGAGTTGGTGCAGGATACAGCAGAGAGCATTAACGACATTTTTCTGATCTTCAAAGTCGTCCTTAAAGAAGAAGTAGCATGTTGTTCTGGAGGCTGAGCTTGGCAGTATTGAATCGACTAGATGTTTTGATAGGACTGACTTTCCACATCCAGGATCTGCAGATACCCAAAGTGTTGTTGACTGTTTGCTTTCTTGCCATTCTTGAAAGCGCTTGTGAGCTACAAACCACTCACAGGTTTTTTGGGCCCGATCTGGATTTCGATTTTTTCGATCATCATATGGCAATTTATAAAGTCTTCTCAGGATCTCTATTTCTCTCTCTCGACGTGATCCATTGGCATGGGCCGCATTGTTCACAGTCGGAAGTGGCCCAGGGGATGTAAAGTCGCCTTGAACGATAATGGTATTGGGACCGAATGTATTGTTGGAAACAGCGCGACGATCCATCGCGTTCGAGATTTGGCACGATTAATTACAGAGATGTCAGTATTAAGGAAATTTGAGGGCGACGAGCTGCACTTACCGAGCAATGTGAGGCTGACTTGGTCACGGGATCTGCAGTTCGCGAATGGGAGCTGAGCACCTAGGAATGGTTAGGCACTGTTGGGCACCAACCCATTTTCCATGAATTTAAAAACATCAAACTCTCTCGTTTGTAGCTCGAGGTAGCTAAGGTTAATTGCCCCCTCTGACCTTGTAGCTTCCCTGCGCAATTCCCTGACGCCTTAGTCTGACATAGGTACCTAGGTACTTGTAGTTATATGTCAAGGGTAGTTATATACAGATGTATATATCTGTATATGTGTGTAACACCAACTTTTGTCGTGGAAACTCTGTCAAAGCTTCATGTTGGTTAGCGTGAAATTTTGAGAGAGAATGATGTTTAAGCGAATAAATTTGAAGTATTTGGCTGCTCCTTTCCAGGTCTTCCACATGCTACTACCACAAAGTGGCCAGTTATGGGATTCATCGACAGCGGATTTGGACCTTCAGGTATGACCATACTGTATCCATGCACTGACTTTTTCGTCGGAAAGCTTGGCTCCAGTGGCAAGGTCAATTTCAAAGCAGTTGATAGTAGTTTCGATGCCTATGTAGATCTTTGTATGTACGCTCCTTCCTCATCGAAGTAGAGGCTCGGGTCAATCAATGTAGGTCGAAATACATAGGGTCACTCCGAGTATTAGGCCACAAAAGCCACTCCCAGCAGAGCCCCCTCCTTCTGTCTCTCCAATAAACTCCGGGGCTACTTCGCCATCTGTTCATTCATTCATTCATTCGGTGTCATTTCACCCGATTCTAAGTGTTGGCCAACACGTCATTGGAACAAGATATATAGCGGATGGAGTTCGTAGGCACAGCAGCTTAGTTTGAAGGGGAAAAAAAAAGTGAAGCAAAAGATAAATACAGTTAGATAAATGGCCTTTATATCTTGAAAGGTGCACTTTGAACACCACCAAGAAGCCCTTGGCATATATGAGTCGCAACCACGACTATGCTGGCGCTTTGGTGGCAGTGTTGTTGTGAGCTGGCAACAAAGCGCATACGGGCTCGAAGTTTTCAACGGACTTGAGACTCAGCTGAGGTCATTCCGAGCTTGCTCCAACAAATCTTTTCTTGTTAAGTGACCTTCAAGCCTGCTAACCTCGGGCCAGCGAGCACAAGTTCGGGTTCACGTACATGACCAGGTACCTCGTGGAGATGGTTCCTATATAGGAGCCAAGGTGACTCCCAATTCCAAGGCTCAGGTCGTCTTGCCAGCTGCCGGCAAATTGTTCGAGGTCGGCTCTGGAGTTTTTTTTTTTTTTTTTTTTTTTATTAAAGCTAAGTACTTCGCTCGCGGGACTGAGCGTGAAGAGTAGTAGCCTTGGAGATATATGTATGAAGCGGCAGGGCGACGTCAGTAATAAACAACCCTTAATAAATGCTTAGGGTTAAGAAAGGAAAAGAAAGAAAAGAAAAATTACAATAGAAATCCTACGTTATCTTCTCCTGATTTGCTACTTACGCCTGTTTAGTATATATTTAACCTTTTCTAAAAAAAAAGGCTACAATATGAGAAGGGAACACAATATATAATATTACACTAAAAGGCATCGTATATTATTACATTGCGAAGTTTCCGTACTCATGGCAGCTGATAGAAACTTCTATCGATGTACAGAGAAGCCGGTGGCAAGCGCCTGTCTGTCACCCACCAGCTCTCCTCCCCGATATGTTGACCTCCTTGCGAACCTCTCCTTAAGACGGTACAAATGACTAACATGTATGTAAACATATCCCTTCGATTCTCAGTATATATATATCTTCCATCGATGGTTCGCTGAAGTCGACGTAAAAAATGAGCAATGTTGCACCACGAACATAGAATTGCTTGTAGCAAGTAACTCCCCGAGTTATACAGCATCCAAGTGCGTAATAAATCATGCTAGTGGTATATGTTCTTCGCCTAGAGCCAAGGATTTCCCCAAGCGCCGGGCCATCCATCTCAATCTACCAGGATGCAAGATCAAAAAGATTGTGACAATGGCCAACATGACGGAGCTATCGAGCGCGTAGAGATACGCTTCGTGCGCGAGAATCTCGCCGTTGGAACCCTGTTGAAACTCAATTATGCGAGTGATATTGCGGACGATGAAAAGAACACTGATGGCATAGAGACCATAGATGTAGCGCTGCCACGGGAGCTCACTACTCAGCGGGTACGGAAATGACGCAGATGCCAAACGCTTTTGGAAGCAAGAGGTCCAAACCGCAAAGAAGCCAAACGCGGCGATCTGAAGGGTCAAGCCTGCCAAGACGATGATCCTCCCGTGACTTGCCTCATCGGCATTTTCGCTGCCGGACATAATGGATCCGGCAAACTGTGTCCCTAAGCAGATGGTGTCGACGAGAACGAACAGCTTCGTCAATACACGAGGACGTATCGTTAGGTGCTCTGTTTTCAGGACTCGTGCAATGCGGCGAGGGGACATGTAAATGCTCGCCGCCAGGAATGGCGGCGCCGACAAGAGTAGTAAATTTTGGAGTACAAAGGGTAAAGTCTTTCGTACATCGTTGTGGGATTGTGATCGAAACCAGTAGGCGCTGGCTTCCACTGTCAGACACGATTGGATTAGTATAAGTCATTCAGACTGTAGTTCCCAATATCACATACTACCACAGCCGATAACGAGGGGCAAAGGGAAAAATGAGCGATATGGAATCATGGCCACCAAGTGAAGAAGACAGAGGACGCCAAAAAAGCCTAAGAAGGCGAATGCCGGGCCTTGAGATGGGTTATAGGGGTACAAGTCGAACGGAGCGTATCCCTTAGTTTCTGTGTTGTTGTTCGCCATGCTGTACTGCGCACAAGAAGTTGCGAGCAACCAAGCTCAGGTTTATGATATTACAGATGAAACCGTGAAAATGAAAGACAGAAAATAATGAAGGAAAATAAAGTTGACACAGAAGAGCTTGAACATTTTGCGGTATCTCATTCAGCAAAGGTTGCTTCGTTTATAAGTAATTTGGTTAAATCTACCGCGCTGCGATCCCTCCGAACCCAGTTTCATCACAGTACGTATCGTATCGAGCCCTTGTTCATCGCCCATGTAGGATGGGCGGGTAGGCTAACTTGGATCGCCGTAAAGCCCTTTAGTACCCTCTTAGATCTTTTACGCATTTGATACGCATTTTGACCCCTGCACTTTTAGAGACAAGTCCCCATAGCAAGGTGGCGTCAAGTACAGAGAGCCAGTCTATTTACAGTATAGCACAGCGCCTCCCGTTCATGTAAGCCTTTTGTGATTTTGCGGAAAGGGAACGTAAAATGAGACAACTCGACACGACTCACCATTACGCAAGCAAAGACCGACAGACACATTATCATTTCTTTGCATATGGGTCACGCGCGGAGACAGCATACCAAGTCTCGTCTTGGTTGCCAAACGTGCAAAAGGCGAAAAATCAAGGTGAGCCGTCGCAACCCTCGGCATCGCATCAAGATTCGCGCGAGGTGCGGATTGTTTTAACTTGTCCAAATTACTAGTGTGACGAGTCCAAACCTCAGTGCGGGAACTGCGCTCGATTCAGCGTCCCTTGTGACTTTTCTCCTATTCCTGCGCAGGCTACAAGTTTGGCTCCCAAGTCAACTCGTCGAGGCCGGCCTCGATCCGACTGGGCGAGTTGGGCCGAGCAGCTTCGCCTGAGCTCTGCAGCTTCCGCCCCAAGAGCATGTACATGTTCCGCCAAGCGGCTTGATGTTGATAGCTTGGAGCTATTTCATAACTTCATGACCACCACTGCGCAAACATTGGGCGACGATATCAAGTTCTGGTCCGAAGGGGTGCCTCAGCTTGGCGTTCAGCATCCTTGCATCCTTGAACTTATCCTGGCCTTGTCATCTTTCCACCTTGCTAGACTGAAGCCGGATAATGCGCCAAGATATCTGGAGCTTGCTGAGAAGCACTCAACCTTTGCTATACAAGAAGCAACCGAGTTCCTCAAACACCTAGATAGCGAGACCTCAGCACCACTTTACGTCATTGCCGTTCTCATATGCTTCACAGCTCTAGCTAAAGGACCTACTCCGGGCCATTTGCTTCTGGTTGCCGAGCATGGACAAATCTCGTGGCTGTCATTGCTCCGTGGCGTGAAATTCGTCGTTTCCACGTCGGGGTGGCCATCCATCTTCTCCGGTGCGCTGGCCGACTATCAACCTCAGCCGGAGAAGGAGAAACAGCAAGAAGAGCCGTCCCTGTCAAAGCCCTTGGTGACTGGCATTGAGGACTGGCGCTTGTCCTTGAACGGCATTTCAGACCTGATAGCCGTCGTTGGAGTGCAGCGAGCCAGGAATGCTTACGAACACGAGATGGAGGTATTGTTAGGCTGCTTTGAGTCAACCTTTGGCAAGGGCCGAGATTCCCGGCAAACTATCAAAGGCACGATGCAGGCTGTCATGTCCTGGGTCTACCAGCTGAATGATGTATTCATTGAGCAGTTGGAAAATAAAGACACGATTGCCTTGATTATCTTGGGTCACTTTTGCGTTTTGCTCAGCACTATTGAACGGTATTGGTTCATTGAAGGATGGGCGCGGCACACCATACAAGAAATCCTTCACATCTCGGAGGCATGTCGCAGATGGCTTTCCTGGCCAATTAAATATTTGGAATGAGAATATGCAACTTGTCAATGGCTTATTGTTAACGTCTCGATAACTGTACTAACATACGTCTCAAAGGGAATTGTGTCCCGCTGTGACGGCGAACGTTGCTGCGGCTTTGGCGATGCCCGACATTGTGAGATTTGTGGCAAGGGTCAATAAAGACAAGTGAGCGCTGTTGATGGAATTGGAATTTTCGGGTGTGAAGAGCCGAAGCTTGCGCGAGGCGTCAATGTTATACCTTTCATCTTGACGTGCCAAAAGGATGGTGTTGGCGTTGTGTTGAACAATACAGCTAGCAGAAGGTGACTTATAAGTTGATTGAAGCTACCACCAAGCACATACGACCATAGGTAGTGGAGAATTCGGAGGTCAGCCAGGCTCTTCTCTCGAGTTTGATGCCTTCAAAATGTTGAGAAATTTAGGTAGTCTTTCTCTCTCTTCTTTTTACCTTTTCAATGTCCAAACTTAGTTTTATTTACCCTACAGACATTGTTGTAAGCAACATAGTGGATCCAATATCAATATTATTCCAGCGACTAAGAAATATGAAGAAATCCAATTTGAGGTGAATGAACTGGGAGGTGAGCTAAGCCTCGAAGCTATTCGGGGTTAAAGTGGACCTAGTTATGTGGCGTCCGGCTAATGCGTCGTATCTCGTTACGATGAAGAGCGTATTCGAAAGGAGGACTCGTTTCTCGTTTAGCCAGCTTAGTTCATGTTCATGTAGGAATATCGAAAGCGGAAACCTCAGTGCGCTGAAAAGCCTTCGAGACCCAAAATTGCCTTTATAGCGGGTCTTCTCTTGGTCAAACAAATGGGAACTGCAAGTTTGACCAAGGACTCGCTATGATTCTAATTCTTTAAATACTTGCTGGCTATCTAGTATTCACCCTGATTTGTCGACCAAAGCACAACAAGCTTGCTATACCCATTTTATTTTATTTATCCATCGTGGTTGTTTTTCACAGGCGTAACATCTACAATGGCTTTCGAGACTTACAAACCTTCGCTTGATGATCCAAACGCTTGGGTACCATACCGATACTATCCCAGCATTCCTGCTGCTGCCATATTCATCGCTCTTTATTCTATCGTAACCATTGCTCATATCGTTATCATCGTCACACGTCGAACATGGTCATTCACACCTTTCATTATCGGTGGTCTTTGTAGGTTATTTTTTTTTGTCTTTGATATACCTGCTTCTCGGCAAGCTAACACGAAGTAGTTGAACTCGTCGGCTACATCGGACGGGCTATTTCGGCCGGAGACATTTGGGCTCTAGGACCATATATTGTTCAAAGCATCTTACTTCTTGTGGCACCGGCGTTATTCGCTGCATCGATCTATATAATACTCGGCCAGATTATGGTCTTTGTTAACGGAGGAGAATTCTCTTTAGTGCCGAGGAGATGGTTGACGAAGGTATTTGTCGCTGGAGATGTCATCTCGTTTCTTCTACAAATGGCCGGTACGTTTGTAGAATAACTCCTCTCCTACAGTGTGATGTACTGACGAGACGCTCAGGTGGCGGTATTCAAGCAGCTGGCACATTAGATTTCCTCAATCTGGGCGAGAAAATCATCATTGCTGGACTTTTTGCACAAATTGTCTTCTTTGGATTTTTCATCGTCGTTGCTATAACCTTTGAGGTACGATTCACGCGACATCAAGCGGCATTGAGTCTGAAACTTGCCAAATGGAAAAAGCACATGTATACGTTATATGTCGGCTCCTTGCTCATCATGGTCCGGTCCATTTTCCGCGTCGTCGAGTACTTGATGGGTAACAACGGCTTCTTACTTCGACACGAGTACCTTCTTTACATTTTCGACGCTACCCTGATGTTTCTCGTCATGGTTCTATTTCTTTGGGTTCATCCAGGTCAACTTCGAACTTCACCCTCTCCCGAAGAAGCAACCTATACCTTGGATATTGACGCAAACAACGCCTTAAAACAGAAGGGATCTTCTCACCACCGAAGCCATCGGGTATAGATGGTTAGTTGAAGGCTGTCTCCTTTGTGCTTGATATTCATTGTTTTGCTTTTGCAGTAGACTTCAAGTATAGTATATAAGTTATAGTGGTGGCTATGACTATAAATTGGTTGAAGATCGAATAGAATGTTACTCGGATACATACGTTGCGTCCTCGCGCCCAAGCAGAAGCGAAAATCTCTAAAGTTTATTTGCTGAGTCTTCGTCACCTCTTGCACAGATGTCTATCCAAAGTCCGGAGTGCATCACAAGCAACCTAAGTACTCGAACACAACTCAGTATATAAAAGTTGATGCCATCTCGGCTTCTATACCTGCTCATGCAATCGAGCAAGCTCTAGCCTCGCAGCCAGCCATGTAGTGTCTTGAGGCCCTCGCATGTACAACTGGGAAGCTGACTTGGGGATTACAATGACAACAGGGCGGTAAAATGAAAAGGTACTGCGCAAGCGGTGAATAAGGAGTATAAAGCTGGTACAGCATGAGGACCTCGAATGTAAGGGGGCAAAGTTTCGGGAGGCGCAGCTACAAAACAATGCATAGAAATTCGCTTACTGAATGTAATGCCATCGTATTCTTCTTTTCCTGCCCTACTCAAATTCGAAATTCGAAACTCAGAAAAGTCTGTCTGACTCGAAAGATACGGGCAACATGGGTTAGGGGGAGTTGGTTTCAATTGTGGACGGGAGGGTGGTGGGACTTAGATATCCATGCAGATTCGTTCATCGTATTTCGTTCGTAACTAGCGTCAGTTCTTCGGTTAGATCGCCGTAGCGCGTTCGTACCTCGTATACTCGTACTCCGGTCCCATGTCCGACCATGACCCACCCTTCCCGATCTACTAGTCGGTTGGAATGGAAATGTGTATCACCACGTTCGCATCTGCTCGTTCCTCGTCTTCTCTCGCTCGCTCCTTCGTGATTCAGTCTCTCCTTGCTATCTTCACTGTGCGATTTGTGATTCATCACACGCATTATAGCCTCAGAAATGGCAGACTCATCTCCGCACGCAAGCAAACGCAGAGCTCATACGAAATCGAGGACAGGTTGTGCCGAGTGCAGGAGGAGACGTGTGAAGGTAACTTTCCACAAATTCCTGTGGGCGCAACTGCGCCTGAAAGCGCTCGTTCTGGATTACTCAAAATCAATCTAACGCCTTGTCTATACAGTGCGGAGAAGAGAAGCCGAGTTGTAGACATTGTTTCCGACGAAGTATCCCATGTCTGTATCCATCTCAGGATACTCTCCCGATTCACCCAGCCGAAGCGAGCTCGTCGCCCGTAAGTGTGGTAACAGCAGTAGCAAGTAAAACTGCCGCTGCCACTGCAGCTCAACTGCCGCAGTCTCCTTTGCCGGTTGCAACAAGCTGTCCATCTCATTCGCCGCTCGGAAGGGTTGAGAAGAGTGATGGCCCAATTCCAACTTACACCATTAAGGATATGGCTCTATTACACCACTGGACATGGTCGACGAGCCAGAGTATTGCCGACTTCCCCGACGTGAGCCGCTACTGGCAGACCGTGTTTCCACAGATTGCGTTTGAGCACACTTTCGTCATGCACGCTATTCTCAGCTTGGCGGCTTTGCATCAGGCATACCTTTACTCGGAAAGAAGAAAGCAATTGACAATGGAGGCTATGCGGTATCACAACCAGGCAATACAAGGCTTCCAGCGCGGCATTGAGCATATGAATGATAGCAATAGCGATGCGCTGTTCGCCTGCTCCTCGTTAAACATCATTTATGTGTTCGCCATGTACGGGCAACTTTACGAGGATGCGGAATTCGATATGACCCCGGTAGCCCGAAAGTCACGAATACTAGGCGCGGAATGGCTTCCAATGGTACGTGGTGTTGAGGCTATTCTACATCCCGTGTACCAGCGCGTCCGGCTCGGGCCATTGAGTTCGCTATTGAACCTTGGAAATTGGGACCACCTGGATCCGGACTCCGAGCATGTAGCCGATGATGAGCGCTTCCGCAGCCTTGGCAATATATGGAAAGATAGTGGCGACCGTGAAATCTATGATAAGACGTTATTTCTTCTTAGAAAAGCTCTAGCATATATGAAACAGTTTGAAACCATGAATGCTGAGACCGCGGAGACCTTGAGCTATAACAGGAGATTATCTGGGCCTCTTATCTGGATATACACCGCGCCTGGGGAATATTTTCTGCGATTACACCAACGGCAACCACATGCGATGCTGCTCTTTGCTTATTTTGGTGTGGTATTCCATAGCATGAATGGTTACTGGTTCTTTGAGGGATGGGGAAGGAATATCGTAAAAGTAGTTGATGAACTATTGGGGGAGTACTGGGAACCGTGGACAGAATGGCCAAAACTGGTTGTAGGTCTATCATAGTGGTTTATTAGCTACCAACAATATGTATCTAAATATTTATCTATACAGGTATAAGTGAGGCTATCATTGGGGATCTAAAGATATAAACCTTCAAGACGAGAGGTGATACGAAAGTATCACTATCACGGAATTCAAATTCAGGCGCACTAGCTCATGTCCGACCCAAGTCTGTGATGGCGTTCGGTGAACACTCTCAAATTGAATTCATGATCCACCGCCGTTTTGTGCTTCATTGATGCTGCCAATTCACTTGGATGCACCACATTCAATAACACCATGACCAAGAACATGAGCAGAGCGTCAAAAATGTACAAATATGCTTCGTGGTGAAGCAGATACCCATTGAAACCCTGGAGATACTCTACCACTCTGAAAATAGATCTCACCATGATGAAGATACTTGCGACATAGAGGGCCTTCATATGTTTCTGCCATGGGAGCTCGTTGGTTAAACGGACCGTGGGCACGCGACTGATGGATAGGTGGAATTTAACAGCGACCACGATGAAGAAACCGAAGAAGACCAGTTGTACAAAGAGGCCAACAATTATAATGTGTGATCCAGTCTCTAGAGCAGATGCAGTACCTGACGCCTGATAACCTCCCCCTTAGACGGACATGACATATTAGCTATTGTCTCATGGAAAGATTGAGAACGAAGTCAACGATGATAGGGCTTGTTTTTGTACCTACCTCCGCCTTGAAGAAAAAAGGAAAGAATGTCTCCGAAAACAAAGATCTTGGTCAACCATTTCTTTCGAATAAAACAATGAGACTCGCCATTCACAAGGGTGATGATTCTCCCTAGCTCCATGTAGATTGTCGCGGCAAAGAGAGAAGGTGCGACGAGAAGGAGGAGAGACTGAGTGATATACGGTCCTAGAGTCCAGTTTGGCGATTCTTTGCCTGATACACAACGGGCAGCATAACCAATAAACTCAACTAGCAGAGAATCAGAGTTAGTAAAGGTTTTACTATTCTCTTTCCTACTCGGAATGACGGATGGACGAATCTTACAAATACCACCAATTATGAAAGGGATGACGAACCAACACCGAGTCCGAAATGATTGGTACGTATGGAAGCTGGTTGTGCCCAAGAAAAGGAGGACGAAGGCAACAGCTCCGCCGATAGTAGGATTGTAGTGATAGAGCTTGAACTCCTGTGTACTAGAGCTTATCTCTCTGACGATCAAAGCGTCTACCAGGAGTTGGGTGTCGGTATCCATGAAAAGTAAAAGAACAAGGAATAAGGAGATGAACGATTCGCAAAACTGAAGGTGCTGTGATTCTATGTCAAACCACTACTTAAGGTTTGATTAGTTTAATCGTATATGAAAATAGCAGTGCCCGTACGCAGGTTATTTTTTTAAAAGACTGATAAGAATAGTGGTTAAAGATGGCAACAAAATTGATAAGAAAGGAGAGAGTGTTTCGAGAAGAAGAGGTAGTGGCAGACTGATAAAAAAATCGCATCAGTATCTATTTATATGGGCCTCTCAACGAGAAGAGTCAAGTAGTAAGTCAAAAAGTTGGCACTGATTTTGCGGAGTGGCCGAGCTAAACGGCGGAACTTGTGGCTTAGTTCTCTCAGATGAGAGTATTCTACGGTGTCAACCAGGATGGTGCAACACAAAATGTAGAAGATTAAGGTGGATATACGTGCAGCCCAAGAGAGACACGGTACAACCTCCCCGAGATCCACTCCCTACCCCTTATACACATTGTAAGCCATTGCGCTCGCCGAGCGCCAAGTATAGTCAGGTAGCGAGGTCATAGCCACACTCACGTCTAAACTGGAGAGGAAGGTATTCTCTATTGTAGAGGCAATAGTTCCCTTGCACCGACTCAGAGATTGCTTAGGGGAGTCATTTAAAGAGTTGTTGCCCATAGATTTCTAGTAAAAGCTGGTCAGTCGGTCGAACACAAGTATCTGAAAGGCGGATTATTGATCATCTTGATGCAAGAATTGTACCACAAGTCTATACCTCAACTATCGTCTTCCTACACATATTTGCCTCCAGGGCTCTTGAGAACGTGTATATGTAATGAATTCCTAAAGCATTTTGGGCATAGCAAATTGTTTAGCGCTCTTTGCAAGGCAGACTCATCCATCTCCTGAGGTCAGATCAAGGATAAAGCCTTGCAAGATAAAACCGCATAGATAGCCAGGCATTTTCGCAAATGTTTCAGCGATTATTCAGAGGCGCAGCTGAGAAGTCTAAAAATAATTGGCAAGGAGAAGAGGCTACTCTCGCTGTCCCACGCCAATGATAGTGGATTATCGTATTTCGTACTCGTATGCTAAAGTGCCATATATTGGTAACCTCAAAGCGGTTCCCAGTCTTTCACCGTTCAGAAAAGCTCTTAACTTCTTGGCCAGCGTACTTTTCAAAGCTGTGTTGCCAAAGTCCAATTAACTCAGTATTGAATTGGACACGTCGGCGCTACACTTTTACATTGGGCTACAAGTAGTGCAAAAAATTGACTATGAAGCTTCAAATATGAACTTCATAAATACAGATCAGGTACCTATCAAGAAGGTTGGAGGCTTGAATGACAATGATTCCACAACAGCATCAGCAACCAGGAGGGCTCGTACACCAGGGTCATCATCTCGCACATATTTTTTTGCGAGACCCGCTCATACCACACGAAAGCACATGTTCTCCGTTAAACCAGTACTTGAGACTCAGATACAGCATTTCGACAGCCAAGGCCATCTCGAGGAAACAGTTGATGTTCTCTCCGTAGGCTATTGGACTTCCTGGTTTGACAAGGATATCCGAGAGTTTACTCGAATCAGAAAATGTTGTCCCGAGCTCGTCATGATGGGCGAAAATTTCTATGATGTAGCGCGACTATCGAAGAGGTTCATCGGAGCGGCACTCGGGAAAGCCGACACAAGTGGTACCACAACAAGCTTATGGATCAACAACATGTTCTTTACTATGCGCAGGGCCCTCGGAAGCAACACTTATGGTATTACCATAGATGGTAAGTTGGCTGTTCAATGGAGACCAACATTAAATCATACGGTTCGTATCCACAACCCTACATTATGTACGACAGAACGTTAACAGAGACAGGTAATCGATGGTTTTGATCTAAGAGAGACCGACAAGGATAGTCTCATTGCGATCTTGGGCAAAAATTCCATCGAATTTTATCAGCTCGATGGCATTGTTGGCCTTCTAAGCGTCGGATTCGCAAGCATACAACAGCGGACTAATGCAGAAGCAATAGTTCTGCTCACAGCTGTTTGGGTGGCCCATCAGGAAGGCTGGATCTTCCCAAATGCAGCGTAAAGCAGGATGTGGATGATGGTAATGGGAAAGAATGCACCCTCCCTCCTTTTTTTCCCTACCGCCTGAGAGAGGATTGCTCTTTTCCTTTAAGTTCTTTTGTTCTATCTGTTTTTGTTGAACCGTTTCCCTCCAAATTTGGTAGCAAGCTTTACTGAAATTAGTCCTACGCGAAAAAGGCAAATCTAAGACTGAGCATGACTACGCCTACACTATCTTTATTAATACTGATGTAAAGTTTTCCGGTTCATCTCATACATGGATTATTGATGATTAAAATGTAAGCATTCCTCATGGTTCGGTTACTAGGATGCTGCTCCGACGTAAACGAATTGACTTGACGTGGAGGCATGCTCTTTAAGTGGAAATAAAACTGAGGGCTGAGTGGCCTAGTGCGGAAATTCTTTAGCAACACCAACGGTGCAGATTTGAGAGTCAAGTGGAAATGGGTCCATTGATATTAGTGGTAGGTAAGGCACGCAAAAAGCTGTCGTCCAAATGTTGAAGAAAGGCTCGTTTACAGAACGAAATACGACAAGCTACCCGAAAACCCATGTCCATATCCACAGCCACATACGGAGATTGTCCGACAGGGACTTGACTCCCCCCACTACCCTCTTCGGAACGAGTCAAGTAGGTTCTCCAGCGGACGGTGACGTTTTTCTTTACCAATTCATGGCACTGGATGAAAGACGAGAGAAGAGGCCGCATTGCAGCCACGTCTACTATTGCCCTCATTGAGATGCAACAATTCAGTTATAACCCCGTTATTTATCCGCCGCTCTGACCTCGTATGCTGCCTATGACAAATGCTCGTCAATAACCTTGGGACATAGGTTTTTGACGGAATGCCAACGGTGCCAAATACGAATGGCAATGAGCAATTGAAAGTTTTGCTCAGCATAGTCTATTACACGTATCCAATCGTTTCATAGTTGCCAAGATTATGCTCATTGTCTATTCGATATCTCCTGAAAGATTAGATGACTGGCTGATGTACAGAGCTTGAAGCCTATTCAGCAGTGAGAATGCTCGTCACCTACCTTGGGCACGAGACCACACGGACTTCGCCTATTGAGCCATTCGACGTCAAGCCCAAGTAAAAATATGTTTGAAACTTGAATCGGCAAAGTCTAGGTGACTTCCTTCAGATTTGTGTGGGTCGCCTAGATAAGGATGTGCTAATCTTGTCAGTTTCGTAAACGTTTTGCATCACGCCCTTGTTTGCATATTTTCCACTGGTTCGCATAGTTAGTTAGTTACTTGCATGAGAATAGGTGTTTTAACGTATTGTTACTATAGTATATCCATGTACTGAATTTGTTTAATAAATCTTGCTGTCCATAAAACTGATTCATACTACCTATGGGTCCCGTCTGCTCCCCCATAGACAAGCCACTAACCGGCAGATTAGTAGTTGAGTGGCTGACCATCAGCGAACACCGGCTGTTGTATGTTTTATATTTTTGCAATATTTTTATCATGAGGTTGTTGTAGTTGTCCTATAATGATTAGTATCACGATGCTCTGTCACATACGACCATATCCATTGGAATATACGGGATCCCGTCCGCTCTCCCAGAGTCAAGCTAATGAGAGGCAGATTAGTAGTCAGGTGGGTGACCACTGGCGAACACCGGCTGTTGTATGTTTTTATTTTTTGCTTGTATATTGAGTTGTGAGCCGGTTGTGGTTGCGGTGGTATAAGTGCTTTTAATAGCCAGGACCTTTACATACGACCATATCCACTGGAAGATACGGGATCCCGTCAAGTTTTACAATGAAATTCAAATTTCCGGCGCCCCTCGCTTCCAAAATCGGAGCTACATGGGCCCATATTCAGAAGCAACTAGACCAACATTTAAATATATATTTGTAACAGTATCAATTTGACTACCTCATACCGTATGTTAGAAGCAAAGAAAAATCTAAGAATCCGGTATTAATTTACAAAAGAAGGATCTTTACTATTATTCGATCCTTGATATTATTCATAATCCCTCTGAGATACCCTTGTCACCAGCGCTGCCGTCAAATTGATTCAAAACCCATGATGAATTTGATTGAGTGATTGATAAATTTGACAAATATATTTGATTTGACGGTAGCGCCGTGCATAAGCAACTCTGTCTCGTCTATAAAGCTAGGCAAGGCTGCTCTGAGGTGGATTTTGGTATTGAAGTCATCATGGGAAGCCCGTCTTCTCAGCTGACGAATATTTTGATAAGCCTCTTCACAATTTGATATACCATTTGCCATAGAACCAGCTCCCAAGCTCCTGAAATTGTTTCCAGAGTTTCCAAAAAATGTTTGAGATTATAAGATGACCCAGAAATAATGGCATTAGACAAACAACGGCAAATGAAAAGCTCAAGATTCGTCTATTAAAACTCTTGACATGTATTTTCCCCTTATCTCTTTCTTCTTCCTTTTCTCTTCCGTTGTCCGCTTTGTTTTTCACTGAGACTATTTCCATTAAGTAGAACCAAACATTGCTATACAATATGTGATCTAAGCTAAGATACCTAGTAATCTGAATGTCTCCGGAATCGCTTGTCATAGGTCTTGATCTTTCTATGTATCAGTACATATGCATACACTGACCTAATGCACTGCTATTAACATTTTTCAAAAGACTTCAAGGGGCAATGTGATGCATTGAAAGTGTTCTTAGTCATATACATATGTAGGCCTGTATACATGTACTCAGCACTGCAACAGCTTTAGACCACTCGCTCAGCGGATCCTGTCAAAATCTCCTCCTCAAGCGACCACCAATCAACGTCAGTTTGTGGCATAGAAAGGCCTTCACGAGTATGGGACGGCATTTGTTGTAAGACTATTTCGCCTGCGTCCCATATATTCGGAAGCTCTAGGCTCTTCCAGGAGATTTGTCTACCCCTCGTAACCAGTGTACGAACAATATCTCGACGATGGGTGCAGCAGAGGGCCTCTTGAACCCACTGAGGTCCATTGGGGAGTGTCATGGAGAAGCTGAACTTCTTTCTGCCGCCGGGATTTATGTCTGTGAATTGTCCCTCGGTGGGTATAATTGCTCGATGCTGAACTCCGGGCTGAATATCACGACAGTAATGTGCAACTCTTCGTCACTCTCGTTTTCGAACGTGTATCTGAATTTTTGATGAATTGGGTATACATCGGCTGCGGTTCCACTATTCACCGGCTTAATGCTCACGCTGAATAACGCCGGCTTAGGCGATGACTGGGCTCTGAGAAGGAGGATCTGCGAGAACCGGGCGAGATGTGCAAATGTGAGAGCTGCTTCTGCAGCAAGCTCGCTGAAGTTGTCTTTTCCCAGATTTACTGGTCGAACAGGGTCGTTGGAGGCAATCAACCACGCGGGCCCTCGGATTTTGGCAACGTCTTCCTACCATTTTTCGAGTCTTAACACATCTGTACGATTGTTCATTGACGTGAGAACCTCTATAGGGCTAATGATCCTTTCTTCAAGCAGTTTTTGCAGCCTTCTTCGAAAGTCTAAGCCAAAGGCCGGATTAACATATACCTGCAATTTCTTCTCGCCCAGATGCCATCGGGATAGAGTGATTGTGTGGCGATACTGCTTTAACAGTAGTGACAATCTCTTAGGCACTATCGCACTGCACCAAATTTTATTGACTTCGTCCACAGAGAATAAAGTACTCTGGGTTCCCAGTAATAGCATAATCTCGGATCCCACGTTAACCCTATGAGCTTTACCTGCCGGTATAACAACTTTGTTTCCCTGTAGCTGTATGACTAGAGGGGCTGTAGAGAACAGTTTAGAATTTTCAAGAAAAACCAATCTGTCTCGGCTATAGGCTTTCGGTGTTTGATCTTTGACTCGCATATTTAGCTGGTCTGATATCATCCGATACGTCACCTTGATACTTGCACCAGTGTTGTCTTTAAGATAGTCTAGCAGCTCCTACGTAAAAGCACCATGAATTTTACCATTACTCATCTTCTCCGCAGCCATTTCTTTACTACTACAAGCCATGAGGATTGTAAAGGATTTGGGGTTAATGGACTAGGATTTGTTAAGCTCAGCGTTATAACACGCAAGCTCTGCGTTTTGCGCAGAGTTTTCTGCTCCTTGGTCGTTTAAGGGCAGATTCGGCATAAGACACTATTCTTTTGGCGTGCGAAAAGAAATGCAATTACCACTTGATCTCCAGGAGCCTTTAGTATAGCAACAGCTAATCAAATACCCTTGTCGTTAAGCTTCTTTAGCCACTGATTAAGCTGCCATCTATGAATCGCTGGTCGGCTACAGCAAAAGTTAACTGTAAGTAACAAGGGATTTTTAAGCATATTATTTCTAGGAGAGTCTCTTTATCGCTAAAGCATTGCCCCGTGCCTAGAATAATAGAAGTAAAAGAAGTCTTCTGTAACTGTGCAATTATATATGGCATTAAACTTGGCTTTTATGTTGATATACGTTGGTAAGCGGTCAGGTGCCTTAATGGGCGCTGTACTGTTAATGTTGGAGTCGGGAAAAGAAGAAGTGAGCATAGTAATTTCGTTAAATATGTAATTTTTTTTCAGAAATTCGTTAATGGCTTTTACGTCATTAGTGCAGCCGCGAAGATGGGGGAGCGATAGCTCTCAGTGGCTAGAACCCTTTCTTGAACCATCACTCAGATATAGATCTATCCCGACGAGGAGAGCAAATTTTTTCGGCATCTTTTGTAAGGGAACTGTACTATTGATCTCCCGAATACGATAGTAAGTCGTGCGGGTATTTTCTTCGGACTATGTTGATTGACGTATGATTGTGCCGTATTAAAGGATTGGGTAATAAATTGGGCATCTGTATTGGGAATTGGGCATGAATTCCACCTCCAGGGAAAAAATAGGATACATTTACAAATGCAACTTCGGAGATTTATTACATACCACCCCTGTAAATACTTGTATTTCTATATAGCAATCGACGAGAAAGTGGATATATATATATATATTTTGATTTGTTGACAGGATATTATCATAAATTCGACGAAGTCGCTTCGGTCAAGCAAAAAGGGTGTCACTCTACCGTGTCCGTCATATGAATTGGACGAAGTGTGAAATATTAGAGTAAATTTCTGACTCAACACCGCTATACTTGAATTGCGACAAGCTATATAAAATTGACTTCCTCTATTCACATAAACTCATCTTCTTGCTTGCCTGTCTCTTCATCATCTTCTTTATCAATAGGTGGCTAGAATTCAACATCTAGCTCATTATCCTCGCTATCGTCAGCCTTATCTTCGCCTCCTCTAAAAAGCTTATCTTTCTGCTGACGCTAGTCTTGAGCGTGACCCAGCCTCGATCGCCAGGGCTTCTAAGAGAAATAAATTCCACTAATAAAAACGACCACTCCATCCACGTCTTTGTGTATTTTAGTACAAGAGCTCCCGGAGCTCCCGGACCATGCGCTATTAGGCATTAGGGCTAATATACCACAGATATTATTAAGCGTGATGCTAATGGATGATGATTTACTGGTTATAATTGTAATGGCGCAACTACGCGTAGAGTAAGCCTTTGTTATAATCCAGATACCATGCCTTTTGACGATATCTTTATGTTGATGCATTATCTTAGAGGTGTTGTCAGCCATCTGCTGCAAGGCGCTTAGCGTATTACCGAGCTGATTCCTTGTTACAGGGTCCGCAATGGTGAGAATAGCGCCTTGGTTACTGTTGCACTTGAAAGAAACCGCCAAAGAGGCCTCGGGATTGCTTGCTATAGCGCTGAAATATGTTAAGCGATACTTGTAATATCCAGACTTGAAAAATAGGTCATATGATCGAACAAACTCACGCCGCTTTAGCCGTACCTCCAATATATAGGGTCTGAATAAATTTTGAGCTTTTAGGACCCCATCTAGTAGATCCTGAGGTTCTTAATTCATTGATTTTACCATCCGAAAGTGCCCACCCATGAACAGTGAGGTCACCTGGACTAAGGAGATTGACGATGGTATGCCAATCTCCATTTGAGTTAAAATAGCTACAACTACCTGGGTGCATATCCTGAAGTCGTCACCTTCTTGTACAAAGCCCACCCATATGGATGGTTGGACAAGAGCTTTGCGTATACTCTATCAAGACAAGAGATGCCGTCATACAGGGACATTCAACGACATCGAGCAGTCTGTATTACTATTTCGAGAAATCCTCAACACTACCACGTGCTCGGCGGATCGGGCTGTTCATTTATTGAAATTTTCGTGGTCGTTGCATGCTCGCTTTGAATACACTGGTGCAATATCAGATCTTGATGAAAGTATTCAGAATCTTCGAGAAGCTCTTTCTGATGCCTCATGTGACCTTGAGATACGACCTCTATGTTTGGTTATCCTTTCATCTTATCTACATCAAAGTTACGATATCTTCTAAAGGATATCAGATCTCGAAGAATCAATTCTTTTACTACGAGAAGCTATGGAATGAATCTCATTAAACTCTAGTCATCGCTCTGGAATTCTCCTGAACATTGGAACTTGTCTAATGGCAAGATCCAAACGCACTCGTGCGATAGGAGATCTCAACGAAGCTATAGCCATTTTTCAGAGCATGCTTGATATATCTGATACTGCCTCACTCGGATATAATGGGCGACTTATTTGGCATACCTTGCATCGGCTCTAAGCGATAGATTTCACTTCTCAGGAGAAATCGCAGATCCTACAGAAGCTATACTTGTGTCACGAGAGGCTATCAGGGCTATCAGGGTTTCTCTTGAACATTCGGAGCGAACGATCAATTTACATAAACTATCAACATAACTTTGGCAGAGACATATGAGTACTGGGCAAGTCGCCGACCTTGAGGAAGCTATTCGCATTTCGCAAAATGCCATTGACCCCACTTTGACAAATTATCCCCGTAGAGCGGGATATCTGATCCATCTTGGGAAGTTGCTGAGTCGCAAGATCGCTCGTGCCAAAGCTGTAAAAAATTGATATTGCTCTTCATAATGAGCGGATCAATCCCGTATCCGCAAACACTTATTCTCTAAAGTTTTTTTCTACTTGCAAACAATATCGCTTCAATATAGAGCTTTTAATAAATGATATCAATCTGGAACATTTGCTGGATGTGATCAAGGTGGAGCTTCTGTTCGATGAGAACAAAATGGAGTATTTGTTGGATGACAATACAATGGGGCTTTTTTTTTTTTTTTTTTTTTTTTTTTTTTTTTTTTGGAAAACATCATTCTAGAACATTTTCTGATTCGTCTGGAGGCAATTATAGACTTCAAATTGACTCATGTCGATACAATGGCAGTCATCCAAAACGCCCGACAATGTTTTGTCGATGCTCTATATCATGAGCCAGCAGATATTCTCACTCGATTTCAAGCTGGTCGAAACGCTCTGCTATCATCTGACTTCTTAAAAGACCCTAAAGCATACAATATTGCCAGAGACACAATCAATCTTATTTCATTACTCACGTCTCGCTCTTTTTAAAATTCTAATAAGTAATATATCTTAGCCAAGGTTATCGGAACCTCATCAAACGCCGCAGCTATTGCTTTACATACACTATCCGTTGACCAAGGCCCTATTGCTGCTGTTGAAAAGCCTTGAAACAGGTCGCAGAGTTATTAGAAGAGCTCTTTTTGAGCAATATAACTTAAAATCTCTTGAAAAATGCCATCCATTACTAGCACGTTCTTTCTCAGTCCTGCAAGATCAATATAACCAGCCGGCTCCGCAGTATTCCGTCTTAAAGACAAATAACCCTTCTATAAAGGCCGAGATCGAAGACGACAGGCGCCACAGATCGAAAAAAGAATTTACCAACCTTCTAAAGACAATCCGGTCGAAAAAACATTTTGAACACTTTCTTCTTCCCGCATCAGAGATCGACATGTTACATGCAGCATCCGTTGGGCCGATCTTAATTCTAAACTGGAGCACCTTTCGCTGCGATGCTTTGGTCATTGAACAGTCAGGCCTTAGGAACATACCACTTCTGCGCCTCTCTGGAGACATTATTTCTGGGATTTCGACAAATATACGTTCCAAAGATCTGGAGTCTCTTTAAATACTTGCTTGGCTTTGGGATGATGTTGTGGATCCCGTGCTTGATGCTCTCGGTTTTACTAGCACTCCATCAGCGACTGTTGGCCGCACATGTGGTGGATACCTACAGGCCCTCTTATAAAGCTTCCGCTGCATGCAGCTGGGCATTATCTAAGGCGAAGTGTAGAGACAACACTCGATTGAGTCGTTTTATTATATGCTACATCCGTTAAGGCAATTATATATAGCCGCAAACGGAGTGCGCCAGTAGCAGAGAAGTCTGAGTCATGTTGCGGTCGCCATGGATAAGACAGAGGGGTATCTTACTTGTCTTGACTCAGTCCGATTGAACGAAGACCGTTGCCAGCCCAAATCTGCTGGGGTTCAGCCTTGATCTTTCGCCCAAAGTGGCCTCTCTGGCTGATTTCCCAAAGCTATCTTATTTACAGGCCAATAATGGGCTTTCACGCGTCCAAGAAGAGAGCAAAATCTTTGGCGTCGTGTATTTACTCTACTAAATCTCGACTTATTACTACCGTATTCCCTCGCAAAACTCGACCTCGTTATGGAGTGAAAATGCTAAGAAAATTTGTATTTTTATTTTATTTTTCTATATAAATATAGTAGAAGACATAAAAAAAAAAAACACTTAAAACTTTATCAGACCGGGGTTTGATGCTCCACGGCGAGGTCGAGTTTTTGAGGTTTTGTAAACTCGACCTCGCTGTGGGGCATCGAACCCCAGTCTAGTGAGATTTTAAGTACCTTTTTTTTTCTCTACTATATTACTATAGGAAATAAGAAAAAAGATACTTTGCCCCATAGCGAGGTCGAGTTTACGGTAGTAGGTTGCCAACTGTTGGTAGACCCACCATACCTTATCATTTGGGTGGAGTGTTCAGGGGTCTCAAGTGGCAAGAGATAGGGATGGCATCAGAAGGAAGCTAGACTGTAAGCAAGGGACTGGTCGATGGCCTCCCGGAAAGCTGTCTCGGAATGGCAACTGTTCCCACCCCTTGTCCTGAAGCGAGGTCTCACACCAACCAGATATTTGTGGTGGATTTACGAACTCGTGGAGGCAAATGGAGAACTGAGTGCATTTCGAGGAGCCGTAACTTGCCTCAGGTTATCTAGAAAAATTCCGCTCACTTACAATGTTGATAAATTCTTGCTCTGAAAGACACCAAGTAGCCAAGCTCATAGCAAGAGGAGCTCAAGAGGGCGAATTATGCTGCGGGCAGAGAATCCTCGAACAAATTTGGCTCTTTGACGAGCGGCGACGCGACGTCGGTATGGCTATCTTACGCCCAAGGAAAAATGGCTCCGACAACCCAGACTTTGAAACGTCGCCTTCAGATGAAGCTGGCGTCATCCACCAAAGAGGATCATCACCAGAACCTGATGGCGTTTGCAAAATAGGCACGCTCACGCCCCTGCCTCTAAGCCGCGGTATTTTGCGTATTGTAATTTCAACATGAGCTGGATTAAATCCTTTGCAGACGACTTAGCTGTGCGAAACGGTCCTGTAATCAGTAGAGTAGCCTTGTTGTTACGATCTGCTGAGGGTAAGCCGTTCTTCGCCTCGATTTCCCCAATGCGATAGCTCCTCCCAGCCTCTGGGGGGACGAGTAGGGGGTTTTCCGGTGTTTGTATTTTTGGTTTGTTGGTTTGTTGGTTGGTTGGTTTGTTTTTTTTTTTTTTTTTTTTTTTACCTTCCCTCCGCGAAGAAACAGCGAAGAGGAAGTCGGGGAGTAAGGGTGCCTTACGGCATAATTGGTGGTCGTTCTTAACCCACAAAGAACGATTTTGCAATTCGAGGGGCTACCGGCGTGCAGCAAGCAACAGTCATTCTTAGCCAACAGAGAACGATTTGCAGTTGGGGAGAAATTGGCCTTGCGGCCAGTGGCAGTCGCTCTTAACCCACATAGAGTGATTTGCGATGAGAAAAAAAGGCGACATGCGGCGAATCGGGTGGTTCGTTGCAAGCCAAAACATCGATTTTGCGATTAAGAAGCCGGCCTAGAGAAACCGGTCGTACTCGCCAGCGTCCTGCTCGACTTGACGATTGTAAAGTTAATCTACCTTCACAGCGATCACAGGAGAGATTATTACCGGAACATATTCCTGAAGAGTATAATACGCTGGGAAAGCCGGTGAGTATTTTTAAGGTGGCGGAGATTGGGGGTAATTATCGCTGCTATCTGAAGTTATATATTATAAATACATGGTAAAAGCTAAAAGAATATTATATAAAACTGGGGAAGTCTGCGCTGTTTTCTGCAGTAATTATATTTTATCCTGGACTTGGAATTAGGTATCTGGAGATAAACTAGGTAATAAAAGAGTAGTTTATGTGGGTATGAGATATTAAAACAGGGTTAACTAGGTATTTTAATAAGTGGTATTGCTGAGATATGCTATAAGGCATATATAAAGCAACCAGTTTTAAAAAGTGTAATAACAATAGGAATAGCTGGCAATTGTTATAAAGTGAGTGAGTTTAGATAATAGGTGAAGAGTACAATGAATAGGGCGGCAGCCAGGCAGTGAGCTTGACTGGTATATGCGAATAGAGACACAGGAAACTGGTGATCTAGTGAATGGTAGATGGCATATTAAGGATCATTCCCGGTGCTTAGTTAACTAGCGTTTAATGATTTATAATACTAGCTATGGTAACTGACTATAAAAGGTCATTTAGCCTTGCTAAGTTGTCCTTGATGTTGTAAAGGCTCTTGATAAGCTTGATGATATTGGAGGCGCTATAATGCCTTAAAAATTAAACTAGCCCATTTTGTAAATGGGGAGACAAGAGAAGCCGCCCAAGCGTTTTTATCATTGCGCGAGTTCAAAGGAAGCCACAGCGGGGAGTTGTAAGCCTGGACCTTCCTAGAAGTAGTCGAAGAATATGGCCTCAGCGAGAAAGCTGGCTACTTATCTTTCTAGTAGTCTATTACAGTATGAATACGGCCGTGATAGTAAAAGAGCGGGATTGACCCCTGTCTGACTTTATATAAGCTTGCGAGTTATCTATTTGCATAGTACGGACCAACTAACTCCATGTATACCAGAATTAGTTAAGTCCATTATGAGGAATCATCCAAGTACAAACACCCCTCCTATCTAAAAATCATGCAATTACGCTTGAATCATAAGTTCTCGCTAGCGTAATTTTACATGGGGTACTCCGATGCCTTAACGTTTTAATGAAAAGCAGCCGATGACCCCAGACCCATTTTGGATGTCCTCCTCCTTGATTAGGCTGGAGCTCTCACTAGGGTCAACACTTTCAATATAGGTGCTTGACTCGAACAGCATCTCGGGATAAGCGCTGATTCAGGCAATGTCATGTGCGGAACATTCCAAAGTTCTCTGTAAGATACAGAAAATAACTCACCTCAATCGTCGCTAGCATTGGACTTTCTTGGAACTTTTTTTTAGAGTAGGGGTCTAGAATCACGAGTTCCCAGACCACTGTCTGTCGTGGATTAGTGGCCCGCGTTAGTCGACCTTCACTAGCAATGACGCGACAACATTTGGAGCGGGTTTTCGGAAGTCCAGGAATGTGCCCTCCAATATCCCCAAGGCGTAGCCTGATTTATTCTTTCGGATCCGGCGAGCACAGATACTGGGGGAGGCGTTTGGCGGTGGTGGAAAGAGGTGGTGGTGGAAAGAGGTGGTGGTGAAAAGAGGTGGTGGTGAAAAGAGGCGGTGGTGAAAAGAGGCGGTGGTGAAAAGAGGCGGCGCGGTACTTGGGGCAGGGAATTTTCTTTCTAAGCTTCTTTTTGGTGGCTGAAAACGGATGAAACTGCAGCATCTAAACTAAGTAAGGCAATTACATGCATAACTGGTAGTAAAGTTAGTAGTAGTAAGTAGCCCTCGTAGTAGTCTTTTCCTTTCCGGTTATTCGGCTAAGGGGCTTGCCAAATGTCAGACGTCTGTCTTCAAGCTTGATTATGGCAACACGCGATGACATCGGGTAGACTGTCGGAATTTTATTCACGGCCCAGTGCAGCGCGGCATCGTAGGTATGTGCGAATTCATCCCTTCGGCACCGCTCAGTTATATCCAGTGGCATCTGTATGTAGTCCTGCTGATGTTACTCCGTACAGAGCATCTCGTCTTGGTAGGTGGTACTCAGATGTACGGAGTCGGTACGATCCATACGAACCCCATTCTTTCTCAAGACCGACCCTGGCTTTGCATTAGTGGCTGCACTAGAGGCCCTGAGGGTGGCCACCCCTGGCCTAGGACCAGAAGCTGGAGACATGCTGATTTACTGCAGATAACAATCACCCATGTAGTTGCATTAAGGTATACAAAAGAATAGAATCACCCACGGTAGTAGCAAGAGTAAATCTGATTGAATTCGACCTTCCTCTTCCCCTTTTCTTCTTTCTTTTTTTAGAGAAGGCAGGAAACAAAAACAGCTATGGGTATGTGCCATGTGTGATGCCAACCTCAACTATGTCAAGTATGTAATGCCTAACACAAGGCCTATCTAGCGGAGGTTGCGAAGCACGAGACCGCTGTCATCGTACCCAGCGAGAAGGAAGCTTTCGAAGACTCTCCCGTCGATTTCAGCCACGGGCAGAGTGTCGCCATTCTCAATCAGGATTACGAGGGAAAACCCACTGACGAGGAATTTGCTACTCTGCGCCGTGTCCCTGGCAAGATTCCAACAGTCGCTTACCTCCTCTGTGCTGTTGAGTTCTGCGAGAGAGCCTCTTACTATGGTACGCTTGCCTACTAGTCGGATTTAACGGCGTCACTTGGTATGGATGGAGCATTAATACTTGTGCTTTCCTTAGGGTGCGCCCAGATTTGGACAAACTACATCAACCGACCTCTGCCCAAGGGTGGCAATGGTTATGGTTCCCCTGCACCTGGAAGTCAGGCTACTCAAGGCGCCTTGGGTCTGGGCGAGCAAATAGCCGTAAGACCTTGCTCCTCTCCCGTTAACTTTGAGCCTTTGTTGTGTGTGTCGCATGCTAATTTGTATCAAACACAGAATGCTACTTCACAGTCTTTCAGCTTGTTGGCTTACTGCCTTCCCCTTGTTGTCGGTTATCTTGCCGACACGAGATTCGGTCGCTTCCCAATGATTTTCTGGGGTGTCATCATTTGTGGCGTCGGTCATGTCCTTATTGTCGCAGGTGGTGCCAAGACACTGATCGACAATGGAACTGCCAAGATTCCCTTCTTTGTTGGCGTGTACATCCTCGCTATTGGAGCCGGTACGTTGCAGCCCGAGTACTTGAACCCGTTCTGATTGCGGCACCTGGTTAACTCTTTTCCTCACAGCCATGTTTAAACCAAATGTCACACCCCTCCTGCTGGACCAGATGAAATCGCATGTACCAAAAGTCAAGACTCTCAAATCTGGTGAACGAGTAATCGAAGACCCTGAACACAGCGCTGAGAGAGTCATGTTGTGGTTCTATCTTCTCATCAACATTGGCGGTTTCATGTCCACAGCGACATCGTACTCGGCAAGATACGTAGGCTGGTGGTTGGCTTTCTTGCTCCCTCTCATCCTTTATCTTCCCCTGCCCCTTCTCCTTATCTGGCTCAAACCCCGTCTCGTTTTGCACAAGCCTGGCGGCTCTGATCTACCAAATGTTTTCCGAGTCATCGGTCACTGTCTGGCGAATGGCGGCATATTCAGAATTGGTCGTAAGGGATGGTGGGACAACGCCATACCGTCTGTTAGAGTTGAGAAGGGATTGTCCGTCGAAACCCACTACAGTGATCAATTCGTTGTAGACGTACAGCGAACTATGCAGGCAACGGGAATGTTCTGCTTTTTCCCTGTTCAATTCTGGAATGACAACGGGTACGGTTGCCTAGTTTCTACTTATCACCCTGACTGTGCTAACCTGGGGGATGTAGTATCGGAAGCGCAGCAAACTTTTTGGGCACTATGCTCACAGGCAACGGTGTCCCTAACGATGTCATTGGCAACTTCAACTCCCTTAGTATTATTGTACTAGGGCCAATCCTCAATGTTAGTTACTCCGTGTCAAGGCTGCGGTTTCGTTTGGCTTTTGCATTTGTAAATGAGGAATCTGCTAACCAGATCCTTACAGTACGGACTGTACCCCTTTTTGCGCAAGTCTAAAATTCATTATGGCCCTGTTGCTCGTATCACGACTGGCTTCTTCCTCAGTACACTTGCCGGCATTGGCTATGCTGTGCTAACTTACAAAGCCTACCAGACCTCGCCCTGCGGTTGGTATGGCTCTTCCGACCCGAGGTGTGTGGATAATGGATTGGTCTCACCCATCTCTCTGTGGTGGGAGGCTATCCCATACGCTCTCGGTGGATTTTCCGAGCTGTTCATTAACGTTCCGGGTACGTTCAAAACTTAATATGTCATGTCCTTATGGTTACTAATGCATCTGTATACATTTAGCCTACGGTATCGCTTATTCTCGTGCTCCGGCTAACATGAGAGGCTTGGTGTCAGCCATCAACCTCTTCAACACTGGCTTTGCATACATCATCAACCTGGCTACCACAGCTGCGATTGTAGATCCTTACCTTGTCTGGGATTTCGGTGGCCCTGCTATCTTAGGCGCAGTTGTTACAGTTGGCTTTGTATGTGTTGGAACCCCCTCGTGTTAAATCAGACAAATGCTGACTTTATTTTAGTGGTTTGTCTTCCGCCATATTGACAAGGAAGAATTCGTACTCTCGACGACAAAGACTAGCGAGGCTGAGGAAACTGAGACTGACGAGCATACTGCGTAATCTTATAAGCTTAACAACTTGGCAATGCAGTAATAGGCGCCTCCAGGAGGATTTAATATAAGCAAAACCAGCACATATCTTTCTATAAAATAAACCGCTAAGCTAAATAAGGGAACCTGATATTAAGGAGCTTTATATCTTTGCATAGTAAAATAAAAGAATCACGTATTAAAGGAGTGTGTTTCTATTCCTTTATTATAAGATGATTAATATATTGCGCTCCTACTGGGGATTATGCTCTTATAATTAATATTTTTTTTTTACCTTATACTCCATACTCCTCAAGCTATTAAAAAAACAGATGCTTTTATAGGTAAAATTAGCTGCCGTTAGTAATTTAGTGTAGAGGTGTTATAGCCAATTACGTCATATAGCAGTTTTCTTTACATATATTAGAAGTATACAAGCAAATGAATATAATCTTCAAGCATATATAACTATAGGTAGTGGAGAATTTAAAGTTCTATCTACTCCCCTATAAATAAGCCACTAACCAGCAGATTAGTAGTTATATAGATAACCATTAGTAAACACCGGCTGTTATATATGTTATATTTTTATATTATTTTTATTATAAAGTTATTATAGTTATCTTATAATTATTAGTAGCACAATGCTTTATCATATATAACTATATCTATTAAATATATAGAATCCCGTCCGCTCTCCCAGAGTCAAGCTAGTGAAAGGTAGATTAGTAGTTGAGTGGGTGACCTTCAGCGAACACCGGCTGTTGTATGTTCTTTTATTTTTTCCTCGTTTCATCATAAGTTTAGTGTGGCAGTAGCACAGTGTTCTGTCACCTGAGACTATACCCATTGGAATATACAGGATCCTGTCAAGCACTTCTCTTGAGTGTGATATCTTCAATATTTGGCATCCTAAGACTCCAAATCTAGCATTTCAAAATTTAGCGCTTGTTAACTTCAACTTGTCTCATCCCTCAAGGTTCAGACACGATTTCCCGTGCTCTTGATCGTGCGGTCCTGTATTCGGATCTTTTCAAAGAGAATATAAGATCTGTAATACATTCCGCATGTATTTCATGCTCAAGGGCCTTTGCCATAAAGCGATCTAGCCGAGTACTCTGTATCACGCGCTTATTTCTTTCCGCTACAGTAACAGCCGCTTCTTACATGGACCTTCCGCACCGTCAATTTGGTATACTATCAAAGGTGCTGCCGCCAACTGATCTCAACCAAATAAATATTGACGGCCCTTGGATAGCTTACTGCCCGAACGACTCTTTTCATCTATGAGAGAGCCCCACCAAGCAGTTTCACTACGGTCGGCCCAGACCTCCTCAAGCAGCTCAGTTGTGGTAGAAAACATGTCGTAACGGGTTTTGTTGCTCCACCAAGTGCAGTACTGTTTTGCTTCTTGGCGTAAATGTTCATCTGTGGTCTCGCAGCCAGCTAGGAATACTGGAAGTAGAAGTTGTTTCTGGACCATTGAATCCCGTCTACACGATGTGACGTGATTGAGCGCTTTCCGAGCCAAAAAGGAGAGGGATGGAGACGGCGGCATGTCCCGTTGCCATTTGAAGACCCTGTTAATGTACAAGAGCAGGGCATACCGCCAGGCTTCGGCGCAGTGATGGAGGTCTTCGTGGTGCATCATGTTTGCCCAGCTGTATCCTTCTGGTAATCCCTTGGATGAACATAGTTCGTAAATGTCTCCGTATGTCTGATCTTTCCATTCCCTAATGGCCGCTTCCACCTCCAAAACGGGGTTCATGTCAAAATTGACGCAAACCATGGTCGATGCAAGTTCAAACTCTCTCGCATACGAGCCTAATCGAACCATCTGTTTGAACAAGGCCTCGGGGCAGCCAGACACGCTGTAGAATGTTGGTTTCGCGCTGCAGATCGGTTTGAATAAGTTGACTATAGTTGACTCTGATAGAACGCAGCCTTGTCGAGTAGTCAGCGCCAGTGTGACGTCCCACCTATGCGATAGGATTAGCAAGCCAAACTAAGATGATAATCGGGAGCAAGGCTTACCAGACGAGCATTTCAATCCCAGCTTGCATTCGGGCAGACTTTTGGTCATTAAATGCCTCTGCGGCACGTATCATCTTATGTGCGCGCTGCAGGTACCACACCCACGGTCCATGCGCTGAGGTTGCGCACTATGTCCTCGTCGTCATCTGTTAGTGTGGAAGAAAGACTCGCAGAAGGATGATGAGACTCACATCTAGAGTCATGAGAATGAGCACAGCATCTAGGAGGGTGGGTTCGAGATTAGTATCCTCAGTGGCACTTTCCACGTCTCTCAACATCTGCAGTGCTGTTTCTTTGTGCGTTTTTGCCTCCTCCGAGTAAATTCCGCTCTCACGGTTCAGATGTCGATATGACAGGGCCAGAATGGAGTGCCAAAGCAATTGAGAGCCTTGACACCTCGCAGCATCGAATCGGAATGGATTAGCCTCAAAATCATTGGTCAAGGGCATGACGCAGAATTCTTGATTATCTGTGAGATGTGATGTTAGACTCATACAATGATGGGGAAATGGCTGCTGGTGGTACTGTCGTACATCTGGTAAGTAGATGTGTAATTGTGTTACTGAGGCTGTTGCTACCAATATTGGAATTGATCCAGGACGTATCGATGTTTTGAGTTGCTTGGTATGCATTGACATCAAAGTCAGTCTCCTTAGCCACGTCAGATGGTTCATGATCATCCGCCGGCTCCCGATTTTGTGCTGTAGACGTATCTAGTGCCAAAGAGGATTCATCTATTTCGCATATCGTAATATCGGGTCCAAAATAAAACGGAAAGTTGCCAAGCTGATCTCCAGAGGAGGTAGGGCTAATACCTGAGTCGAAGAATGGATTAAACAGGTCGTCGCCGAAAGTCTCGTCGACAGCATGGTAGATACCGCTCAAGACGGCATCATCCAGTGGTGATAAGATCCTCGAAACATTAATTTCGTCCGGTCTCGGTTCCATTGGGGACGGGATGTCTACGGGTTTTGCATGCCCCTGTTGGTACGTCATACAAGGCGCCGTAGGGCTCTGGAGAGCGTCGCTGCAGCCGACATGATTTTCGGCGTCTGCTTGGGAGGTAGGCTTCGCACTGGGTTTCGATCTTGTTCGCCGGCGTCGCTTACGACTTCCGCTTTCGACAAACTTGAACTCTCGATATGGCTTTGCTTGAGACATGCTGGATGAGACGCTCGTTTTTGAAAAAGATGGCCTCTCCTTGTAAAATGCGGCAACGTTGAGCCATGTTTTTGAGGACTAAGCTCCCGTGTTAGTGGTCAAAGCGACGTTGCGAATGTATCTGTTGGTTCCACTTTCAGTAGCCAATTGCTACGTAGTTGGTCACCAGAAGTGGAACTAACGGATACTATCTGATTTCGCCACCCGTGTGGCATTGCGGGCACCAATCAAAGGTCCTGTAACTGCACAATCGCAGATGGCCCCTTGTATATACCATGTGGCGGGCCCGCAGATTTCCAGCAAATTCCAACCTACCACATGAGTCCTTGAACAACCGCTATCACTTCCCGGCTTCCCGACTGGCCGTTTGAGTGGACTAGGAATCGTCTGGTTGAAGGTTTGCCCGACGCACATGGATTCTACATACTACGCTTTGGCACCGCCGGGTTGTGTTTGTGCCATGTACGGGAGACTTACAGCTGATCGCAGTAACAAGAGACTGAGTCAATCAACCCAGCCCTGCAAAGATGACTGAGTAGATACGCACACGGACCAAGAGCAAACTTGTGCAGATATGTCTCATGTATTTGGCCCAATGGCCCGAAATATATTTAATACATAGTATGTCATGTTACCAAACACCAATGAGCACGAGCGGGGAATTTAACTTTGGTAGCTTAATTGCAGGTAGACAAAATCTAGTTATACAGGCCGCCGTTCGCAGACAGAACGGATCCTGTGGTCCACCTGGCATCGTCGCTGCAAAGGAATGCCACCAATGGCGCGATGTCGTCCACCTCTCCAACCCGGGCTGCTGCGGGAGTCGAGTCAATCAGAGGCTGCATGTCTTTGAGGAACTGCTCATCGCTCTGGAACCATTGATCTGCCCCGTCTTGTTAGCTGAGCCGATTTCTCAACATAATCCAAAAGACGACATGTGTTGTCTGCACTTACCCGTTGCTATCGGTCCAGGGTTCACACTGTTGACTGTGATTCCGTGAGACTGACCCAATTCCTTTGCCCATACTCGCGCGAGCGCCTCGTTCGCAGCCTTCGTTGCGGCGTACACGGTCTGGCCCGCGACTCCTAGACGGGCACCGGCGGACGAAATGAAGACGATGCGGCCACCTCTTGCGATGTGAGGTTCCACCGCTTTGGTTAAGAAGATAGGACCCTTGACATTGGCGTCGAAATGGCGAGTGTAGAATTCTTCGGTCGTGTCTACCAAGTTGGCTTCGCTTCCTTGCGCAGCACTTCGTAAAGGAGGGGTACGTGTTAGTTGCCGCCTAGTATATAGATAGGTACGAGACAATCGTACACAAACTGGATACTTCACATACTTATGGATAAGAATGTCAATCTTCCCGCTCGGGCTAATTTTTAACGCAGCGTCGACGATTCTTGGGATTTGGTCCAGTTTACTCATATCCGCCTGACACACGATGGCCTTGGTGCCGTTTGCTTCGATCTCAGATGCGACCTTTTCGGCCCGTTCTTTGCTCCCCGGTGATACGTAGTTCACGACGACATTGGCACCGCGTCGACCCAGCAGAGTTGCAATGCCAGCTCCAAGCCCCCTGTCGCCAGGATAGCGCACACAACGTTAGAATATTGCCTTTGTCTTGTCCTGTTTGCTCGTGTCTTGTCTTACCTTGATGCGCCAGTGACAATTGCAACCTTGCCAGAAAGATCGAGTCCCTTGAAATCCCTCATGATGCGATGAGAATCTGCCGTCTAATGCAAAGTGCATATGCTTGAATTCGTGTGTTTTCTATACCCCCAACAAACGTCATTAAGTGGCCATTTTATCTTATCGGCAATGGTGCTGTGGCTGTAGTGGTGCTCTCCAATTCCCACGCTCCACGCCACTATTGGTAAAATGCGGACTGCGCACCCCTCTTGCCTGAGATGGAAATTACCAAATTAAGTAAAACTTTCACAATTACTAGATTCGGAATTCTCCAGCAGCTCCAAGGAGGCGGCACGACTTCCTCTTGGTGAGCCATGGCGCTTATGAGTGCTAAAACCACTTGGGCCGCCCACAACAGCTCCCTTGGGCAAGCTGCTTGACCTGCACCTTAACCCTAAGGAGAAGTGTTCATGCTAGTACTTACACCATCAAACTGACCTCATAATGACTGGGAAAACTGTAGACGGTTACTCTTGGGAACAAACCACGGGGGTTGTATCGGGCCTTGAAACTGACGCTGTTGTCAGGCCTCCTCAGTCACCGAGTATCAGAGATAAAGTGTACGATGCTGTTGTGATTGGTGCAGGCTACGCTGGCCTCGCAGCGGCGCGAGACTTGGCGTTGTCGGGTACGTCTGTCGCTGTGCTATGAGAAGTATCGCTATACCTGTTGCTAATTATTATTTTCTTGTTCTGCTCTGCAATAGGTCGAAGTGTTTTGCTGCTGGAGGCTCGTGACCGCATCGGAGGTCGAACATACACTGTCAACAAGGATGGTGAATTTGCCACAAATAATAAAATTAACATTCGCTGAACAATGAGCAGGCTTTCTCTATGAGATGGGCGGCACATGGGTCACGCACCATATGGGCTATCTTTTCCGCGAAATGGTGAGGTATGGCATGGATCGCGACCTCATTACCACAGGAAGCCCGGATATGCACAAGGGCTATTACACAATGGATGTTCCGGGTATGGATAATCGCTCAATTGTGTTCCATCGCCGGGATGATACTAAACACAACTATTTTCGCAGGTGCAAAGCCTCGAAAGTTGAGCCACGAAGAAGCTGGCGCTATGCAAGCCAAGGCCTGGGATATATTTGTTAATGTCGACGGACAGTATGGTCGCACGCTTTGTCCACTTCCCCATGCTCAACTAAACAATGTCATTGTGGGCCGAAAGACAGTAGAGAAATGGGATCAGCTGTCATGTCAGGACCGTTTTGAACAGATTCAGCATCTGCTCACTGCCGAGGAACAAGGTCTCCTCGTATCTCTTCTCTTGCATATTTCCGGGGGCGACATGAAGAACTCTAGCCTTTGGGATATGATCAGATCTCACGCTTTATTGATGCACAGCTCGGACAATTTTACTGACGTATGGCTGAGATATAAGCTCCGTTCCGGACAGACGGAACTGGCTAAGAGGATGTTCGAAGATGCGAGAGCTCGGGGAGCCGATTACAGCTTTTCAACACCCGTGAAATCCATCCTCCAGGGCAAGACAAAAGATGACTTGGTCACTGTTACAGCCCTTTCGGGTCAGACTTTCCGGGCTCGAAGGGTGGTCAGCACCATTCCTCTGAACGTGCTCAAAGACATACGGTTCTTCCCTCCGTTGTCCAAAAAGCGACAAGAAGCTATCAACATCGGGCACGTGAATCAAATGACCAAAATCCACGCAGATGTGACTAATCCAGAGCTTGAACGATGGAACGGCATGCGTTTCCCCGGCCTTTTGATGTATGGATACGGTGATGGCAGGCTTCCTAATGGCAGAGTACATCTGGTTGCTTTTGGTGCTGATGAACGCGAGACATTCGTACCGGAGAAGAATCCTGAATTAGTCGTGGAATCTTTCAACAAGTTGCATCCTATGGATATCAAGAGACTGGTATGTTTGGAGCTTCATCACACGATTTACGCCCTTGTCAACGGCTAACTCGGCTAACTACGATAACAGATCTTCCACAATTGGAGCACAGACCCATACTCCCAAGGCGGACCAGCTTGGTGGCAGCCTGGCTACATGTCCAAATATCAGGACGAGCTCCAGAGCCGTCACGGAAATGTTTTCTTCGCGTCTGCCGACTGGGCACATGGATGGCGAGCTGCAATAGATGGCGCCTTGGAACAAGGATCATTGTCCGCACAATCTATAGATCATGAGCTTGCACCCGGAAGATCTACCGCGGTCGAGAGTAAACTGTAAGGCTGGGTGGTTTGGGCAAGGTTGTCGTATAATACCTCGACACTATCGCTGTTTATCATATCAGCTTGTCAAGGTTGCAAAAAGTTCCAAAAAGTTCATACATAATCAGTACACGAAATTACACCGTGACCCAAGTTAGTGAAAGACTCTCATAGAACAAGAAAGGCTGATGATACATAGCTTCGCCACAGCGACTAGATTACCTAGTAACAGTCTAGGATGGCAATATAGGTCATGCTGGATATTTGAGATCTTGCGTACCAGGTCTCTCGTCTCGCTTAGTTGTATAAATACACTACTTCAGCATGCCATCTTAATCTTTAATTCTCCCAATATAGGGTTGTGTAGAAGCATACTTGTATTGAATAACTCGGACTAAACCCATTGAAGTCCGATACTTTATCATCTGAAGAGATCATTCTTCGCACATTTGGTTGCACAATAAGGCACGTTAGGCGGCAGGTCTCGAGAGACCCGCCCCCGCACTGGATAACGGCACGGTGAGAGCATTTCCTACGCATACACCAGAGTTCGTGAGTGTCCCGTGCCGGATAATAAGGTTGCGTGTGCCATTATCTGAACCTAACCGAATGAGGTCATTGATCTTGTTGCCACTTTATTTCCCAAAACGGTAAAAACGAATCAAACGGGTAATTCCTTGCGCGGAGTCTGCTCGACCCAATGTCAGGCACTACTTATCTCCGGACCCGCTGCAGTGGCAGAGCTTCACTCTTCAATTCCAATATGCAGCATCCCATCCCACAGAGACCATCCACGCCAGAGTGTCCCAATGGCAGCCGCACAGAGCAAGAACCAGGAGATCCTGGATATCGCCAAGTCCCTCAAAGGGACGCCCTGGTGCGAGGAGTATGAGCGCATGATATCAGGCATGCTGTATGTGTTGTCCCAGCCTCATCTTCACCTCTCCCCGCATTAATACAACTTTGGTTGTTTTCAGTCCAGCAGCATTTTCCATACTATTTGATTGGGACTATAAACGCTAATTGCGTCTAGGTATAACCCTTTACACCCGACTTTGTTGGAAGGACGCCACAAGGCTCGCTGCGCTGCCTATAAGTTCAACAATTTAGACCCAAATGCCTATGACTTCGAGCAAGTTGCCGAAGTTAGAACGAAGCTGCTGGGGGAAATGCTGGGCAGCGTGGGAGAGGGAACATACATTGAAACCCCTTTCTCCCCAGACTATGGTTGCAACATCATCATTGGCAAGAACTGTTTCATGAATTTCGGGTAAGTCGGGCATCCAAGCGGCCTAAAAAAAATGTATGGCTGATTACTCTCTGTAGATTCACTGTTCTCGACACTAGCCTGGTCATCATTGGCGATCGTGTGCAGATGGGACCTAATGTTCACATCTACACTGCTGGCCATGAGACCAGCGTTTTATCGCGCATCAAGTTCGTTGAGTTTGGCCACCCTATCAAAATTGAAGATGACTGCTGGATCGGTGGGAACGTTATAATCTTGCCTGGGGTCACCATTGGTCGCGGCTGTACGGTTGGGGCTGGTGCTGTCGTCACAAAGTCCCTCCCGCCTTACTCAGTCGCCCTTGGAGCACCGGCAAAGGTTGTCAAGACAATTGCCTCCGTTGAGGAAGAGCTTGCCGACCCCAAAAATCCATTTCGAGACATGCCCGATAGAGTTTAGATGATGATAGAGAAGTAGCAGTATGGTATATACACATCTCAAATGAGAAAAATATAAAAAATAGAATCTTCATCAATTCAGAGCCATAAATAAGTGTAATTCATTACGAAAATACATCCGTCCTTTGCCATACCTGCCGCATCCTCTATTCTCCAAGTCTTGCCCGTCACAGTAATTCAGCTCGCAATGGCCTCAGCCTGGAGCTCAGCATGCATTCCTGAATTGACAAGCTCAACAACCACCACCGATGTCCATGTAGGTGTCCAGTTGGGGAAGCGTTGTTGAGACAATGCAAACATAACTTCCTCGCACTCTTTTGCTGTGAAGTACGCCACTATCTTGTGCGCCGAGGCTAAACCACCGTCCACGCCAGCGTTCAGTAGAGCGGCGTCTAGGCAATCAAGAACGGCATTGAACTCGGCTTCGAGAGAGCTGCGCACTAGCTCGCCTGTTTTAATATCGACGCCAACGTGCCCAGTTGTAACTACAAGTGTAGCGTTACCCAGAGGAATTGATGCGGTTGTTGCAAGCGAGGCTGACCGGAGCATGTCGCCAACAGGGCCAGGAAGCCATTGGTATTGGACAGATTTGGCCATAATGCTCAAGAAACCTGGCTGGGGTACTCTAACCAGTTATGATGCAGGCTAGTATAGACCTGACTTGTGAGGAACAAGGCCATCATTCAAAAATTGATTGGCTTTATGTCTGGTGTAGCAATGCTTCGAGCATTTAGACCTATCTCTATTTCCATTTTGAGCTGGGCAGGTTGGCGTGGACCCTGCTCCACTCGAAAATATACCTCTTTGGGTAAAATCGTTGATTTAACTTCCTCCGTGGTGGACACAACTGACGGGGAGTAAACCACCATCCTGGTGCTGACTAAGAAACTCAGTGAAAACGCAATTGGAACTGCGAAATTAAATGACCCTGGCGTCCAGCTTTCGACCCGTGGGTCAACTAGATGATTTCCAGACTACAGGCTGCTACTGTTGAACCAATGTCTTTGTCCGATCGTCGCAAAGCCGAGCTGTGCAGTCTCATTGACGAGTACACCGGTGGTGAGGAGAGGAAGATCCCTGGTTTGGTCTACATTGGCTTTCGAGGAGCGGGCGACCCAATCATCGAGCACTATTCGGGCACGACCGGAATATCGTCCGCAAAGCCGATGTCTCAAGAAACAATTTTTTGGGTAGCCTCATTTACGAAGATAGCAACGTCCATAGCCTGTATGCAGTTAGTTGAAAAGGGTTTCCTGGACCTGGACAGCACAGAGCAACTTGAAGCTATTTGTCCGGAGCTCCAGGCCATCAAAGTCCTCAATACGCGGCAAGATGGCACATTTGAGCTTGTGGAGAAAGCAAGAAAAATATCCTTGCGAATGCTGTTAAATCATACCGGTAAGTCAAACACCAATGCCACCAATGCCACCAAGAAATCACCTGCTCATGGCCATTTAGCTGGGTTTGGGTACGCATTTGAGGATGCAAGACTGGCTCAGTATGGTCGCCCCATCGGCTTCGATGACTTTGGCGGATCTCGAGAGGACCTTTTCAGCCGACCATTGGTCAATCAGCCCGGTGAAGTTTTCCAGTATGGAACTTCGATGGACTGGGTTGGAATAGTAATTGAAAGGATAACAGGACTTGACCTGGAGAACTACTTCCAAAAAAATATTTTTGAACCGCTCGGTATGAACAGCGTCTCATTCTTCCCATCAGAAAGCGCCAAAGCGAACCTGGCGTATATGCATCAGCGTTTGCGTGATGGCTCGCTAGTCACGACAGATCATTTATATCGCCGACCGCTATTAGCAGATGGAGGACAGATGGAGAACAGCCGATGTTTTGCTGCTGGAGGCCATGGATGTTTTGGCAAGCCAGCCGAATTTCGAAGTCAGTATAACATGACAAGACAATGACCTTGAACATTAGAACTGACCAAACCACAAGAGTTGATCGCGGTCTTTTTAAATGATGGCGTAGATGCGAGCACAGGCTACCGCATTCTGCAGTCACAGACTGTGGATGGTATGTCTATAAGTGTGAATCCCAATACCAGATTTGACTTTAGTCTGACTTCAATAGAGATGTTCAGGGATCAGATTCCAGACAAACCCAGGTTCAGCAATCAACCAGTGCCGGTCGTAAAACCGTGGCTGGCAAATCCGACACCACTTTCGCCAATGCCAAAGGATCATACTGAGGGCTGGGGGCTGTCGTTCTCTATTAGCCATTTTGCAGAACCAACTGGTCGAGCTGAGGGATCGGCCTCGTGGGAAGGTCTGGCCAATCTCTATTGGTTTGCGGATAGGAAAAACAACATTGGGGGGATCATTGCGTCACAAATCCTCCCATTCGGTGGTGAGTCAATTTATCTGAATTGGTACTGCCCCCAAACGCCTGCTAACCAATACTTTTGTAGACCGACTGGTTCTCGAGTGTGCGCAGAGGGTTGAGAAGGAGATTTATAGCACTTTATTATAGCATATCATAGACCTCTATTATTTGTCAATCAAAGCTTCTGCCTAGAATTGCGATAAGCCTAGAGTATGAGATCGACAAGGTGACAAGTTGATGACAGTTTCATAATCAGTCCTTTGAGTATATATGCATGTATGCGTTTGGTATATATTGACTAATAGGTCATTGTCTTTTGAGGCTTGTAACTACAGGCGGCTGATAGGAGGCGCAAATTGAACAGGTGGGTGGACCCAGGCCTAGTTGCGCCAGTGGAAAGTCCACATACAGTCACTATATAACTGGGATCCCCAGCTGGTCTGTTGCCGCATACACCCCAACTTTTTTTTTCTGCCCTTAGCCCTGCTCGCACTACAACGTCCACCATGGCCAGCGATCTTGATGCCCGATTTCAAGATCTTGTCTCCCTCTTACATAGCATTCCATCCAGCATTTTCAGTCCTTTTGACATTTATCGCACTAGTTACTACTCTTGTGGTGTAGACATTGGTGCAGACATTCTCGTCCCAAAAAGGCCTTGCCGACTAAGTAGGCTGCCAGTAATTGTGAGAATTCATGGGGGGTTCCTGGTTTGTATCCCACGCAGAACTATAAGTGCTTAATATGATTTTGTTAATCCATTTTATAGGTGACTGGTTCAAGCCTTTTCCCAGCTTGGTTCTCCAAATGGATTTTGGAATTTGCGGAAGAACAGTCAGCTGTAATAATCAGCCCAAATTATAGACTCTTGCCTGAGGTGAAAGGAATGGACATTATTCAGGATATGAAGAATTTTTGGGACTGGTTTCAAAGAGGCGGGCCGGAGCGATACCTTAGGTCTGTCGGGCGATCTGAGATACGGCTTGATCCTGAACAATTACTTCTCATTGGAGAGAGTGCCGGTGAGTCAATCATGCTCCCTTTTCCGCCCACAAATTATACTAATTTCCTTGACGGTGGACTCAAGGGGGTTATTTGGCCTTGCAATCTGCATTGTTGGAATTTGTCAGACCCAGAGCAATGATAGTTCTGTATCCCATGCTAGACATGCTATCAGACCATTTTGCCACACCGTATTCGAAAACCATTGCGGGTGTTCCAAACTTTCCGCCATCTGTGATTGACAACTTCCTTGCGGATTTGCCCGAGAGAACAGTGATCACAGAGGCGGATCCTCCAGCACGGCTTGATCTGGCTCTCGCCGTGGTGCAGAACGGTCGCTTCTTGGACATCCTTGGTGACAGCCCAGATCTATTCATTCTGGAGAAACTCAAACACAGAACGGTGGTTGTCTCGAGAGATAGTCATGAGTCTTTATTCCCTCATCTATACATTTTACATGGCGAACAGGACTCTGCAGTGCCTGTAGATGGAACCTTGAAGTTGGTCGAATATGTCAAGAACATCGACCCAGCAGCCAAGATTCACACGGCCATTCAGCCGGGAGATCATGGATTCGACTGCACAGCTTCATCTAAGGACAAGTGGATGAGGGAGGGCTTGGATTTTGTTCTCAAAGAGTGGATCAGACAAGATTCTAAGATTTGAGCTTTCCATCAAACGAAGATGTCATTCATTCATTTAGCATGAGCTCTAGGCCGGTGAATTCTCAGATCTTATATATAAGCTACCAGTATTATGAAAGTTTTATATTATCGCTTTAACTAGGACCACCATTTAGTTTCGTAAGATATTTCGATTTTAGACAAAATTCAACGTATATTCAACTACATTTCCATTAAGTATATAGTCATTTTAGGTAGCCGTATCTAATCAGCAATTTTGTCAAATTGAGATGGGGTGAAAAGGTGAACATGCAATCGATAATTTAAAGAAGAGAGTTAAATATTCTAAGCTAGCCTACTATGAACTGTCTTGATAATTTCGTCCACTACAGATGGGTTTGAAAGGCTGCTGGTATCACCCAATTGGTGCTCCTCACCCATAAGTATTTTGCGTAAAATACGGCGCATGATCTTTCCTGATCTTGTTTTCGGCAAGTCTTGAACCACATATATGAACTTTGGTGCTGCAAATGGCCCAATAGATTTTCTCACTTGGAGAACAAGTTCCTTCGCCAGCTCATTGAGGTCGATTTGTCCATCTTTTGAACTTGTAAATACAATAACAGACTGACCGGTAATTTCATCAGGAACTCCAATGGCTGCGGCTTCTATCGTTCGTGGATGTTCAAGAATGGCGGCTTCAATTTCTGCAGTTGATAGGCGATGACCACTCACATTGATGACATCGTCCACGCGGCCGCGAATCCAGTACAGGCCATCGTGGTCACGATATGCACCGTCCCCAGTAAACTAATGTAATAGATCTGGTCAGCCGGTTAAACTAGATTGTCTTCGAGTAGCACTTACATAATAACCAGGATACGCATTCAGATACGTATCCTTATATCTCTTGTGGTCACCCCACACCGTTCGAGCCATGCTCGGCCACGGCCGCTTAAAGGCGAGTACACCTTCCACGTTATTGCCATGGATTTCTCTGCCTGACACAGGATCAATAATGACAGTATCTATGCCGAAGAATGGCAAAGACGCTGATCCAGGTTTGGTTGGAGTAATCCCCGCCAGAGGGGTGATAGCATGCGAACCCGTTTCGGTTTGCCAATAAGTCTGTAGTCTTGAGTTTAGCCTTCCCCGTATGCCAGACAGACAGAACACACGGGCTATACAAAAACTTACATCAATAACGTCACATTTTCCCTTGCCAATTACCTCGGAATACCAATTCCAAATCTCCGGGGCAATAGGCTCGCCAACCGAACCTAAAACCCTTAAATTCTTCATCTCGGGCAGTACAGCTTCTTGGGTAAATTGTTTTAAAAGTCGCAAGGCTGTCGGTGCAACGTAGAAGTGAGTGACTTCATGACGGTCTATTGCATTCCAGTAGCGGCTTGGAGTTGGATACGTAGGGGTTCCTCCGAAAACTAGGGTGGTAGCACCAAGCAGTAATGGCGCATAAACAACGTAGGTATGCCCCGTGATCCAGCCAATGTCTCCAGCGCAGAAGAATCGATCCTCCGGCCGAAGATCAAACACATATTTTCCGGTCGCTGCAGCTCCGACAAGGTAACCCCCGGTTGTGTGCATGATTCCTTTTGCAGCCCCAGTCGACCCAGATGTGTAGAGCAAAAGGAGGGGGTCTTCAGACGCCATGGGCTCCGGTGCGATATAGCCCGGATACTTCTCAATCTCTTCATGCCACCATACGTCCCTTCCAGGTGTCCAAGGAACCTCCGACTCAGTGTGTCTAAAGACTAAGACATTGGTAACGCTGCAGTTGTTTTCAAGGGCTGCGTCAACAATCGACTTCGTGCCCATAGTTTTACCACCGCGTTTGCTCTCATTTGTGGTAATAACTACTTGGCATTTAGCGTTGATAATTCGATCCCGAAGTGAGTTGGCCGAGAATCCAGCGAAAACCACAGCGTGCACAGCACCAATTCTAGCGCAAGCCAACATAGCCACTACAGCTTCTGGCATCATTGGCATGTAGATACCAACAGTGCTTCCTTTAATCACACCCATATTTCTTAACGAGTGGGCCAACTTGCAGACCTCACGCAGGAGGCTACCGTAGCTCACCGTTCTAAAATCGTCACCGGAGTCAGGCTCATAAATAATAGCAATTTTGTCGGGAGTTTTAATCGCATGGCGATCAAGGCAGTTGAAAGAGGCATTGAGTTGGCCTTCGAGAAACCATGAAACATCTCCATTGGCTAAGGATCCGTGCTGAACAGTGTCGAAATCGCGGCTCCAAGTTAAAAGCTGTCGAGCCAGGTTTCCCCAAAACCGGTCTGGATAAAGAATAGACTCTTTGTACAATTCTTCATATTCCTTGAATGCTGGTATTCATTAGCATGGTTAATTTCTTTTTGTTAAGGAGACGAACTAGTAATTGAATAGTCGTCAGGAATACCCGACGCAGTAGTCAGTGACGACTTATATCTAGAATTAAAAGAGGAATCGCTAGATCGCATTTTGTAATGCACTATATATCAATGCGAAATAAAAATATGCGGCTTATTGTGAAGCAAACGTGTTTGATGTATGATGGACGGTATCGCAACAGAATATGCGTTGGGAGGACAGATGTTGCAATCCTTGGGCTATTAACGCGTCCAATTTATTTCAATATACTTATGCAGGGTAAGTTAGAATACTGGATGCATCATTCGGCTGTGGTTGGCATAGCTCATTGAGCAGCAACCCAACGAATGAGCATTTCCTAAATAGGAAAAATATACTCTCTACTATTCAACGATATACCCAAAATGGTTAATACAGCGTTTGATCCACAACACTAGCAATCCTCGGTGGTGACTCAGGAATGCCGATGCCAAGGATTAATTCCGTTAAGAATTGGTCGGTCGTGTATGTTTTAATGCCACTTGCTTTCTGTTCAGGCCCAACCTGGAGAAATTGGCTGCTTCTGAAACCACGCATGAACGAAAACCAATCGTCAAATCACAGAGTAACTGTGTGCTGGGGACTTAATTGAAGCCCCCTCAAGCTGCGCACTTTAGACTAGGTGGATTTCGACACAGAGCCCCAATCATAATCATAACGGTTAGCGTAACACCACTTATAGGACATGGTACTCCTCTAGGAGGCAAGATGCTATTTTGTAAACAGAGCAGTTGAGTACCTATTGCCTCTACCCTCTACAGCTGAGAACCAAACGACCTCGTCTCTAACTTATGACTAATCTATGGGTCAATCATTACTTGAGTTGCTAGTTACCGGGAAAATTGACGGTAGACTTGGCCACAAACCCCGGCCTGATCCACAAGGGTATCTTTAGAATGATGTCAGCTGCACAGCCATCAAAAGTATTACGATATCAGATATGTTACAAGGTTGCAAATTGTGCCTGCAGGCAAGCTTGGTAATTAGGTACTATAAAAAGTTGCAACTTGACCGCCGACTAGGTGACTTCTATCGGGGCCGGACACACAGCTGGCCACTTCATGATACTATTTCTAGAATTGTAATACAAAATAAACTAGAGTTAGGGCTTATTTAGGAGCGAACTACAAATTGCTGCTTTCGGAGGCAGGCCCTGATCCGCTGCGAGCAGCTTCAACATCTTCTAGATGGACTGGCGCTTCATTGATCTCAGTCAGATCCCCACAAACCATGTTACATGTTTGTGTTCTTTGCAACCACTTGTTTCGTATTCGGTCAAGGGCAATCTTGAAGTCATCCAAAATTATAACGTCACAAAGACATTTACATATAAATGATAGCTTAGGCATCTGCATTAGATTTGGCTTGAACGCATCGATACGGTGGAAATATTACTCACTTTCCAGAAAGGTTCCACGCCATCCGGCAGATTTAGGGGCAAAGCACCTAAAACGCTGCATTCATCCAGTATGGTAAACACAATAGATAGGCACATTGAAACTAGCATAATTCCAAAGCGCGGGCTTACTCTTACCAGCTCCAAGATTGTGAGCGTGTATTGTCGTTTGATGATGTAGAAGAGGTGGGAAACAGTGAAGACCCACCAAGGATCACTGCTTGGGTTAGCATATTACCCAGTGCCAAAGAAGAGAGAAAATTTCTTACCGGAAGAGGGGCTCAAATGGCCTCGTTTTCCGGAATATAGTGTTGATATCATTGTAAAAAGTGAAGTTGGCGTAGATCTCTAGGATCCAATAAGGTTGCACAAGAATCACAGTTCCAATGTAGAAAAGCGATCCTTTGCGGGACAAGAAGGGCCTGTTTTTCATCCACGCAATAACGTTGTGCAGAGACCATGACACACAAAGGGCGATCGCAGTTGCTGAGAGATACCAGCCGTATACAGGGTTTGCGAAAAAAATGAATGTGCCGTGGGGTATTCCCAAGATAAGCTACTGTCTGGGTTAATTATGTACGATAGACTGGTAGATCGACAGATGGCAGACCTCTGCCAGAATCAATTTATGCAAGAGAATGCGCTTTCTCATGTTGGAAATGACGACGGCGGCCATGACGAACAGAGAGCCAACCATGAGTCCCTGGCTCCAGGCTTCTAAGATAAGGCCATTCGGAGAGGTTGGACGGCCCCTGTCACCGCCAGCCATGTCACATCATTATATCGAAATAATCGGGATTAAGAATAGACAAAATTATGGTATGGTTAAGGTGTACACACTATTTCCAAGGTAGCTTTAGAAAGTAGGGAATGGTCATGTTGCTCTCGGCACTGGATCTGGAGGCGATAAAGTTGGGTATGATGGAGAGTGGGAGAGGGTTTCATTGAATAGAGTGGGGAAATAAGCCAAAGCCCTTTTACCATAACAGGATAAAGGTGTGGGGTTTGCAACGAGCTAGGACTTAGACTGGTCCAATCATTATACAGATACGTCACGGTTTCTTCAAATGCACCCTCTTCACAGTAATTTACTCGTAATAGGAGGGCCAAAAGTATCTGCACCACTTAGTTTACTTTGTCTTGGTAGAGAAAAATTGTCAATAGGCGGAGATTCCCTAAGACATTGTAGGACATATAGATTCGCAGGCACCAAAATCAGAGGTATTAGGGCAGTAAAGGTCTGAGCAGAATGTTACGTTGGTGATGGGTCGTAGACCGTAACCAGTTGATCGTACGGAAAGGTTGTGTTGAGAGCTATCTATGACGGAGAAAATTGGGAGTGCCTATATACTGCGAAGTTCACTGGATGTTTGCACGAACATCTAGTGAACCTTCCTGCCAGGGGGCTGAGAGTACACTTATACCATAGGTAAACTTTCCTGATTGGCCCATCGTGCCGACTATTGTTTCGTGTATGGATACAACTGCCGCGGTGTGGTTCATGCAGCCGGTCCAACCTGCAACCTGCGAGATGGGATCGTAACACTACAGCCCGTTCACCTACTATACCCTGTATCAACACTCTTGAGAACTATAAAACTACGTCACCCAATTGAGAAAATTGGCTCACTCTAGCACATCCACGTACAAAAGCTCTATCTGGACTAATGTCATTTTCTAGTACACCCTATTTCATAGAAGACTAACCCCCATCACCTATGACGACGATCACCGGGAAGTATTGACATGCGTTGCACTAAAAGACTCGTAGCCCTGCTAATACACAAGTATTTTGATATCAATTTAATCCTCTCTGTTATTAGCATTGATGAAAACCCAGTCAATCTCAGGACCACGAAATTTGTTCCGCCTTTCAAGCCATAGTGCCAAAATAATCACCATTACGCCAACAATGACAATTGAATTGCTTTTATAAAGTCAGCATGTGATCAATAGTTCGTTTAATAGAGAAACCTACTAGTTCATTGATTCAAGGCTGGTCGGGTTTGTGGCCGGAAAGCAGAGGAAAATACCGCCTATGGTCACCCAAATAACTGAGAACGCATTCACAGCATATCCGAGTTTGCCGAGTTTGAATGGACGCTTGGGAAGGTGATGACGGCCCCGCGTCAGTACAATTCCTTGGGGGACAACAAAGGTAATATTAAGCATCAAGATTGTCGTGTTGATAATTGAGTTAAATGCCTCTGTGCTTGCGATATAAACAAGTCCGTAGATGGCACAAAACCCAGCCGATAGCAGAGTAGTCCGGACAGGAATGTTGAACGTCGTGGAAACGTGCTTCCAGTAGTCTGACAATGGAAGGCCGTTCTGATTTTGACCCAGGTTAGCCGGATATCAGGGCATGGGTAGCAATCAATAGGCTACTTACATCTCGAGCGAAAGCCCAGGTAATTCGGCTGCAGGTGATCCATTGCGATGGTATACAGGCTAGCAGAGGTAAGCATTTCAGAGAGTCGGTATTGGTCGATGAGGGAGCTTACTGTAGTAAAGCAGTGTCATGTATGACTGCAAGAAGGTAGCAACCGACTTGCTTCTCGTTGCCTGATACATGACTTCAATATTAGGCAATGAAGCAGCTTGCACGGCACCCATGTCCTGAGTTACCGCTAAGATTACCAAGATCCAGATGACTGATGTCACAACACCTATCAACATTGTCATATTGCTGATTGTCAGGGTTAGTAGCCATAGACCTCCAGAGGATAGGCTGGGCATTCTTACATGACTCGCGGTAGCTTACGGCTTGGTTGTGGCATCTCTTCAGCGATATGCGTACAAGCTCCTGTACCAAAAAACGCATATTGTCCGGTACCGATGGCCATCAACCAGGCTGGACCTGGAGACCAACCACTTGAAGCCGTACTTGACACGATATTTTCTGGATGGTAATTACCTCTGGACATGATGAGAAGGACAATTGAAACCAACGCCAAACCAATCACAGAGAGATACATCGCTCCTTTCGTTAGGTAGTCAATATACTTATGTGGAACCGTGAAAATAGGGATCACTAGAGCGGGTAAGCTTCTCTGTTACGTGGTCACCAAAGAAATAGACTGACTTACAGGTTAGAACGATGACCAACAGATAGCACAAGTATATTTGCCAATGCGCCCCTTCCATGTTTGGATACCATAGTTCCGCAATACCGAAAGCAGAAATCGCCACGTAGATTGTACCTGACGCAGCATTCACCCACCATGCGACAATATTCAACAGCCCCACGATATAAGCGGCGAAGTTACGAGTCTTCGTCGGCGCGACAATGTAGGTGTAGTGATATTGGCCCTAGGATTATATGTGAGGACTTGTGGGATAATTCTGGCTGCAGGCAGACGCACTCCTGAAGATGGAAGTGCCGAGCAGAACTCAGCGAGCCCAATTAGGACAATCCATTGGAAAACAGCAGCGAGTATCAGGCTAACCAAAGCCGCTATACCGCCGCCTAAACTTAATGGGATCCCGAAAGAGGTTGCATAGGTAATCCAGGAATTGGTGATGCTGCACAATGTGTTATTCTTGGATCATTCTTTTTGTCAAGGTGTTGGCCTACCTGAAGGCAAGTCCGACGGCACCCACCCAAGAGAATGACCGTTCCAATTCAGCAGCGTGTCCTTGAGCCTGTAGGAGGGCATCATCTTGGTCTATCGAGTTGCCGGCTTCATTCATTTTGTCGCTGCCATCGACGTTTTCCATCATACTTATCGATGTCTTGTTGCCTTCATTTTCTGAATGATTTGATAGGATCTCCATGGTTGCAGTTAAGATTGAGCGTTGAATATTTGAACTTTCCAGGGACAGTGGTTTGCAAAATCTGTTCGTAGTGTGACAGTTTCTTCTTCCTCTATTTTATAAGAGGTTGACAGAACAACTCCAAGGGAAAAACCCGCAAAATCATATTCGTGGCGAATACGACTAGTAACGCTATCAAGGGAACTCAGACGTGTAGCCGCTCAAACAGCCATGTGGCGGTTAGCACAGTGCAATAAATCACCTAGAACTCCAGGAGATATAGTGTAGATGGATTAGATTAAGCTCATAATTACCTGTCTAGTGCTTAGCTAGCAGACTAGTTCACCGAAGCGCTTTTTGCTTCTTTGGGGCATATTCAGAGTGGGCCCTATTGTGTCTGTAGGGGTTTGAAGATCATCCTTTCGCCTAGCCATAAGAGTGTCAATCTGAGTAGCAGGGTAGGCGTGCTCTCCCTCAAGTTGAGATCACAGTGCGTTTCCCCACAGATAAAAATCGTGGCTTGGATGTAGTGGAGCGGGGAATCTATTAACCCCACGGGGTAATCAGAGCTGGTTGTTCACCTTTCCGGAACGGGGCAACTCGCTCTATTACCCAACAAGGCAACACTTAGGAGGTTGTTGTGCAACCTTGGACATACCCAACCTCCCCGACCTCGAGTGATGCAAACATGGCCAGCCGCTAGCTGTGAACTTGACACAACTGGACCCAGCTCTCAACGGAAACGGAAATGCTTGGACATCGATGCACTTGTAATACTAGTACTAGCATATGGGCTACCTTAAGGGGGCCAGTGCTTACGCATACCACGGCCTCATAATAGACATCTTAGGACTCTAGACAGCCTATTTTTTGTGACATTGCTGCAAATCCCAAGCCTAAAGCTTTGGTAAAGCTATTTGTCTGCAAGGAACGAGTTAAAAACATCAGAACTTATTAGCCTGGAAATAGTACATGCAGCTAAAGAGGCCAGTGATTAAGACAGGTAACATAAAAAAAACTTGTCTGGGAATAGAATATCCTAAGGCCAAAGAGAACAGCAAAAAAAAAAAAAAAAACCCTTGGCGGAGTACGGAATCTACGCATCAGAACTATCCGCGGTGGGAGCTCCATTTTTTAACGATTTGTAACTACTAGAGTCGCACAAATGGCTTCACCATGTGTTTCTTGCCCACCGTGAGGAATTCCGATTCGTAAAATAACTTCAAGGAAACATCCCTGACGTTCGAGCCTAGGCCGTATCTTTCTTATAATCTTGAGCTAGGTTGTAGCTGTAGTTTTAAACCCTGAAGAATGCCTCCAGCGGCCTGGACAGCATCCAAGGCCATTCCATAACCGCCCTGGAACCCGGTTCCTCCTGCTCCGTAGTTGTGAACAATTGCTTTTGTTTCTCCACCAATAACGATGCTTTCACGCTGGACTCGAGCACCACCCTCCCGAGAGGGTCGAAGACCGCTCATTGCTGCAAGTAGCTCTTGCTCACCCTGGCGTAGTTCTTGGCTGAGCTCGTTTGTACGTCGCAATATGGATTCAGTCTCATACGAATACGTAGCTCCGTCGCTGCATTTGAGTTAGCGGCGTAACTTGTAATATAATACAAGTGGCTCATCTACCTATTCCCTTTCTGCATATATCCTCCCAAAATGACATTTCCGTTTGATTGGGGTCTTGGGATAACGTATGTCTCATAGGCGCGGCCATGCCTCATTATATTTGTCTGGACACTCGGCGCTCTCACTAGGAGGACCTGTCCTCTAGTGGGATAGCACCGTTTGTCCTCGACACCGGGCAAGGTTCTGGCTGCATTTCCGGTGCAGTTAAAAACAACCTGTGTGTCTGGGCTGGCAAAAGCATTTCGTAAGTGAGGTAGAGCCTGGCGAACAAACCGAACACCGTAGTCATTCTTCAGGCGCTGGTACAAATATTCTATGTGCTTAGGCGCATTAATAGTCAAAGTTGTGAATGAGACGGCAAATTTGACGCCCTGAGGGAGCTCGTCTGACTCTAAAACCCGAAACTAGATCTAGTTAGCTTCTAAGGTATGCCTGTTGTGGAATTCGGACGTACATCTTCTAAATATTCTGACATATGTTTGATCTTCTCTTCTGGAACATCTTCGTCCCACAGTTCAATAGATGGAGTACGCTGCACAAATGTGCGATGTGGTTCTCCTTGAGAAGCCAATTTGCAAAGGTGAGAGTAGCCGAGCTGATCCCATCGCAACGCGTTTGGGTCAGATCCGGATATGGCTGAGAAATTACAGCCTGCGCTACAATTTTTGATGTTAGTAAGATAGAACTGTACTAGAATTTGACTAATCCGTCAGTTGAAACATACTATGGTGATGTATAGGTTTGGGAGGTGTCGCCTGGTAGATGTTCAGCCACGACCGTAATTAAACTGCCATAGCCTCGCTCAGCAAGAACAAGCGCAACATCTAGGCCTACAATCCCCGCTCTAAACTTTAACTTAGCAATTCAAGTTGGCGAAGCGGAAATCGAATGCTCATATCTACCTATACGTACCCAACAATCACAATGCTCTGATTAGATGGAAGTGTGACCATGGCTGAACAAAAGGTAAACTGTTGCCGACGTCTGGAATCTCTAATGACTACGGATATGGGGGTTCTTGAGGGCTTGGAGAATAGCGCAAGTGAGTCTTGGTTTACAATAAATATGCTTGGCTTTATAGCACAGAACTTCAGCCAATGCAAAATCTGCGCATGCCCAGGATAGCGTTCCTAACTCGGCAAATCAGAGGTTGTGGCGGCGGGTACTGTGAAGCCAATCAGCTTTTCCCAAGATGGTAAGGTTTTGGAATTATGCTTTCCTGGTTAACGGCTATTACCTCGTGTGGTAATTTCCCCAGGAATTATTTAGATAATTATTAAGGCGACTATGACGGCGTTTAACAGATAAAATATACTTTAAACATGTATTAGATATTCTAAAAATTTATTATATATTTTATTTATAAATATAATTATTAAAGGGCTTTATATAAAGATTCAAAATTAATTCAAAAACCGGTCTAAATTGTCTGCTACATTTGGAAATTGATTGGGGGTGACTGGTGGCGAACCACCTAGGTATACTAGAAAGGGTTAGTGGATCTGAGATCAGTCAGCACTGAATCTTTGGATTAAATGTTCCTTATTAGGAAATAACCCAATCCACTTCGCTGCCCGTTCAGGGGCCACTCACTGGCTCGACAATATTTCCACATTAGGTAAATCACCTAATTTAGTTGTACTTTGTTTATGCTGGGGACTTAGAGCGGTAAATGAATTGCGCTCCTATAAGTGATATTAATTATTTCAAAAACCCAAGTTTCCTCTGAAAGGCATCCGAGATTAAGACTGTCTACATCTTCCCCTTAGCTTTGAATCACTCTATCTATTCTTGTGTTGAATAACATCACACATTTACAATGGCAACTATGAACGAGGTTTTTGCAGGCTACGAGGCACGCCAAGAGGTTCTCAACAACAGCAGCAACCGTTTTGCGAAAGGAATTGCCTGGGTCGAGGGCGAGCTTGTTCCCCTGCATGAAGCTCGCATCCCCCTCCTTGACCAGGGCTTCATGCATAGCGACTTGACCTATGATGTTCCTTCCGTGTGGGACGGTCGTTTCTTCCGCCTCGACGACCATCTTAACCGCCTCATTGCCAGCTGCAAGAAAATGCGACTGTGTCTGCCGCTACCGCGAGAGGAAGTCAAAAGCATCTTGGTGGACATGGTTGCGAAAAGCGGCATCAGAGACGCATTTGTGGAGCTGATTGTGACTCGAGGACTGACCGGTGTCCGCGGAGCTCGGCCACAGGATCTGCTCAAGAATAATCTCTACATGTTCATTCAGCCCTACGTCTGGGTCATGGACCCCGAAGTTCAGCGAAGGGGCGGCGCAGCGATTGTTGCCAGAACGGTTCGGCGCATTCCTCCAGGATCCATCGATCCGACTATTAAGAATTTGATGTGGGGGGACCTCGTACGTGGTCTATTCGAAGCATCAGATCGTGGCGCCACGTACCCTTTCCTCACGGATGGAGATGCCAATCTTACCGAAGGATCAGGTTTCAATATTGTACTGGTGAAAAACGGGGTCTTGTACACTCCTGAACGCGGTGTGTTGCTGGGCATCACTCGCAAGAGCGTTATTGATGCTGCCGAGGCCAATGGTTTAGAAATCCGCGCGGAGTTCGTGCCCGTCGAGTTGGCATACCAGGCTGACGAGATATTTATGTGCACAACTGCGGGTGGCATTATGCCCATTAACACGCTGGACGGGAAGCCGATCAAAGACGGCAACGTTGGCCCAATCACCAAAATGATCTGGGATACATACTGGGCAATGCATTACGATGACAGGTATAGCTTTGAGATTGATTTCAGTCGGGGTGGATATCAGAATGGAGTTCACTAAACCGCTGTGCATTAAAACGAGATGAATAAAAGATTTTTCTTAACCCCAGCGGTCACAATTCTGAGTAGCGCTAATCAAGTAAAAGCATTTGTCGTCGCCTCAACGTTCTAAGAGAAACTGTCTGGTATAAATTTCCCCTTGAAATAGCTTTAATTAAGGACTAAATAAATCTTGTACTTTAGAAGTTGAGTTTAGTTTGTTATTAAGTATACAAATGCAAGTAGCCTTGATACTACTAGGTAGTAAATAAAAAAGATCCGCCTGTGCAAGCTGCTACTTCAGCTGTACCAAAGACGTAAAGTGCATGCGTCCACCCCATACAAGATGGGATCATGGCAACCAATGCAGCCAGCAGCGTAAGGGCATGTAATGTCGACGCCGCTGCCACTTGAGGATTGGCTGCTGAAGGTTGGCCGGGGGGCGGTCTCGGGTCCTGGCAGGTGAGGTTGGTGCTGTAAGAGGTGCAGACGGCACCTATGGCTCTGGCTAGGGCGGATATACTGGATGCGGCTGCAGAATCAATCGTCGCCGCGCATGGGTTGGTGGTTGGACTGGGATCCAGCGTGTCACACTGGACAGGAGAGGTGATGTTGAACGCTTGAGCCTCCGCGGTGCCGCAAGTGTCAGACGACGTGGCTGCCTCAAGATCAACTGTCTTTCCAGACTTGCTGACGGTGAATACGGTGGTGAAGTTCTCGCCACGTCTTGGTCCCCCACAAGTATCGTACTGCACGTACCAGGCGAGCGTCCAGACGCCTTCCGGGTACGAAATGGTGTTGACAGCAACGCTGAGCAGATTCGGGTTGCTGGGCGCGGGATTTGTCGAAGCCACATCGCCGAAGCCGGCGCGAGCAGAGCCTGGCGATCTCTTGTCGTTGCCCCCTACACGGCCCATTCGATTGAGGCGGACAGCGGCGGCACGGTCAGAGGCGGATTCTGCACCGCAAAGACGATGGGCATCAGCCAGCTGGGAGCGTACGTCTCGTTGCGAGGGAATAGCAGGTCCACTTCAAAGGGGGCGGCAATGGTATGAGAAGCGCCCTTGTCGCCCATTGCAGTCATCAAGCTGGCCGTCAGCGCGGCCAAGACGAAGCAAGCGTGGTTGGAAGCGCCCATGATGGATGATGAGAACGCTTGAAGGCGAGGGGTTACCCGTACTGGCTAGCTGGTGGCCAAAGGGGGGAAACAAAAGTAAAAGGAGAGAATGATCAGTCTGAGGCGAGAGACCATGGCGAAGGGGAGAAGATGTCGAACTGGCCGTGTCGTTCGAATTGGGCGCGTGCTATCACAAGCGGCGCAAAGGACAAACGGCCCTTCTTAGAATTCTCAGAGGTCTTCGGCCACATCAATACTCGGCGTGAAGAGTGCGGCTTCGCGGGAAACACGGCACGCAGGAACTGGTTGTTGGTTCCCCCCTGTTCGATGCCCTGTTGATCCTCCAATTGCAAACCAGATCCGCTCATTAGCTTCTCACAGATATTCTCATCCTACCCCATAATTAGCTTTATGCCAGTTGAAGCAAGTCAAAGAGAAGGCAATCGACGCATGTCTACTTGTACGTCCACAACCTCCGACAACCCCCTCGTCACCCATTTCGCCTTCCACTGAAACTGCATCACGGTGCAAATCGAGTCCTGTATGTTCAAGATTGTCTGTTGACTCTTTGTATATATATATCTTCAACTTTGTGGAATATACGAATCCAGCAACTTCGTCAAAATTCCAATTCTTATCGCTCATTTTAAATAAACAAAAGGGTATCGTCCAATTAAATACACAAACAAACAATAAATTCCCATGACTCCAGCGCTTTCCAAGTGTATCCGTAAACAAATATTGAGACAGCACACATCCCAAGGGAATCTTATTCTTGAGCCCTCCAAAGACTACGCCGCTGCATCCAGCCCTGCTAGAATAACGACCATGCCTTTAAAACCAGCTCTGACTCGCAATGCCAATGTGCAGTCAACTTCCAAACTGCGCCGCTGCCTCCGACCCTGTCAGATTAACGACCATGTTTGAACAGATGATGCAGATATGGCGTTGCAAAGTGCCAACCGGTAGTCGGTGTATACTGAAGGAAAAGCTGCCCGCTGCCCCCAGCCCTGCCAGGTTAACGGGTATGCCTCCTCAGTCCGACTGGTACTCAAGTTCCTAAATTCTTCCCAAAGCATGTGTACGTGACTCTTATCTTGATGATGACGCCACCAAGCAAGCTTTGCCGTTGTCACCCAAGAACCACAGTTGATATCCCATAGCTCTCCTGGATGACCGCCGTGAATAAACAGCCTCTTCAGTTGCGGGAATAGACTTGGATCTCTGGCCTCGAGGCTGGCGCTTGTTGCCTTTATCTTTACTCTCCCCCTCTAGCTTCCTCTTGTTCTTCTTCTTGCGCGTTTGACGTTGTGAGATTGGCTTCCCTGGATTGCGTTTTGTGTTGTTACGTTGACGCGAGACTGGAGCCTTGGTGATTGCGGGTAAAGAGGCAGATGAAGTGGCAGGCGAAGTGGTGGGTGAAATGGTGGAAGAAACATTTGATGCCCCCAAAATAGCAGGGGCTGGCGAATCTGATGATATCGATGACGATTCAGAAACGCCATTAGGCGCGATTTCGAGCTGATCACCCCCAGCTGCACCCGTCTCTTCATCGGAAAGCTCTGGGCTTAATAGCGGCTCTCGACTTCGACTTCGGTATGTCGAGCCAGTATCTAGCTGAGACTGTGCTCCAAGTGGTTCTTCTAGCTCTGGCTCCATCCCCGGATGGTGCCACGACTTTCGGCCATCCATTTGGTGATACTTTCCGCACGGGCATAGCAAATAGCCCTGCAGCGCTAATGTAGCCCTTTTCCGAAACTCTCGTGCCTCCGCGGTCAGCTCCTTTGTGTGATATTCATCTTCGTAATATATATGTGCTTGTGACTGTGGGTCGTCGAAATGGCTGGGCCATGGTACGAAATCTGGATCATCGTCGGGACTCGGCCATGGTTCAGCGCTGGGATTCCGTGAATGCCTCGTTGAACTGGCTGCGCTCTGTGTCCTGGCCCGTTTCGCGCTGATGCTCGGATTTGGCTCTTCTAGTAGGTCATTGGTTGAAGTGATATCTGCCCTCTTGCGTTTTTCGCGCCGGGGGGTTGGAGGTGACAATGTTGATGCTGATGACGAAGATGCCTCATCGTCGCTAGATATCACAAGACTCGGAGTATCGGTCGGCAGGTCTAGCCTGGCCTTCTTGCGCGGCGAAGAAGGACTTGCGGCGGATCTTCTCTTAGCCATATTTTCAATGGGCAAAGCGACGAAATGACGCGATCGAAGCTCTGCGGTTTTGCTGCTGTTGAGCATGAGACGAGATGTCATCTGTTGCTGGACTGGAGCTAGTGGAACGAGGTTGTCTAAAGTCACGTGATGTCGCGTCAGCGACGAGATGCGGCTCAATATGGAGACGCGACAGCACAGCAAGACGCCCCATGATTGCGACGCAAGCTTCGTTGCCGCTTATTTTTCTGGATTGATGCGCTTCTCATGATAGAGCAAGCGCCATGGCGGCCGTTACAAATTCCGCGCCGCGCGACATTCCATTTGCCACCTTTAGCGCTGCCAACGACGCAGCCGTTCTCCTGTTCGAGCTCATCCAGGCTAAAGCGTCACCGCCAACTCTCATTAGCAGCGGGAATACCATCGGCTATCACATATCACTGCCTTTATCATCTGACATTTCTAGCTCAGATGGTAACAGCTCTGATTCAGCCTCCGAATTTCAAGCCTCACACTCTTCTAAATTGGTGGAATGGAAAATTGGCGCTGGTGCATCGCCAACTTTGGCCGACAAAGAGCTGGGCCTCACCAATCCAGACATTCTTCTCTGCGCTCCAGGCGACACGCCAGCTTCCCACAGAATTCGCAACTACATCAAGGACTTCCATGCATACATCACCTTCCACCCAACTTCAGGTGTTCTTATGCTCCGGAATTTTTGCGATCGACCCATCATCTACGAGCAAGGCGATATGCACGATAATGACTTGACCCTCCGCTTAGATGAATGGGGCAAGGGAATGACATGTGTCCTGCGAAGAGAGCACAATTATATTCGCTTCGGCCCATATCGATTTCTTTTCAAATTCGTGACACAAACCCGACAGAATTTCGATAGATTTACTGCTTATATGAACGGTGTTATCAAGAGTGACTTTCATGGACTGAATCCCTCACGCCTGTTCAACTTCATCCCAATGCCAAGCCCATATCACGAGACTTCATGGAATATTTGGCTTCATCACAAGATCCCAACCACAAACGTCACTACCGGCGTCGACATTCGTACGGGACAGCCGGTTGCTGTCAAGAAGCTGTGGAACAGAGAGACATCCAAGACGCGCCAGTACGTTGTCGAACGGTTGAAAATGGCCCTCCAGAGCAGAGACGCACAAGACAGTGGGATACTTAGAATTATCGATGTCTGGTGTTCTCACCAGACTTCTCCTCCGTGCCTATTTGATGCATCCAACAGCGATATGCTTGACGAGTGCCGGTATACCTTCTATTCGATGCCGCTAGCCGGATATAATTTTTTAGATCTTCCTTGGACAAAGTTAGAGCACGATATACACCTCACATATTTTCATCAGACATTACTGGGTCTCTCTGCGCTGCATGAGCAGGGCCTCATTCACGGGAATATACGGCCTACTTCACTGCTCATATTGGCCAATACAGCGCATACATCGTATACGACTACCAAGGCTCTTTCGACCAAACGGGCTGTCTTGTCTCTCTCCATGAGTCAGGTAGAGAGAAAACCGTACGATATAACTTGTATTTGTATCGCACCTGAAGCTTGGCAGAAAATAAACAGTAGATCAACAACAAAGCTAGATAAGACCAAGCTTGACATCTGGGCACTGGCTACTTCATGGATTTATACTTTCATGCGACCACCAGACAATTTCAAAATCGTAACAGAACGGGACCATCTACAGATGCAAAGACAGGTGCAGTATCGGATTGAACGACTTTCATTTTTGAGGCGCTTTGCTCCTCTTTTGAACAAAATGCTTGCCTGGGAACCAGAATGTCGGCCAAGCGCAGCCGAAGCTCTTGCGAGCAACGCCTGGCAGCCCGTCTGGGATGAGAAGCAGAGGAGGGAGGATAAGAAGAAACAGAAGCGGAAGGCCAAGATGCAATCGGGGGGAGCCAAGAGAGTCAGAGTGCTCTCGCCTGCCACAGAAGATTATAAAATCATTGAGTCGGATTCGAAAAAGGATTGAACAAGCCAGGCGTGGTTCGCTTTGTGACTTCGTAGTCGCCATTTGAGCGCAGAGACCAACTGAACACTTGGTATATGTTCTTACCCGGCATTGCCAAGTGCCTGAGGAAAGGGACGGTCAATGCGTCGTCTTGATAGCCTCTTATCGTCTGCTTCCCGAATTCTCTCCCGTCGTGTGGGGACTGGCAGCCTCGGCTTTCGAGTCTCGATGGCTCAGCCAGAGATGGCGAGACGAGCGTTTTGAAGCCAGCAAGACCGATGTATCTTCTGCTTACATCCTCCTTGCCCGCTTGAGCTCTCTCAACTTCTTATTCTGGCCTATTCCTGCGAGGAAGCTATGATAAAGAGGTTTGTAACAAAGCCCAGCGCATTACATATCGGTATGTAACTCTAACACGCATGCAAAATGTTAGGCCTAACAGCAGTGTATAGAGACAATATCAAAGCAGCAAGGCTACTCCTAGAGTAATGGTGGTGACAGCCATGAGTTGGCTGCGAACAGACGAAAGAATCGTACTTGCCTTCCTGATGCTCTAGCGTCCGGAATAAAAAAAAAAAAAAAAGAAATGACAGGCCAGGTAATGAACTCAGCTGCCGGTTCTCCAGCCGTCGAATCAGGTGGGCTCCACCAAACGTGGAATACATGCAGTATAGGTGGCGGAGCAAAGGAAGTTGGCTAGCGATATGTGAGTATCTTTTGTTTGTTGGGCCTATATGTATGTTGTCTCAATCTAGACAAAGCACCAGGATCTGGCATATGGTGGAGAGTGCAAAATATGGCGCTTCCCTTGATATAAACATAAGCTCGTGTCAAGTTGCGGTAATGTTTTACCCATTCATCAGCACACAGGTAGAATTAATTTGACTCATCAACGCCCCTGTGCTCTGCCGATCAAAATGTCTTAATATGCGAAAGATATTATGTATGCTAGTACAAAAGCCAAGGTTAGGCCATTCTTTAAAACGCGATGCTTGTATTGATGACGCTGCCTCTTCCTTGATACACTAACTTTGAGAAGTTTCTCTGTGCCTTTACATGAACTCTTTTGCCTCTCCTTCCAATTTCTTTCACGAATCGCAGAATCCTGCTAACGACCCCCAAAACGGATATGTTCCAAGCCCTTGATTCCTGCAAGTCTGTTGTGATGGACAAGTTGAGCCGCTATTCCTTGAGTCCGTGTTCGATGCCGCAGCTCATGGAGAGGAAACCATGGCCCCAGTTTGAGGCACAATTGTTATGGATACCACCCTCGGTCTGGGAGGCGCCCTGACAGTCAGCGAAGACGTAGTAAGTGCAAATTGGCGTTCCATTGGGATAGGTGGACGAAGCCACGCCCACGCTATTCTGGCCAGTCCAGTCATAGTTGTAACAACTCCAGTCGGCAGGGGGAGTTACGGTAATCATGTAATCAGAACAGCCGCCGTCGGAATAGTAATTGACTTTAATTTCAGCGGCAATAGCCGTCGAGATGATGGATGAGATAATGAAGCTTGAAGAACGCATGGCGCCGGGTGACCAAGTAATGTAATGTTAAGATTGATAATGATGTGTGCTGCAATGATGTTGGGACGGATTAGATTGCGAATTTAGAGGGGAGTAGCATGGTATTTATAGTTGGAATAGCGTGTTTATTCAACCTCTGTTGGGACGCAGTTTGCTTGTGTTGATATAGCTGCCCACAATGAACTACTACTATTGTCAGATCAGCTCTCACAATTCGTATTCTGTTTGATCTAGCGTTGGCTATCACAGATACTAATGCATGTCAGAGCATCTGATACAAGGTGTATTAATCATAGATTGTATTACTCAAGGCCCAATAATAGAGATGCTAATGTAATTTCCCTCAAGCTGCACACTGCTTACTCGAGGCTACCATCTATCAATGTTTTAATGACTAGGTATCATATTAACAAAAGAATTGTCCCGCCTATGATGTCGAACACTATTACTAAAATGAACATGAAGATAGCAACTTTGATTCACTCTTGTGAAAATGACGAGCGCAGCTAACGTGGTTGATCAAAAGACCGCCTGCAGCGGGTATTGCGGAATCCAGTCTATAGGCTATTCATCTGACTTGCTGTTGACGATGCAGTTTTGCGGATCCACTTTGGCCCCCAAACAAGCTCTATACGGGCATTGGAAACTCGTATTGGTCTCAGCGATGTAATGCCTGGCATACTCTTTGACACCTGGACATTGACAGACATAGTAAACTCAAGGCGGAGTAGCCGGATCATCCTCAGCCACCTCCAACTCGTCCAAGTCATCCAAGCCCCCAAGAGCTAGGTCATCAGCCTCATTCTGCACCTCGTTCGGCAACTCATCAACAACAGCATCAGCATCAACATCACCATCACCATCATTATAGTGCTCTGCCTCCTTTGCCGCCGGGTCCTCTTGATTTTCATGATCAGAAATAGGTGAGTCTGGAGTTGGAAGGTCCTCAAATTCCTGATCGTAACCTTCGCGAAACGCAAATGAGTGTTGTTCATCGCCATCAAGATTATGATAGAGGTGTATTCGACTGTAACATTTCTTGCAGGCATCAAAGTCAAGACAGGTTTGGCACTGGTATGAGTAGCCAAAGATAGTCTGTTGGGAGAAAACGTGGTTCTGTTAGCATTGACGCGGTTAGGTTGGGCTGCTTCGAGGGTACTCACATGTAGACAAATGTCGCAAAACGCTGTTTTTGACTTGTATTTTTTACTCTGCTTATTGACACCCCTGCTTCTGCCAGCTGTGGCATTTGTCGAACTGCCATCCGGGTTAGTCTCCAGCGTGTCGATGATCTCGCCTTGAGCACCACAGAGTCTGGCCATCTGTACCGGAGTGAATGTCTCGACTCCCCCCCCCCTTCCAATGGTAAACTTGACTGAACGATTGGCTCCGTGGTCGATGAGAAGTTTCACCGTTTGGATGTAATCACGGGGCTCGGACTCCGAGTCGGGGCCAAGGCGAGTCTGCATGCCGCGCGTGGCCCAGCAGAGCAGCGTCCAGCCATCAATATCAGGCCGATCGATGTACTCCTTGTTCTCGCTGTAGGTTGAGCTCCAGGGTATGCATGCGCACTTGAGAGCGGTGTTGTCGTAAGATATCCCCTTGACTGATATGTTCGCATCAGCTCCGTGGGCAGGGAGTTTGGCTACCATTTCTAGGTTCAGCGAGCGGCATGCCACCATCAGCGCGGTCCCCTTGACCTTTGAAATGGCGTCTATCTTGACATCTGGATGGGCGAGGAGCATGTCCACAGCATCGGCAGCGAGCGAGACTCTCGCACTCAGCGACAGGGGCGTCCAGCCCAGTCGATCCTCAGCATTGACATCAGCCCCAGCTCGAATAAGGAGCTTCACGCACTCAGCGTTCTTCGCGGTACAGGCGTTCAAGAGGGGGGTCTTGACCTCGCTGTTGCGCTGCTCCAGATCAAGGCTCGTGCGAAACTCCAGCAGGATCCGGGCAAGCTGTGCGCTGTGGGACGTGACATAGTGCAGCGGCGTGTTGCGAGTCTGCGGATGGGCACAGCGAAGGTCTGCGCCGGCTTCGACCAGGACGCGAATAATCTCGGGGCCGGCAGGGTTCGAGGTTGCAATCGTGATGGCGTTCCAGCCGTTCTTCCCGACGTGGTGCATGTCGGCCTTCCGCTCCACCAGCAGCTTCACCACCGCGGGCTTCTTCAAGTCGACGGCGATGTTGAGCGCGGTGTGGTCCTTGGCGTTGGCCAGCTCAATGTCGGCGCCCGCGTCCAGCAGCATCTGCATCATGGCCACGTCCTGCACCGCAAGCTCGACGAGCGGCTGTCCGTTGGTGGTCAGGTTGTTGAGCTGCGGCTTCCACTTCAGCAACTCGCGGACGACCTCGACATGCCCGTGCTTGATGGCACAATGGAGGGCACTGCGGCCGCGATTGTCGACGGCGTTGACGTCTGCCTCGTGCTCCAGCAGCCAGGTCACGATGGACAGCTCGCCCGCCTCTGCAGCGTAGAGCAGCGGCGTCATGTGTTTGCGGTCGGCCACGTTGACCCGGATTGGGGGCGAGTGCCTGATGAGCACTTCGAGTATTGCAAGCTTGCTCTCGGCTGACAGCGACGCTTCCATCAGCTCCATGAGCAATGGCGGCTGCAGCAGCTCGTGATTGGGATCGGCCCCCTTGTCGAGCAGCAGTTGAACCACGTCCGCGCTCGCTGCCTTGGTGGCTGCGAACCAGAGCGGCGTGTCCAGGTCGTTTGGCCCGCAAATGTTGGGATCTGCACCGTTCTCGAGCAGGATCCGGGCTGTCTTGAGGTGGTTTGCCTCTGCTGCAACGACGAGAGGCGCCCATCGCTCGTTGGGCCTCTCCCCCACGCCCGAGTTTGGGTCAGCTCCCAGTTCCAAAAGACTCTTTGCCATGTGCCAGCAGCCCTCGAGAGCGGCGAAGTAGAGCGGCGTTTCCGGCTCTTGGCTTTCCAGCAGGGAGGCATCTTTGGCTACCAGGGATTTGACGCCGTGGATGTTGCCGTGGGAGGCAGCAGTCTGTATGGCCTTGTATTTGCCGTATCTCTTCACATGGATATTAGCCCCGCGCTCAATCAGCACGTCCATTATCTGAGCGTGGCATAGACGCGCGGCCATGTATAGCGGAGAGGGAAAAAACTGGGGGGTTCCATCTGTAGGATCCGGGTCCAGGTCTATACCGTCATTCAAGAGCAGCGTAGATAATCGGACCATGTTGAGCCAGACTGCTCGCCATAGGAACGACTGCGGCCATGGTATTTTCGAGCTATACGCCGAAGCGGCAGTATCTTTGGAGCCTTGGTCTTGTCTTTTGGAGGCGGAAATCATTTCTTCTGCAATGGACAACGCGACATCCTCATTCCCCTCCCTAATGGCACTGGCCAACGAGTCTATATCTGGAGATTTCGCCGAGGTATTCATCTCTTTGAGGATGGCAACAGATTCCGACTTCAAATTTCTTAGCGCAAGAAGCGTTTCATATGGCGAGTTCAGGGTTCCCGATTCAGGACGGGAGAACGGGTTGCTCATGGCCCAGAATGCCTTTGACCATGCCGCCAATTTGCCGTTGTCAGCCATGAGCCCATCTCTAATGCTTTTTAGGATGTCAGGATTCTCAGAGAGATGATAGGGCAGTGCCTGGATTGCGTAGAACATAAAATCTTGGCCATCCGAGATGAGCGGCGGCGTAATGGCCTTACCAGAAGACTGAACTCGAGACTGACACCGCTTGTTCATGGAGTCCAGACGTAGCTGGATGTTGGGCGCAGTCAAGTAATCGAGTAAAAACATCGTGATGACGTCTGGCGATGTTGATTCTGCCCAAATGTAGCTCAGTTCGTTCTGGAGGTAGGCCCATACATTTTCTCTGATACGCACTTGGCCACTGGAAGACTCTGTTATGCCGCGAAGCCATACCCGAAGTTTTGATAGAGAGTCTCCTATATCCGCATGAGACGGCGTCTGGAAACTCTGAGCTTCACCACGCTTGCAGTGGCACAGCACCATTGCTAGTTCACGGTAGCTTAGGGGTCGTTGTCCCACAAAGAGCCATTTCAGAATCCAGCAAAGGCCGTCCTGGTCCGCAATGTCTCGTAGGGCGTTCCCCAGGACATCAGCTGGTGTAGAGGCCAAAGTTACAGCCTGGAGGTGAGAACAGAACCCCTGTAATGCCTTTGCCGACAGCTCGTGGGGCTAGTTTGTAGTATCCTCTATCAGTCTCAAAATCATGTCCAGATTTTCCTTCTTCATAAGGCGCAGCTCCTCTAGTTTCCGCCTGACTTCAGTGTCGCCGAGTCCGCCGGGACAGAACTTGGAGATCAGGCCGCCGGGGTACTCATCTGCAGGAACCTCGGTCAAGCCATCCTCATGATCGGCAAGGGTCCATGTATCGACTGGGATATCTGGCCAACGGCGCAGCTCATCTAGCAGATCAAGATTAAGCGACCCCCTCGATGTTACCACTACCTTGAATCGCACTTCAGGGAGGCAAAGGCGCTCAGCATGGCCCAGAACGCGTCTCGACTGCTTTTGTCACATTCGTCGATGTTTTGGAGTAGTAGAAGCGCTTTTTCGCCTATAACAGTCCGAGCAAATAGTTCCAAAATTTTGAAGAGATCCATCTCTGTCCATGCGTGTTGAAGCAAAAACTGGTCTTTTATGAGGCCGGGGTTTGGGCCATTTTTCACAATTGCAATGCCAGAAAAGTATGAAACCAAGAGTGAACTGATGACGTCTTTTATCGAGCGACGCGTTGGATCCTGGGCAGAGAAGACAAATGAAATGGGTAAAAACACTCCGTCGCTCCAATGTTGTCTCATTTTGAGCCTCCAGTGGAAGAATATCTGTTCAGCGGCTTCCATCATCCCGTTGTGGTCGTTGCCACGCACATATAGTATACGCGCACCGGTAGATGCCATCCATCTTTCATGCTCAGTGCTCTTAAACACTGGGTGTGAATCAACAAGACATGTTGATGATAACAGGCGAGGTGCCGAAGTTACTGCCAAAAGGGTTTGCCCAAAGGGAATCCAAGACTCGTGAGGGACCCAGGCTTGGTAGGTTAGTTATGCGGCCATAAACACGAGGGGCTTTGCTTACATTTGATGCTGGAACAAATGGTCTTTGGTAAATCCGGAAACGGCTCTTTATCTTTCTGCTTTTGCTCCTGAAGTGTAATTTCGTTTGACACTCCTAATATGGCGGTCCTGGAGTCCAATATCTACTCCAGGATATGAGTAAAAGTCTTGCCGTCACAACACCAGAAGAATGCCCTACATCTGATATCTTCCCTTTTCCGTTCATATCCGCATAGAGACTTATAACTTGGCTTCGCAATGTGATTTTGGAAGCGACGAAAGCGTCTGTTGTTTCCACTATGCACCCTGCAAGACTATTGATTGAAGCAGGTATCAAAGATTGCCACCATGAGGAGTCCCTTTGAGACACGAGATAGTCGAATACTTTAGAATAGAGCAGCTGGGGGCCGTTTGCTCTCTGAAAGCAACCGAAGAAGATCTAATTGTATTCTCTTGTCAGCATCGGTAATTGAGGGAGCAAAGGCAACACAAGGGGTCACTTGTAGCAATGATTCCCAGACTGTGGTAAATGAATTAGACACGTACAAACTGGGCGACGCTCGTAAAAATCCCTGGCCACCGTTGCTCGTTTGCGCCAGCAATGCTGATAGCCTGCATCACAATCAGCGCTTCTAATAGAGAGGACCAGTTCAAGGTACTATGCACATGGATGCTACCTTTTTAACAATCAAGTCTCCAAAATCATAGGCAACAAACACCAGCGCTCTTTTTGAATGCTGCTCCTTGGATTAGCTTGATTGTGTAAATGATATCCGACCATTACCTAGGCAGGGGATTGTAACCAGACCTGTTCGTCATGCTTTAGGAAAAAGAGCAGACTTGAGAGCAATTGTCGGGCAAGGCCATCGATGGCTTGGCTCGTCAATTCACCAGCTAGTAATCTGGCCATGCCACACCGGAAGACAAGTTCTCTTCGTCTGGAAGCCACTGACTCTAAAAGAAGACTTTCCAGAGTGAGCCGTTCTTCTTCTTTACCAACCACCATAACATGAATCACACTGCCAACATTTAGTTTCATTTCAGTCCACTCTAATAAGAGAAAAAAAAAATCAAGGGAATTACAGCATCCATGGCAAGGCTTACTCGATGTCTGGGGATTTGTCTGTGTCAGACTCTTTTTCTGTAGATGCCAGCAGAGTGGTCAAGGTGAGGCCGTCGCAGGAGTAGCCCTCCACAAGGTTGATGGGAGACTCCAGAGCCGCTGGCTGGTCCTTTGACGAGTCTCCATGGTCCTCCATGATGCAGGGTTAGGGTATGCGATGCAGTCAGCGCGACTGTGTCTGGGCCAGGCCGGCTGTTGCAGTTATTGATATCAAGCATGAGGCATCGCAAGAGGCAGGTTTATCAAAGACACCCAGATATTGGGACTGTCGCTGGCTGGAGGGTCAGTAAAGCCCGGGATTTCACTCGCTGTAGCTCCCCGAACTCGTCTAACTGCTTGATGCCATGTAGCGCGCTTCTTTTTCAACTGCGGGGTCTCGTCCACTAATCGCGGCAATGTGTTCCCTTTGTTGTCTCCCCTGCATGTCGATTACTGGCTTCAAGTCTCGCTGCGATGCAACCCTGGAATCCTTCAGTGCGTGCCTCTGCCTCCATGTTTCACAACCGTCGCGAACCTCAGCTTCGTTATCCGGTCCCAAATGCACGACAAGGATCTGTGCGAATTGGAGCTGCAGAAAGAGCGTCACGCCAACACGTGTGTGACAGGTCATGCAATTCCTTCGGTCGGATTTGTCGGCCTAGCGCTGATGCTGGCAGTGGGTGGTTGTCACTGGTTGATAATATGCGCCGTGTTATCGTACTGTGCTGCCGCCAAAAGCAGGTAAAATCGCATACTCTCTCAACCATTCATTGTCTAATTCGGTCAATAATTCAAATGAACCACCCCTTTAATAGATTTACTTTTCTTTTTTTTGCCTCTGTTGAAATTGCATATCTGCTTAAAATAAACTCACCATAAATCCTGGGAATCATGGATGAAAGCGAAATTTGGCTGAGCGACGAAGACGGAGACTTTGATGAAGACGATGAAGCAGCCTCGGACCCGACATTCTTCAGTCTCGGGCTCACATACCAAGGCCAGCCCGGAGGTAAGAGCAACACAGGTTGTTTCCCATCGGCTGTCAGTCGACAATAACGACTCATTCACAAACAGGCTTTCATGTCCACAACCGCCCCAGACAGCGGCAAAGGAAAGCTGTTTCAGCCTTCCACGGCGGCTCAAAGAAGAGGCCGGCCTTCACCGTCAGCTGCAATGCAAAGCCATCATCCACGGCGAGATGGGCCCGTCGTTGGAGAAGCACGCCACCCTCCTTGTGTACGAGTTCAAGTTCAACTCATACAGAAGGGCGCGCATCAAAGAGGCCGACGTCTTGTTCGAGTTCCACGCCATGAAGGGCCGGGCCGGGGGGCCGTCAGTCCGCCGGGTTGCGCCGTATGGACACCACAAGATGCAAGAAACAATGCAGTCTGAGTCTTCAAAATATGGACTGGAACTCACAGTTGGTCCGAATATTCCGGCTGTCAATGTGGGCTTGACGCTCTCTGGCGAAGCAGCTGTGGACAAGGTCACGAAGCACTACACCGAGGTGACCGGCGATAACCCTCAGTCAGACGACTGGGGAAACTACTTCCAAGCACGCTTCTTCCTGTCCGAGAACAATTCGCAGACCAGCGGTATCCCTGCCAAGCTTTGTGCTTGCATTCTGCTGGAGCGAGACGACGACGAAGACTTCATTTGCGTCCCCTACTTGAAAGTAACACCAAATTTCACAACCATGGTGACCTCTCTGTTCTCCACAAGAGCGCCCGACGACCCAATTATATTTAGTGTGGCCGAGCCTCCTTTCAATGAATTAGACACGATGGTCGACATTGATGTCGATAATCTAGGAGCAACCGACTTGGATCAGTTATGGGACTGCACTGCATGCACCGAGTACGGGCATTCTGTGAAGCAACCCAAATCGAGGAATAGCGAGTGTATTCCAGACAATATCGCGACGGAGAAAACGACCGAGTAGCACAAATAGTGAGGATTATCGCCGCCTCTATTTTTGTCGGCTTAAAGACTTCTTCTCGATGCTGGTCAGCTTATCATATTTATTGACGAGAGTGCATAAAGTTCCCTTGCACTGTATGGGGAAATGCCATTCAACTCCTGCCTAGCCACTTTGCCAGGATTCACCACACCAGGGTATCAAACGTGTGCGTGTATTTGATCCCTGTCATATCACGCAGCCATTCCTGCCACGCATCTACCTGTACCTTAATATTTATTAAACCCCGCTTCCAAGACACCTAATAAATAAACTTAAAGCACCAAACTCTTATCAAAAGAGAAGATTAGGCGGCAGCCGTCCACGCAGCCTCCGATAGTTTTCTTAATATCGAATATTACTCTAGGGTAGAATACATCCAGTTTCTGACTATTTTGGGGTTCAAAGCCTTTTAGAGTGATTTGAGATTGGGTCATTCATTTTCTTCTCTGCGTTTCTAGCCTCCCACCTACGCTGACCTGTAGCACCAGGTCGAGATCTTCCGTTGCGAGTCATGGCAAGCTATCTTGACGACGATAATGTTTCGGATGCGGGCTCTGTCCCCAGCTTGGACAACTTGCAATATGATGAGATACTTGACATTGGATACCCCGAGGACATCGACCGGCATCACGTTGAGGAAAAGAGTGAAGAGTCACAGTTCAGAGAGCAGGCATGGGAACAACAATGGAAAGAAGTTGTGCGATCTCTTGTGTCCGCCGAGGCACGGTGGGACGAATCTGTGCAAGGACAAGGCCGCTTGCTGGAAGAATATAAGAAGAAGGCACTGACAAGCCGAGACGCGAGAGAGAGGACAACGCCTACCTTTCTCCACATCTTAGAAAAGAGGCGAGATACTGACGACTTTGGAAATCTGCCTGGTGACACACAGTTGATGATAATCAGGTATCTACTTGAGCATCAGGATAGTGCCTTGGCCGAAAGTGGCCTCAGCAAACCAAAGGATGACCTCATTCTGCGGGTAGCCATGGAGTTCAACAACACCAAGTTCATTGAATCAGTCATTGATTGTTCGAGTAAGATTCCGGGAAAATTAGACGAGCTACTTAATGCAACGGACCATGATGGAATGAATTGTCTTCACTACGCCTTCAAGGAACAGTTATCAAAAGCTCTAGGAGTCCACCAAGGGATAAAACAGGGTTCGGCCATTTTGGCAGAGCGACCGAATCTACGTACAACTATTAAGACAATCCATGGCTTTGTCAAGGAAGCAAAACCCGAGACAATAGCCTCAAGAGACACTTATGGGAACACACCCATACACTACGCCATGGACTACAATAATTGTCGACTCCAGATTAAGAAATATAGCAACATGGTTCAATATCTCGTTCTAACAGGCGATAAGCTGCTGAAGAAGAACCCAGAACAGCAGTTCAACTCGAATAACGAGTCTCCATACCTGCATTATCTGCGCACGCGAGAGAAATGGCTCAAGCAAACCAAGAGAGCCGGCGCCACAACCGGACCAGCAACTACTTCTTGGGAAAGGAGTGGCAGTCTTACAGGCAAGGAAACCAAAGGGATCATCAAGACGAAAGAAAGCGCCATATATGAGTCCAGAAAGGACAGCAAAGACGACGATTTGACAGGAGAGTATCAGAAAAAATCGCTCCCGCCAAAACCCGGGACAACGAGGACAACAATAGCATCCTCGCCTCCGCCTGAAAAAAGTCGGGCGTCATACCCCATGCCCAACGAAGCTGAAGATGGGACAGGAGCTTCAGATTACCTGTCAAGACAGTCTCGTCGCCCTTCTGTACATGGATCCGAGACCCAAGTCGCTCATACAAGCCCGAATAACCCTATATACATTGAAAACTCAGTTTCCAAGCCCCTTATGCGTAGGCGAACACAAGTTTACGACCAGACTATCGATCCCGCCCAGCCAAAAACTCCGTCTAGTGTGAAATTGGATGGTGAGAAATCCGCGCCAAGCAAGAACGCTCTAGACTCGGATACAGCAGCAAAGAAAATCGGGGAGTTTGTTAAAGTTCATTACATACGCACGAGAACAGACATGGAAGCAAAGGAATTACTTTACGGTAAAGTGGCCTCGGGTAAGTCCACGACCGGCGGTCATCCTAGGAATAGCTTTACACATCTATTTTACTCGACTATCTGGAGCTGGGTCACTCTGTGGTAACTTGGACTTGTACACATCACGGCCATGATTTACTGTTTCTAAAGCTGATGTTATTGCTTCATTAGATAAAAACTTGTACTTTGATGCATCTCACCTCGCTGGAAAAACTGTAGATCAAGTCGTGGACTTGATTGAAAAGCTCTCAAACGCGGGCGGGTTTGAGGATACTCTATCCTATGTCAATTTACCCATCTTGATGACGATTCATGAGAAGGCAAGCGGATCTAAGTCAGACAATAGAGGATACAATTCAAACGAGAAAAGACAACGTGGAGGCGCCCACCAAGAGAATCCCAAGCTGGGACGCAGCGCTCTAATAATTGTATTTGACAAATTGGTGTCAGTGAACATTCGCCACATACCGCGACTGCATGTGGACGATAGAGAAGGTTTACCTCACACTGATGCCGCAATAGAACGTGCTATTCGAGGTCTCAATTCATTTTCCCTCGGTAATACCAGGAGGGAGGCCATTAAGATAGAACCTTGGTATGTTTTATACCTCTCTGCGATTCCAGCGATACCAATCTGTTTCTCAGCCTGGTAACTAACATGACTCTGGTTGTCTAATAGGGATTGGAGAAAGCCAGACCTGAGCATGGACGTTATTTCGTTTGCAGCACCAGATGCTACCCATGTCAACCTTTACTGGAGTGGAAACCAGACGATCCTCAAGGGCTGGGGCTATCCAGACGGCATTCCAGGAGAATTAACACCCGCTAGCAAAGTAAAGAGGGTGACGCTCCATGCATTTCCAGTATGTCCCACGTTCAAATCTAATCCTTGTAATCAGGGAGACATTCGAATCTCAAGAAGATAATCTCATACGACTCAAGGGTTTTGAAAGTCGCGAGAGGATGATGAAAATGATAGAAAGCTTTGAGAATGAGGTTAATGACAGGACAAAAGGAAGAGTCAAGATCGAGAAGAGGATTCACACCGGCACAATTATATCCAATATCAAATCTGATGATGACCTAGACGATTCAGAAATTGGAATATCGGATGGCCCTCCGCAGCAAGTCTGGATTGAGAGAATGGAGGATTTCCGACGCTCTTTGATCTCTGTCCACCGGCTTCTAAACAACAGGCTTAAAATCCCACGCGTCAAGGCATGTATAAGCTATAATCTCAAGCCTCCCACTCCCAGTCTGAGCATACTTGAGTACGGCGCACAGCCACTTACACATCATCCATAGGTCGCGTTAATAGACGACGGTGTCGATCTCTTAAACCTGGACACGTACAACATGGTTCAGGCTACTGGTTTGAGTTATTGCCCCCCCGGATGGGAAAACAGAACATCCGTGGCATCAGTCCACCAACGGTCATGGCACAGTCATGGCTAATATGATTGCGCGCATAAACCCCTGGGTTTCACTCGATGTTATGAAGATCCACGAGAGCACCAACCATAGCCCTGGAAGTAAGACTCGAACAATTTACGCAGAAAGCGCTGCAAGAGCGATTGAAGGAGCCATCATCCGCAAGGCCGACATCATATCCATGTCGTGGACTATCAGAAAATTAGTGAAGAAGGCAGCTGTTGTACCCAACGTCCTAGTTGCCGGGACCGACGACGAGCACAAGAAATCTCCAGAGGAGATGGCCATGAATGCACTCCAAAGAGCAATCGAAAAGGCAAAGTCGCGTAACATCCTAATGTTCTGCTCCGCTGCCGATGATATCCAACTCCTTGGCAGGGAATCTCTTCCTTTCAGCGCAGCATCGGATTGTATTATTTGTATTGGCGCCGCACTGCCCAAAGGGCAAAGGGATCCAACGTCTGAAGACTTCAATACCATAAGCTACTTCTTTCCCGGAAACCAAGTGGCGGAGGCCAGAAACCCTCGGTCATCAAAGCCTGTCGAGTACCATGATGGGTCTTCCGTTTCCACCGCATTGGCCGCGGGACTTGCGTCGCTAATAATCTACTGCACAAATGTTGTCAAAACTTATTATGATGATTCAAGACCATTCACCGATTGGGCGTTGAAACTGCGGAACCACAAGAACATGCGGACTGCATTTGATAACATCAATTATCAGGATTACGAAGACAGAAAGTTTCTGCCTGTCTGGAAGATGTTTGGGGACGTGACAGAGCGCATTAATAATGCTCAAGGGGAGGAAAAGAAGATTTTGGAGTTGGAGACTCTGGTAAGAGCTCTTTGTCATAAACTTGAAGCAGACTAAGGGGAGGGAGCAAGGCTACAACAAGACACTCACATTGCGTGACAAGTGAGTAGACGTGTAAATTAAATGTTTACAAGCATGAATATTTCCAAGGGTCCGGTTAAGGCTACCACTGCATTCTTTCACAATAATATTCTTTCCTCGCTCTTTGAGTACTTACCCTGTGACTCGTTGTCCTGATGAAAAGCGACGTAGCTGTCTAACCTAGGCCTATGACATTCCATTATTATAATAGCATTCATCACTCAATTAACTCGTTCCATTCACGCCCTTGGCCGGTATATATAATATTCGCTCGTTTTTGACCCGCTTCCATATGAACGGCAACGCACGTAATACGCTGCGAAATGGGAATGTCACCTGGCTGTTGGATTACTTAGCCTGCTTCCTCCAGTTCCACAAGTCGTTCAGCAACCCTACTCGTCAGATCACTGCTCCAGACCCCTTCCTGAACGTGTTGGGTTTTGAGCAGGTGCAGAGCTTGCCTTAGAACAACAGGATGCCGACAATGAGCAATAACCGAGAATAAGAGAGGGACAATACCAAGCTCCACATGGAAGAGAGGATTCTCCTTGGTAGCTTTTTCCGCGATTGCTAACGGCGCTTTTTGGACTAATTCTTCAAATTTTTCAACAAATATGTCCTTAATAAGAAGCGCTTCTTCAACTGACTCGCCGCTGACCGTGTCGAGAATCAAGAGCAAGAACTTGGCTTGCGACTCAAGTAAAGCAGGGCCACGTTCCCCAACGCCATTGTGAGTGATATCTCGCTGACGGTCGCTGAACTCATGGAATGAGTCGAGCCAATTTCTTATACAGCCCCTGGCATGTTGTCTTCTTTCGAAATTTCCCAGTATCGATTGCATGCTGTAAATAATTAGGTTGGTCAAAGTGTGCCGGGCGTCGGATAGCGAATTGATGGGTCTTTTTGTTGATGACGGTTCAATACCCACGTTACCCAGAAGAGTCATCGAAAGTTCTGGGATGACATCGCCGATAAGCTGCAGAGAGATTAGGAAATCTTCACATGATAATAGGATCCCAAGCATTACCAATTCTACTTGAATGGCGAGCCTATTGAATGATGTCTCCAAATACCGCAGAGAGGTGCCAATATCAGATTCATATGAAGAAGCTCGACGCGCTCCCTGTTGCTGTAATGCTCGAAGCATTTTGCAGCCGTGTCTAAAGAGACGGATCGCGGCTTCGTGATTACCTTGTAGGATCTGGAAACACTTTATTAGCAAACTGGAGTTCTTTTGGGTTTCTACAGGCATACCTCGATGCAGATGAATATAAAACATGTCATCGGATGTAAATGTGTTAATGACTGTTGATTCCGCTGTAGAAGCTCCTGTATGGCATGGCAAGATTTTGTTGTCGCGTGGCAAACTGGAGCTCAATCACAACCTGCCTGGTAAACAGCTCGTGATACACAGATAATGCAACAAGGGCATGTCTAATAGAGGCTTCAGCATATGCAAGCTGCAAAATTTGTGCGTTCAACCATTCATCTTGGAAAAGTGACGCGAATTGCGTCCTAGATTTCTCAATGAAGAATTCGATTGACCGAATCTTAAGGGGATCGACCTGGATTTTCAAAGGCTGCGCAACTGGGGGTGTTTGAATCGTTTGGTTGGCGATTTCTTTATATCCGTCACAAGCGCGGCCAGTGGAAGTGCCTGGGGATAACTTCAGCATGCCTCGCCAAACCTGGTTGAATGTGAGTTTGGTGATGGGAATACTTACATCGATTGCACGCGGGGCGGCGCTCGTCACATTTGACTTTACGAACTAGAGCCCAAGTTAGTTTCCGCAACCAGTGGAAACACAACTCAACCCGCAAAAAGGGGAGGCGAACTCCTGGATATAATTACATCAGCTATTGTTATCCTAATATATCTGCTGGGAGAGCTATAATAAGGCGCATACTTGCATGTAGAACAACCCGTCCGCACTTTTGGTGCTCTGGTTCTCTTTCGCTCCCCTGGTTTGACGCGCGTCATTACAACCGTGTCAAGCGATTTGGCGAAGGTTTTGTGGTGTCTGCTATAAGTTTTGATGGGAAAAGTGACCAGAAGTTGGAGCCTGGTGGAAAACCCCGCAGCTACCTTTCACTTGTAAAGCGCTAAATATCACTTTGTATTTTAGGAAAGGGATATTTTGCCTATAGAAATGGAATAAATGAAACCAGTTAAAAACTGTGCATGATGTTCCTATCATGTAATGTCATGGCTTGTTTGTTTGCTTTCCTCCGACCAGCTTACCTTCTCTACCCCACTTCTCACTCTCTATAAGAGGAAATTTGTGGAGTAACGGCGACAGGGATGTCAGATAGTGAAGGCTGGTCTGTGGAGATGCCCGTACGAGCCGACCAATCGCCATAGATTTAGCGTGCGACGCTTGTTTTACTTCCAAGCCTAACATGCATTAATTGAACTTTGGTTTGGAGGAGGCCTAATTTGAAGATAAATACTAAATAAAGCAGACTCCCAGACTCGAATAATGTTTACTTCCTAACATTCTCCCAACTATCAATAACATTCATTTTCCCTGGTTAACGGCCTCCTCTCTATCAGTTCGAGAACTTTCTGGCTGATACGTTCCTTTGAGATATATACAACTCTTCAACATGGAGATATGCAAAGCAATAACAACTCCTGGCACTATGTGGTCATTCTGCCCTTTAATAGCACCTTCAATTCTTTTCATTTTTTTGTTTACCTTGACTTTAATCACTCACGTTGGACAAGCCATTTACTATCGAAAGCCGTACAACTGGATTATCATCATGTCCGCTCTATGGCAGACACTGACATATATCTTCCGCACTCTAAGTATTCAGAATCCTGCAAGCTATGGTGACTACGCTGCTTGGTTCATTTTGATCTTGATCGAATATAACCAATCAGCAAATCTTGGACGGCCTGCATATTTACATGGGCGGAGTTGGCCTTCAACTCGGGTTTATTCTTATTTTTAGCACATATGCACCACGATTCTTCCTCGAAACACGACATAATCCAAGTGCAAGAGAAGTCCTCCCCCTGTTTTACGCTCAAACCTTGGCCCTAGCTATGATTGTCGTAAGTGCTCATTTATTATATACCAGGGTACACAAACACTGACTTGGTAATTTTTGCAGCTCCGCATTATTTTCCGCATATGCGAGTACTCCCAGGGTCTGGACAGCAAGATCCCCATGCATGAGGCATACCAATACTGTCTAGACTCGCTACCTATGTTAATTGCACTCGTGATCTATAATGTGGTGCATCCAGGTCGCATTATGCAAGGACAAGCTGGAGAAATGCCTTCAGTCCGGCAATTGAGAAAGCAGAAAAAGCAAGGAGTATATTTGGTAGAGATGCCTTTGGTGTCACAACCCGACTCTACTTTCAAATTCTAGGAATATAATATCTTGGTTACACCAACATAGGGTTTCTTTCATATAATAGATTTAAAAAGCTTTTCTACATTTATGAAAGCAATTTAATGAAATTCCTTTTCTATAACTAGGCTACTTTCTTAAAGTTCACTAATAAATACTTCGCTTAATTTTATGTTTAAATAATGGGTTTAAGCAATTAGTAGTTTTTGCTAAAACATATCTTGTCAATGTTTATGCTCTATAGTGAATACACTATTGTAGTATTGTAAACATTCAATTTATGGGTACCCAGATGTTATTGGCCCAAGGTTTATTCAAGTCACATGTCTGCTTGACCAATATTTGTCCCATCTTTTCATTTATGCGGTCCAGCATATATAGCAATATATCGCCAATACATTCTAATACCAGTTTAAGATTCTAGGTACATTTATAAATTACTTGTGGTATATATTTATAAATGGAGTCCGCTATATGGCAATATAAACGCGGTTTGCTACAGTTATGTACATAACCAGCTTCCTCTTTTCATTCAATAGCTTTCAAGTTTTGGTGCCCGGACACAGTGCGTACTACTTTCATATGCACATGATACTTAATCAATGTTTTGCTGTACCTCATAGTTCGGATATATATTTTACCTATTCCGGTTTGTGCCATACGTTTAACTTAAGAATGCAACTAAGTAAGCACTTCTTATTATCCCTCAAGCTTAGCATAATTCATTATGGAATTATAGAACGATAGAATACCGTTAATTCAAACTCTAAGGATAACTAAAACTTCGTGTACGCGCATGTAACGTGCATGGTTCGTCCACTAACTTGTGTAAAGAGCATTGTTACTAACTAACTGCTTGCCGTTCCTGCCACGTGATTATCTACCTCGCCGCAGATCAAGGACAACTGCCTAACTCGCTTGCATTTCATATCCAACCCCGCACAATCCTTGTGTGATAAATCGTCGCGATAAATCGTCGCACCTCAGAAAGCAAGGAACTCGTCTATCCTAACCTTAACATTAGCACGATACGTCAAACATAGTCTATGATCAAGTTGAGATCGCCCAGCCATTCTGAGCCTAGATCATGGGGATAGTGTTGTCAATGGATCTGATTGGAAGAGGGTACAGTAGTGCTCTAGCTATTACTATTTTCACGATTTTGATCTATTGCTTCGTTTTGGGACGATCTGCACGATCAACTGCAAAGCCTGAAGGCAAAAGCACAAGTGCGCCAGGGCAAACTAATACTTTCAGGGCTAGCGGCGTACCGGCCGACTGGGACCGCCAAAAGTTACAATCTTTCTTAAAGGATCAAGAGGGTATCACAGACGCTGTGATTGAGTCATTTGCATATGAGAATAACGGCAGTTCTCAGGTGGCTACAGTTACATTTGGAAATGCACCCTCTCGGCTCCAACGTGGTCACGGTTGGCCCATTCTGATATCAGAGGAGTTTAACACCAAGTCTAACCGCAAACAATACCTAACAGTTGACAAAGATTTTTATGGTATGACTGCGCTTTACACTCTGCTTTCACAAGATCATAAGATAGAGTAAGTTCGTCGATTATTGAACATAACCTCAGCTAACTCATAGAGTGTTATTGCGTTATCTGGTCTCGGAGGACATGCCTTTGGGTCATTTAAGGAGAGGGGCGGAAGCTATATGTGGCTACGTGATTCTCTCCTGCACGATCTCACTTCGGAAACCAACGGTGCGCCGATGGCTTGAGTCATGATCTATGGCTATGAGTCGACTGTTACTGGGAGCAAGAGCATGCAGAACTTAGAAGATTTTGCTACCAAGTTCAACGCTAGTCTGCAAACACTAGCGAATGCTACAATAATCCGGCCCATTATCCTTATTGGCTATAGTCTTGGAGGGCTAATCATCAAACAGGTAAGCTGCTCTTCACTGCATATACTCTTCTTCCTGATATTGATATATGCGATAGGCCTTGGTATTATTATCACAATCGAAAAAAGAAGACGACCAGAAACTTATCCGTGCTATATATGGGGTTGTTTTCTTCGGAACCCTACATCATGGCATGGATATCAGCTTGCTTATCCCCATGGCTGAAGACGGACCGAACCATTCTCTAATAAAGTCTCTTAGCTCTTATAACTCACAGATACTTACCAACCAACATTGAGACTTTGTTAATGCCTTAGGTGGTGAGGGTAATGCAGAAGTCTTTTGCTTCTATGAAACTCTTCAGTCACCAATAGCGCAGCAAGTAGGATTTTCTTTCTTTTTCTTTCTTTTTTTTTTTTTTTTTTTTTTTTTTTTTTTTTTTTTTTTTTGATTTGATTCAATAACAAAAGTAATTGGAACTAGGATCAATTTGGCAAGTGGGAGATGACTGGGCCTGATGCAATTCTTGTTACAAAACCTTCGGCTATACATTGTCGTCCTTGGGAAGATGGCGCAGAGCACATCTGCGCCCTTGATCGTACGCATTCAGAAATGGTTAAGTTTAAACCTAACGACTCTGATTATAAGGACATTGTGAAAGAAAAAATCAAGGGTCTTTCTAGACGGGCTTTTACAGTGCGGGATAGGTTGCAAAGTTCCAAATCAACATGTACGTAATGGATAATGGGGAAATGACTTTTACTAAGGATGACCCAGTTCTGGTCCCATACAGCCAAAACCCAGATTTCGTAGCAAGATCTGACATCCTGAACAACATCAAGGAGCAATTTGGCCTGGGCCAACATAAAGGACCTGTTCAATCGCGCGGAAGAGTATCACTGTATGGTCTTGGTGGCGTTGGGTATGCTTTTATTTTTTTTTTTTTTTTGTAGAAATGTATGTATACTCTCTAACACATGGCAGGAAGACGCAAATTGCATTAGCCTACGCCTACTGGCTTTGAGAGACACAACCAGATATTGCCATATTCTGGGTTTATGCTAGCAATGCAGATCGCTTCCGTGAGTCGTATACTTCTATTGCTAAAAAATACAATATACCTGGACATGATGAAATAAAGGCCGATATCTTGTTGCTTGTTAAAAATTGGCTTCAGGAATAAATTAAAATGCCATGGCTGATGGTAATCGATAACGCCGACGATGTAGAGCTTTTCTTCCCCGGTCGATAAAAAAGAGGCATTTTAAGCAGGAGTGAGCAAGCAGCTCAAGCAAACAGCGAACTCGCTTGTTACATACCAGAATGTAACTATGGAACAATCCTTATTACAACCAGGAACAAGCAAGTCGGTATCAAGCTGTGCCAAGGAAAACCCCCTGTTGAGGTTATCAATATGACCGATACTGAAGCATATAATCTTATGCAGAGCATACTGAATGACTGGCAAATCTCTGCAGATAAGGCGTCTCTTCTGACATCTAGACTTGAAAATTTGCCACTTGCCCTTGCATAAGCAGCTTTGTTTATTTAAGGGAATGATATATCTATTAATGATTATGTCTAACTCCTAGACGAGAGCGACTTTGCATTCGTTGGCCAGCTTAGCGAGCCATTTGAAATGGTGGGAAGAGACTCTGAAACCCCGCATGCAGTTACAGCAACCTGGATTATTTCTTTCGAGCAGATTAAGCGGCAATAACTATTAGCGAGCGATATCCTTTCGTTCCTGAGCCTCTTCCATTTCCAGGCGATTCTAAAAGACTTTGTGGAGGACTATTATTAACGAAGAAACCTAAAGCAGATAGAAAACAGCTCACCAGTAATGCTTATAAAGGCATTGGGTACTCTTAAAGCCTTCTGCTTTGTCTCAGAGGGAAATGACAAAAGCATGACTATGCACCGGCTAGTGCAGCTAGTAACGCGCAAATGGCTTGTTAATAAAGGCCGAATGGCTAAGTTCGCCGAGCATGCTATTAAAACAATGGCAGCTACTTACCCATATGGAACATTCGAAACCCATTAAATATACATCAGATATCTTCCTCATGTAAATTCTGTACTAAGACAAGGTGAAAGTCATTTAGAGAACAAGGATACAGCCAAAGCATCACTTTTGCATTGTATGGCGGCATATTTTATCTATAATGGAGATTGGAAGAGGGCAAAAGACTTAGCGGCACAGGCGGTGGAGATAAGGAAAAGGGTGCTTGAAGCAGAGCATCCTTCTACACTTAATAGCATTTCCGATCTTGCATTAACATTTTCAGACCAAGGTCAATGGAAAAAGGCGGAAGACCTACAGGTTCAGGTAATGGAGATGTATAAGAGGGTGCTTGGAGCAGAGCATCTGGATACACTCACTAGCATTGCCAATCTTGTATTAACATACTGGGACCAGGGTCGATGAAAAGAGGCAGAAGACCTAGAGGTTTAGGTAATGGAGATAAGGAAGAGGGTGCTTGAAGCAGAGCATCTAGATACACTTACTAGCATTACTAATCTTGCATTAATATACTGGAACTAAGGTCGATGGAATAAGGCGGAAGACCTAGAGGTTTAGGTAAAGGAGATATATAAGAGGGTGCTTGGAGCAGAGCATCCGGATACACTCACTAGCATTGCCAATCTTGCATCAACATACTGGAACCAAGGTCGATGGAAAGAGGCAGANTGGAACCAAGGTCGATGGAAAGAGGCAGAAGACCTACAGGCTCAGGTAATGGAGATAAGGAAGAGGGTGCTTGGAGCAGAGCATCCGGATACACTTAATAGCATCGCCAATCTTGCATCAACATACCGGGACCAAGGTCAATGGAAAGAGGCGGAAGACCTACAGGCTCAGGTAATAGAGATATATAAAAGGGTGCTTGGAGCAGAGCATTCAGATACACTCACTAGCATTGTCAATCTTGCATTAACATACTGGAACTAAGGTCAATGGAAAGAGGCGGAAGACCTAGAGGTTCAAGTAATGGAGATAAGGAAGAGGGTGCTTGGAGCAGAGCATCCGGATACACTTAATAGCATCGCCAATCTTGCATCAACATACCGGGACCAAGGTCGATGGAAAGAGGCGGAAGACCTACAGGTTCAGGTAATGGAGATGTATAAGAGGGTGCTTAGAGCAGAGCATCCGGATACACTCACTAGCATTGCCAATCTTGCATCAACATACTGGGACCAGGGTCGATGGAAAGAGGCAGAAGACCTAGAGGTTCAGGTAATGGAGATAAGGAAGAGGGTGCTTGGAGCAGGGCATCCGGATACACTTACTAGCATTGCCAATCTTGCCTTTACTTAGAAGAGCTTAGACAGATCAAGCGATGCGATGACCCTGATGGAGAACTGCGCTTCTATTAGAGGGCGAGTGCTAGGGCCAACCCATCCAGATACGCTCTATTCCTTATCGACTTTGGATAAATGGCGAGAGCTTGTATAAGACGGCTGCGTTTAATTCTGTTACGGTGAATAGGTGCGGGTGCAATAGATATATTTTCGTGTGTTTATGCCAATACACTACGTAGTGCGGGATCTACTCTGACTTCAAAGCTTTAATCTTGACAATTCATATTACACCGTTGACTTTATATACCAATCAACATGTTGTCTCTCCATCTTAAGTGAATATATTGTAATTGGGTCTAAAGCGTCTATAAAGATATTGCCTATACCATGATAATGGAGGTTGCTCATACACGTGAGTAGGGACTACATACACACAGACGCGCTTAATAATGTCAAGGAGCCAAGCCCAGACCCTGCATCCTCTGCCAATGGCACCTAAGTCCAGCGGACCAAGCTTCAGAACATTGTTATAAGTAAGTTAAAGGGTGAAGAAGTTATTAAAGATACAGATATAGCCAGGGCGATTGTCTCCTGCACCTCGCGAACCTTCCGTAAGGCGCGATCGAACATACTTCAACATGGCACAATCGATGTCCCCCATAAGACTACAGGTCGACCGAGAGAAGTGACAGAAAACATGTGGCTTGCTTTGCAGAACCAATTAGACCGAAATCCCTGCATGAGCCAGCAAGATATGGCTGATTTTCTAGAAAAGCATTATCACATTAGCGTGTCACGATTCACCATCAGTAGAATGCTGAAGCGAGCCGGATGGACCAAAAAGGTGACGCAGAATATAGCAAAGGAGCGTAGCCAAGACCTACGAGACGATTATATAGAGAGACGATCCCGCTATAAGCCTGAGCAGATGGTTTTTATCGATGAAAGCGGAAGCGATCGCGGTCTTGCAATACTAGGCCGGGGTTATGCTCCCTAGGGTGTAACACCAGTACAGGTTAAGCGGTTCCATCGAGGCAAGCGAGTTCAGCTTCTGCCAGCATACACCGTAGATGGCGTGATCTATTGCGAGGTGTATGAAGAAAACACGGATGTTCACGTGGTCGAGGGCTTCCTCGAACGGCTACTGCCGTATTGTGGCAGATATCCGGAGCCGAGATCTGTGATTTTTATGGACAACGCATCGTTTCACTTCTTCTCCTCAAGAATTAAAGAAATGGTTTCCGAAGCAGGCGTGATAATAGAGTACCAGCCGCCGTATTCGCCAGACCTGAACCCAATTGAGTATTTATTCGGCTCAGTCAAGAATCGGATCAGGAAGAGGTCCCAGGTGGATGAGGATCTTATTCAAGGTGACTTTAAGTCGTATGTGCGGATGCAGGTCAAACTTGTAGGACAGGATAAGAAGATCGCAAGAGGACACTTCAGGAAGGCACAGATTAATGTCGAAGAGGGTTTAAAATAAACGCTGGACTAGTTTAAAGTTATAAGATGAAGGTTAAGTGCTTAATATTCTATGCCTGTAATGCCCTATTACGTAGTATTTGCTCTTCGGCGTTCCGAAAACGATCTAATATCACAAACATAACGCCATGCAATGCCTTCCGGTACACCATGCCTTTTATAAAATCGATACATCCTTTCCTGGTTGCTGGCAAGCATATCAAGGTCAGAGCAGTGCGCCAACGTCAACTCCTGAACCATGTCGTAAGACTCCTTCTGTTCCTCGGAACCCACCTGAGACCGCTGCCACACACTATATGCTCTCACCGCATCTTCCCTTGGCAGACCAAGCCCCAAAAGAGGAGACGTTGGGGAAACGATCCCGGGGGAAACGGAATGCCAGTCTCACTATCGGGGCCTCTAGATGCACAGTGATGGCAATGGACGCCCGTCACTCCAGCCGACGAGCCATCAGAATCCCGCCGCCTCCGCTTACGATATTGCTCTTTGTCACGCTGCTTGTCCCGCTCTTTCTGTTCCCTCTCTTCTCGCTCACGTTCATCATCTAGAACCAATCGACGAAAATTGTCAGGGACGTCATCGTGTCCGTTTAAAGCTCTACCTGCTTGTAAGTGATCGGCAAGCATCCTTACATGGTGGGGTTGAAGTTGGTAGTGTTTTCCTTCATTCTGCCAGCAGTGGTCGCCTTTTGTACACGGCCGCCCAGGGCAACGCATAAGAGCATATGCCTTTCTGATGCATGCCCCTCGACGGAGACCGGCGGTTCTGGCTTCCAGCTCTGCTTCCTGGTTGGCTGTTGCCCCACCTCTGCCAGCCTTACCGTTGTCTACACGCTGGTAGTAGAATGTGATAGCGACAGTGATTTTCTTGCCATCACTTAGAAACTTGCTCCATTCTTGAAGCTGTTTTGCAACAAATGGCCAATTAACCTCCAGTTTTGGAGATCGTTTCGTTATTTTGCTTGTTTTATGGTCGGTTACGGACAGGGCGAGCTTCGTCGCTTCCTCTTTCCAAGCCTTATTCGCACTCGCGTCAGCCACCTTTGGCCGGAGGACGTGTTTCCAGAATTTTTGTGGCGATATGACAACGTCTAGCTCTGACTCGCCCGCTTGTCCTCAGTTCTTTACTAATAGCTTCCATTCGACATTGTACCGGATCGTCGGCTCGTCTTTGTATGACCGTTCTGGCTCCCAATCAGCAAACGGTACGAAGGCTAAGGCACTGCCCGCAGGCCTCAGGCGGCTTCTCGGTGCTAGAGTTAGATGCTGAGACACGTCGCTGCTAGAAGCTGAAACGTCATGGTTTTGAGAATCGGTCGCATCATCTCATTTACAGTTTTGCCTTGATCCATGGCTAGTAATGCATCGCAAAGCACTGCCTAGCTGTTTCTCGCAGGTTCGCTCGTGGCGACAACGAGCCGCAAAGGACATCTGTGCTAAAGGCTCCATAATCTTCTATTGCCTTCTATAGCCTTCCAAGTCAGACAGTCACGTGAACCCTGCAGCGTCTTCCAGTAAATACATTAACACTTTGCATCGTATTAATTATACTAGCTTATCTATGAGGTTATTCATAAATTAAAGAGAGCCCGGGTATGTAATCAAGGACGTAGCGTAGCTTTTAAATGCAAGCCAATGAACCCGAAATTAATTTGTAACGTTTGCACGCGTGGATTAGCATACCCTCAACTGTGCGGGCTAACTGAGGTCGGACTGATTGATCAAATGTACTGCAGCGACTAAGGCAAGGTACCATGAGTTAGTGCGCACTGTTGTGGGGCAGTAAACTTTCCAGGTTGCCTATTTACTTGCAGGTACTTCAAAGTACTTCGAGAATCGGCTAGTAATGGCTAAGTTTATTTTCAGACATAGAACAATCAGCCAATTCTGGCTTTTCAGTAGCGGGGTAGGTAACTAGAAGTAGCTTCTTATACTTGTCTCAAGCTTAAAAGACACGCATTAGTCTTTGAGAGGAAGCGACTTTTGCTCATAACTGTATTCCTGCCCTAGCATTAATTTCTTAGTTATAGAGCCTATTATACAGAACTACTTTTTTTTTTTTTTTTTTTTTACTAAAGGCAAAGCGGGATATATATAAAATAAAACAGTGAGTCCTTGAGCTTTAGCAAAGATATCTAGAGAAACTTTAATATTATAATACCGCTTAGCATTAGGAGCGAAGGGTGCCTTTCTGGCTGGGACCGGATCCCTCTCCCCCTTTCGGTTTTCGATTTTCGATTTTTCGTTTTTTTCCGACTTTTCGATTTCCCAACCCCTCCCACCCGCGCGGATAGCCCACCCCAGGGCAGACAACATATATAGAGCGCCTACCCTACAGCCGAACGGGGAGGAAGATAGCCTACCCCGGACCTGCCCTGCACCCGCCCTGGCGGGAGGACACACCTGCCCCGGGGCCGAGGGGAAAGACGGCCTACCCTGG